CTTCTTCATCTTCCCCCCCTTTTGTCCAGCAATCTCCATCACCTCATCTGCCCGTTGCCCATGATGCATCAAGTCGCGAACTTCACATTCATCATTATGAAAATGGTAGTAAACCACGAGGCAGAAGCTCGGGGCCCAATGACGGGCGCCAAAAAAAAAAAAAAAAAAAAAGCACAGGGGGCCGTGGCATATCCCACCCGCCCTGACAATAATTGTTAGTGCCGCTCCAACCAGGTACCTCCCTTCCGTCCCTATCTCTCCCTCACACCTCAGCAAGATGTGACAAAACCAACTGTCTGTCCTCTGGTTTCCTCGTGCACTCGCTCGCGCCCATGGTCTTTTTTTCCCGTCCGGGTTGTGCCAATCAGCACATCCCTGAAACAAAGTCTTGCCCCGTCATCGTCTTCACCATTAGCATCATTGATCCTTCTGATCCATCTACCCGACTATTATCCATACGAGGCGAATAATGTTGAACATGGAGAGAGAAAAGGGCATCCTGTCCTTACCTACTAGCCAACAGACCCCTGTCCCCACTTGTCCGCCCTTCCCCGGATATATGATTGGCCCTCCACAACGCCAAAGCCGCGTCTCGCCCCTCCCGCACCCCTGTCCCAGAATTCCCGGCCAACCGTTTGTACGCCGCCATCCGCCGCCCGTCCACGACCTTGAGCGCCTCGTCTCTCTCATCACGTGTATCGTCTTCCCTCTCACCCATCTGCGGCCTAGCAAGCTTTTCTCGTTGAATGTGATCCCCCTCATCCTCCCCTCCAGCGCCAGCGGAGACGCCGCGTACACTGGGTTTTCGATTGAGTCATTACCACTGCAACCGTCTTCGTCAGCGCAGACACCATTAGCGTTGTCATTGCTACATCGTCCGGATATAACGGTCTTAATACCTGGTTGTGGCCTCGACTAAAGCCTCATAACGGCAAACACGCCAGCGCATATCACGAAAACAACATCACCAGAGCGGACAAGGACCTTGTAAATGCTCGAATCAATGGCTCGTGGCCTCTATTGTCCTCGTCATCTACACAAAGACGATGGATAAAAAAAGGAAAAAAAGTCGCAGCTGCAGATATCTGTCTATCCCATGCCGTGCCAGCAGCCGCCCTGATGGATGCTGAAAAATGTCCCTCGATGATGCCGTCCCATGCCGCTCATTCTTCATCCCAATTTTGCTCCTCCTTCGAGGGTTTCCCGTTTCCGCAGCAGCCAACCCGGCCTGGGTCGTGACGGTCATGGCGGCACTTTTTTCATTCAAGTCATGAACAACACTTTTTGTGTTCTGTTTTTTTCCCCTCCCGAGAAAAAAGAAACCACATACGCTGAAGAAAGATGCATCCGGAACCAAGTGAGTCGTCGTCTTCTCCTTAGACAGCACCGGCCGTAATCATCTTCTTGCGCAGGTAGTTCTTGTACTCTCCGATCGAACCATCCCAAGCTCTGATCGTCTTGTTTTCGCACACCAAAATCTGCTTGGCAATCTTGTCCAAAAGTCTGAAAAGTTGTTAGCGTCAAGGTCTAGTCATATCATTGCGCACGGGGGAGCTCTTACCTGAAGTCGTGGGACACGACAATGACACCACCGCTGAAGGCGTTGATGGCGTCGGCCAAAGAGTCGATGGTGGGGATATCCAAACCGTTGGTAGGCTCGTCGAGCAGGAGCATGTTGGGGCTCTCGATGGCGAGAAGGGCGAAGACGATACGGGACTTCTGTCCGTCGGACAGGGTGCCGATCAGGGAGGTCTGGGCCTCACCGGTCAGACCGTAGCGGCCGAGCTGCTGGCGCCAGTACTGGTAGTCCTGGGACTTCTCCGAGTACTTCTCACGGACGAAGTCAAGGGCGGACTTGGTCAGGTCGAGCTGCTCAGCGCTGTGCTGGGAGTACAGACCGAGCTTCAAGTGGGTGTGGCGGGTGACGGAACCGTCGGTGGGGGAGAGCTTGCCGGTCATCAGACGCAGCAGGGTAGACTTGCCGACACCGTTGGGGCCGACGAGGGCGGTACGGGAGTCCATGTCGAAACCAAGGTCGATGTTGCGGTACAGGTCGTCCTTGGCGTCGCCAGAGTAGGAGAAGGTGACGTTGTCGAAGGACAGGACGGGAGGGGGGAGCTTCTCGACGTCGGCGAAACGGAAGGTGAAGACCTTGTCGGGGACGACGGGCTGGATGAAGCCGTCGGCCTCCATCTTGTCGAGAATCTTCTGGCGGGACTTGGCCTGTCTGACCAAGTTGGCGTAGGTACCGGCGCTGGCAATGAACTTCTTGATGTGAACAATTTCGTCCTGCTGCTTCTGGTAGGCCTTCATCTGGTTGGTCTCCTGCTCGGAACGCGTCCTGTTGTAGATGTCGTAGTTACCACCGTAGTACAGGAGCTGCTTCATGCGCATGTCAATCATGTTGGTGCACACGCCGTTGAGGAAATCCATGGAGTGAGAGACGAGGACGAGGGTACGATCCCACTTCTTCAGGTACTCTTCCAGCCACACACAGGCCTCGAGATCCAAATGGGCAGTGGGGTCGTCAAGCAGCAGCAGCGAGGGTCTGACGAACAGAGCCTTGGCAAGAGCGACACGCATTCTCCATCCACCGGACATGTCCTTGGTCTTCTTGTGAATGGTAACCTTGTTGAAACCCAGACCCGTCAGAATGAGGGAGGCGCGGGTAGCAAAGGTTGAGGGATCCATCTTCTCCATGTGCTGCGTAGCTGTTAGACGGCTGTGTTTCAAGCATCGGGCAAGGGGAGCAAACATACCTCGTACAGGTCCATCAGGACAGGGCTCTCGGGGCCGTCCTCCTCGAGAATCTTCTCAGCCAGCTTGTCCAGACGCTCCATCTCACGCTCAGCCTCGGTAACGACCCACTCAAGGGCACCGAGCTCGGTGGGAGGAGCACCCTCGTTCAGGAGGTAGATGTCGATGTGCTCGGGGATGGGGAACTCGCGGGCGTCGATGGCCTTAAGGAGGGTCGACTTTCCGCAACCGTTCTCACCCAGGAGACCGTAGCGGCGACCGTAGGAGAGCTCGAGGGTGGTGTCGTTGAAGAGGACACGGCCGTGGAACACCAAGCTGGCACTGGTGATCTTGACGTCCTTGCTGGCCTGGGTAGAGGCCAGGACACCGGTGGTGACACGGTCGGAGATACCGTGCTGGTCCATCTGGGCGGCGAGGCGGGCGACCTCGTCCATCTTGTCGGCGCCGGTGGCGGGGCCATCGTCGCCGTTCACAGAGGAAGCGGTGGTGCTGGTGTTCTTGGAGGCCTTCTTCTTGTCGAGCTTGCCCTCGGCGGCCTTCTTGGCGAGTCTCTTCTCCTTGGATGAGGAAACCATGATGACGGTGGTTTTTTTGGTGATGGCGGGGTTGCTTCTTGTTTTTTTTAAGCGATGGCGGGGAACCTGTGGTCGCCCAAAAAAGAACAAAAGGAGAGAAATAGGTTTTGTATAAAGAAACCTTTTTTTTTCCTTGATGCGTCGACGACGGAAATGTGTCACGCAGGCGTCAAGTCGGCGATGAAGTCGACTTGTAAAGAGAGAGAGGGAGGGGGAAATAGAATGAGGCGTGTAGGAGAAAAGGTGGAAGGGAAAAAAAAAATTCGATGTTCTTCTCCGACAGGACAAAGAGCGGCGGTGCGAAACACAGACACACACACAGCCTGGGGAGGGGCAACTGGACACACACTACGTTGGGCTTGCCTGCTGCACCTGCTTGCCAGGTTCGAGGAGTTGGTAGTGGGGCAACGACTCAAAAATTTGAAAAGCTGATAACCGATAGGGTAGCGCAGGCGATAAGGCACCAACCCAGCGCGAGCAAGCGGTACGTACCGCCACCGCCTTCCACCCCGTGCAACACATGGAATTGTCAAACATACACGTCAAGCGCCGGCCAAATTTTGCCAATAACCATGCATGAGGCTGCCTTGGAGGCTAGGCGGCGTCGTGAGGCCTTTTTTGGAGGCCACCTATCACGGGATTTCACCTGGGACTGTCTTGAACATCCGGCGAGAGCCTCGACTCAACCCCTCGGGCACCCATCGCTGGGTACACTTATCGCTATCTAATCGGACCCTGCAAGCTCGAGAAATGACCCGCGCTGAGTGGCTTCCCTTACGCCACCGTGCAGCAAACTGGGGACGCGGGGCTTGACGTCACGTATCACGTGCTAATGCGCCTGACATGATTGGTGGCTGAGGCAGGAGACTGATCCGACGCAGAAACAGCCGTGTGTGAGAGGCTTAGGGTGAATGACACAATAGTGCGTGGTTGAGCTGCGTCTTTATGTTCTATTTAATAAGCTAAATGTGTAATGTACTGCCATATAGTACTCCGTATGCCCTTGGGTATCAATCCAGCCGTAAGAACCCAATGGCTCCTGGTTCTCGCGGCGTTATCCGCGTGTTATAGATGGTGCTGTAGGTGTTGAACATGAGTCTTCCTTCTCATGGCCGACCGCAGCAGGGCGTCTGCTGCGATATATGGTTCGGGTTTGTTGGCGTCATTGCATGGTTGCTGGCCGTTGTAATGTTTTGCAACATGTTGCTGGCCAAGCTTGTCGGCCCTTGCTAGACAGCTGCGATTATATTTCGCGCCCTGTCTTAGGACGTCCGACCATTTCCAGTTTATCTTCGTTGTCTTTCCCCAAGCCGTCATGTATGCCATGAAGTGGTCAGCGTTGCGCCCCTTTCTCAATCGGTACTTTCGGGTTTCCTCTGGGGCCCTCTGTGTCCTCTGTCTACCAACCCAAGTAAACTTGGGTGTGAATAACGACAGTGTATCGAAACAGAACCTCGTCCGTGGTCGGGTAGACGCTTCCGTCTTTTTACCGAGGCTCTCCGTATCGTCGGTATTTATGTCATAGACTACAACATGGCCATGTATCACCTGGTAAGCCAAATCGCGCCCCTCGCTCGGCAATGCCGTCGGTCCTTTCGACATTTTCGACGTCATCGTCTGCCGTCTGGCATTGTTTAGTTGTATGCCGAATCGTCACGTGTGAAACACTCAGAACCTCGCCTGTCGGCTGCTATAGTCTCTAGCCATAGTCACCGTCCCGTCCGCCGCCGGCACGAAGCGGACGTAGTGGTTCGCAAAGTACGACAGCAGCAGCTTCCTCGGCGAGAAGAGCTCCCACGGCGTCGTCGGCGGCACCGGCACCATCTCGCACAGCTCCCCGCGCGGGACGAAGACCACGTCCGAGTACTGCCGCCTGTTGTTGTCGACGGCGACGCAGGCGAGGACGAACAGCGAGAAATGAATCATCCTGGGGGCGCCTCCCGTTAGCCAACGTTCTCCGTCTGCTTCCGCGCGGTAGATTGGCGGTGGACTCACATCAGGACAAACATGAAGAAAATCAACGCGGCGACCGTACCCAGCTGTTGCGGGTCGGAGAGGCTTCCGTAGGACTCGAGCCTCACTCCCGAGATGATTATGGCCAAGAACGCCAACGTCGGAACCCAAATCAGCAGATGCGCAGCGACGTGGCCGCCAGGGCTGCCCCAGCTGAAGCGCGTGCTGCGCGGCAGCTTGGTCGGGTCGTTCTTGGTCCAGCGGAAGCCCCGGTCCCGCACGAGCAGCGCGGCGACGTCGCCTATGCTCCAGAGCCCAGCCAAGCCGGCCGTCGGCGAGCCAAAGGCCACGTTGTTAAGGGCTATAGCGGGGTCGGATTGACTGGAGGCGACGAGGGCGGCGATAATGGAGGCGACGAGAATGGAGCTGATGCGGAGGATGAGGGTGGTGCGGTACATGGACCGGTTGTAGGGGATCGCGGTGAGGAAGTCGCCATGGCGGTGACCGTTGTCCGGTGGCAGGGTTATGATATCGGGGTGGAGGGGCGTGTTGTCCATTGTCGTCGGAAATCGTCGTCGACGGCGGCGGCGGAGGTCTGCATCGTTTGATGTTTATCTTTTTTTGTCTATTTGTCTGGAGGGTTTCGGAGCCCACGGGGAGGAGTCGACTGGGAGATCGCGCGGTCAAAATTGCTTCGCCATTGAGACCTGGGGTCGCTAGTCAATGGGTCCGATCGTGGTCGAGGGTCGAGAGCGACTCTAGGGATCGATAATGATTTGTTGGTGTTCTTTTGCTCCGTGAGTGTGTCTCACGCGGCGGAGGTCGGTGATCGGGAAATAAGGGACGGACGGGGCGTCGCAGTGCTAATTGATACCGGGGGGCCAGTCGGCGGATGGTGGCAGGAGCAGTAACAGCCAAAGCCACCCTGGGAAAGGATCAGAAAAGGATCAGAGAAGGGCAGGGCAGCATTGCCTGCGTTAGTAGGTAGTGTGTGTGCTCTGTGTGTAGTACCGCACACTAGATACATACCTAGTACACTAGTACACTATGGAACTCGGTGTACTACTCCACCCTTGCCCGGGACCCTTCGTTGCGATCCATTCAGAACGCGATCATTATGGCGGGGCGCGGGTGGGGGCGTGTCGTCCTTGTAGGCAGGGCCTAGAGTGGCCTGCCACGCCGCGACATGCCCCTGACGGGCTGTGCACTACCTAGTGTAAAACTAGAATGCGCCAGCCTCAAAGTTTGGGACATTTGCATCCCCGAGATTGACCTTGGAAAAATGAGAAGTAGAGGATCCGCGGACAATGTTTCGCCCAGGGAGTTGGCTTGGATTTCTCGGCAGGCGATGAACTGGCCTTTGTGTTAAGATACAAACCTCGGGATGAAGTTCATAGACAGTAAATCAAGCCATTCGTAGGAGCAGAAACTGTTATATGCAAAGATGTGTCATTGTGTAAGTGGGACTACCCTAGTCCTTTGGTAGTCCAATACGCATACAGAGTGTAGCTTCCCCTAAACGCCGTGCCACCATGTCGTATAACCGTTCAAATATGCATGTAGGTTTTAAATACAGAGTATACTGCTGCCAGATCACATCGATCGTGGCCTGCCTCCGCCGTTACTCGACGACTCCCCGTCAGGATCATCGGCATCTGCGTCATGTTCACACGATACTTGCCCTCTCGCGCACTCGCGTCCGCCGGCGTCATGCCCGTGACGCTCGTCGCAAACTTGATGTCTACGTCCCCCGGCAGGATCAGCTGCGGCTGCGCGTCCCCCCTCCTCATCCTCTCGATTTCCTCCTCCGACGGTTCGTAGTCCTCTGGCGGCGGGCGCATGTTCGGTCGGAGGAGCCGCTCACGGTCGCCCACCGCTATGTTGCGCGGTATGCCGGGTACCAGTTTCCTCTTGATCGACGACGTCGCGGGGGAGAGGTTGCCCGGGCGTTGGGGCAGCGGCGGCGGGGACTCGAACTGCAGTTGCTGGAAGTCGTTGCGCAAGGGGCTGTTGACCGGGCTGTGCGGCGGTCGGGGGAACGACGGCGCGCGGCCGGACTGCTGCTGTGATTTGTACGTCGGCAGCTTGGGGAACGGTTTGGCGACGACGTAGACCGTCTGCCCCGTCTCGGGGATGTACATGACGCGCGGCCTGCGCCGGCGGATCTCGCGCCTGCGTTCGACGCAGGCGCGGATGAACAAGAATAGATGGATTGTTCTGGTGAGAGGCGTCAGCAGCTGGGCGCCAAGGAGGGGGCAACGGTGGTATTCACGCGATAACAAACATGAATATGCACTGCGCGAGGGCATAGTTGAGGGGGCTGGTGCCGATTTGGCCGGCTTCCTCGACTCCCAACTGGTAAGCCAGCCACGCTCCGCCTATGTAGGCCAGTATGGACAGAATCACCTCGACACCGATATGGGCTTTTGGTGTGATGCCGCGGCCGTGACGGGCACACACGGAAAGAAACTCGCCCAGATCCCACATAAACGAGAGTAAAGCCTATGATATGAATAAGTCCATGGAATCCCACCAAGTCTCGTCGAGGATGAGGAGAGCGAGGTGAGGACATACCCCTGGGAGACATAGCCATGGCCAGACGTTGTAATTGTCAAACTCTGGATGCGCATACCATGCCATGTTCATGATGAGGATGATGGCGCACAGCAGCGTCGAGACGATGCGTAAGAAGATCTTGCTGACCTCCCATCGCCGGCCGCCCTGGTTCAGCCATCGCACATTTGCCAGGTCGATTGAAGCCGTTGGCGAGGGGGGCTTGACGCCATCCGCTTCCGAGGCGAGGGACTCGAGCTGGTACGACTCGGTCGCACTCATTGTCGTGACCGGAGGGCGGTCATGGGTGAGATTGCGGTCGACCTCGTCCTCCCACTGTCGCTGATCTGTATTAATGCCGGTGTCTCGTAAACATTCGTCGTCGCTTGTTGCTATTCAAAAAACTGAACCGGGTCGCGCACGTTGAACGGAGCAATCTCCGCCGTCTCAAATTTCCTCGTATTATCGGCGCATCGACGTTGGGACCCCCGCTGAATAAGAAGAAGCTTCTCCCTAAGGTTCTCCTGACTCGCCCCGTAACAAGGCCAAGAAGCACAACGGAGTTTGCGGCTGCGCCTCGATGTTGACAATGCAGAAGTCGACGTCGGGGTCCAAAAGCCAAGTCGGCAATGTTATTGGAAAAAGAAAGATGGGAATGGAGGTTGGATTAAGACTCGATCCAGCCCATGTTCAATTCCCCCTTGTTTTCAATGAGAGAAACGGTCGTCTCCAGACCGAACCCCCCCCCCCCCCGGACGCGGTGCCGCTTCATGCAGTTAATTAACAGAGAGAAGAATTAGGCAACCGTATTTTTCAAGGGGCTCCACATTCGGCAACGGCAACCGACCGAATCCGTCCGTGTTGGAGGCTGCGAAAGCCCATCTGCGTTGGGTGCTCGTCCCTCGCCGTAACTGGACAACTCACTTGCATCTTGGAAATGCTCATCAGGAGCATGCCTACCATTACCGATGGATCCGAATCGCAGTCAGTTGGACGCCTACATCAATTGAGGGATCTGACTGCGTCTGAGTTGTGTTTTGGTGGTGGATACCGTCGGCCGTCTCCGTAACTTACAGATTCGGCTCGGCTGTCCTCTCAGTCATCACCACTCACCTCACTCGAGCTCTTGAAACAGGCAATGATGAAATTCTCGATCATGCGCCGACCGGGGTGGCTTCAAGCAGATTGCACGCCAAAAGATTTGTCGTCAGCCGCAAAAGATTGGACACTGTGGGAATTGAACCCACGACCTTTCACAAGAGCGCGTTCCGTTTGGAAGTGCGAAGCGAAAATCATACCCCTAGACCAAGCGCCCATGATCGATGCATGTTTCAATTGGAATGAGGCTTATCATTCTAGCCTCACACTGCTCTCTACAGTCAGCGAATAACATCGCGATACGCCGTAGCAATTACGATGAGATGATATCCGTTTCCTGGTTTTCGTATCGGTCTAGGGATGAACGTCGCCATGCTAAGATGAAGAGATGCTGTCTTCACGCGGTTACCGTAACCTGTCACATAATCGAAAACGCACACAACATCACTTCCCTACCAGATTATGTTTCCTCGTTAATGCACCATACACGTGGGCAGCAGGAGTTGGGATTTTTAAGTCTGGATTTACTTTTTTATTCCACAACCACCCGTTGGGTATTCTGTTGCTATTCATACAAGTTCATTACACATGTCCCGCTAGCCCAATTTTTATGCCTGAACATCGCTCTTCAAGTTCTCAAACACACTCTGGCCGTCGACTTCGGCCTGTCTGGGGCCGGCATCGCGACCGGCCTTGGTCTGGACCTTCTGGAAGCCCTGCTCCGCCACACGGCCGGGGTCGTTCTCGCTGCCGACCTCGGCGTTGAACGCCGCCTGGACGCCATCCTTGGTGTTCTTGGTGTCGAAGCCCTCGGTGATGTTCTTGCCGTGGGGGCCGTTGGGGTCGCGGATGTACTGGTTGTTCACATAAGACGGCGCCGTGCCGGCCTGACCGGGGATCGATGAGGCGCCGGACCCGGGAGCAGCGCCGGTGCCGGTTCTCGAAGAACCGTTGTTGTTGAAAGAGGAAGGGTTGGAGGCGTCGACGCCGCGGTTGTTGGCGAACTCGCCGCCGTGGCTGGCGGACTCGGCTGCGAGGGAGCCGTCGGGGACGGGGCCGGTGGCTTCGCTACGAGTGGGAGCTGCGGAACCAGGCTCGACCTGGGCTTGTTAGCATTTGTTATCGAGACAGTTTGGACAAGGCACGCAGGCCTCGGAATATTTTCAAAAGCATACCTTGGTGCCAGCGCTAGGAGCCTTGTACTGAGGAGACATTGTTATTGTTTGGAGATCTGGCGGTGGGATTGGTTGTAGGTGTTTGTTGGGTGTCAAAAACTCGGGTAGATGAGTTCAAGTCGTTTGGTATGGAAGCGTTGTGATTGAATTGGATGGTTCTGATCTATCCCGTCTATTCGAGGTTCAAACGCTTCCCTTTAAACACCGTCTCGGCACATGACATCATGTTGAACTCGTCTTACATCAACCTCAGCCGGAGAGAATACTCCCCCAGCACAGACGGCACACCCACTGCGGGATGACTTCAGCTCTCCACATTATCGCCTTCAGAATTATTTGGCGCTATGGGATGAGCAACGAATTACATCATCCCCACCCTTATTCTCCTCCCACCTCGATAGCATCGAGATGCGCATCGCGCCGCAAAAACTAAAAAACTTGGTGTTTCAGCGGGCTCGCGCCTCTAGAATATTCAGCGGCAAGGCGATCGCGGAGGGGTACAGCCCGATCGGCCCCGACCGAGGACTCACCGAGGTGTGGGGCACTGGGCGGGCCGGCTCGTGGTGATAATCGGAGCCAGTATGACGATAGTGCCTCCAACTAAGGACATATTTCTTGATGTCGGCCGTGGTTTTATTGCCCCTTTCGTCTTAGGAGACGTCACTCTTCTCCATCGGAACACGGTTCGAATGCCCTCAAGGACCCTTGTGGTATTTGCTCTGCTATCTTCTCTCCTGATTTACGCATCCGAACTGAGCTGGGGAATATGGCCATGGGCCGGTCGCCGAAATCGGTTGAGCCTTTGCTCTGCGTCGGTCCTCAAGGGGAACCCCACGAAAGGCATCTACGTCATTCCCAAAGGAGAGGAGTTGATCGAATACCAAACGTTCAATCGTGGACTAACAACAGCCGTGGGCGTCATCTAGCAACTTGTGGATTCAAACACCTAGACTATGTAAGGTTGGATTTGAGGCGTGTTGCACTTAATCAAGAATCAGGTTGAGGGAACGCAGAGTACGGACTCCATGATACATAGCCCGCTGGAATCCGAGAACTTCAAAAGCAATGAAAGGGCAAGGAAAACGGCAGTTAACAATGGACGTTGAGCTCATGCATATCAAGATAAATGATAAGCCCGTGTATAGCTTAGAAAAGCAGGTCACACCAAGATGAACTTTTCTACCTGCAAACCGCCATTTTCGCTTTTCCTTTCTTTCTCATTGCCGTTTCCATTCTCACGCTCCTCTTCGTTTCGACTTTCCCCCCCACTATCATATTGCAGCCTTTCCATGAGCTCACCCAGCATGACGCCCGAGACGTAGCACGGGCTGATGAGCTGATGTGTCGAAGTTTGCACAACTTTGCGGAGTACAAACGGAAGTCGACCCCCGAATAGAACCACGACAATGTCTTCTTCTCTGATGGTTGAGAGGCCTCTGCCGAGGTAGCCGCTTGTTGTAGAAAAAATACTGGTCAGATTCCCGTCTGTTGCCTCCTCGACCCTGGCCACATACTCCTTGCGACTCAAAGAAAGGGTACGGGGTTCTGTCGTTCGTAAATGACGATACTCTCCAACAACTTCCTTGAATGTATCGGTTTCGCGGATTTCCTCGAGAGATGTAATATCGATTTCTTCGCCTGTTGTTGAGGTTCGACTTTGATAAAACTCATTGAAATCATGAAGAAACCCAAGCGCCAAGCGCGATTTGTTCTCTTTCTTGATTGAGTTTGTTTCTCCGGAGGAACCACCATACATAACAGTATTATCGAATATCATGGTTTCGAAGAAAACCTCAAAAGATTGCTTCTTTGTTGCACGCGGGTGGCGACGGATTGGGTCGACCTCTTCCATGACCAGATTCCGCCTTGACTCCCCCTTTCCCAACAAAGTTGACTTGGTGACCATATCCAAGACGACTCCCTCGACAATGAGCGTGCCCATTCCCGAGGGCGACGGCAGCAGCTCAGGAAGAGGACTAGCGTAGGACCTCCCTTTCGACGCGTTGAAAAACTCCAGGTGACTGGCCGCTAGATATCGCACATCTACGCCGCTCAGGCCACGATAATCAGGTGTCCAGGAAGGCAGGTCAATGTCCACCCCGTTGCTCGGATTCCAAGGCCCAGCTGTGAGTAGAATCGACAAATCCAAGTTTTTGCGTATAAATCTCGCTGTAAAATCCATATAAACATCTCGAGTTGGCTTGGCGTATTCAACTTCCAACAAGGAGTTCGTATTACTAACCCCCATCAAAGCGAATAGCTTGTCGCGAGGGTCAGTTGACTGCAAGGTCCTTGTTGTATGCAAAACGTTGATCGTGTCCTGAGCATCCTGTATGCTAATGAAAAATTGAGCGATGCGAAAGAATGCCTTGCGAAGTTCCATTGTCCATTCTTTTCGGACTTTTGAGAGTGACCAGTGCAAGGGGTCACCTGTAACAGCGTCCAAAGCTTTGAACGTTGACCACTTTGCCGTAAGTGAGCCGCAATGAACAGTCGCCTTTCGAGCAAGAATGATTTCCTGGAAAACCCACATCCTGGTCCAGTAGGGTCTTTGCAAAAGTTGTATGAGTGCACGCGTCGCCGTTTCGTCAGTGGCAATCCTTTGCACAATCTGCTTGGGATCCATGACTTCGAAATCCTCAAGCATCTTCATTGCTGCTTCCGATGTTCGAGACTTTGGTCCTAGCCAGATTCTCACCTGATCAGCTTTGCTGTAAATTTTGCCCATTTGAGCGACCTGTACACTTCTTTCGTCTGTATCCTCTTGGTTGATACAAATACTGTCAACCCAAATCACGATTTCCTCTTCTTGTCGTCTAAGGTGTTGTAAAGCCACTTGTAAGTTATTTGTTACGCTTAGGGAGTAACCGTTGGCGATGATAACATCGCCCCCCGAATCGTCACCCCAGGTGTAAGAGAGTGCATCATATCGAACCGTTGGGTCATCGAGTTTATCAACGAACATACTGATGATGATAGGGGAAGATGCAGAGGCGGCTGGCTTCAGTCTCATGAGACGAAACTCCTCCGGACGAATTGGGAGGGAATGGTGAACTTGAACAACATACTTATTAGTTAATGCACAATGCCGCACTCGGATCAAGAAAACTCAGAACGCTTACCGGGATGAAAGTTTCTACTCAACGCAGTAATTACGGAACGTTCCTTTCGGGCCTGGTCTATATCGGGAACCATTGCCGATTTCTCGATACCCTTCTCAGCGTGGGCTGTATATCGATGGGTCCACGCGAGCTCACTGGCTCTACTTAGATAGTTAACAAGGAAAGAAGAGCCTCTGGCTCTTTTCGCGTTGTCGATAGGACAAGAATAGTCTCCAGAGTCCTGAGAATGCTCGGCGCAAGCGTAACCAATTAAAATACTGCGCCTCTGGATAGAGTGCCCAGGCCTTTCAAAAGCTGCACAGCGATCAATAGCATGTTGATAATACAAGCAGCGGCAAGCGCTGAAGAGCTCAACTATTTGGTAACACATTTGAATAAGGCAGAAGAGGGAATGACTGGTGGGAAGGCTGGCAGCGGGGCCTTGCATGTCAAATATAAATTATTGTGTAAGCTTAGTGCATTGGAGACTCTTTAAGCGGTGTGGCTGTGTCTGCACGAAAACTCATTGCATTATCTGCGATTTTTGGCATCCCACTGCGGTTCTTGCGCCTCAATATTCATTGGCCCGCGTGGGCTTCGCCGCAGGTGTCGTCCCGCGCGATGATACCACATCTGTTTAATGCACCGCTGTAAGCAAAGCAATGGCGAACCATCAGTGGGAAAAACGACGGAAAAGGATGCCGGCTATCGAACACGCCAAATGAATCGGTATCTGAGTAATCACTGTCTATTACACCAACGGAATCCTTTGAACTCGCAAGTCACGCCTCGGATTATCCATCAACTCCCCATGCATAAGCCCACTAACATACGCAGCACCAATAAGCTTGAACCCGGACTGAGTCTTTCGCAAAATTACAGGAAGAGTACATCCAAATAGCAGTGCGACAACATCGCCCGGCTGCACGCTGTGATTGCACCGTCCAAAGTAGTGACCCCCAGTAGAGAACATGCTCGAGATATTGCCCGCTCTGTACAAGTACTCCTTCATGAACAACTTGTGATGCTCCTCGAGAAGGTCCGGTTGCGACCTCTTGAGGTCCTCGTAACGACGCACGACCGATCCCGGACGACTAGCCTCGGGGCCGAACAAGGTGGGAAAGTCAACGGAACCATCTCGCTTCCTAGGGACGGCGTTGTTTTTGATAGTCTCCATGTGCTTCATGAAGCCGAGCAAATGCTGCAACCGGATTTGCTGCCTGGACTTGTTCTTTTCCGCCGAATCTCCATCCCTTGGCCCGTAGATGTCGAAGATGATTGTTTCGCAGAAAGCCTGGACCTGAGATCTGCCTGACGGATGACGACCGACCTGCCCGAGACCAAATGTGAATATCATTTGCTCGGGGCAGCTGTTGATCTTCACGACCGGTGCCGTTTTTTGGATTGTGTCCAGCAGAAGCCCTTCGGCGACGAGGGTTGTGTCTGAATGGTTGAAAGGATGTCCGCTATGTGATGCCGCCGTGAACCGTGTCCCTTTCGAGGCGTTGAATACGCCAGGAATCTCAATACCATACCCGACGTATATCGCTACTCTCTTAGACGCGCGGAAGTCAGGGGTCCACGACGGCAGCGTGGTATCCGTCTGGCCCTCGGGTTCTCCCACCCGGCGAGCATCAACAGTGCTAGACTCCCCGTCTTCTCTATATGCCGCCGCGTGAACTCGATATAAACATCACGCGCCGGCTTGCTGTAGTCCACAGCCAGGTACGGCGCCATGTCGCAAGTGCCCATGAGCGCAAAGAGCTTATCCCGAGGGTCGCCCGCCTGGAGCCGCCTCGTGAGGACGAGCATGTTCTCCAATTCGCCGAGCCTGCTAGGGTTGATGGTGAACTGTGTAGTGTTGACCAGCGCTCTGCGTAGCGGGAGGACCCACGGCGGGGTCTTGCTGGGTTCCGGCCAGAGGCGCGCATTGGCCGACACCATATCCAAGTACTTGATGCCGTCGAAATTCGCAGTATACCGGCCGCAGTACACTCGTGCAATCTTGGAGAGAAGGATTTCTTGAAACATCCACATCCTGCTCCAGTATTCACGTCCGAGCAGCTCCGTCAGGCCAGTGGAGCCGCGCTCGTCGTTGAAGATCTTCTTAACACCGTCCGCATCAGGCGGGTACTCGGAGCATTCGTCCATGAGCTTCATAGCAGCTGCGGTATCGGGACCGGGCTCGCCCAGCCAGATCCTAAGGCGATAAGACTTGGAGTAGATCGTTCCCATAAGGGCTACCTGTACGTTGCGCTCTTCGATATCATCCTGATTAATGCATATGGCATCGGCCCAGAGAACGAGCTCTTCATTATCGTAACGGAAATGCCTCAGAGCGATTTCCAAGTCCTTCAAGACACTCACCCCTGAGCCATTGATGAAAATTGTGGACCGATCGTTGGGATCTCCCCATCTGTACGACAGGGCTTCATAATGGGCCGGGGGTTCCTTTGTGGCGGTATTGTGGTGCACGACTGACAGCCGGGCGACGACGGGCGATGAGAACGAAGATGCTGGCTGAATGTGGAGGAGGCGGAAATCATTTTCGCCAAGAGGATATGCTTCGTACACTTGTTAGGGTTAGTGTGAGGCTGCATATCAGGCGACTTGAACAGCGGCGTTTGGGTCCCATACCTGAGCGAGCTCGAGGCACAGCCACTGAGCTGTTCGCCCGGAAAGAGGGGGCATTGTTGGATTTTCCAGCTGGCTGCCTGCTTGCTGATGAGGGTGCAGATACAACTCGTCGATTGACGGTCGGTATGGCTGAGGGTTTGGCCATTGGATTCGGTTCCACTTGTTGGGTTGCCGTGCTTTGCCTCGAAATACCAAGACGCTTCAAAAAACCAACCATTGTGGGATTTTGAGTACAATACAAAGTCGTGGTACGACCTTGAAAAAGAGATGGAAGATGATTATTTGGAACAAGAGGGAATTTGAGTAGGCGAAACTTGCGCCGGAATGGTAAAGTAAGTGTATTTATATAGAGACTTTGTAAATCTATAGAAAATGAGATGCTGTCTCAGATGTGTTTTCGAAAAGAGGTTCCCAACCGTGGCGTCGCTGGCTTTATCTTACTTCATCTTTGCACAACCAACGGGTTATCAGTTGTAAGCGACAAATGCAGTTGGTATAACCGCGCGGTTAAATAAATCATGTCAAGGCGATCGACAGCGTCAAAACGCGCCCAGCGCCTAAAATGCTATCGAAGGGTTTTAGCCTGGGCATGAGATGCTTATTGGCTCCAAACAGTTAGGTTGTTGGTCTTTGAATGGGCCGCGAGCGGTTGGTGACTGAAATAATCTCAGTAAACAGTGCATGTTGGTTTGGCTGTTAAGGGATCCTTCCACCTGCGTCTCGGGGGTGTCATTGGACTTATTTGAAACACATGTTGGTTCTGGGTGCCCTTCAAATGCTGTTGTAAGGGCCAAGACAGACGCGGCCATGTGTGATTCGACTTTCTGGCTATTTCTTACGAATAGTTCGATGCCGGCTGTGCTCCCGATCGGGTTTGCATTTGCGCAGCTGCAGGCAAGCGCAATCGAATAGGACGTCATGGGTGACTTGAACAAATATCATGAATATAGTATGAATAGACTTGTAGTAATCTTCTGAGCCGGTGCAAGGCATCATGCCAAGCACTCGTCGAGGTCTAGACCAGGGAAAGCCAAACACCCAAGACACCGCCCGCCCGTACCGCCGCTGAAAACCAGACCGAAAGCTCCGTGTAATAAGATCGCTCGCTAAGCAACAGCCTCCATGAGAACGAACCACTGTACCGAGATATGTACCTGTAACCAGCCGCCGCCACGCGACTCCAACACCGATGCGTGACCCCGTTTCCTCTTTTCGTCTTCGCAGACCCCCCGTCCCCCGCCTAGAGAACCGTGGAGAACCTCGCAACAGCGTTGAGGACCATGCGCCAGATGATGCCCGCGGTGCCGACGACGACAAAGATTTGCGCCAGCTCGAACCAGCTCTTCAGGCGGACCTCGGTTTCGAGGTGGCCGCCCTCGATGTCGGCGCTCGCCGGGAAGCGGCCGGTGGACATGTACTCCTCCATGATGGCGTCCTTCTCGTACCAGCGCTCGCGCAGCCAGACGTCAAAGACCTTTGGGTCGTCGAGGGGGATGTCGGCGAGGCGGAAGCGGCGCCAGTGGAAGTTGACGGAGCGCGGGGGCCGGCCCTGGAAGTAGGTGCTGATGAGGCTGAAGTACTGGTCGCCAAACTTGCCGCGGCTGGAATGCTGTTAGCTCGTGTCGCAGAACGGGGTGTCACAAGCGGGGCGCGAGGAATGCGCGGCGCGGGGCAGACTTACGGAACGCCTTCGTAGGCGACGGTGCAGTCGTAGATGTACTCGAGTGAGTCCTTGAGCTCGTTGAGGCAAAAGAAGGTACCCGTGCTGCGCGGGAGGAGCACGTGCTCCGGGTCCTTGAGGCCCAGCTTCTCGGCCCAGGCCGCCGACTTCCTGCGGCCGTTGGTGGACAGGTTGGTGCCCTCCGGGAAGAGCAGGAGCCACATGGGGTCGAGGTACTTTTTGCCGTTGGCGCCGACGTGCTGCGTCTTGAGCTTGTTGATGCGATGCGCCAGGCGGGGCTTGTCGGTGGCCATCTTGCGCGACATGAAGATGAAGCCGTAGAACATCATGCCAATGCCGACGCCGGGGATGTACTTGAGCGACTCCTTAAGGATGATGTAGATGTGGCCGTGCATGCTCGGGGCGTTTGCGTAGGCTACCCACCAGAGGTACAACCAGTCGGTGTAGATCTGCCGTCCGTTCGTCAGTATTGCCTTCTTGTGCGCTGTACGAAGCAGCATTGTGTCCCAAGCAGCGCGGGGCGTACCTGGTGGTTTGCGACCAGAACGAGGCGCTCCGGGAAGTTGAACTCAACCCTGCCGTCGGGCGTCTTCTTGATCTGGCCGTCCATGGACTTGTCGCCGCTTATGCGGATCGTTGTGTTGCTCCACATGTGCGTCATGGCCGTGATGGTCAGGCCGAAGGACTGTTTCGTCAGGGCCATGTAGGCGTAGAACATTTCGCGGTTGAAGAAGTACAGCGGGATGCCAAGCATCTGGGTCGTGATGATTCTGCGCGCGACAACGGTCAGTGGGGGAGCTGTCGCATGGAACGGGTGCAGCGCCACTGGGGACAACGTACGCAAGGCAGCAGGCGGCGAAGTAGATGCCAAAAGTCAACCCGCGGAACAGCTGCATGGCGACGCCGTACTTGGCCCGGCCGGCTGGATGAGAATCACTTGGTTTCCTGACCAAGCCCGCCTTCGCGGTCGGCGCGGGCACCTCCTTGGGGTCTATCTTCTTGTGGACGTCTGTGGCCATGATGGCGGTATGTGTCTGTCGGTTCGGTGGGAAATTTGGTAACGAGGTAGGGGGGAGAAGGTCGTTCATCGGATTGGAGGAGGTTCGAAAGGATGCGATCGCCCGCGGAGGGTCGAGACGTGGTTAGGTGTTTAATGGAAAAGAGCTTCGTTGCGGATTAAGACGTCTGTTGTAGTGTCGCGTGCGAACCTGGCATGTGAGACGAGCAGCTGGACAGTCGGAAGCCGGGGTGATGCCTGGTACGGCGGGGTCGGGGCGAGGCAGGAGAGGGTCGATCAGAGCCACCGAGAGCGGGGTGCGTAGGAGAATGTTCGTGTTCGGAGCCGGGCAGGTATGGGTATTTGCTCTCGTCAGATCAGATCAGGTCGGCGGCTCGTTGGAACTGGAGCTATGGGTGCGATGTCATGGCGGTCTGGAGGCTTTTGGGGAGAGAAAGCAAGAAAAGGATGCTGCGACAGCTGAGCTGTTAGGCAAGGATGATCAACAGGCAGGGCCAAGGCAACGGAGATGGCTAAGCGGCGGATGGGTTAGGTACTTTGGAAGCTAGCAAACCATGCTGCTGACTATGCGACAGGCTTGCAATGTGTGTCGAGGGTGAGTTGCGGCCCAGTCATGGTCCGGGCCGGCCGGTCTGGTCTGGTCTCGTTTGGTTTGGTTTGGCCTGAGTCTGAGCCTGAACTTCCACCGGCCGAGCGCGGGCGGCCTTGGAGGAGTTGGGAGCTGAATCTGGGACGATTAGGGAGGGGGTTGCGCAAACATCGTCCCGTATTACTGTACTGATTCGCTGTGTCAGCAGCGGGATGGATATCGATATGGATATGGAGAGATAAGTGGCCTGTGACTGGCATTTGCCGGCTTCTTCGGAGACGGAGAGTCTTACTGTGTCTGGATTCCGCGCTTTCTGGAAACTGTAGGTACTGCACTGCACAGCACTTGCCCGTCTTGGTGCAGCCTGCAACCCGCGGGACCTGTCAATCCCACGGGACTGGGCGACGAAAGTGGAATGGTTCCATGGCGGGGCAGAACGCACGCGCCAGGCCGCATGCAGAGTGACGCCATGGATCATTGAACAGCCGAAATCCGTCCCTCTGAGTGTCCGTTCGTCTCCACTTATGGGCCGTGATCGGCGTCTTCCGGGCCAATCCCGCCGTGGGTAATCCCGCCCGACACGTGCGTTCCTGCCGCTGTTCTCGGTATGGCCACGGTGGGGGAGGCGGCCCTCACCGACACAAACACGAAGACTTGACGATGATGCTTCAACTATCTTACTGACTGTTGTGATTCATCTCCATCACATGTCAATCCGCCTTGCTGCAAAGAAAAAAAAAGTTTTGTTCAAAATTCGTTCGATGCGCACTCGTTATGCCTTTGCACTAGTCCGATCATCCGTTTCAACCAAACATGAGATCAACTCAATTCAACCCCTCAGCCAAAGCCTGCCCGCTACTTTTCATGCATGCACTTAATTACATGTGCGCTCGGTCAATACTGGATCACCAGCTTCTTTGCAGACACGCCTTTTCTCAGCGTGTCAAGACCGCCTTGAATTGATTCCAGTCCCCTTCCCACCACCTCTGGCTCCGGCTTGGGTTGCAGCTGCCCGCTCTCCAGAGCTCCTGGCACGAAGTCCCGCCAGACGGGGTTCTGCACTTCTTCCGGGTTTTGCGTGATCTGATAGGCAGTCTCTGTGTAGGCTATCAGAATCGCCGTCACCCCTCGGGGCAATCTTTGGGATCTCCTAGCTTACCAACAGTGATGAGTGCGTTCTTCCCAAAATCCCCATTGCCCGGGAGAACCGTCACCACCCTACGCGGTCCGATCTTGTCCAGGATGGCACTGATGGGCTTCAGCGACTCGGAAGTCGAGATTGCATCGTAGACGCCGACGAACTCCGTGTCCAGCAACAGCTTCTCGGCCTCGTCGACAATCGTCGCCGAGTGGTAGTCCAACACCGCGGCCGCGCCGAGGGCTAATACCTTGTCAAAGTTGCGCTGGGAAGCCGTCGTCACGACCCTGAGCCCCGACGCGACGGCTAGCTGCACAGCGGTGCCTCCAATGGATGATGCGCCGCCCCAGACAAGGAGCGTCTTACCAGTGGGCTTTGGGTCCAGAGAGGGTAACGGCAGGCCTAGGTGCTCCTTCTTGTAGAGGCCGACGGCGGTAGTGGCGATGCTGAGCGGCAAGACAGCCGCGCTCTCGAAACTCATGCCGTCCGGGATGGAGGAAACGAGGTTCGCATCTGCTTTGCTGTATAGCTGGAAGGTTCCGAATTCGTGGTTTTGCCGACCCAAGCCGGTGCAATATCTGAACCATGATATCAGTCGGAATCCGCCAGGGGCACAGCCATCCTGAATAGTTCTCGAGCCAGACTGATCGGACGAAGTAGTTCTGCCCGTCGAACATTGAGGACATACCCAATGACCCGCTGCCCTTTCCTGAGATGGGTCACACCCTCTCCAACCTCCTCAATAAAGCCCGCGGCGTCGGCACCGAGGATCGAGGGATAATTCTTGACAATGATTCCGAGATCCCTAGCACAAGTCAACTCACAAGTCACTCAGACTTTCGCAGACAATAAAGGCTGCGCGTACTGGATCTTCCACTCCGCTGGGTTCTGCCGTTCAATCAGCATTGGTTCCATATCCACACAACCACGACTGAGGTGATGCGACGTGGGCATCACTTACCAGTGCAGTCACAACATTCTTGATGACGACCTCGCCCTTCCCGGCTGTGGGAAATGGTGCATCGTCCACCTTGAACGGGTATAACTTGGGGGAGGTAATCCAAGCAGCTCTGTTTACTGGCATTGTGTTATTCTTGGTCTGCGTGTCAGACAAGCCAGTTTCTATCCTTATATCAATCGGATTGCAAGATAGGTCAAGGTTTCGGTCAGTCACAGAGAGCGAGCGAGGTTAAACCAAGAGACACATAAGGACACTCTCTTCTGATATACCACACCAGAACAGAATCAAACCTTTTCCTGGGGGGACTCGGCAACCAGCTTCGTTGACCGAGGGTTTAAACATAGCCAAAGCCAGATCAGATATGTGACAGCACATTGGTGGGGCCGTTGGCCGGATAGTGGAGGGCCGGGCGCTGCGTGGGTGTCCCGAAACTTTATTCATCGTCAACTACTGCTCGTCATATATGCAAGAATGGCGAGACTCAGAACAACGGTGCCACTCAATGAAGTTATTGTTTTTAAGCAGAATTAAGGCACATACCGTCAATGTCTTCTGGTTCTTCATGACTCTTCTCCACCTGTGTTTGTAGAGTGGACGGTAATTCAACCTCCACCCTATCCGACTTTTGGAGGAGAAGCTGGTTTGCCTGAATGCTTCCGCTTTCTCTCGCCCGAGATAGCACGGTTAGGCATATATCGTCCTGATAGTCTAGGCCGACATTCTCCGCTTGGAGTAGCAGCCTTACTGCATTCTCGTGGCCGTTTTTCGCCGCTGCTATCAGTGGGGTCATATCATAAAAGTCCTTCACATTTACTGATGCCTTGTCGGCGAGCAGCAACCGCACGATTTCGCTGTGTCCCCGCATCGCCGCAAAGAAAAGAGGTGTGCGACCAAAATCATCCCTGACATCGGCTTGATCTCGGCATATTTTAAGGAAACACTCGGCTAGCTCAACGCAACCCTCCAGTGATACGATATGTAGCGGTGTCCAGCCGCTCTTAGTTACGGCTGTGATATCTGCTCCCTCAGCAAGAAGTAACTGGACAACTTCGAGGTGGCCGTTACTTGATGCTGTATTAAGCGAAGTCCAGCCGCCTTTAGTGACAGCTGTGATGTCTGCTCCCTTGGTGAGAAGTAACTTGACAACCTCAAGATGACCGCTTTCTGATGCTGTGTGTAGTGGTGTCCAGCCGTCCTTAGTAGCTGTTTTGAAATCTGCTCCCTCAGCAAGAAGTAACTGGATTACCTTAAGGTGGCCGTTACTTGATGCTGTATTAAGCGAAGTCCAGCCGTCTTTAGCAACAGCTGTGATATCTGCTCCCTTGGTGAGAAGTAGCTGAACAACCTCAAGATGGCCATTTTGTGATGCTAGCATGAGTGGTGTCCAGCCGTCCTTACTAGTAGCTGTAACGTCTGCTTCTTTATCAAGAAGTAGCTGAACAACCTCAAAATGACCGTTTTGTGACGCGAGGTGAAGCAACGACCACCTGTCGTAGGAAGTGGTTGTGATGTCTGCTCCCATATTAAGAAGCAGCTGGATCACTTCAGTATCGCCTTTTTGAACAGCTGAAAAGAGTGGCGAATATCCGGGTCTATCAGTAGCCGTAATATCTTGACCCCTATCGAGAAGTAGCCGAACTACTTCAAGGTGGCCATTGAGAGCGGCTATAAAGAGCGGTGTACACCCATAAACGTCACTAGCCGCAATGTCTGCTCCTCTATCAAGAAGCAGCTTAGCTACTTCTGTATGGCCGCTACCCCCAGAACAATAGAGTGGCGTCCATCCGTTGGCAATGCTAGCATTAATGTCTGCTCCGTTATCCAGAAGCGCCCGGACAACCTCAAGATGCCCATTGTTTGCGGCCGAAGCTAATGGCGTCCATCCATCCTTGCTACTGACTGTAATGTCTGCGCCTTTGTCAAGAAGCAGCTTAACTACCTCAGCGTGGCCGCTATCTGAGGCAGAAGAGAGCGCTGTCCATCCGTGTTTACTAGCAACTGAGACGTCTGCGCCTTTGTCAAGAAGCAGCTTAACTACCTCAAGATGGCCGTTGCTTGAGGCTGAAGAGAGCGGCGTCCAGCCGTTCTCATTAGAAACCTCGATGTCTGCGCCTTTGTCAAGAAGCAGCTTCACTACCTCAAGATGGCCGTCGTCTGAGGCTACATTTAGCGGTGTCCATCCATTGATGTTCTCAATCGTGACGTCGCCTCCATTGTCAAGAACCAGTTTCAAGACATCAACGTGACCGTTCATTGATGCTGCATAGAGTGGCGTTCGCCCTCTGTAGCCGGCGACATTCACGTCAGCTCCCGCTCTAAGCAGCACCCGAGCTACTTCCAGATTTCTTCTTTCACATGCAACGCCAAGCGCTGATCTTCCTGATATCGAATGCTCGTTCGGGTCGTGTTTGCACTGTTGTATGAGATGCATTACTACCCCAGTCAACCCCAGACGGGAAGCGTAGTATAAGGGGCTTGCTGGCATTACTGTTTCTGTCGCCTCTGACTGCAAGTCCTCGACGTTAACGTCAAACCATTGCCTCCAGGACTCCCAAGTCTGAACGTGTCCGTCGAAAAGGCCGTTCATAGCTTCCACCAATGAATTTTCCTTTGCCTCGCTCAGGTCGGTATGTTGATGCCAGTACTCCGCCGCGTAGTTTCGGAACGAGATTCCAATTTGGTCTTTTTCCTCGGTATGTGATTCGTCCCAGACTCGCTGAAAACTGATATACTGAAGACATAGCTTAGCAAGGGCGGTACTCTCCATAGCCTCGTTGGATGCGCGTAAACTCTCATTGGCGAACAGAACCGCCCCCTGTAAAGGAATCCTGCAAAGAAGGTACTGCTTGACCGAGAAATGGGCTAGGTGTATCTTCCTCGATCCAGCGGGAGATTCCGGTAGACTGCCTCGTACCTCAATCAAAGATCCACAAAGACCCATGATCTCACTTTCGATATAGTCGTCATCAATAGAGTCCGGCATTTCGTCGAGCGGCAGATCCTCACAGTCGTCGTTAATGAGCACGGCTTCAGTGATCTCGCAGACAGTCAGGGGCCGTAAAGCAAATGCGGCCCATCGCAGCAAGGAGTATGCTCTCGTTTTCTCGGCATATCGCAATCTCTCAATCCTCTCCCAGTTGCGGTCATAGAGCTGTTCAAGCCCCGCCGGAGTCTCGTCAATATCCTTCTCAAGCTGCTTTTTGTTCCTGCCTTTTCTTAAAATCTCCTCCTGCATTTTCAGCCACTGGAACTGACCGTTGCAACGCTCAGCCATTCTCTCGGAGATACTCAGTCTCGTTAGTTCGTCTTTGTTAGGCAGCTTGTTGTTGACAATGCTCTTTGAGAAGGCTATATTGTCGGCACGGACGTCTTCGGGGGATATCGCATACTCGCTGAACCCGGGGAAACGCGACAGTCCCTGCCGGATTTCAGGCTCGTTGCGGCTGACTATCAAAATCCGGGCAGTCGTACCAGCGATTGCTTGTTCGAGCTCATGTAGAAACCGGGCAACGGAATGGCTGCCGTTTCGGTTCTCCCCTAACCAAGTACATTCGTCCAGCCCGTCCAAGACGAAAGTGCAAAACGGCACGGCTTGGAGAACCTCACGAAAGAGCCTGACGATTGTTGCTCGCGTCGCGACTTGTTCGTGATGGGCTAATCGTCTCTTACAGACGACGTCCAAAGCAGCTTGACTGCCAAATGTCATCTCTGCAATCCACGACCGTAGAGCCATAAAGGGGTCATCACGACCTTCAAACTTGGACGACAGGAAGAAATGTGCGACAGGCGTTTGGAGAGTCGAAGAAAGGACTTCAACCAGCCTGGCGCACAAAATGGTTTTGCCGAATCCTGCCGGACCATTGATCCATAGCACGCTGTTAGCAGCGGCCGAGCCGTCAGGCGAAAGCCAGTTGTGAACATCGTTGCGCGCCAGGATCCATTCGCACGTCCCACCCAGTCGCTTCTGGATAGAGTCATCGTATAGATCGTTTGGGGACGGGCACCCAAGCCATGTGTGTAGGTCCCGTTTTGTCTCGGCTGCACCCATTAGCTGGATGAAAGGGGTGCAGGATTAAGTCATCATTACCTCTCATCTCCTCTTCTGCCTTGTGCAGAAACGCTCGAATGTCGTCAAGCCAAGGACCCTCATTCAGGGCGATGTCTATGCATCTTTAGTTTGACACGTCAAGCAGTGATCAGGGGGTTTTGGTCTGAACCGTGTAGGGGCGCAGGACCATAGCTGTGCGCTCCATGTCCTGGTAGTGAACTCTTTGGGTCGTCGGGAGGAACTACAATGTACAGGTACTGCACCAGGATTGCGAAAGTCTGAACGTGGCCGGTACGCTTTGTTTTGCCGGTCAGCGCCCAAGCCGCCCTCCGCCATTTCGAATCCACAGGCGCGCCATGGCGAGGCTGAACCTGCCGTGCATAAAGCAAACCGTCTTTCAGATAATTGTCATCTGCCAGCGTAGATTGTGGACTGAAAGAATCGTCTGCGCCACTGCAAAAGTCTTGGATGCTGGCCAACAGTTTGTGCACTATTGCCATTTTCTGCCCATCGTCGAGAGCGGGGTGATGATGATCGGCCAACTTCCCTTTCTCAAAGCCGACAGCGCGACCCCATTGCTCGAAGCGGTGCTTGTCGGCGTCGAACTGGGTGGCCAAGGAACGTGAATCGCGGCCGAAATTCTTGTACGAGTCGAACTTTTCGACGGCTTCCAAGCAGGAGCTGAAGAGGCCAGCAAGGCCCAGGACCCCGACGGCCAGTCCTACCGGTTCCATGATTACGCGCGTGAGGTTGACGATGACTGAATGGGAGGCCTGGGACCCATTGTCCCTACTATAAGGACAGAATTGTGGCACAGCTCCTCATTCGCCAGCACAGCTGCATGAGCTGACATCTGTCTGCCTGGCGCTCCACAGGTGTTTTATCATCATTTCTGCCATATCGGTATGTGCATTCGCCAGCGCATGTATTTCCGTGCGCCACACACCACCGCGCGGGCAACCAACGACGAGGCGTCCTCGCGGGGGCACTGGACCAGGGGAGCACGGGAAGTATGATATCCAGGCGTCGCAGTATAGCCGTATACCACGAGCTTGGCGGCGTCAATCTGTTCGAGTGCACCGTCAGCTGATTATTGCTTGTCAAAAAGGGGCGACCAGGGATTGCTTGCCCCTCGTATTTGGTATCATCCGGATCCTCTGAGATTGTAGGTATTCACAAATATTCTATCTTGGAAAGCAATGGAAACACAACCCGACTCGAATGACGAGGACGACGCGGAGGGCATGGCTCGGAATAATCGCCGCCGACCAGTGTGCCATGGTGGGGAGAAGGGACTAAATTTGCACCTGTCTGAGTCTTTGCCTCTGAGCGCATTCAAACTAAACACAGTGGAGGCTGAGGAATTGCTGCTTCTTTGCTGGCGCGACAGCCTTCACGGCGTGTCAGAACACAATCGATTGTATCCTAACAATTTTTACATTGATATATTAAGCGTCCATCTGGGGAATTTAGTACTAGGCTATTCCGTCCCGCCACCTAATCCAACCAACGTTTGAAACGCTGCGTCTGATACCGCACCAGTGTTCTTTACACCACACCCGTTCTATTAGTGTGAAGTCATTGTTCTCTTTTGCCTAAGCGGAAGCCAGGAGTATGAAGGAGTCTTCATATAGCAATGCAGTTTAAGCACAGTTGATAAGTAAATAATGATATTCTATCTTTCGGTCGAGTTTGCGACGGAACTGCTTCGAAGAGCGACACTAACTGTAACAGAATAATAACTGGGGCACACCACGTGCAATGCCTCGGGCATAGAGTAATCTTTAGTCCTTTGCAAGTCTTGCGCAACACATATAGGTTTGACTCCAAGCCTAAAGGCTAAGCCCAATCACTCGGCTTCCTCCAGTGGCCTTTTCCCGAAGATCACCCAACTGCTTCTAGTTAGAATCTTGTATGCAACAGTCAAGCTGGCGCTCTGCGGCAACAGAAAACTAAAGGATGCGAGTGACAGAGGTGGGTATGAAAAGAGGACTTACAGAGGACAGTAATGGTGTATGCTCTTGTCCTTCAACTCTTTCCGCACGTCGACAAGATAGACTTGTACCTGTTCAGGAGTCCATCCAAGAGCCCTGGTGAAGGCAGCCATGCTCCAGGCCTCAAGGCCCTCAAATGAGTTCTCGAGGGCCCATGACCCTAGCTCCTTGTAGTGCGGGTCCTTCGCCCATGGGCCGATAGGCCACTTGAACGGAACGATGGTCACATCGACAAAGCCGACCTCCTCCATGATGGGGACGAGGCTTGGGACGTGAACCAACGGACGGCCGAAAATCTTACAGGATTCTTCAAGTTTGCCTGACCACTGCCAAAGCACGTGGTCTGGCGTCAGGGATCCATCGTCCGATTGGGTGCGAGCGTGGCCTTCGAACAACTCGATGTAGCCACCAGGTGCAAGACCACTAGGGAGATGAGTGTGTGTCATACGCTAAATGGATCCAGAAACGACTCACTCGTAGGCTTGTCTAAGGAAGCCGTGCCAGTCAGAGATACTAGAAGTCATGCCGCGAATGTGGATATAGTCAAATGGTTGGCTGTACGTCCAGGACTGCTCGATGTCATCAACCTCGAATCTGAGATTCGGCGGGACACTGAAACCAGTTAGCAGACGCAAGGATACCAAAACGCAAACAAGGAGAGCTTTACAATCGAACTTGCACCGGAGTGAGATCAACGCCTAGAACCTAGATTCTGTTCAGCATCTAGTCCACTCAACACGGCGGCCACAATTAGGGTTACCTCGGCCTCAGGATGCTCTTCGGCGAATTCGATAGCCCAAAGTCCAGTGCCGGTTCCAATGTCGAGGACGCGCTTGACGCCCGAATTTTCCTCGTTGGGAGGAGCAAGACCCAGCTTATAATTCAGTGTTAGAAGATAGAGGTTATGCTGCAGATCTAGTTTTTCGTGAGTAAAGCACCAAATAATTACAGATGAAACACACCTAGCCTATCATTCTCCTTCTCGTCATTGGGGTAGATATATTCTTGATCGTGTCAGAAGCTGATTGGTTCAATGAGACTCTAGAGACCAAGAGAGAACTCACTCCCATCCTTGTACTTATGGTAGGTTCTCCCGTTCTCCAACCGGTGTTGAAGAATTGAACTGGCCAAGCTCGTGCTAGAAGAAACCACACTCTAAGGAGCGTCAGAAAGTCTCGCTGAATGGGAAATTGGGTTGGGGCTGGTGGCCTTGCTTACGGTTGCCCTGTCCGAGTTGGTTTCATCACTGGACTACATCGGAGAGTCAGTGCTATCACAGGTCCTAATTGTTCTCATCATCCCTTACATCTCCGTCTTCGGTCTCAATAATAGGACCATGGGCAGTCTCCGGGCTTAGAGGCGCTGGGATACTAGTAGGCGCAGCATCATCGATCGGTCCTGGGATAGTGACAGGCATGAGACTCTGGGCGGCCCTTGTAGTAGTCTGAGTGTCGGCCATCGCGGAAGATCCGACAAGTTGTAGCTAGACAGAGAACGATGCAGTTTACTGAGGATGGCACCGAGCCATTTATCTTTGCTTGAGACAATAGAAAACTACCCCTCTTCTTGGCCGAATATGTTTATGCAGGTTGGTGGTAGTAGAGCAGTTTGCTTATTTGATCTTGTTGGTTCCAACAAGCAAGGCTCCCCGAGCGTAGCATCAAGACCGGCGAGTTGCTTGAAAACGGAAGGAACATTTGTTTCTGCAGCGTGGTGGATCAAAACTGGGAACCGTTGGTCCTGACATTTGATTGACTTGCTGCCATGGACCGCTGATCTGGGCTGCTGGAGCAGGGTAAACCGCCAATAATGTGACACATATTTGCAGTTTGTACGGGACCCTAGACCATGTCGTACGATTGGAAAGGTGAAGACGCCCTTGTCGTATGCAATACTTCTAAGCCGTATCACTACCCTTCTAGAACGCCTTACTCCGCTGGATAATTACCCACGCGAGGCTAATTAACCGAGGATAATGCAGCAACATCCCGGAACTGAACACTTGTTTTTGGATCTCGATACTTCACCCGAGTTTCAATCCATAGTCCTGCCTCCAAGCTAATGATTTAGAACATGCATACGCAAGATCGTGACTACGACACTTGAGGTGAACATGACCGTGATCTTTACCCGGTCCAAAGAGCCATTCCAGGCACCACTCTAGCTGCTCGATGTCATGCTATTATGACTGCCCTGAATATACAAAAATGTTAGTAAAACGCTGAGTGTGGCACGAAACTATGTCGCTCAACCTCGGTTGCCCGAAGTCAAAGTATATGAAGTAAAGGCCACGTGCCTAGGCTAGAATTGTTGTCATCAAGAAACAAGAAATTGATGCCGTCCATTTACGACGATTTGAGAGTTGCTGGGGCTGGAAGCTGTATTACACATCTATATCTATAGCCGGACTCGTATCTACTAGAGGTCTTATGCCGCTGATAAGGGGTAACTGACAAGTTCTATGCGTCGATTGGGAGCCTTTCCAAAACACCTGAATGCCCACGACTAAAGTAGCCTACCCATCAGTGAGAATCATTATTCGGAGGATTTCAGACAGAGCAGTTCCAAATAAGACTGTCTGTCAAGTTTACCGACTTCGTCTTCTCATCCGGGCAAATCTCTCTGTCTAGGCCGCAATCCGTGGTCCCGCACCAGTCGTTGTCATTGCACAGCCACACGTTGTAGCTCCAGACATGCCGATTAAAGTCCTTCTTGCACCGGTTTACCTTGACTGTGTATGTGTTCTCAGGGCCGAATTTGTCCAGTGGTACATACGCCCAATTTTCGGTGTTCACAGCCCAGCCTATAGGTTGTCAGAGTTAGCCGCTATGTAGGGGCGAGTGGAGGGATCGAAAAGAGAACAAGACCAACTAACTACCGAAGGCTCCGCCATTGGAGTTACAGTGCTGCCGGACGCCGATCTTAGTGAGACCTGCTGTAGCGGCTGCGTTCTTCACGGCTGCGTCGATGTGAAAAGTATAGTAGGAATAGTCGTATTCAGCACTAACCGGCGCCTTGATACATTCTGCACCTGATGTTGGTGGTACGCGAGGCACGAGTCCCACTGCGCGTCCTTCGAGCTTTGCCATTGGACTGGCATCCACCGCAACGGAGTAAGCCAGAAGGAAAACGGCTGGTAGAAATTGAGAAGGATGCATGATTGAGAGTTTATTTGGGGCTTCGGCGCATAGATATCGATTTGCTTTGGAATATCGTTAGGAAGAGACCGAAAAGTGGCTGGGTAAAACCCGAATTATCCTAGAAATAGCAAGTTGCAAAATCATGTTTTAGTAACTGGCAAGAGATCATAAATAGTGTGAATCAGATATCCGATGATGCGGTTTAGGAGGAAATTACTCGGAGGAAGCCGAAAACTATGAATGTTTTTCTAACTAGTGGTCGCTTGGCGGCGAGGAGTTTGTTCAAAAAGTTCGCGCTGGGTGATTAAGGAGGTGGAATAAGGCAATGCACTAATGTTATTTTCCTTGTTATTTTGGGCTTAATATATTAATAACAGTTGTTTTCTTTCTGTTTTTAATGGAGTTGCCGATCTATGAGGCTGTGTCGAGTGGCCTCCGAGGTTCTATCCATGTAACCTGCCAATCAGGCGCAAGAAGGTTGGAAAAAATAAACTCTGGGCCGACGAGCCACTCTGATGCATTCACCAAATTTTTTTCCCATAACGGTTATTGGCAAGATTGTCATATTGATGAACAAGACTGACTGGTTTGACGGCTTGTGACCTGGTATTGGTACAGTTGGATAAGGCAAGTCTGGAGAACAAAAACAAACGTCCAAGGTTGCAGTCAGAAGGGATACCAAGGGCCAACAGACGGTCTATACTTAACTTCTCGTTCCGCCTGTCTCTCATTAGTAAAGATATCTTCTTTAAGGTCTTGATTATTGCCACTGGTTTCCAAAATGATGTAGTGGCAGTCTTTGTTGCTGTGGTCATACTCAACCACCCCATCTTATCCGTTCTCGATCCCAAATTACTTTGCCTCCCCAATTCTGTCACGTCGCGCAATACGAGTTGAATCTGTCTTTCAGGACACTGTTTGACAAGAAGGACGTTGATAGTAGTCGAATCTCGAATCCAAGTGTACGCGAGCTCTTAAGCTGTAACATCTAGACCTCGTAGTATACCTTCACTGCGCCAGCTTCGAAGGATAGACATGTAATCGGCAACCCCCTTTCCCCACAAGGCGCCCCTTGCATTCCGATGCAACAGGTCTTTTTTCTGCTTCGCAACCGCTTCTTGCTCTTCTGGTGTTATCATGTAGTTTGGTGTGCAGCCCGCCATTGCGGATAACTTCACCGCATGCAGTGCAACTGCCTTGGCCCAGTCCTCTTCAGCTTCGACGGTTGGCTCTATCACGACGTCGTACTTGCCATACTTCGAAAAATTCTGCTCTTCTTTCCGTGAATGGGTTCTGTTATGTATCTCTGCCGCAGCGTTGACGATGTATGCAAAGTGCTGGCCAAGTTGATCCCGTTGATATGTCCCATTTGGCGCGGCACCCATCTGGTTGGGACCAGGGAACAGAAAGTTGGGAAAGTCTTTGCTGATAAGGCCGTGAAGTGTGGCTTGACCCTGGGGCTGTGCCCATTTGGTGTCCATGTCGAGCCCATTGCGTCCATAAACCTTCATCCTGCTTCTTTCGGCAGGACTTCCAGACGTTGGTGGCCTGAAACCCGTGGCAAAGATGAGCACATCAATATCGTATTCGCAGCCGTCAACTGCCACACTACTATTGCTGATCCTTTCGATGCCTCTGGCACCGGTTGGAACAAGTGTGACGTTACTTTGGTTGAAGGCGTTGAGGTAGTCGTCGTTGAAGCAAGGTCGTTTGCACCACGAAGGATACCATGGTTTCAAAGCTTCAGCGGTGTCTCGATCTTGAATAATACTGTCGATCCTTGATCGACGAGATTCTTGCTGCGGTAAATCCAGGCCTTCCAAAATAGCAACATAACTGTCCACCTCTTCTCTTGATTTGCCGTCCAGATTGGTTGGATTCCCGATGAGCGCACTATACGATGACAGCTTGGTCCACTCGTCTTTGACCAGGTCGACTTGCGGCTTATTTGGGTCGTTGGCCAAGAAAGCGTTGAAGTTTTCCGCTCTGTCCGTCTGCCAGCCCGGGTGTGTAGCAATCTCAGTCTGCCAGAGGTCTGGATCGGTCGGCTTGTTGTTTCTGGGCCCAACAGCACTAGGCGTGCGTTGAAACACATACAGATGCTTTGCCCAGCGAGCAAGATATGGCACTGCCTGAACAGCCGTGGCGCCGGTACCCACGATGCCTACTCGTTTTTCCGCCAAGGAAGTAAGACCTGGTTCGGCCTCCGACCCTCCAGTGGCGCTGTAGTCCCAACGGCTGGTGTGGAAAGTTGATCCCTGGAACGAGTCGAGTCCTGGAATGTTCGGTAGTTTGGGATAGTGTCCAATGCCGTATGCGGTCAAGACAAACTTGGAGCGCACGTGGATAAATGTATCGTCTCTTTCGATATGCAATTTGGCCTTCCACTCGGAGCTGCTATTTTCCCAGACTAAAGTGTCGACTCGAGTGCCGAATTGGGCCTTGTCTTGAAAGCCAAAGTGTGCGGCAATGCGCTCAGCATGAGACCTTAGTTCTGGACCGAACGAGTATTTATGCTTCGGCATGTATTTTGTGTCCTCGAGAAGCGGCATATAGATGTAGCTTTCAACATCGCATTGGAGTCCGGGGTAACGATTCCAATACCAAGTGCCGCCAAATCCCATGGCCGTGTCGACAAGTCGGATGTCGTTTGGGGCCACGCCCGCCTTGATAAGGCTGGCTGCAAAAAGAATTCCTCCGTATCCTGCACCAACTATGAGAAAGACACAAGAATCTCCATCTTTCAACGCAATGTTTTTGGCGATGGTGCCAGCAGTGTGGACACGATCACCGTTGGACGTCTGTGGTGAGTGTCCAGGCCGGACCCAGGGATCAGCCTGAAATCGTCTAAACTTGTCCGAAGCAGCAAGGTCAACCACATACTGCTGCAGTCCTGCAGGGTGGTACCGCTTGTCTCGTTCCTCGTCGTACTTCTGTCGAATCGTGTGTAAGCCCATGTTGTGTATCGCAGTCTTGCCGGAGGCTATCAACGCAACAGAACTGCTCGAACATTTCTACGTGATAACATTAGAAAGATAACCACACGGACTTGTCTGAATAATCAGAAGTTATTTTTTGATGCCCACTTTTTTGCAAGTTGACGTCCATCAAAGCCTTGAGACGAATGATAGCCCTCGTGCATCACTCTCGTACACACTATGTTTACTAGTCATGTCGCACGGCTAGTTTTTGGGAGATGTTCCATATCTTGATCCAGAAACCCTCCGGTGTATCCATTAAGGAGAGCCCAGCTATAAGGCGACGTTCACGACTCATCCTTGATGACATCGCACAAATCATCAGTAAGCCCAAGACCGGGGCTTTTTGCAGCGAACCCGCACGAGTTGCTGTGAAAGCGCTCAACCACAGAAATAGATGAGTGTAACCGGGGGCGCCCATTCTTCTTGCCTGGATGCCCCACGCAATGTCAGCTTCTTGGCTGAACGATTCTGAATCGACCGTGTCTTGCAGCGCGTGGGGAAGCCAAGGATGTTCTGATACCAAGAAGGCAACCTGGGCAGACAGTTTGCCAGACCTCTATTGGGCCTTTCCCCAAAGGTTCTTCGTGAAGCTCCTCTACACGTGGACGCCCCGATCGACTATGGATGAGACCCTATTTATGGGAACTATAGACAAGATGAACCAAGATTAACAATGATCATCCTGAGCTTCTGGCATCTGAAACCGAGACACAGGAGCGCGGGGAATTCTTTGCTGATCTCCGGACCTGCGCGTAAATGGTCATTTCTACTCACAATGGTTCTCCTAGACGTGGATGTTAAATGAGACGCACAATGTCGCCGTCGGTCCACTAGCGGGCGAGTCCGGAGACCTGGTGTGGACATGTATTTGTTGCGTCGGTAATTTATCCTTTTCCTCCCATTCCCACCACTACATCAACGGTATGTCAACTAGTTCTCTGTCAATTGATCTCACACTAGTCATTACCTGCATATGATTGTACACACCATTTCTTTTTCTGACACTGTAGCAGCATTAACCGAACCAACCATGTCACCGACACTGTGGGCGGTTTTTGCTCTTTTTGTAGGTGCCGCTGGAAATGCCTCCGCGTGAGTCCGCTAGGATCTCGTCTGATTTTCTAACGATGATAGTTGTTCTATCGCATCTACCGAATCATACACAATCTTTACTTTCATCCTCTAGCTAAAGTTCCTGGACCGAAACTCTATGCCATCTCGTGGATACCGCGGTTGTGGCATCAGCAGATTCGTGGCACCCACTGGAAAAACCTTGTAGCACTACACGAGAAATATGGCTGCATCGTTCGGACAGGACCAGATGAGGTCTCTAACGCTTCGGCCAAAGCTTGGGAAGACATTTGTGGCAGCAAGACCTTTGTGCGAGACCTGAATTTCCTGCGGGTCACACAGCTCGATGAGCGGCACAGTTTTATCTCACCCGTCAAGACCGAACATAACGCTGTCCGGCGTCTGTTGCAGCCTGCCTTCACCGATCGCTCACTTCTTCGACACGAGAGGATTCTCGGGATATGGACTGAGAAACTGAGACTCAATATCCTGAAAGAACAAGGACGACCGGTTGACATAGCCCAAAAATTGGTATGGATGACCTTCGATACCATGGGTGTGTTGAGCTTCGGAGAATCGTTCGGATGTATCGAAACAAACCGTCAACATCCGTATCTCAAGGCCATCGAGATGGGCGCACCGTTCCTGTCATTACTACAAATCATCTTGCGGTACGAAGCCACAAGAGGGCTCTATGATTTGTTCCTCAAACTACCGTGGATGAGGTTCTGGAACAGCCTTCGAGCGACTGCAGAAGCTAAAGCGGCAAAATGGATTGAAAACGCGGACGATAGTAGAGGTGACGTCATGAGCGTCATATGGAAAGCTATGCAAGATCAAAACACTCCGATATCGCAAAGACAGGCGGACGACCTGGCGTCAATTCTCTGTTTGGCTGGAGCGGAATCAACTCCCGTCCTCATGTCCGGTATGATGTGGTGGATTCTGAGCACGCCACACGCGCATACGAAGCTCAGGGAGGAGATCCGGACTGCTATTCGAGAGTCGTCTGACATCACAGTGCCGAATGTCTCTAAGCTGCCGTATCTGGATGCTTGCATCATGGAGAGCTTGAGGCAGCACACGCCATTCTCAGTTGCGATTCCGCGCATCGTGCCGGAAGGTGGCGCCGTGGTTGACGGGTACTTCTTACCTGCGGGGACTGTGTGCGGTGTTCCGCATTGGGCCAGCGCACACTTAAAGTCTCACTTTACTGATCCTGATATGTTTGTTCCTGAACGTTGGCTGCCTAATCCCGATCCTCGGTACGCCAATGACAAGAGAGATTCATTCAAACCCTTCGCCAAAGGAAGTCTAGATTGCATAGGAAAGCGGTGAGTTGAGTACAACATGCGGGCCATAGCCTTTTGTTGCAATGAGTTTAATCTGCTAACGGATGATGCAATCTAGCCTGGTGTATCATGAGGTGCGCATGGTTATTGTTACACTTTTTTGGCACTTCGATATAGAGTTGTGCTCAGAATCCTACAATTGGGTTGCTGGCACAAATGCCACAGTAAGAATGATGAGAGAAAAGGGGGCCTTGTTCATCAAAGCAGCTCCTTCTACAAGGATTAGCAATGAGTTATGACATTGAACATTGTCACAATTTCAAACATAATCGTTAAATCGTGTGAAATTGTCATGTTAAACACTCTCGCAGACCTCAGCACGTTGTCACCACAATTTGATCCCAATTTTCCAATTTCTGTTTTGACAAGAAAAGCTAATAAGCATAACACACTATCTAAGCTAGTGCTAGGCCCATTCGCAAAGAGAAAAAAATAGAAAGAAACTGTGACTAACTTGGCAATCCCTGCGAGTGATCCATTGCAAGAGAAACAGCTGTGGGCGTGTCCTGTCCGGCCGAGAAACCCAGACAGACTTAGGCCCGTTTTGAACAACGCGAAACGGCTGAAATGATTAGTTGCCTGGTTGGGGCCGAACAGACATAGCTCCAGCCGACACGAAACGATAACCTAAGTTGCGCATTGACGAAGAGCAGGAGAGCTTTCGCAGCTGACAGGCCCCGAGACGAGTCATTACAGATGCGCCGTGATCAACAGTCTGCCAAGCACGATATTTTGATACGTCGCTGATTTCTGAGAGTAATGCAATAACGGTGTACTCCTACGGTGTCTTGGCTGTGGGATCGGCCTCATATGCCAGGATGACATCCAGGATCATCGGCGGCCGAATGTCTCGCGTCCAAGGACCCGACCGTACGGTCACATATCTGTACCCGACGGTATGGAGAATGTCAGCAACCATGCTTGACTATCGCCAATCGCCAAGAACTGACAGAACTCCCGGATAAGTCTAATGCTTGACTCAAGCCGCTCTTGAAACCCTACTTCAATCTTGGCATTCTGTACCGCCACGGGATGGCAGCTTACGCACCTGCTACTTTCCAAAGGTGGAGGCCCGACCGAACACCAAACAATGGAAAGTTACCGTCCGGTCGACCAAAAACAATGATTCATACATGCTGTAGGGATGAAAGGAGTTTTTTCTCGAAAGCAGGTGACGTGGGTACAGGCTTGGGCAACGAGACATTCGGACCTCAACTTATAACTTATATGTAGTGACCTGTGGATGAACCACGCCAACTAGAGTTTCGACTGCAAACCGAAGGGCGGCCATCGCACACTACAACAATTCATTTCCCATCCCATGCTGTTTCTTAGACCCTCTTAGTTCTATCCTGTCCCAAATCTCAAAATGCTGTCTGAAGAGGAGCTTTACCCGTATTCCATGCCCGTTGATCGGGACACTGTGGTGAGATCCGGAGCCCTGACAACACTGCCTGTTCGCATTCATCAACACGATGACCTGGCAAACGCCGGTGCGATTTGTCTTACAGGAGATTGGGGTCGCATCATGAAAGATGGACAAGACAAGAAGTCAAACGGTTCTCCATGTGTTGTAGGAAACTGGGGAAGCTTTATCTGGCCTGAAAGTATCCCGGACAGAATGGGGTTGTTATGCTATCTGTTGGATGTCGGCTGTTTCCACGATGGTATGTCCTCATGTTGTTTTTGCTCTAACTGATGCTGACATCCGTTAGACGCATGTGAAGAAATGACCATTGCAGCTGCTCATGCAGAACACCTTGACCTTGACGCCGCTATGGATGTTGAAGACAACAGGTCACTAAGCAACAACTCACGATCTGCAAAGACCAAAGAACTTGTATCGATGGCCATTCTCGAATGCGTCAAAGTCGATCGTGTGGGCGCTCTTAGGATGCTCGAAGCCTACCGCAAGAAATGGCTTGCTATCATGGAAACTTACAACACAGAAGAAATCGACAACCTCGATGATTACTTTTTTTCTCGCGCGAACAATGGCGGCATGGGGTAAGTTTGCAACTCAAACGTAGACATTGTATGTCTTTAGCCCAACACTGAAGGCTAATCATCGACAGGGCGTACTACGCTATGCTTGAGTTTTCTCTGGGAATAGTCGTTACAGACAAAGAATATGAGCTGATGGCTACACCCATCAAGCACGTCGAGCGCTGCATGCTTCTTACTAATGACTACTGGAGCTGGCCACGCGAACGAGAGCAGGCCAAGACGCAAGAGGCTGGCAAGGTCTTCAATACTGTTTGGTTCCTGATGAAACAGGAGCAGTGCTCAGAAGAAGAGGCGAAACTCAAAGTTGCTGATATGGTAGCTGCTGAAGAGGCCAGATGGGTTGATGCCAAGCAGCAAATTTACCAGGAGAACCCAAATCTGCGAACTGACCTGGTTAAGTTCTTGGAAAACCTGCACACAGCGCTTGCTGGAAACGATTACTGGAGTTCGCAATGTTATCGCCACAACGACTGGTCTAATGTACCAGAACAGCCATCAGAGAACCATCCCAAGGTTTACGAGCTCGCTTCTCTGGGCAAGGCTGTCATGCCCACAGAGCCCCAAGGTTCAGTCTTGTCGAACACGACTGAGACTCAGATGTCCGGCGCTGCTGCAGAATCCAACCTGGTACTTTCGACTGATGCAGCTTCTCTATTTTCATTCCTTGAAAAGGGTTCTCCGCAGGATGAACAAGTAGAAGTGGGTTCATCTGCCTCGGCTTCGGAGACCAATACACTGAGCAGCGCTGGAATGTCCACTACATTGCGGTCGATGTCTACATCTTCCGAATCGGCGTCGAGTGTGTCTTTCTCAGAGCAGTCAAAAGCGCGCAATTTCGACACGAACGTCATCTCAGCCCCCATCCAGTATGTTCAAAGCCTGCCTTCAAAAGGCTTCCGGGTGACCTTGATCGACTGCCTCAACAGATGGCTCGAAGTACCCCAGCAAGATATGGAGTGCATTAAAAAGGTCATCAACAGTCTTCATGATTCTTCACTGATCCTGGACGATATTGAAGATGGTGCGAAGCTCCGTCGTGGATTCCCTGCAACTCACGTCGTTTACGGCACTAGTCAGGCCATCAACAGCGCGACATTTCTGTATGTGCAAGCTGTGGAGACTGTCTATGAGCTGGAGGACAAGCAAATGATGAATGTCCTCTTAAGTCATTTGAAACAATTATTTCGTGGCCAATCACTGGACCTCTACTGGACTTTCAACAGGAGATGCCCGAGTGAGGAGGAGTACTTTGACATGATTAACCAGAAGACGGGCGCTCTCCTTTCCATGGTGTCGGACCTCATGGTCGCAGCCAGCCCAAGTTACAGAGCAGCAAACCCAAGTCAGCAACGTCTTTCTCAGCGGGCATTTTCCAACTTTTCTCGACTTTCCGGCTTGTACTATCAAGTTCGCGATGACTACATGAACATTATGTCTGCGGACTACGCCAGCAAGAAAGGGTATGCTGAGGACCTTGACGAGCAGAAGTTTTCTTACATGTTGGTCTATATGGCACAGCAAAGTCCGGAAATGATGGATCAGGTGGAAGGGATGTTCAAGGCAATGAAGAACGGCGATGGTGACGCGTTGGAGACGAAGAAGTTTATCGTTTCGCTATTGCACAAGTCTGGGTCCTTGGATGCGACCAGGAAGTTGCTTCTGGAGTGGCAGCAGGGTATTACCAAGGAGATCGAAACGCTCGAGAGAGAGTTCGGCACCCTAAACCCTACGTTGCGGTTGCTCATGGAGAGTCTCAGGATAGACACATAAGCTGCTGGCCATGGTTGGCCTTTTATGTCAAGCATGATAACTATCATGATGTCGGAGTATATCATTTCGGGATTCATAGGTGGTCAAATCGCATTCAGAGTCCCACAAGGGGTTTTTTGTTCTTCAATTCCCGATTTCTCGTTGTGAATTGCAGTCTAGCACCCATGTCAATCAATATACCACCCTGTATAATGCGCGACTTAACTCCCGCATTTGCCCGAGCAATCAGGGGCGGTAGCATTGTATGTCCCGTAACACTTGCAAACGACGACCTTAGACAAGAAGCAGCTGCCAGACACGGAGCCCCGGCTCGGATCAGTCACATTCCCATTCGTATAAGAAACGTCAAAGGCCCCGCCGAGCGTTCCGAATTTGCGATTGATGTTGAACACACCGTTCCCCTTGCGCAGGCCGTTGTTGCAATATTCGGCGGGGTCGTTTCGTTGCCAGTTGTCCCATTGACCGCAGTCCACTCCGTAGTATTGGTTCACTGTAATGAAATGGAGAATTGTTAAGAGTGAAGTTTCTCGTGGCGCAGCAAAGCGCTTGCGAGGATGTCTACTTGCTGGCATTATCAACCAAGATCCATGGGTCTACATGATCATCAAAGCAAAAAATAAGATGATACTGCACTCGCTGACATTTGCAGAAATCGCCTCCGCAACTGCGCTTGTCCAGTTCATAAGGAAACTAGAGGGACAAGGAGATGCTGGCCAAAATCGGCGTGACCATAAGGAGACCACTAAGAAAGGTGGGGATGAAGGAACGCATACTGGCTAATAAAAGCTTGTTAATTTGAGACTGTCAATAAAACGAGTGTGACGATGAAATGAATGTTACAGGCGATCGCCTAGAGCTAGAGTTGTCTGGTTGATGTTCTAGATCGTCTTAGTGACGGGGCAGTGGGAATTACTTATAGAATTGATGTCAATCCCTTCAACCTAACGAAGAAACTCTAGGTTCAGACTAGGCCTCGGTGAAATCCGAAGTTCGGCGATGGCCTCTTGTCTGCTTTGCTAAAAAGTCGCCCCTGACGATCTTTCTATAATACATGCATGTTGTCTTAACTGCTATCCAGTCAGCCATTTAGCCTGTGCCACTAGTTTCCTACGCCGGCAAATCCCAGTCATGGTTCGTGGCGCCACGCCCTGTTCCCTGTAAAACGGCCAGGCCAGCCTTAAGCTCCAAAGAATAAAAAAGTAAAAAAATGAAAAGATGCGACTTTCTCGTATCCTACTATACACGGAGATCGCGATGTAGCCTGAGCCTGATTAGATTGAGCCCAGTCCTTAATGGTCTTTCTCCTGCTGCACAGCCAGGAGGTTGAAACCTCGACTTGCAGAGCCCAGGCTGCAGTGGCCTTGTAGCAACCGAGAAACGGCTCCAAGACAGATATCTTCAGTCCGCGGGCGGGCAGGCTGTCATGCATCATCCCAGTCATGGTCGTCATGACGTGTGCTTATTCCAAAAAGCTAACTAAATTGCAGGGCAAGTTTTCAAAGTCCGCTTGCCGCGAATAGCGGAAGTGAGCGTCCCTTTACTGCACAGAGCCAGAAGCATGTGTCGCACTCATCTCCAGTGTGCGGAATAACCTGGGGAAGGGCACCCAATGCCTGAAAGGACATGACGGGTAGGGCTGCTAGGCTAATGAACGAAGGTCGATCGGCTTGTTGATATAACTAATTGGTTGCGGCTAGGTGCTGAAGGAACATCGTCAGTGTGCGGGTAGTCTTGGAATCCTGTGGACCGTGCATATCCTTCAGCATTCAGACGCTCCACATGAGCATCCCCTATCGGAACTCTTCCACACAGGTACCTGAGCAGAAGAACCGGTTCTCATACGCATACTTCGGCGTGATCATACCTTGGTATGTTTCGTCATTTGCTCTTTTGAACTCCCGGAATACTCTTGAAACACCTGAAGGAAACATGACTCCTGTGAAGACAGTAAGCTCTTCATCCAGTCATCCCTAACACTGGCCTTCCTGGTCTGGTAGATCACCTGCAATGGACATAGGAGGAGATCGGAACTAGTGTCTGCTTTGCCTTGATGAAGCAGTAGGACGAAGTCACTGGGCACAAGCTCATTGTAGAGAAAGTCACTTATATCGAGGTCGAGAACATTGACAGCTAACAAACAACATAAGCAGTAGAGACGTCCCAAACCAAGAGTCCAGACTATTAAAAAGACCAGACCCCAGCACTCGTGGTCTACTGTGACCACTTCCCAGACCCTTCTTTCTAGAATAGCCCCTATCTGGAGCTGCCTGACTTGCACGTGTTCGCTTGTGCTTCAGATCCAAAGTGGTTCGGCATGGACCTAGGACCAGCCGGGAAGGGGGAAGGGGGTTTCGACCGGGGCTGGCTCCGGGCTGGAAGGCGGGAGACCAATTGAGTAGATCTGCTCCGCCTCCGCGCTCGAGACCTCCTCGTACTTCTGTAGCGCCGCTACGTCATGGGTACTGGTCTCGACAACCAGAATGTTGAAAAAGGGGAACGCGGAGACGATGGTGATGCCATTCTCCACGAGTTTGGCACTGAAGTTGTCGATATCGGCGCTCTGTGGATACACATAGTTAGCACTGGCCTCAAAATGAAGAGTAGTGGGGATTAGGGCCAGTTGGGGAAGCTCACAGGGTTCAAGACGAGGATGTATTTGGCAGCGAGGGCGCTAGCAACGAAAGAAAGAACGGCGAAAAGGTTGGTGAAGCGCATTGTTACGGTGTTTTAAATCCGAGTAAGCCGATGAGTGGCTTTGGTTGATACTCAAAATGGTTTGAGGCGGTCTAACTATGAGGTTGATGTTGTGATGTGTTGTTAGATGTTGACTAGACATCGTGACCGCATACACCTTTTTATACAAGATCCCTCCTCCGCGTGAGAGTTCATGAGCCTTAAGACGTCAGGGTTGCCAGTTATTGCACCATTCAGATGATCGCCAGACATCATCATGGCGAGGAAAGAATGTAGGGCGGTCCATCACAGTCTGCCAAGATCTCTCTTCTAAGACATCGCCAACCCAGATAAAATGTAAGCACAGTCAGAATTCCCGCAAGCAAGCCAGACTCCTTCTATCCGGATTAATCCCCAACCGGATAGGAAGACTTGCCTTTGCCAGTAGATGGAACCCATAGTCCCTCTTCCCCATGGTCTTGGCTTCGCGCATACGGGAGATCGGCGGCGGCGGTGCCCCGTTGCGGCCAATCCCAAGACCTCTCCCTCCCGCGTCTCAGACTTGCCAGCCGTAACCGGCGACATCGCATACCGCAAAGAGGTTGAACTGTGAATCGTTTTCGATTTTTACCAAACGAAACCGCTATAAACAGGGCCAACCCCCTTCCTTGGCACTCCCAAAATAGTCACAATTGCGTGACATGCGATTGCGTCAACGGGCTCTAGTCGCCGCCCGTCGGCTCGGCACGTCAAGCCACCATCGCCGCCGCGCACCGGCTTCCAACATCATCGCCGAACCGCCAACACTTCGGGCCGTGCGACCGAGACATGCTTCCATGTCTCAAGAGAAGCGTACTTCGCTTCCAGTCTTCGCGCTTTCCTTGACGGCTTCGATGATACGCAGAACATCGCGCGCCTCGCTCGCCGGCACGGGAACGTCCTCATCCCTTCCAGTCTCTACAGCCTTGGCGAACCCCTCGAAGAGCTTGAGGTACGTCTTGGGTTCGGCCGTCAGCTTCGTGCGCTCCTCAACTTTGCCGCCCTCCTTGACGAGCAGCAGCCTGCCGCCGTTGATGGGGTCCTCGACGCCGAAACCGGGCTCGTTGGGCTTCTTGCCGGCCTTGAGATGGTCCTCCTGCGGGTCGAGCGCCGTCTTGTGGAACGACGCCTTGGTGCCGCGCACCCAGAACCGTGGCTGGTGCGACTCGACGCTCATGACACCGATGCGCACGCTGACGATGAGGCCGTCCTTGTACGCCAGCTGCGCGTTCACGCTGTCTGGGTCCTCCGGGTCGAACTTGCCACTGCGCTGGCTGACTAGCTTGCCGTAGACCGACTCCGGCATGCCGAAGAGGTGGTAGGCCTGGTCAATGAGGTGTGAGCCGAGGTCATAGAGCGCGCCACCGCCCTCGGCCATGCCCAGCTCTCCCTTCCACGAGGTGGGGCGCTCGGGACGGTAGCGGTCGAAGTGGGTGTCGAATTCGTAGACGCGGCCGAAGACGCCGTCAGCGATCATCTTCTTAACTGTGAGGAAGTCGCTATCCCAACGGCGGTTCTGGTAGACGCAGATGAGGCGCTTGTTCTCCTTGGCGATCTGGATGAGCTCCTCGGCCTCGGCGACGGTAGGCACAAAGGGCTTCTCAACCAACACATGCTTGCCGGCCTGGAGGGCCTGCTTGGCGAAGCTGAAGTGGGTGTTGGGCGGCGTGAGGATATTGACGACGTTGACCTCGGGATCCTGAAGCATGGGCTCCAGTGAGGTGTGGTGCTTCAGCTCCGGGTAGTCATTTGGTGCGGATGACGAGGCCGTTGGCTTCCGCTGGACGATGCTGTGCAGCTTGAACTGAGGCGTCAGGCTGATGAAGGGAATGTGGAAGACCTTGGCGGACAGGCTGTGAGCAAATGTCAGCACATGGTATCACTCGGTGAGTCGCGCCGCGGCGAGGCTATTCCGGAAGCATGCAAGGGGGTTGCTTCGGAGCAAGGATGTCCGATCACCACCCACGGGGTTGCCCTCGACTCACCCATATCCAATGATTCCAACGTTGTAGGTCTTGTCTGCCATCTTGCTCGATCTTTTAGGGATAAATTGCGAGAAAATGTAGAATTATTTTCATAACACACGCTTCACAAGAGCAGCGACCTCACAGCTTTATAGAGAGCTGTCAAGAGTCGCGTCACTTGGGTTAGCATGAAGCGCGATGAGGGGCAATCGTGGAGGGACTGGAGCTCTGGTGGAGTGACGGGCGAAGATTACCCCATTGCGTCACTAGGGACAAACTCGGCGTTTTTCCCAATGGACAGCGGAGAAAATCGCCCCATTTTCTGCCCGTCCGTCGCCTCATAGACCCGGGCGCTAGCGCCGATTGTGACACGCTGGGATCACGGCGCTGAAGAACTGTTAGAATTGCCTAAATAGGTCACCTCAGGTTGATTCAGTGAAGCGCTTGGACTCACCGAGGGAAGAACGAAAAACAAGAGTAAAACTGTGTACTCCGACGACAGCGTTATCTTCACAGCGATAAGACTGCAGCTAAAAACACAAAAGAGGACTCGAAGTTACACCCCGTCACTTTTCAGCCTTTGCAATGATCAACTCCTCTCTCATCTCCACGTAACTCAATGTAGTTCATTGCGACTGCCATGCTTCAGTATTGTGAAGGGGTTACACAAAGAAAAAAGAGAAGGAATCTGTGTTCCTCAAGTTTTACTGCTCTCCATCTAACCAAAGAAAACATAAGAAACAGCTGGGCATTATCAAACCGGGTTTACTATGAAGGGCAGGAACTTGTTTCCCGTCAAGTAAATGCCATGTGGCTGCTCCCGCAACGATACGAAATCCTCAATGTAGAAATACATACGACAAGCAGCGTACAGGCCACAGATGATGGTAGTCGGAGCAATCACTTTCAATGGGACCGCCATGCCCGGATCCTGGTCCGGTGAAATATTTCTCCAGGAGCGAAAGGTATTCATCCATCCGCTGATGAAATCCCGTGGCCTCTTCTCCGATCCCCTGTTCTCGCCGCGTAACTGCTGAGCCTCGGGGTCGATCAGTTCGATGGTTGTGCTCGGCAGTTCTTCCTGTCCAGATCGTCTAACAGCTTTCCATGCCTCGACGCTGTAGTACCCAGCGCCGTATAACGAGAAGGCCATGTGGTACACACTAAAGATTCTCCAGGTGAGCTGTTCGGCGTGGGAAGGAAAGTAGAAGTTCCATCCGAACATAAAGGATGCGCTAAAGCCCATGATCAAGAAAAGGCTCAAAGGCAGAGTGGTGGAGCCGATGGGAAACCACATGTCTGACGGAAATCGGTCCCACAAGTCCTGCTTGATGGGCCGTCCGTATGGGTGGAGATGGAAAATGTCGCCGATTCGCTTGTAGTAGCACCAGTGGGTGTCAATCCGAAACTCCCGCCGACTTATAAAGTCTAATGGAGTGCGGTACCATTTGTCAGAAAGATTGAGATGCGTCTGGAGGGTAGGGAATTGTTAGCTGGCTGAACAGCATGCAGGTGCCACGGTTTGAAGCTTACTCTTTCTCTGGCAAAACTCCGAATCGATTCTGCAGTGAATTGTTGCTCGTTATGGAACTTGGTCTCAATAAACCGAGGATACGCTATTGAAGGCTTCAAATACCAACAGATGGATGTTGCAAACATTGCGAATGTGAACGACAGGGCGGTGAGCTCCAAAGGTGTCATTGGAAGACCATTTCTGAGGCGATCCATCTCTGTGATGAAAAACCAGAGGGCTTGCCACACTGTTATCATTCTGTTTCCACAACTTGTTAGCTCCCTTCAACGATGTGCCCAAGTCACACAGTTTGAATACCTTGAAAGAGTATCCACAGTGTTGCGTTCTGAAATATCCATTGAATCCATATCAGGGAATTCGACAAAATCATGTTTAACAATATAGTGCAGTTGCTCGGCGTTGATCGGGAAGCCGTCTGGATAATCGGGGGTCTTCAGATGGATTCCTCCCATATCGACGAATAGGGCATCCGTGTACGTCCACTTCCGACCGTTGGTTAGGCGCAAGTCGTGTTTGAATTGCTGTCGTCACTTCAATCAGCGATGCGGAACCACAACAAAGTGAAAAGAGAAAGCACCGAGCCGCCGCGCATTCGATAACTTACTTTTACGCTTCTGCCAGCATTGGCAAGTTGTCCCACAGCGATACCGAAAAGAAAGTCGGGACCAAGAAGACCTATCATGGCCAGGTTGAACTTGTCAATGACACCATGGTACCACTTGTCCTTAGGCGCCAGCGCGTTCGGATGAGTCGATACCCAAATGCAGAGTACGATGGTCAGAAGGCTTGACCACAGAATATCGGGGGTACCGCGATCATTGCCACCCCAAACCCATCCTTGAACGGGGCTGTGTATGTTGGTGTTATTGCCCGTGGCTGAGGTGCTTGGCAGGCTAATGTTCTGTTGGTCTGCCATTCGGCGCCGCGCAAGTCGCGAACAGGCTACACGTTTTCCAGTTGTCGATCTATGATTCGGTGATAGCTCCGGGCTGTGTTCGAGGCTTGCGAGGGTTGTGACGATAACTAGTGCGCGTATATTGACGCCAGCTCTCAGAGCAAAAGAACGCACAACTGGCTCTGTAATTCAAGTTGGAGGGCAGCAAAGACTATGTAAGGGAAACCGGCGAACAGCAAGGCAGGCTTGACGCGGGTTTCGCTGCCAACTCGGGCATCTTTCGCCATCAGGCTGCACACCATCATTTGCCAACATCCTTGTATCTACTGTGCATTTGCCCTTGAAAACAGCAGGTCAACCTGCAACAGACACCTGATGCCTTGGAGTTGGGGGCCATTGCGACGTACGTGAGTGCAAATCCCGGGCGCTTCCAGTGTTGATTCTGCTGTTGGTTTGTTCCAAGAAAGGGGGGGGGGGGGTTCAAAAGCTGATACATCGTAACCAACATGGGGGTTGAGCCCGCGTGCAATTGCGCGGGTATGCAGCTGTGTTCCCGCGAAGCCAGGGGCGGGCCAGGGGTACTGATATGGTCGAGCTTCAAATCATCGCTCGGTGGACATGGTTGTCTGCATCCCACTGGGGCTTCTCAAGCCAATGACACAACGTCGTGAAGTGTAGGGTTGCTCTCGAGTTCTCGGCATTGGCTGGGGTGTCTCTCCGTGAGCGAATTGGAAGACAGGTGGCGTGGCCCCAGGTAGCGGATAGCCGCCCAGCCCAGCCCCTCCAAGCTCTTCCACAACCTGGCCACACCTTTTCAATATCTTCTCTTCCGCTTCCCTCGTCACAAGGCCGCATCTCGGCTCTCTTTTTTTATCTTGCATTCTTCCAGCTGGTTTTGGGGGTTCATCGCGCTTCTGGCTTCTGACCAAACGATCAAAACCTGACTTTCGAAGAGCGGGAAACAGACCCACCCCCGCATTCACCATGGCCTCAAGCACAACGGCCACCGAGACGGAACCTCTCATCAACCCAAATCCGACTCTGCAGTCTTACTATGCATCACTCGAGTCACGAATTGGGTATCGCTTGGTCCTTGGAGGGACTAGGCACTTCGGTTACTGGGAGCGCGACACGTATTGGCCTTTCCCAGTCAGCCGTAGTCTCCGGCGCATGGAGGACAAGATGGCTGAAGTTCTTGACCTTCCAAAGGGGGCAACGGTCTTGGACGCTGGCTGTGGAAATGGACATGTCGCGCGGCATCTCGCTGGAAAGCATGGTCTGAAAATTGAGGCTTTCGATGTCGTCGAGCGCCATGTGCAGAGGGCTCGTAAATCAATCAAAGACGCGGGTCTCGAAGCTTCTGTTACGGTCAATCGACGAGACTACCACCACCTCGAGTCACTTGCAGATCAGTCTTTTGACGGTATCTATACCATGGAGACATTGGTACACGCTACCGATCCGGAATCCGTTCTTGCCGGTTTCTACCGGTTACTCAAGCCAGGCGGTCACATTTCCAACTTTGAGTACGACCATCACTTCACTGACGGCTCCCCATCAGACATGGTCGACAACATGCGCAAAATCAACGAGTGGGCTGCGATGCCCACCAACGACCGTTCTAACCCTGGCGTATTTAAGCAGCTATTGGAAGAAGCGGGCTTCGTCGATGTGCAAGTCCGAGACTTCTCGGAGAACATTCGCCCATTGTGCCGCCTCTTTTTCCTCCTTGGGATTGTCCCCTACTTGTTCATCAAGTTTTTTGGCCTGGAAAAACACTTCATCAATACTGTAGCTGGCGTTGAGACCTACCGCGGCAAGGGTCGTTGGCGGTATGTTGCCATTTCGGCTAGGAAACCGGGTGGTACCATCGAGGCTCCAAAATCTCGATAAGGGTCGGTATAAATTGATGTTCAAAGCCGTCAGAGTGACTGCAGCGTCAGCTACACTCTTGAACTATCCTTGGACATAGGCCGCTAGTGTAGATGACGAACCATGCTCATATGCGCTAGCTACCTTGTTTGAAAAGCGCAACGAGAAATCACTATAATAGAGATGATGGATCCTTCCGTACCAAGACTTTCCACTTCACGGACAAATGAATGATATATCTTAGGCATTTCGTTTGTTGAGCATGTGTTTACGGTATCACTGTGAAGTCATGAGTTCCATCTCAACCCGAGCAGTGATCCGAACAAGTCCTTGGGAAAGGTGGAGTGGTCATCCTCATTTGCGACCCAGTAGTGGACGACTAGTCACGTGTTGAGATTTCAATAAAAAGCATGCAACGCATCATCTACTCGATTTATTTGTAAGGGTTGTTGATGGAATGTGAGATACGTGCCAGGAGAATGTTCGTAATCAAAATTCATTGGTATTAGCCGGACTATGCTGTCTCCACTTACCGTCGACTTTTGAGCAGTGGAACGGCCTACTTCAAAATATAGAGTCCGTATAGTGATGAGGCTAAAAAGTGTATCTCAGTGATTAAAACCGCAAACCCCTAGATGCTAAAGCCTAACCCTTTACTCAACAGCATCCTTACAAGGCGTCTTGCGTATGGGCTCAGATTACGGTGCTCGATGAAGCTGATATAGTCCAAAGGTCGCGAGGTTTATTGACCTCCCGCATTCATGTATGAACTGCATGGCGGTGGTTCCCTTAGTTCAACCTCATATCCCAGAAAGTGTCAACGGTCACTTTTGCCCTTAGCAAACCTTGTTAGTGTTCAGCCATAGTTACTTTTGTAACCAAGAATACTATGAAAATGATGCATATTCGACAATTGGATCATGAACCCTAGGTGCATTGAGGGAACTACATCCCTGAGGATAGTCGTTAGCGGGAGGGACCAGTTTGTTTCAAGCCATGCAGGTGAAATCACCAAGATCATTGCACTTAGCGATGCGACACGTAAGTTACCATGATTTCGGTGGACTGTCAATTTGAATACATGTAACTACTTGTCTTCACCATCTTATCCGACACATCGAGGTTGGTTTCATCGCCGGCGAAACCAATCTCCGAACTGTCACAAGCTGGATGAGAGGAGCTTCGACTCTGCGGATCCGAATGTCTTCTCGGCAAGCTTATTATCAAAACTGATGGGGCCGCTCCTTTGCGTTTATTTCTCTGTTATTCCGTGCATATTTCTTAGTGGCTGCACGCATGTCGTATCGTGGGGGTTAAAGCGAATCACATCTAGAGCTTGATCTCACGATGTGGGCGACTTGCGCCAAGCGAGGCTCTTCCCTGACTATCCGCGGGTATAAAAAACAACACACTGCCTCCGGTAGACACTTGGAAGAAAATGATCGGGGGCCACTCGGAGCGAACCCCGCAATGAGAAGTCATAGGTTCCGCTTTGGCTTGCAAGAGGGCCTTGCGTCCACATCAAATCCAAAACGAAACAGACCCCTCATCCAAACTTTGAGGACCACACAGTATTCGCCACTTTCGGCCGGATAGTCTCTCATGAAATCTCAATCTTGTTCGAGCCGATGATATTGCGAAGAGAGTGTCTTCCCTCAACATTTGTTGGCAACAAGCGGCACAGCCTGAGCTCCACTGTGTCATGGGCAACTTCCGATGAGCTGAATGATACTGAGATAAACTCACAGCACGGCACGACCGAAGCAGGGAACACAACGTTAGGCATTTTTTATACAATGATTCCGTATGTGGGTACCTAGACCTATCCCCTTGGGGTGTTGGTCAGATGTATGATCCAGGGGTACATGCTCGAGACTACTCAGAATCACGAGAAAAGAAACAAGCCGCCGTTACTTTTTTCAAGATGCTTCAGTCATCGGATAACCTTAGAAAGTTTATAGCACGTCGCATATTCCCCTGATGAAATTGCGATTGGACGGGACCTCTTCGACACAGACATTGGCAGAGGAAAGTAACGGAATACAGTCCGTTCTTAACAGCCAACGACTGCAGTGCAAGGCAGTCGGCACACATATCATCCGAAAGCGACAGGCAGATAGGCATAACTGTTTAGCTGTGTAACATTAGCTAGCCTCACATAAATATTGCGTCTAGACTTTGCTCTTTGGAGCTTTTTGTGTAAAACAATCAGACGAGATCTCCGATGATGGCTGTAGGTATAGTTTTGGATTGACACAATCCCGGTTTAACTATCCCTCGCGCTGTTCGAGTCGCAACTTTTAAGTCAATGGTAGATGAAGAGGTTTATTGCGTTGCTATATCAGAAGGAGTCCGGGCTTCCAGAGATTCATGTTTTTTATATGATATCCGCGTGGTGGCAATATATAGAGGTGCGCTTAGTACAATAGAAGATTTCCAGTGTCCATAAGGTTGGTAACTTTTGTGAACTTTCTGATATGATCGGCTCTATCTGCAAATCCCGCCTGAACCATCCGCCTCAAATATTAACGTTCGTGCAGTAGAGTCGGTACATTACCCCAGTACGATCAGTATCAGTATGGGACCCCTCCTGACAGGCATGAAAACCGCCTTGGTCATTTGGCCTCCACATCTCCGGGGAGATAAATGGGTTTGTCGAGCACCGTATTTCTAAACCACACCATTTCGTCGCACAGTAATGCGGCTGAAGTCCCAAGCGGCGTCTCGGGCAGCGTCCAGATGTTTCCCATCAAGAAGTTGCAAGGACACAAGCGGCTAGATTACCGATAAAACCAAAAATATCAGGATCACTGTGGGAGCCAGGCAGAGTCCAACCGTTCATGGTGTCTCAGACGAGGCGGAATCAAATGTTTGACCGGCGGGAAGGCGCACGTCCGCCCTCAACCCATACTAGTATCGTGTCGTGCTCGGACAGTTGTAGATTAAGAAAGCAGCCATCACGAGAACCAATCATGGCTTTTGACTCATTGACTCCTTGCAAAAACCCAAGTTTCCGTCTTTACTTTGGACATTAAAACTACTAATAGACAGGAGGCAGAGCGCCTGAGTCATCCCGGTCCGCCGCATTCCGAGCCCACGAGAGTCCGTCCCGTCAAGACATACTTTTGCCTGGAACGATTTGGAACGGGGATGGAACATGCAACACTCTTCTAATCCAAGACGGGCTAACGCATGTCCAGACTGCGCACTGCCCAGCCTGAACCCTAATCCCTAAATCCAATCGCTGATCAGCTATTTACCATAGCGCACAACTTTACTGGCAGGCCGCGGGGGCCCAACGACAGGAGCGGACTGGCAGAAAAATAGAGACTCATCCTTACTCCATTGGCTGAGTCGTTTCTACCGATCTTGACTCGGAATGTTTCCTCCATTTGGCGGGAATAACGGATCTTGGCGTTTGGAAATCGTCAGCTGCTCCTTGTACTATTTGCCGCTTAAAGGTTGATGGGAAAGCTGGGTCGTATTCTCTTAAACTACAGACGGTCCCTTTCCTTTTGACTTCGAGCCTTGGCCTCCTCTAATACATGAGTCTTCTACTCTTCGAGACCCTGGATAACTTCGACATAAATTCACAAAACATCACACATCACGTCGGTCCCCCATGACATTGTCACAAAGCCACGCAGGTTCGCCAATTATTTTTGTATAGCGGAGATGAATGAGTCGCCAAATCATTACGATTCGGATAATTCGCCGTACTCGATCCGTCCACTGCCACCAGTGCTTCGCAATGGCCTCGCCGCGGTGGCGACAATGGGGTTTATCTCCTTCTTCACCAGCCTTGGTTTGTTGATTTTTCTTACATACAAACTGATATCATGGCACAACGGACCTCCAACGACGAAAAAAGAAGAACCAATTATCAAAGTCGAATCGCCAAGGCCAACAGGCGCAGAATTCATCATTCCGAGCAACTGGACTGCTGCTACAGAAGCCGAAGCCGAGAAAGCCGCAAAAGATAATTGGTGGAGAAGAGCGATAAACGAGCCGCCGAACCAGTTTCTTGTTTTGATATTCAATTTGCTGCTTGCCGACATTCAACAGGCGTTGGCGTTTTTACTCAACGTCGAATGGCTCACGAGAAATGCGATCGAGGTCGGCACAAGCACTTGTTGGACTCAGGGCTGGTTTGTGTCAACTGGCGACCTAGCATCGTCCGTCTTTATCACAGGTATCGCAATCCATACCTACATATCGATCGTTTCGGCCAAGAAAATACCGACCTGGGTGTTTCACACGGCAATTGTCATGATGTGGGCGTTCGTCTACGGAACTGGAATCCTCGGTGTCATTGTTACGGAAAATGGAAAGAGTGAAGGTGGTCTGTACGTCAGAGCCGGTGCATGGGTGAGTTTTGATGCTGCGCAAGTCAACGTCTGATGTGCTAATAATGTCACAGTGCTGGATCAACTCCAAATACCAGGATATCCGCCTGAATCTTCATTATCTCTGGATCTTCATCTCATTGGTCGTCACAACCATGATTTATCTTGCAGTGTTTTTGCATCTGCAGTCGCTCGCGAAAACTTGTGGCGGTGTTGTCCCTTGCTGCGGCAACACTGGGCCTGCAATCAGTTCATCGAGCTGTAGGGGAGTAACTTCAACAAATTGCGGCGCAACAAGCTCGGCACGAACGATAGGAAGCAGCTGTGGCAGCCAGAAGTGGCGAACGTGGCGCCCCCTTTGCTTCACGACGATTTTGAGACGGCTACCAGGCATACCAGATTACGCCCGCCAACACACCTTTCTCTTGTATCCGTTGGTCTATGTTATCTGCACCATACCTTTGGCGGCGGGTCGTCTCGCATCCATGGCTGGACACGAAGTCTCTTTAGCGTACTTCTGTTTTGCAGGGGCTATGATCACTTGCAATGGCTGGATGGATGTTATTCTCTACTCTTCGACACGGAGGTCCATTGTCTTTTCCTCTGAAGGACCACCCACGCAAGACGTCGGCTTAGAGACGTTTACATTCATGTGCAGCACACCTCCGAAGTTTGGCAACACTACCGTCGTGGTGGGTGGAGTAAGCCCAGACAAGAAAAAAAATAGTTGCAGCAAATGGTGCGACAAGCTAGCACGAAAGGGGCCGAAATCAGGCGGCCTTAAAGGACTAAAGATCGAGTGCAGTGAGAGTACTGAGAGTACTGATAGCATGAGGGGATTCGGCGTTGGAGGGGGCTCTATTATGGGCATGGCTATCCAATGTGAGACAACTACGACTGTTTCTGTGGAGGTCAACACACTAGCGCCACCATCAAGACCGAAGCTCGTCGCTGTGGGTAGAAAGATGAGCGAAGCTAGCAGTTTCAGCATCGATTCCACACGATCATCAAAGTCAGGTTTTATCAAGGAATAAGAATTCCTGTTTCTTTGGTGGCACGAAATGGGGTGTTTAGGTTACGATCAACACTTTAGATGTCTATGTATTGACGGCAGAGCAGGCTTCAGTAGCCTAGCCTGACAGCAGCTCATCAGAGCTATGATATACCCCGATATGATATTTGGTTGTACAAACCAATGAACTGTAAGCATACAAATAACACAATCAATAATATGAACATTCTCCAAGCTCTCGATGCAAATGCTATCTGCCGTATTACGCAGACTGCAACCAGTACAGCGGGTGGAATTAGCTGATCAGGCCGAAGAATTTGTTCAAAGTCCTCTATTGACCAATTAGATGAGCACTCGGTGCTATTTCTTTCTCCAGGCGAGCCAAGAGTAGCAGAATCTCAAAGCTTGATTCCCAGTCTGGATAAGACGGCGGGAATATGTTACTATGCCTGGTGTCCGTGGTAAATCACTCCACCTGTTGATTCGGTTTTCTACCCCATGAATCCACCTCCCCGTGGACAGCTCGGGAAACTTACCCGAACGCGTGTGGGACAGCTGGCTAGGGTCAGGTGGAAGACTTTTGTCAGTAGCGGTTGACAGCTGGAATCCAAAACTGTCGATGTTTGAGAAGAAAAGAAGGACAACTATCTCCGAAGGTGATGACGTCAACGCCTGTAAATACACTTTTAATTTGGTTTCGTGACAGCAGTGCTTCGATCTGGTCTCGTTCTCGTTGAGTCGAATACGGTGCAGTAAATAACCAATCCGAGACTTCATTGAGATGGCAGTCAAGTGCGTCCATAGCTTTGCTCACTGACGCAAAGTGACATTGGGATTAGGCAGAAATATTATCGTGGTAATTATCTGTGAAATGATCTAAGTTTCACTCATGTGTTCCGCTACCGACCCAAGCATGTGCAACCATTTACGCTTCTCAAAAGCTGTCCAATTTGTAAGTTAGATCTTGTTCTCCGGAAAGCTGCAGCGAAAAGGAGAAACGCTGTTTTTCGGCCCATATGAGAGAGTTGTAGATCTAAGTGTTCAAGATCTGAGTCTGTGCCACCAACTGAAGCCTCACTTGGGCATTTTGAGACGATGGGTGGTCTGCGTTTCATGATACAACTGCCAGATAACACGTTCATCTGCTGCTGAGTCTGAAGAGATTCTCGGTCCGAACGATGTACGTGGGTGGCATTCGGACCTGGACTTGACAAGTTGTCAAACATTGGTCTTGGTTGAACGTCTTGGCATCAAGGGAGCTTTGGATGATGCTTTCGGGTGGTTTCTCTAGTCATGTTGGATATTAGGCAAGAAATATGCTTTCTTGGCGCTCCTAGCGTCAAAGTTGACCAGACAATCCTGAATCGAATTACGCATATTGAAAAACTTTAGGTATGGAATCGCTCACTACGAACAAAGTAAAGAGAAGTTGAGCTTCCCAGCGGAAATTACACCGCGAGCCAGACAGCAGCATCCCTGTTTGATTGAGGCCTTGAAAATGAAAGTAAATTCCGGATGAAAAGTGGCATCAAAAGGTAAGGGAAAGTCGCTCGTAAAAGTCTGGCTAGGTTATGGTCATCGTTAATGTGCCCTCCGTTTACATGTAAGTCAGTCAAGCGAGATTCAACGTTTTTAAACTATTGTTTCTCTCGCGTCTCTACAGAAATACCACCCTCTTTTTCATGAAGCATCTCGTCCGCCACTGCGTTAACTCTCCCGATTTGGGCATCCTTTCCGTCAAAGAGCAAAGCAATCTGTTCCAAGCTAGGGCCTTTGGTCTGCAACGAATCAGCGATGAATCTACGTCATAACACTCTGGGGCTTACCTCTGGAAACACAAGATACACGACAACGAATTGGACGATGATCCAGCCGACATAGAAGAAGTAATATTTCCAAGACATGGCAGCGATGCCGAGCGGGTTGACGTAAGTGTTGAAGGCGCCACAAATACCCGCGACAAGTGAGAACATGGCCATACCTTTGGCGCGGATAGTGTAAGGAAGGATCTCGACGACTATCAGAATGTCAGTGCCTCAACTATTTACGCTTCGTATGAGAAGGCCCGTGTTTACTGTATAGCATCTGCGCGCCTGTCCATCCCAGATTATGAACCCCGCTGTATAAGTAAATGAAAGCGACGGTCGTATAGCTAGCGTGTCGGCTGCCCGTCTCAACGTAGGCTCCAGTTGTGGCTGTGATGACGACAAACACAACCCACATACCGGCCATACTGGTCAACATTAAGGGCCGGCGACCGACACGCGAAGGAAGGAAGGCAAATACGAAGGAGCATGCGAAGCTGAACATCTGCGACGTTGCCGTGATGAGTGTCGTCTCGATCTGTTTCGTGATGCCGACGCTCTTCAGTAGATCATTCGTATAATAATTTATCAGGCCATTCCCACTGAGTTGCTTGCAAATACCACACCAGATAATAATAAATGAGCGCCATCGGTTGCCTGGAGTCGCAAACAGGGCCTTGAGGTGGAAGGGGTTCTTGTTTTGCGAGATCTCGGCCTCGATGGTATCACGAATTTCTGAGTACTCATGCTGCACGACCACGTCATCAACGCTGCCAGCACCGTGGTACTTAGTGAGAATTTCGAGCGCCGTCTGTTCCTTGCCCTTGCTGCAAAGCCATCGAGGAGACCTGAGGAACAGGTTCAGAAATCTTGGTAAGTTAAGTTTGGTTTGTTGGCGAACTTACTCTGGGAGGAAAAAGAGTCCGCATAGTACCATTGCTGATGGGAATGCCTGTATTATCGTTGGCGTTCTCCAGGCCCTACAGAAGGCTTCAGTCAAGACTCTTGTCACCAATAATACCTCCCTCATTCAGCAAAACTGACCATGAATCCTCGATGCGGAAGCTGCCGAAAGCAACCCATGCGGCGAGAATGGCACCGACGCTATATGTCGTGCTACTGAGTGCCGTCGCCGTTGCGCGGTGCGCTGGATATGCCAATTCTGTCATGAGGACTGTCGAGACAGAGGAGCACATGACGCCGCCCATGCCAAGGAGGATACGGCCAGCAATAAAGGCTCCGTTGGTTGTGGTTGCGACGCAAACGGCGGCGCCTCCGATACAGAGAAACGACCCCATGGCAATGGCAAGCCGGCGGCCGAGACGATCGCTTACGAGTGGAATGAGAACAACACCGAGTATATTGCCGATCCAGTAGGACGCGCTGAGGGCGCCAAGAACACTCTTGCGCGGGTGGTCGAAGTCAAGGTTGTGTCAGCGAAAGCTTGAAAGGTTCTAGGCGTTTCTTCCTGCCTACCTTCCTGCCATTTGTTGATCTGCTGTAAGCTATTGATTAAAGATCCGTCAAAGCCGTGTGCAACGTCACCGAAGAGGAGGAAAAACAGGCCAAAGTTGAGGGGTCTGAGTCCGGGATCCTTCAGCCAAGAAACTGTTTTTGTGGTCGTCGGTGTCGTTGACTCAAGAGCTTGACGGTCATTGCTGTTCTTCAGCTTGAGATTCCAGCCCATGGTTGCGGATATGTTGTCTCGTCCTCTAACCTATCTGGTAGAAATGATGAACATGGGGGGCATGACACTCTGAGGCCACAGAGATGATGGACGCCTGCGGTTGTTTATATCTAACTCCACAAGATCGCATTCCCCCTCGCTAATCATAGCCATTTGAACGGCTTCGCTGTCAAGTCTTGACTTCTCGGGTGGTCCCACCCAGACCTTCGTCCGGGGAGCGATTCATTGGCAAGTACTATGAGAAGCGGCACATGGTTACAGACGCGGGGAAACATGGGGGACATGGCGAGAGCCAGGAACAATGGAGACAATTGCGGGGGAACCAAGTTTCATCGGGCTGGATTTTCGCTGCTGTTCATGGTTATCTCTAGTCCGAACCAACAAGGGAGGTTGAATCGGGCGTCGTCTGAAGCGCCGGGTCTTTGAATGGGCGCCGGGTATCGGGCGAAGCTTCGGGACCCGCAGTCGCATCGGTGCATCGGGGGAATCGTCGGGCGGGGAACGGCCCATCATTTGTGGCCTCGGCTCCATCTTCCCCGAATCCAGCAGGAAAGCTCATCATACGTCACGATGAATAGCGCATAGAGGGGTTGTTTCCGCAAGGCTTCAACTTGAGGCTGGTGAGACTTGGGGAAGAATCACAACACGAAATGGGTTCCAAACTAAAGTTCATCGCCAAGTCTGAGTTGACGCTCGAAGCACGCCGAGAGCACCGGATTAACGCCAACTCGTTCCAGCAAGATGCGCTGACGACCTTCAACGGTTGGCAGTACGCCTGTTTCTATACGCATAAGGACGCAACCGGCAATGCTCTCTTCGTCAGCCTTGCGCGACGCCCCATCATAGAATCTCTGGGCAGCTGGGAGACGTTGACGTTTGATGACTATGAGCAGACGGCGGACGATGGGCACAACACCATCTCCATAGGCGTCTGTGCTGGAGACGGTTCGATCCATGTCTCGTTCGACCATCACTGTGACCCGTGAGTTGCACAGTCATCTCATCTCGTGGAGCCTCATTGACAGATGCGCGCGACGCAGTCTGCATTACCGCATGTCGATACAAGGCGTAGCGACGAACCCAGCAGCGCACAAGTGGAAGCCGTCATTATTCAGCCCGACTCATAATCAACTCCCAGGATACACTCGCACTGGTCAGCTAGGGATTGAGAAGCTTTTCTTGGAGACAACGTATCCTCGCTTCATTCCGATCGAAGATGATCTTCTCTTGAGCTACCGGATTGGCATGTAGGTGGATTGCGCCGACTGGTGACGCAAATTCGCGACTGATTCATATGCAGAGCTGGAGCAGGATCCGATCACCTTTTCAAATACAGCAGCAAGACCCAGTCATATTCCTATATCGGACAGTTTCTCACGGGCATCAAGAATAACCCATACATCAACGGCATCTCATATGCCAACGGGCGCATCCATGTGTCTGGGACGTACCGCGGGTTTGTCTGGTACGAAGGTGTCGACGACCCGGAAGCGAGGCTGCACACGGTCCAGGCCGGCCCGAACGGCCCAGAAAACAATTATAATGTGGGTGTACCGGTCTGGGTTGATCTCTGATGTGAGACTTGGCTGATCTGTGACAGTTGTTCTACGTAAGCAGCGACGATGGTGGAAAGACATTCAACAATACCAAAGGTGAACGGCTCGCCAACCTTGAGCTCGGTGAGACAGTCTTTCCCGATTGCGACGGACTGATCGTGTTCGACATCCCCATGAACAGCGGTGTCCTGAACCAAGAGGCCCAAGCAGCCGACGACAACGGCGGGTTCCACGTTTTGAACCGCGAAAACGAAGTCTGGATCCACTACTACCGGAGCCCGCTGGGAAGTTGGAGCCGTAACGCGCTGCCCAACCTCCGACCGACGCGGACAGGAGCGCGCGGGGACGTTATCGCTGTGCCGGGAAAGAATACGATTGTGTTTGCGCTGCCGGGCAATCGAGACGACAAACTCACCGTCCTTGGCGCTCGGCTGCCTCAGGAGGACGTTACGACCGAAGAAACCGAGCTGGAGTATGCCACAATTTGGGAAGGTGACGGGTTCTCTGGCGAGCCGCAGGCTGAGACGTATGAATCGGGTTCGCAGCGGCTGGTTTCAATCTTCACACGGACCGAAGAAAAGGAAAGAAAGGTGGTGGTTTTGGACTTTGCTTTGAACGAGGATCTCTGATGTATTGCCAATACAGCAGCCTTCCACCCTAAAGAGCCGCCCGATCGAGAAAGGTGAGAGACGGCAGGGAATCATCGGCATCCTGCATGGTTTGCCGCATCGCTGAAACTACCACACTTTGCAACATGCTGTCGCACGATCACAGAAGGAAAGGGGAAAAAACTAAAACCAGAAACATATGAGGCGATGTTTGCCTGACGCTTAGAGACGCAAACCGGCGAGGCGGTGAGGTTGCGTTTGTCCGGATGAAGCAAAGGTAGAACATGAAGACAGTGTGGGCAGTCAATGGGTGAGACAATGTTGTGATCGTCATGTTCGAGGTGCCGCTTCCCGTCTTCCGCACAGGTCTTAGCTGCCAAGCGCGTGTAAGGGGTGTCAGCCAACAGCTCACTCTTTGCAGTGCAGAGACAGCCAAATGCTCTGCTTCGCTAGTTGCAGCATTCTAGGCACAGCAATGCAGCAGGGTATTCCCAACAGGCATACCAGATAGATATGTTGTGCTTGTAGAGATGAGGAATCAAGGGACTGTTGCGATAGGCGAGGAAAAGGCTGCGACAAACTCGGGATGATGTAGATGACATTGTTGCCCAACGAGTAACTGCAACCACAGATGGGCTTCCAGTCTCAGACCAAGAAGTCCCATCCTGCCCGACTGGACCACAAGGCGGCTGAGAGGATAACATCCGATCCTTGTCTCGCACGGCTTGGTCGTCAGCCCAGCCGTCGGGTGTGCGTGAGAATCTGATAGGCCGCGGGTGACGAGCGTCACATCCCGCCCCGGGTCTTCAAGTGAATCGAAAACTATCTCTCTCTCCCACCCAACAAACAGACAGCTCAGAGCCTTCCCTCCGGCACATGCTGCCCGGGTTTGCTTTTTGGGCCCCGTTCCGCCAACGCGGCGCTACTGTGCCCAACCTCGTGTTGACAACCCCGGCAAGGCCAGGTCCGGAGCCAATTATAGCGCACAGACAGCCAATCCGGCACCTCTGACGGGCCCTAAAGTCCCTCATGTGTTTGGCTGGGTGGTCGTGTTGTTGATTTTTAAGGCCGGGGGCGCAACGAACGCATGCTTTCTTTCCCCATCCCCTGTTGCAGCGAGCCGTTGACTGACCTTGGCGAGAGGGTCTTCGTAGTTCGTGGATAACGGCCGAATCACCAGAGAGACAACTGTCCAGCCATCTTTTCTTCCTCTCATCCCACCCCGGCATCACAGAGAGATCCCACTCCGATATGCATGCTTACGCTGCCCCCTATCCATTTTTTGCTCTCAGCACAGGCCCGTATCCGAACTTTCACTTCCCTTCGGGGGTACTTATGCGGTCTCCGTATGGCGCATCGAGGTCTCGCTTCTGCCCGTCAAGGGTGGCAGGATGGGATGGCGTGCAGAGGAGAAAATCACCTGCAGCTCTGTGGAATGCGGTGAGCAGCCCAGGGCTGCGCAGCGAGTGCCGTGTTCCTGGCGTTCCTGCACAGTCGAACAGGAGGCTAGTCTTTCGAGCTGCGTGGAACATTTGCTTGGGGAACTGCATGTTTTTATGTTTAAAATAGAATACCGCCATGTTGACTGGTTTGCCCAGCCGATGGACTTGGGAGTTCTCGTGGACATACAAAAGACTGATGCGTTCCCCCACTCGCGAGCGATCGCCACTCACACATTTTCAAGCGGTCAAGAATCTGCACTCATCCACATATTCCTTGCGCGTCCGCAGTCGGTCTGTTCGGTCCGCCTTTTCAGTCGGATTTATGGCCACACCACGCTCGTTATAACCACTTAATCTTATAATCTGTCACTCGCTATATCTCACGGCCGCATCGCCGCATCACTGGGGGAAAAATGATCATCCCTGTCGCCTCGAGATCCGACGCAAATATCGTCTCCTCTTCATCTTCGTCAACCGATCCTGTAGCCGCCGACTTCACCGGCCCGGCCTCCGGCACCCCCAGCACCCAGACACTCATCATCATCTCCACGGTCCTCGGGACCGCTTTTTTCCTCGCCATCGCCATCGCCGCATATTTCATCATCGCACGCCGCCGAAAAAGACAGTTTGCTGAGGACTACAAAAATGCCTGCCTGCGCGACCCGGATCTCACGTGGGAGGAGTATACGCGGCGGACGAAGCTGAGCCAGTCGCGCATCATGCTGGCCGAGGAAGAGTTGAGGAACACAATTATCCGCAAGTCACTTCAGAACCGGACGTCCATCACCATAAATCCAGTTGATTCTTGCAGTTCCGACATGGACACGCCCGTCTCGCCGCCCGCTCGCACGCGCTCCAGGACATGGCATGGTCGCAACAGATCGAAGACAAGCATTGAGGCCGAAGAGGGCGAGGGTTTGTTAATGTCTGTTCGCGGCGACTGGACAGAACATGAAGCCCGCGTTGAGAGAACGTGGCAACTGCTTCACAAGAAGTACCCGACACGCCGGGTGACATTGCCTGTCGAAGAGGAGTCAGGTGGGCCTATTCGCCCGCCTACTATACGGCTGAAGACGCCGCCTCTTCTTTCGCATCCCATGTTTCGAGGTTGGAACGCCGAAGGCCCGGTGAGGCATTCCAGCCTTCCGACTGAGCTGGCCAAGGTCAAGCCTGCACCGATCTGATGGATGCTAATGATGATGACGATGCAAGACAATGCTCTTGTGTCTATAATGTTTATAATGGATTCATGAATGATGGGACTGGCTCAGCTTCAGCCTGATGCGGCGTTTGGAAACGGCATATATGATGATTGGTTTCATGTTGTGAAAGGACTGGAACTCTGGAGTTTAGATATATATACATATATATGTGTTTGTGTGTGTGTTATCAGCACTTGTTCTATTTCAGGCATCATCTCTTGTCATACGTCCGAGCAAGAGAGGCTATGTATAACTTCGACAGCATTCATAAACATGTTCTTGTTGTCTAGGGGGGTCTTCCATGACAGAAAGAAAGAAGCATCTACTGTGTTCCCACGCCTCCAAGGCTTCCTCGCCATTACTCTCAGTCAACACATGAAATAGATATTGAACATTTTGGCTCAAATCTCTGGCTCAAATACTCGAATAGGTACCGAACAGAGGGTAACACGAACGCTAAGGATTATAACGTGTGCGAGCCCAAATTCAACTTCCCAGCATTGGCTAGATATAAGTCAGAGACCGATTGAGCGTACTGTTGAACAATTTAAAAACTTGGATTAATGATAGAGACTCGCACTTCAGTTGTCTCATAGACGCTAAAACTTCGAGTGCTGTGGACATATTGGGCACAGCTGTACTGAAGAAATCATATAGATGCCTTAATCTTGTTACTAAAACGGGTGCGGGCTTTTAGTCGCAATATCCACCTAACTTCCTGACTGTCCAATTTTCAAGATGAGATGGGAATGGTAGTTTCAGCATCAAGATGAATACTTCGTTCACCACGAAGGTCCTTCCCACTGTTAAACCTCAACTCACTACCCATCACTTGGGTACACCTCATTCCCGGTCCTCGATCTAACGACAACTAACAACGGCCCCTTCAGATCACTCACTCCTACACTGATCATCTCTGGTAACTTCCCATGGAACTTCCCTTTCGTTGCTTGGTCTCGTTCCTCTTGGTCGGCCAACTGAAAATCGAAGTCACGCAGCAGAGTGCTGGCTAGTTTGTAGATGTTGGACTGTGCTAGCATCTTACCGAGACACTGGCGTCCTCCCAAGCCAAAGTGCATGAGATAGCGTGCGCGGGGAGCTGTTTCGGGCCGTTCCCATCGATCTGGGTCAAACACATCGTGATCGTTGCCCCAAATCTGTGGGTTATGGTGAAACGCATGAATGCATACCGCAACTGATGTCTGTGGTGATGATTGTCAGTAATAGTACTTCTAGAGGAAAAGCCACAGCTCTGAAAATATTTTCGTGTCAGTAAAGACCGAAAGACAACCTACTCCTTGCTTAATATGACTGCCCGCGACAACAATACCCTCAGGTGCCGTCACACGCCTCGCCAGCGGCATGGTAAACACAGGAGTAAGCCTGTAGTTCTCTTTTACGCACGCCCGCAAAAACGGCAACGAACTCTCAACCTCCGCAATCGAATAAGCGGCTTTTCCATTGTCCAGAGATGTCAAGTTTTCGTCAACCTCCTGGACACATCTTCTCAATGCTTCCGGATTATGTAGCAGGTTCCAGAAAAGCAGCGTGGTTGTGGCGCTTGTTGTATGTGTGCCCGCAATGCTGAGAGGTCCAAACTTTAGCGCCCATCAACATTAAGAAAGCATGTACTTACATCATTCCGAAGGCTTCAGCCTCCAGGTCTGCCTTCGCAATTCTTTCACCAGTTTCGGGATGCCTTGCTAGAATGAGGTTGGTGAGAATGTCTTTCCTTTGAATCTTTCCCTTCTCTTCGTCCTGTTCTACCTCGCGAAGCCGTCGCTGCACGCACTCAACTGCCAAACCCGCACATCTAGCTCTCCCTCGGAACAGGGTTTGCAGACCTTCATGCTGCAGTCTTGGTAACCATTTCTTGAGTGTATGGGTCATGGCTGGCCACGCCCCCAGCGTCGAACCCAGTAGGGTGTGTGGAATAACCGGGGGGACACGAGACTCATCGCCGGAAAGCTGGACGCCGAAAGACCGACTGAATGCCAGCTCTCCGAGGATGTCGATGGTGTAATAATGAAGCAGTCTCTTCATATCAAATGCTTTCCCATCCTTTGCAAATGCTACAATCTTGTCGCGTAGATTTTGGATATTCTCATCGAGGTATTGTTCCATACCCTTGACACTCGCCATTGAGAAACTGTGTGACATATGGCGCCGACGAATGGAATGCAGCTATCAACGGTCAGATCAAGTGCTGTGTGACTCCGAGAATGAAGAGTTTCGGGGTTCATACTTCTGGAGATCTCATCCCAAACACATTGGGAGTATTTGAGCCGAACGCGTCGTAGTATTCCGTCTTTGGCAGTCGTTGGCCACCCTTCTGATACACGAGAGGGATGACCTCTTCGGCGGTGATGCTTAGTTTGTCTGGGCCATAGCGCACGAATTCGCCATACTTTTCATGAAGCTCCGTCAGGTTGTAAGGCTGCTTTAATGACAGAAACTCATTGACTTGCCATAGATCCGTGATGGACGCCCAGAACGGGCCTGGGTAATGTGCTAGTGGATGGAAATATCGCTGGTATATGATGTAAACTGCCAATCTTATGATGATGACAGTCGCTAGCAATGTGAGTAAGACTGAGGCGCCATTCGTTTCCAGGAGTGAAGACTGCATCATGCAATAATAACAGTAGCTTGGTTTACTGAAGTCTCGATGATTATACTGGAATGAACGATTTGGCTGAGTTAGTGTTCATTACGTAGCGGTAGTCCCCGCATCGTCGACGCATGTTGATCGGAAACGATCTGCCGAGCTCTCCCCGCACTGTTGGTTCACCGGGTCTTCCGAAACATCAACTTTGCCGAACTATAGCCAAGCGCCTTCTTCATGTGCCCGCAGTGGCATATCTACGTTAGTATCAAAGGATGCAGGGGCAACCCAGGAATTTTGTTGTGAGGTTCGCAAACTAGTTACAGCATGCTTCGCCACGCTTCCATTGATTGTTGCTTGCAAACATTAAGAAGCATATCTTGTCTCCTAACCCCTAATGTACCTTCAGGTCTTACACCTGATGACGCAGACCCGTTATGTCAAGAGACTTTCTACTGGAACGAAATAAGGCTCATCGCACTACACGGGTGCGGTTCAGAAGACGTAAAACACCTGGGTTCCTAGATCTAGGCGATGAATGGCCAAGAGGAGTATCAAGCGGCCATAATGTCGCTTTGGACTACACCACATTATGGATACAGCTTTTTCCTTGTGAAGCAACCATCAGATGTTGCCAACAAGAGCCTTGTTGGAGAACGAGAAATCAGGCAGGAGACTTCTGACAGGTTCAAGACGGGGTCTTTCCCTCAAGGCAAGTGTATTTCTCCGTCCTGAAGAGGAAAAAAGACGGTGCTTGTAGTGCTGACGTGGAATGGAGATTTCGGGGGCAGCGCCACAGCAAAACAGTAAGAGACTATTTTCTTTTTTGAACATTGAGCCCCCAGGTTAAAGTATACAGAGATTTGTTGGCTTATTATAAAGATTCCAAGCATTAGGGAAAACAGGAGCACCCGGAGGAGTCCTGATAAGTTTCCTTTCCCGACAGCGCAGTTACAGATGATTTTAGCGGTAGAAGGACCAGGTAACCAGACAACATGTAGCGCACCGACAACACCACAAGTTCAACTAGAAAAGGTAATACGAAATGATGAAAGAGTCGATTTCCCTTGGAGATTGGTAAAATTTCAGCAAAAATATTGCTTGATTAAAATCGAAAGATGATCAAGAAATCCATCATTAGCATATCAACCATCTACTGGTATAGAGTTTTGGGAACGTCGTCATCAACCAACGACACCGGCAGAATCGAGCCCCATGTCTAGAAAAGCCTGGTGTACGATGACCGGCTAGGCGGCAATCTCTCAATAAGTGACTTGATGTTGGCCACAATAGATACTCTATCGAAGCCCGCTCAATAACCTTTGCCTGTCGGGAAAGCATCTGGAGCTTATTGGAATACGAAGCTCTTTGACTCGTGGCATTTAAGGCAGAAAGAAAATGGTAACGGAGCTACTAATTTTATCATATTTCCCGACAGGCTATCACAGTTAACGTAACCTTAGCATGAGCAGGAAATAAAAGAAACAAGGCACAGGTACGTGAGTGAATCAAAGCCCAGACGAACAAAATTTAAGCTGACTCGTAGCACTTTCGATGGGGTTGTTCTCTCGTCGGTGGCCCAGTCTACTAGTGCCGGTTCAGATGATGTGTCAGCTAACGAAGAGTTGAGCCGATCTCCGTCCAACCGCGGTGCCGAAATCCGATGGGCATTCAGACGGATTGTCGCAAAGAGGCTAGCTCACAGCTTACTGCATTTGACTCTCGGCCTGCGCTCAGAGCTAACGCTGGTAACTGTAGACTGTAGGCATACAGTCATCTCATCATAGATACACATTTGTCAATCATAGCGAGCAGCTCAAATACATCCCGGTGATAAATCGGCAAAACTAGTGCTGAATGCAGTTATTTCATTGATGTATTCAGAAAGCCTCTGATATACGCCGCAGTTTGTTAGTAAGTACAAGGTCAGTGACAGGAAAGAAAACAGAATCGAGGGATTGACACCCTTCTGCACTCAAGATGATACTGAGTTTATCCACCAACGACCAAATTTTACGCTGCATTTTCAACCGCATGGCCTGCTTTCCTTAGAAATCACAACATGCGGATTGTGTCGAAGTCCTACGGAATTTGATTAACACGACTCCACCAAGCACGGCCTGAAGCCTCCGGGGATAATAGGCGTCTTAAGAACTGTTAACGCCGACTAGGAAGTGGCATTGGCCTGCTACTTCATCCATGTAAAGCTAATTCTTGTTCCAAGTCTCTTGCCAAAGGAAAAAGCCGCAGCATAGCGCGACCTGCCCCATAAGCGCCCCCCCCGCAGTAACAATGATTCAGGCACACATATAGCGAAGCGGTATGATGTTGACAAGGATATCTAGGTTGAATGGACGCCGGTGAGACTGATTAAACCGCCGAACGAAGGACTTAGTCTGCCGGTTTAACCGGGAGGAGATGTAGATGCTAGCGTATCCTCATCTGGAGCATTCATCGGTAGAATATAAGCCCCCAGTTATACCGCAGTTCTCGAGAACAAAGCTGTATTATATCATTGTCCTCAGCTCGTCGTCACAGCCGCATTTTTTTGTGGGAGTTATTACAACACACAAAATATTCGTCGAAAAGTCTTCAAGCGCTGCCGCCACCATGACTTACACTCTTTACGATGCTACTGTCCCTCTCTTCGTTGACAGCCTCAACACATTGCTCGCCATTTTAGACAAGGCTGAAGAACATGCCGCCGAGAAGAACATCGACATTTCGTTACTCCTCCAGGCAAAGCTGGCAGAGGACATGCATCCACTTATCTTTCAATACCACGTGGCTACCGATACCGCTATGAAGACCGTCACACGTATCATTAACGTCGAGCCGGAACCCTATACCAACGATCTCAAGAATGTCTCGGATCTGCGTGGCAGGGTCAACCATACGATTGACCTTATCAAGGCCGCCAGCAAAGATGCCTTTGAAGGCCGCACAAACGCTCTTATACCTCTTGCCTTTCCTCATCTTGAGGAGGACCTTCAGATGAAGGCCGTCGACTACATCCGCGCCTACAGCATTCCGAACTTTTTCTTCCACGTCCAGACCGCTTACTGCATCTTGCGTTCCCAAGGCGTGCAGTTGGGGAAAGCTGACTTTCTCGGCGCTTCTATTGGCCCTTTCCTCGAGCAACATCAAAAACAGCACCAAAAGTAGTTACCGGCATATCGAGTGGCAATATGCGACAGACCGTGCCATAATCTATTCCCGAAGGGCTGCTGGAAGACGTCAAGAAGACTGTGCAGTGGTGATGGGCGACCTGTTTGACAACGACCTTGAGCCAAATGAGATTCACGATCTTTCAGGAGTTACTCGAAAGACTCAGTCAGCTGCGAAATTTGGTGTTTTTACAGAGCAGGTAGCTGAATGGCAACGGACTTGCGTGTCAAAGAGCCCATAGCAACCCGTTCGAATTCAACTTGTGTGACATTTCATAGAAGTTTACCGGTTGCAGTAGCTTTTTGTATTACCCTTAAACTCTTGGCACCTCTTTCTCCTCATCATTCTCCGGGAAAAAGTTCAATTTACATACCTGCACCTCCAGTAGGGGGCAGCAAAGTGAGACGGATATCAAAGTATCCGGAAGACTATGGGATACTTTGACGTAATGGCTACGGCGCGCAAGTGACAACAACCAAGTCCATCTATTTCCAGGTATGGAGAAGCATAGCATTGAAAAGCCATCATCTCACCACCATATTGGCAGATCATGGGAATAATTCCAATTTCGGTTGACAGACGTGCTTTTTAATTACTTTTACTCATACATCTATCTCCATCGTCCGCTTCATTACAGCATTACACATGCACCCTTTCCATATTCAGGCTATCTACATCGCCCAGATTGCGAACAGGCTCAGAGCAATGCCACCCATGCTCATGGAAACCATGCTGGCACCGCTCTCTCCTGAGGTGGAGGTCGGGGCGGCGCCGGTGCCGGTAGCAGTGCCAGAGGGCGTGCTAGCTGTGCCGTTGCTCTGGACAATACGGCCCTCAATCTTGGCGTCAATGGGGCTCTTGGCCTGGACATACTGAACAAGGACCTCGTCCTGGGTGTCGAGGGAGACAAAGTCGGAGGTCGCTACGAAGATGTTGTCACCGCCGCCAGCCAGGAAGTCGAGGGTGACGACGCGGTAGTCTTTCTCGTCATTCAGGGCTTCACCAGCGACCTCGACAGACACCAACTTGGAGCCATTGTTGCCGGCCGGGTTGTACTCGATAACGATGTTCTTGGACACCTGGAAGAATGAGGTAAGGGGCAGGTTGTTGAACTGGTTGACCTTGCTGACGGCGCCTTCGAGGACCTTGCGCAGGTCAGAGCCCTTGTAGGTGATCTCGACGATAGAGTTGCCGAACGGGAACGAAGTGAGGACTTCGCCGCGGGTGATGTTGCCTTCGTCAATGGTGGCGCGGATGCCGCCGGCGTTGATCAGTGCGAAGTCCGGCGCCGTAGACTCCGAGTTGTTGAGGCGGTACTCGTACATGGCATCGGTCATGACGTTGCCCAGAATGCACTCCTGGCGCTGGCAGAGAGTCTGGTCGAGCTCGATGTTGGTGACGCCAACGACCTCAGCAGCGAAGGCCTCGAAGGGTCCGCGCCACGACTCAATCTGCGCCTGCAGTTCTGGGTCCTGCTCGGTGGTGTTGGTGAGGTGGATGGGTCCGCCGTGGTAGGCAAGAATCTTGCCCTCAGCGTCGTAGGTGACGTCGATGTAGCCGACGTACTCACCCCATCGGTAGGCAGTCACGATGAAGACGTCATCGCCGTCCTTGTTCTGTTTGATGGTCGGGTAGGGACCCTCGGCGTCCTCCATATCGCCGAGGAGAGTGTGGGAATGGCCACCCATAATGAGGTAGAGGCCGGAGGTCTGCTCGGCGAGCTTCTGGTCCTCCTCGTAGCCGATGTGGGTGATGGCGGCGATGCGGGTAATGTTGGTGGTGGACTTGATGTGGTCAATCGTAGATTGCACAGTGCTCACGACGTCGAGGAACTTCGTGCCCTCGCCGGGAGACGAGATGCCTGGGGTGGTCGTGGTTGTGACACCAATAACGGCGAGCTGCTGGTCGTTAAAGATGTGGTAAGGCTTGATGGTCTGGTTGAGTTTCTCGTTGTCCGAGACGATGTTGGCCGAAATGACGGGGAAGGTGAGGTTCAGCAAAAAGTCGCCGAGCTGGTCGTCGCCGCCGTCAAATTCGTGGTTGCCGAGCGTCATGGCATCAAAGCCGAGCTGGTTGATGGTTTCGGCAATCTTCTCTCCCTTGTAGAAAGAGTAAAATAGGGTGCCCTGGAACTCGTCACCAACGTTGAGCCACAGCGAGTCGTTGTACTGCGGGCGCAGCTCGTCCACGGTGTGCTTGATACGAGCATAGCCGCCGTAGCAGCCGCGCTCCGGGCGCGTGCAGTCGGTGCCCGAGGAGGAGAACTCGTCGAGGTGGGCGTGCACGTCGTTGACGTGAAAGAAGGAGACGTTGAAGTTTCCGTCGGCGTCGATGCCGCGCTTGGTGAAGCGCGACGAGTACAGGTGATCGCCATCCTCCTTCTCCGGGACCGCGAATGCGGTGCTGGCGAGGGCGAGGGCCAGCGTCGGAAGGGACTGACGCATCGTGGGCAAGGGCTGGGTGTGGGAGAGACAGAAAGATGAACCGCGAACGGAAGCTGAGCTCAATCTGATGTCCGGGTTGCACAAATAGTGAATTAAGCCTTCACGATGCCGCGGATGACGTTGTGCCACACAATTGAGTGGAGGAGAGTATTGGATGAGCTTCGGCTGGCGTCGCGAGAGCTATCGCATGTATCATTGATGCCGTACGCCCTCAATATATACAACTTTTTTCTTCTACTACTGGGCACCCACTCGGAGAAGTAATGAGCCGCCGATCTCTGCGCGCGCGCACACGAGTGGACGGCTGGGGGAAGCACATGCGATTGCGACGGCGGTGGCACAGAACGACGAGGGGGACAGACAGGGCCCTGCATCTTGTGAAGCATCTCGGAGGACGCTGACTGGCTGGACAAAGACGAGGAAGGCCGGTTGGAAGTGCTTGTGGTTGTTCGCCAAGAACGTTGGCAGGGTGGTTGATGCCGGGACAACAGCTTCTTCGGTGATGAAGTCGCAGTATGCCAAGAGTCGCGGGCTAGATGAGGCGTGATACACGTGTGGTCGTGCTCCAAATGATTGGCTTATCAGCGGTCCCTTTGCCTCTTCTGGAGACGCGACGTTGGCCCGAAGGAAGGGGGACGAGGACTTTTCGTAGGGGGTTCCAGACCCGAGCCGGGGTTAGTGTTGGCGGGTGTTCCTTTGGGCATGAAGTGCGACTCATGGTCAATCTGCGGTCAGCGACTGGCCACAGCTTCTGTTCAGCTCGGTCAACTTCTTCAAAGGGCGACCGAGGTTTATACTACACATAACCATCAGTCGCAACAGTGCTCAGCTTCTCCGTGCATCGGAATTACAACCGTCCACGCCGCGAACCCTGATGGACATCTGCGGAGCAAACAGACCCTCGTCATGGAGCCGATCGATGTAATGTAGGTCCTCCTGATTGCAGAGCGAGACAATCCATCGGGAACACCGCATAATTAGCCCAGGCCGGCAGCACGACATACTGTGTAATTCTACAACGTCATCGTCGCCCGTTGTGTTGCTCCAGACTGGCTGAGCAGATGTCTCACTCTGGATTCCGGCATTTCTTCCCTCATTCTGTTTCCATCCAAGCTCCACGAAGCCGGCATCTTGTACATGGCTTTGGAGCGAAACAGAAGAAGATTGCCCATTCCCAAACTCCTCCCCGGCTAGGTACTGGCAACACGGGCCATAGAGCCCTGATCGGCCTGTGGGGTTTTGGAGAGGGGAAAAAAATAACGTTAAATTCAGCGAGCATCCAATCCCACGCTGCACCTGGCAAAGTTCCCTGATAACGTTGGGGCCTGTTCAAAGTCCTAAGCCGAAGACGGAAGGTCAATGTAACAGCGCTGAGCTCCGCTCCGCCCTGGCAAGCATTTAGCCATGCCAGTCAAAAAGGTAATTCAGCTGCGATCCCGGCGATGAGGTTGGCTTAGCTGCTGGGCCGAGCTTGCGTAACGCTTTCGGTCGGGTTTGATTTTGTCGGAACGTGGGTTTAAAATTGTTTAGGATGACTAGAGAAAGATAAGAAAGGGCGACCGATGATGCGGACGCTAGCACAAGGGATGAGCTACCCCTCTTGGGCAGGAGGGCACGCGAGCCCATCTCAACGTCTATATTCCCGATAGCAAATATCAGTTTGTGTGAGGTTGCTTTTGTCGATATGTCGGTCGGATGTCGCCGACCAGCGGTGCGCCATCCGGGTGTGGCTGCCAGCATTTGGATGCGGAGAGGAGGCGCAGCAAAGTCAACGACGACTCCTGAAAGAAAGGAAAGAAAATCGTTGCAAGGAAATAAAAAAATGTTTGGAACAGCCATTCATTGGTCGTCAATTTACGAGTTCGCGACCCGTTGTTATCTGTCTGATAGAGCGCCTGGGTTGCCGGGAAGTGAACAAGGAGAGCAGGATATCGCACCTAAAAGCGGAGCGCGGGATGGCAATGCGAGGGGGGGTTGATCCTTAAAGTAACCCACCTAGTTAGCCGCCTTCGGTGTGCTCTTCGGATGGCTCGGTGCGCCCGTGTTTCTCTGCTGTCGTTGCTCTACCGGCTAGGGTCCTCAAGACGACGCCGACATCACTATTTTGCAAGAGTCTGGGTATTCAAAATAGTTTTTCCACTGTGGCTCCATGCTTTGGCATCTGTCACCCGTCTGTCTTGGAATCTCTACCGAGAAGCACAATCGTTTGCTTCAGATGGCGGGGATCGATAGAGGGGCTGTTTAGAAGGAAGACCCTCCTGCCAAGGTCGCAAGCACCCAAGGAGGATAATAGGGTCCCAGCTTTTGTTCCTATCGAGTATGTATGGACATTACTATCCATAGTGCATGTTTCCACGCAAGACGAAGTTGAGGCGCTATGGGAATAGCTTTCTATTGACTGTCGCGTCAGGCTTCAGTTCGAGAATGTCTTTCTTGGGACAGGAGACTTTATGGCCGAATGAGACGGAAACACGGTTTTAATAGGCTTAGGAAGAGATAATCTTGACCAAAATCGAGAACTTGTTCTTCATGTGGCTTTTATCACGAAACTGCGATGAAAGTATCATTGTCCAATAAGATTAATTGAAGAAGTCGGGAGTACCTCCCAGAGGCGAAAAGGCGGCACCTTGAGCGTAAAGACACCGGTTTTAAGCCGCAAAGTCTTGATACCGGCGACATTTCAGAGCCACGCTGGTCGGATGGTACGTGTATCCGTATTTACCTGCACCGGAATCGTCTCGCGGTTTGTCCCAAGACAGAAGGGCCGCCATCTTGACAACGTGACACAGCCTGCTGCCTCATTGTGCGCTTGAACCTGATTGGCTGCAGTGTATTCCCTTCGTTGACTTTGGAACCCTGCACCGAGCTGTTTCCCAGCTTGATGAACATTGTTCTGGGCTTTGCTACTTTCTACTGGAGTAGAAGCATTAGGAGGTAAAGCTCACAACTACTACTCTCTAAGCGTATCATCGTGTAAGTAGATTAGTGAACGTAGATTGGCTTTCAGGTTGCTCCTGGGAAACATAAATTATAGGAGTTCGGAAAGCGAGACCCTGGGGCATTGGTTTCCCCCGATCCACTGGACTTGGGGCCTGAATTCAAATGATGAAATTATAGAAGTTTTAACTGCTTGTGGATGAAATTCCAGTGGGATGTTTACGTACTCAATACTCGTGTGCCTGTGCCAGCTCGAATAGATACAGTCCGTAGATTGTTTGAGCAAGATCTGTAGTGAGCAAACCCTTGGACCAATATTTCTCAGTAGCCGAAAACGGATGTGCGAGAAACGACGATTGCAAACGCAACGACTGTGGCAGAGATTTAAGTATGATGGTGTGTAGCTATTTTATGTACAAGCTGGTTCCGCAGTCTCTTGCAAAATTAACATTTGACACTAGTACGTTTCTGCCTTGAGTGTCGCGGTAAGGCGCGGAATGTCAAACTGCTTCAGAGTCAGCGAATCTACTTTGAATGGTCTGGAGAGAAGCTTACGTCAATGTTTGATCTCATATCCCAAATTGTCACCTCCCTCGAGAACAGCATGAAAGACAAATTCTCATCAAGGTTGAGCTTTTGACTATCCAACTTGGTTTGCGAAGACCGGAGGTCTGATATTGACGAGTCGCCCTCATTGAGCCACAACTTGATGACAGTGTTGATAATCGGCATGTCTTGTCCACCAAAATACGGCCGTACATCGGCTCCAGGAATGGGAACGTGTATACTTGCGTTAGAAATGGTCCCGGCCGGCAGAGGCTTGATCAGCGCGTCAGCCAAGTCTCTGGCAAACGTCTCGTTGGAAGTGGCATCCTTGGTAGCCATGGCCCAGAAGAAGGCCACCAAAGGCCCAATGTTTTCTTTTGGCTGAGCACTTGCGGGGCCTTTAGGGATGTCGGTGAGAAATGTCTCGGTTGCTATGGTCGACATGGCCGTCTCGAAGTCATTGAAATTGTCACCATCCGGTCCAATCACCGTCTGGGTGTAGTTCGTCGAGGGAGGGCCAGTAAATGACGTTGGGGAGCTGCTATAGAGCTCCGCGACATCATCGCGCCCTACATAGATTTGGTTTGCTACGCTATTGTTGGCACCAAACACCCCGTCGAAGACATGGTCTTGGATGTACGCCAATGGGAAAGAATCATCCCGGGGAGCATTCCAAGATTTCTGGCCGTGGACTAGCGTGTGGTAGTATAGGAACTCTTTATGCGTCAGACCAGATCGGCGGCGAACAACGGCGAGTTGCTTCGGTAGCGACTGCGCTTGGGTCGTATGAATCTGATTCGCGACAAGACCAAATAGAAGGCCGAGGAACGGGAGTTGAAGCATGATTACTCATCGAGGGGTGCAGAGAACCGCTGAAGTATGTTGGTCACTCTTTTGGCTCGCCGGGTTTTATAGCAGCAAAACAGAAGCTCGATATTTATGTCGGGGTCGTGTTTGAACCCACTTCGCCGCTTACCGACCACTTCGGTGTGCTCGTCCAGCTCAAAACCGGGTGGGGCCGAAGGGTCGTGGGTATAAAGTCAGCTCACAAGATCAACCAAAACAACCAAGCCCACAAAATATGATACCTTCATTGGCCGTAGAAGCCCAGCGACCTTCGCTAAGAAGATGAAAATGAGCCGAGTCAATACCTGGCTCCATATGTTCCATGGTAACCGCCTATGCCCATAGCTCAATGCCTCCGGAAAGTGGATGGGTAGTAATCCCCCGCCCGGACTGAACCTTATTCTCGTTCGACACCCATAAAAGTTGACATGGAGTTTTGATTTCCATGGCTTGTGTGGAGTAAATACGATCATGGTCTGGGCTCTTTGGCTCTTCAGATTGGCTCGGGAATCCAGTCCTTGGACGCTGGGGGTCAGCAGCCGCTATTTTGAGAGGCCACCTCGGACTAAGTGTAGCAGGCCTGCTCATCCTAGTTATGCTGCCTGCTTCCCTCTCTCTGTTTGGTTATCGCGCAGGATCCAAGCCATACAAGCCACATGATGAAATCGGAGTGTTGCTGTATGCGTGTTCCTTCGTCTGGTACTGCAACCCGTGGTTTCATAGTACGGATGGTGTTTGCAGCCGATATAAGAAGCTCCAGATCAAGCTGTCCATCTGCTTCCTCGGGATGTATGATGATATTAAGGAAGAGTGATATGGCGGCATTGGTGGTGTAAAAGATGAGAAACCTATGAATGAGTTAGTCAAACAAAATTACTCGCTGTCAAAGGTCGGTACCGGTCCATTCTCAGTAATAGCGCTTGTTCACCAAACACGCAAGCTTACCACATATCTTCCTCCGAGAGTGTTTTTATGAAAGCCCGTAAGCACCGTAGAGTCGATCTACCAGCTTCCAAAGACAGGTCGTAACTTGAGTGAATAACACTGTGCAGGTCGTGCCTTCCATCACCTATAACCGTATGGGCATCATATCTTCTGACTGTCGTGTGCACAAAGATCATGAGGTACCAATACTCTAGTAGGAGATGGAAATATCGCTTCCGCCGGGGTTTTTTCATCTCGGGCGTGACGATCAGAGTCTCTGGGGAAACTGATAGAGCTGGACGAAAGTCTACAGGGACGGATAACCGCCAGCACTCGATCTCATTATCCAGCTGCCGAATATGCACGAGTAATTGATTATCCTTGTCGTTCATCGCTTGGATCGAGTAGAGAAGTCGGAAAACTTTCTCCTTGAGACCACCAAGCTGAGCGTCACCCCAAAAGTGCGGTGTGGGATTCTCTATGCGTGCGTCGCAAGGGTAGATGCATTCCTCAAGCCCTCGTAGATATGTGTAACAGCCCAAATAGTTGTTTGGTAAAGTCAAGTCGCAATAGATATCGGTGAGAAGGGGTGGCTGTCCAGTGCGGAGAGACAGATTCTTGTCTGATATGTAGCAAAGCCAGAAAAGGTTCCGAACGTGACTTGCTTTCCTATCGGAAAGTGAGACCTCATTGCTCAAAACTTGTTGGGGTTGGTAAATGTGACCTCCAAGTGTATAAACCATCCGACAGGCAATCGAAAGGAACGACTCGGCTTCTTGCCAGAGACCGCTCAGCAAGCGCTGGACATGCTGCAGACTGACTTCAGTGGACTGTTTGGTATGGATTCCTGAGATAAAGCTCACCAGTATGATCACTGCTTGTAATGTCGTCAAACTTGCATTTTGGGTTAAGTGATTCAAAAGAAAATGCGACTTGCGTGCGTATGAGTCTGTGTGTTCCATGGGAGTAGATCCAGGTAGGAAAGCTATGATACTGAGAACAGCAAATACACACGCCTGGGCTGATAATCGTGCTGGCGGACAAAGGCCATGGTTGATATCTTCATAGGCTAGATCAATAGTCTCTCCAAAGAGGATCGTGTCGATGAGAGGGAAGTTTAGTTGGAATGAAGACTGGAAAAAGAAGGCGACAATCTCTCGACATATATCCTGATCTGGCAATTCAAAAAGCTCTGGTGAAAACTGTCCATGCGATGTGGTCAGTGACGAGGGTTTGGCGGTGAAGATATCCAGCTTGGTCCAATCTGGAACCTGACCGGTCTTAGATGAGATCCACAGACGACCCTCATCAGAGAATGCGTGTACACCTCTGAAGAACCAGTTTGGTCCAATATGGCTTTCAGATTGGAGTGCCTTCGAGGTTGATATCGTTATGCCACTGGTATACCCACGAGTTTGTGAAAGAATGAGTGGAGTGTGAGAAGGTTCGGGAAAGATATGGGACACTGAGGCTGCTGTGGTGGGACTTCCAATAGCTCCCGTGTTCGAATCGGAGAGCGAGACTGTCAGGTTTGGATCGCTGAAGCTTTCTCCTTGAGTCGCTTCTCGTGCATTTGCTCGGGACAGCGCATCCTCAAGTTGCCGGATACGCTCGTTCAGACACTGTACGTCGCTCACAGCCACTCTGGTACGGCGAATCAGCAACAAGACTTGACGTTTGCTTCACGCAGAAAAAAAAATCCTCGTAGTACTACACTTACTTGGTGCGTTGCTTCCTCCTCGGTGCTTCTCGGTTGAATGAGCACACAGAGCCGTGGTGACCACACCAGTCGCATGGAGGACCTTCTGCAGGAATAGAGCACTGGATCTGTGTGGAGTTCGGACTCAGTAACCAATCATACTAGCAAGATTGGTGCATATCTGCTGAGAATGACCATGGCACATACCTTCCTGCGATAACATACGTCGCACGCTCGCTTTGGTGGCATTCTTGGAATTACAGTGTGTGCCTTGCTATATTAGTGGTCATCGTCGTGAGGCCCAATGAAGGAACAAGCTGGGCAGACGGAGGGGCGAGGCTCCGTCGATGATGAGGCCTGAGCTTTCGGAGGGTGGAATCGTGACTAAGCGGAAGCGGTTTCTCGCCCAGCTTCCGATGACATAATACATCAGACAGGGATGATCACCATTTGTCTTGTCAGTATGATACAGCTTGTTCTTAAAAAACGTAAAGAGTTTTAGTTCCCTCATACGTCAGAGTCTGCAAAGTCACTTTTCGGACTAATAACAGATCAAGATAGTACTGGCACTGAAATCCCATCTATCAATATAGGCATTTTGGTCGATGTGAGCAGCATCCGCATCTGGCGCAAGCAGGCTAGGATTGGAGCTTGCAGCAAATGGAGGCGGAACCCCATGAGCCTCCGTCTACCCACATAACAATAACTCGGTGTAACATGGCGGACAGTGGGGCCATAACTCCGATAGCTTTAAATCCCTTGCACGGAACCCATCACCGCCGTGCCCAATTACTGGGAATGCTAGGCTCAGGGTTGACTTCACGTTCATTTGCTACTAGAGATCGTGTTTATTCACCGTATGTCTGGTTTTAAGTCTGCAAACGTAATCTGGTTGAAATGTCTAGATTACCTACATCGTCCGCCCTCAAAAGGACACGGATCTACTACCTCAAGGCCCCAAGCTCTACTCAGCTGACATAACAGTTTCTCTCCGTTCGTCGACCAATCAGCTATCTCACTCTCGCTTTCGTGGCCAAAGACAATGTCTCGACCTCTTAGTAATGAAGAGGTCAATCGGCTCAACGAGCAAACTGCGCTCCTTGGCAACCCAGGAGACCATGATGATGGCTCGACTATCGTTATCCACGTGGCTCCTCGCATAACACGGCAACTCTACCTTTCGCATTTGTTATCCACATGGAATTCCCGCATGTTCGAGTTTGGTGCTGTGTTGTACCTCGCGACTATTTTTCCGGGCACTCTGTTACCCATGTCGTTATACGCACTCACTCGAGGCCTCTCAGGTCTGGTGTTGGCCCCAATGGTTGGGCATTACATCGATAACAATGACCGTCTAAAGGTTGCTCGGGCATCAATAGGTGAGCTCCGCTTCTGCCTCTGTATTTATTGGTGGTTGAGCCAACTTCTTCTCAGTTTTCCAAAGACTTGCTGTCTCGGCTTCATGCGCTGTGTTTTACGTTCTTTGCACAGGCCTGCCTCTTGGCGAGTATGGCCGACCGGGCCTTCTCGGTCTCCTCTCTGTGTTGGCTTGCGCCGAGAAGCTGTATTCTATTATCAACATGGTTTCAATAGAAAAAGATTGGGTAGGTTTGAAACAAACCGAAGATTGTAAAAAATCATCTTTTAACAGATTTCTCTCGCCAGGTTGTCGTCCTTGCCAAGGATAGCACAGAAGCTCTCGCGACTCTGAACGCACAGATGCGTCGGATCGATCTTCTCTGCAAACTGCTAGCACCTCTTATCATCGCTTTCATTGATGGAATCTCTACAGAAGTCGCCATCATTGTCAATTTTGCCATGAACATAGCGTCGGTTCTGGTAGAATACTACGCCATTGCGAGGATATATAACGACGAGCCCGATTTGCAAGAACGCAAACACAAGCCGTATTCCGAGCTTCCACAGTTTGACCCGAACTCAGACATTGGGTTGCGGTGTGCTGATTTAGAGTCCAAAATGTGGCATGTGTTCAAAAGGTCTGTGTCGGACTTCGAGTTTTACTTCAACCACTGCGCATTCCTGCCCTCATTCGCAGGATCTCTGCTCTATTTCACCGTCCTCAGCTTTGCTGGTCAGATGGTGACGTACCTTGTTGCGTCTGGCTACAACACGACATATATCGGCATTGTAAGGACTATCAGTGTGGTCTTTGAGGTGTTGGCCACATGGGTAGCACCTTGGCTTGTTGGCCGGATCGGACCAGTAAGAGCGGGTCTCTGGTTAAGCAATTGTCAAGTGCTGCCGCTCATCAGTGGGCTGATAGTCTTTTGGGTGTTCATGCCGAACCCTCTGATTTCAGCAACAAGTCTAGTCGTTGGCACCATTATTAGTCGTCTTGGTCTCCGAGGCTTCGACTTATGCACACAAATCATTGTCCAAGAGGTAGGAAGACCAAAACTTAGTAGTAGATGTCCAGTACTGACTTAAGTGGCGCTACAGGAAGTGGAAGCTGAAAGTCGTGGCCGATTTTCAACCATCGAAGCAGCCTGGCAAAACGCGTTTGAGCTCCTTTCATATCTTTCAACTATTCTTTTCTTTAGGCCTACCCAGTTCAAATGGCCCGCTCTAATTTCTGTGATTGCTGTTACTTCGGCCAGTCTTGCGTATACGATGTACGTTGGCCGTAGAAGAGGTCATCTGATTCATTTCGAGAAGTTTGGTTTCTAGCAATGCAGTTCTAGGGTCATAGGGAGATCATATTGCTGTGAAAACTTGTATGAGAATAAGATAGAACATAAACTCTCGGCCAATGCTGTCTATTCACGTAAGTCAATAGAGATGGTACTATATTGACCGCCCAAACCTCAAACGTCGTCAAAATTGCCGCTCATGCACTGGTTGGCTCGCTTTGCTCATTCAGCCGCGAGTAGAGGCGAATCTGCTGCAAAATGACACCATCCTCTAAGATCGTCCCCAGCGATCCCATCAGCCACGGCATGCTTGTGAGGAGATATTCCCTGTCTTGCTTGTACGCAATAACGCTGAGCCCATATGTCAAGTTACCAGTTATCGACAAGAGCAAAAACAAGGGGGCGAGGCCTGGCAGGAAGTTAGCAACAAAGAATGCAGTACCTTGGGTGTTAAACCAACCCTCGCAGGATTTCCCTCGGTAGTTCTTGATGATCTGGGGTATGCGAGCACTGGATTCGTTAGTTGTAAGTCGAAGCATACTCCACAACCGGATACCCTTACCAGAGGTAACAGATAGCCCAACAACCCCGAGAGCCGAGCCGAAAGACTCCGAAATACCTTGGGTCCTTGTAATGCTTACGCTTCCGGAAGGCTTATCGCCTCCAAGTAGACCAACCGTACGAAGTATAAACCAGCCAGTAACTCCAAGCAGCTGTACCGCTAGAATGCAAGCCACGTTGAAGCGCCAGTCATGAAGAGTTCTTACGGCCTCCACAGAGATCTCCTTGTCTTCCTGAAGTGCGACGACCGATTCGCTGCCAGTTTCTTGGGGCGACCAGAAGCACTTGGATCTCCAGAGGAAAGCGAGGGATCAAGTAGCGGCTGGCATTCGGGGGATTGTGATGTTGTCGAACTTGACCGTTGTAAATTGTTGATCTGTTGTTTGGAGTTATAGTAAAGACATTGGCAAATGAGCGTGGAGTCCGAAAAGCAGAGGTAGCCTGTGACCGCGATGCTTGCCGGAGCAATGTGGTTGGCCAGTCCACCTGTACCGGTTATGACGAGTATCAGTTAAAGATGAACGAATTTAGAGTCAAGATGCCAAGCCTTGGGGTATGGGAAAGCTTCTCACCCAACAGATTGGTGACATCGCCTAAGAGCCAGATGAAGAGAAATGCCATAGACAAGCTATCGGCGCTCTTCAATCTGTAATTGGCAACAAGCTGTGGCAGCTAGGTTCCATCAGCCGACGAAGCGAGGACTGAACCCTGCAATAGAACCGCTTACCAAAAGGCACAAAAAGGCAGCCATGCTAATGCTGCCGAGGATCTCGGATGCGTCATCCCGCGAGATAAAGCTCTGGGCGATTGGCGCAAGCCGGCCAGAACTGACAATGGCTTTAATTGAGAACATCGTTAGAGAACCGTGACAGTCATAAAAGGACAATTAGCAGCGAAGCTTTCGAGCATATAACCTTCCTTCAAAACGCAAGAGGAGGACCGTCGTGGGTATGAGCTCAAGTCTTGTGACCAAGAGAGGTTGCAACTGCGGCAGGCGCGCTGTTATCAATGACGATAACAGATTGGATTGTTAGTGTTTGCCATGTGCCGCTGTGGCTGACTCATCTGAAATTAGCAGGGTGACCCAGGCATTGTCACCCGCGCATAATTCGGTTAGTGTTCCTTGCCCTAGTGGATGTACAGTTGGTCACTAGATGCGAGTCGTCGTTTAAAGCTGTGAGATCAACCATTCCCGCGTGCGCTAGCAATGGAGTAAACAAACCAAATGCGGACAGTTGCAGCCGGGCGCAGTGTTTTGACATCGCTATGCAGTTTGATGCCATTTTTAGATGTACTAGTATAGGTAAACATTACATGCTAACATCTACTGATAGCAGCTACCAAGGCGCTGAAACTTGTGAAGATCTTAGCCACCGGCAACAACTGGTAAAGAAATAGTAAAAAGCCTGCAGAGCTGTCGAAGGCCATTGAGGATAGATCTACGTGCAATCAAGCAACAGACAGATTGTCAGATAGAAAGGAACTATTTCCACTCAAACACCTAACTCCACGGGTACATGTTTCCCTTGGCCCTTTCAGCTTCAACTTGCTCTTCAACCATGTCGTGCAGTTTGTAGTACTGCGTTAACAGCTCCGTCAATCTGCCTGTGGGCTCAGCTGCAACTAAAGTCATTGCGTTTTTGCGACCGTTCTTGGAATAGTTGCCATCCTTGTCTTGGAGACTTGACGCCAGTTGATACACTTTTTCCGGTTGATCTTTCCAGAATTCCTGTAGAAGCCCGCTGTTCAGCAGATTGGTTTTTATGACATGGCGGGGCACAGGGTACACTCCTCAGTACTCACATCTGCCTGCCTTACAATGAATGGCGCCGCTCTGACCAGCTCCCAATCTTTCCGTGGACGGTATGACGTCCTGGAAATGCCGTGTGCACGGCAAAGAGCAGCGCTTGCGACAGCCTCGTCTTCGGGAGTCTCAAGGGGGCTTCAAGAAACTCTCTATAGATTTCAAGCCATTTGACGTCGTTTGCTACGAGGATGACCTCGGCGAGCGCGGTCTGAGTATTTGCAACAGGTACCTGCTTCCATGAGAACTCGGAGATTAACCTGTTAAACTTATTGACGGCGAATTCCGCTTCTGTCCCAGCTTGCTTTCGAAGACTGCCCTGGAATTGAAATCATTCTTCAAGTCAGTTGAGTGTATCTTTCATGGACGTTGATATGTGCATTTCCTAGAGCTGAAGATTTGGACAAACTGTAAACTCATCATGCTGGGTTTGAAAGGCATTCATTTCCTCCCTAGTAAATTCGTACTCAACCATGTTTACGAGAGACTGTCTGTGGGCAGTTCTCAGTATTGGCTGGTCACGTCGACCAGAAAGAGGCGCTGAGGTGAAAAAGGCTGTAGACTCAGAATATAAATGCAAGGAAAATTGCGAGGCGAGAAAATTTTGTAATGATTAGGGCAGTTGTTGACGGACATGTTCAACACACTTTGGATTGGATGGTAAAAGAACGCATTGTCTGCTTGGCTTTAGTCGATGATTCTATCGCCAAAGCACCGATGACGCGTAGTGATCCAACAGGTTTCTAAGCGCTGTGAAATGGGGGCTGGCAACGCTTCGGGACTTCCCCCTTGCAACGCCACTGACTCGCTTATGACTTCAAAGCACAACTACTGAGCACTTTGATCAGTTTGCTGACCAGTTGCATTGAGGTTCTGCATAAGTTGTTTTCCCCGGTAGTAGCACTAATGAAGACATTTACACGCAAGCAAGTCAGTTGCGTGAAATGTGAAATTACATGACGCTGCCCGACCAGATAGTAATCGCGCGAATTGTTGAGCTTTCAGACGAAGTGACCATCGCTAGGATGTCTGCCATTCCACGATGGTTTGGTATTTCTAATTATTCGCTCCTTCTCGTTAACCTACGACAAGAGGGTAACGTCTCCAACGACAGGACGATGATCGCTAATGAGCATACCATCAACGTTGTTGTTAAGGATCTCATACCGCTGGACCGAGTACTTTTTCGCAGCCTTGGGTCCTAGCCAGATAAAGTCGATGCGGCTACCCTGTTTGGTAGTATCGAACGAAGTGTACGTCAGCTGGTTGGTACCAGCCCTTTGGTCTGGTGTAGCCAGATTATACAGCTCCTCCACAAAGCCCAATCCCGACAGCGTCTTGTATGCATCGCCATTGGGGTCCGAGTTGAAGTCGCCGGTCAGCGAGACACCCAGAGGGCCATATGTCGTCTGCACGGCTTGGATTTTCGACACGACAACCTTGATTCCCTCGGAGCGGGCTTGGGAGCTAACATTGTCCAGATGTGTGTTGGCATGGATAAACTTTTTCCCACTGGCGATGTGCTCGAAAACAGCAATGGTGACGATGCGTCTACTGCCGGCGCCCCAACCGAAAGACACTTGGTCTGGCGTGGGCGACAGCCACTTCGTCTCCTCGTACACCAACTTGAGCGCGTCGGTGCGATAGAAAATCGGGCTGTATTCTCCAGACTTCTTGCCATCGTCGCGCCCAACACCGATATGAGCCCAGCCGGAGCCGAGGCCGCTTTGGATGTCTTTCAGTTGGTTATCGAGGACTTCCTGGAGACCAACGACGGTGACGGCACCAGACGGTGCGCCGGAGGCGGCCTTGGAGATGGCGTCAATGACGTGAGGTTGACGGCACCGGTTCTTTGAGATTGAGCAGAAGAGATCCCACCATGGCTTCTCGCCTGTTTCACGAGAGCCAGCGTCGTAGCGAATGTTGAAGGAGACTACTCGAATCGGCAGGCCTTGCGCCAGCACTGTTTCGGTGAGGAGGATAGTTGCGAAAAGAGCCTTTAGCTGCATTTTGAGCGAGTTACGAGCGACTGAAATCAGAACAAGGGCATCTCGAGGTGACCACGTTTTATTCCACGTTCCCAGCTTCGAAGAGGTCTTATATACACTGTTCCTATCATAGGGCCGCCTGCCAAGACCACTCTGCCGAATAGGCAGGTAACTCAAAAACTACTAACAAGGATCCCCTCCAAATGTTACCATCCTTGCAGGGTTCACAGCCCATCATGGATACCCAATTTGCACGTGGGTAGCATTTGCTGCGTGTCGATTCCAAAGCGGCGGTTGCTCCATGCGAATGGGGGTTGATGTCCGCTCCATGCCCAGAATGCACCCTTCAGAATTGGTGGGATCTCGCTTGTCATCTGGTAGAGACAAGCCTCTTCCTTGTCCATTGGGTACGCTCGGGCAACCTTAAATAGCAAGTCTATTGAGAGTCCACTCACGGTTTCCTATTTCCGTTGGTCATAGGCGATCCCCGAGTCAGAATCCTCTATTTTAGACACGCGAGGTTCACACATATTTACTGAGTCAACCATTGACTCGTGTCATATCATTTCATACATCGCTTAATCCCTCAATGTGCCCTTCTGCTATATTGCAAGTTCTCTATTGCTCTCTGTTTACAGCGAATGGTGTTCGTTCAAGTGCACGAAACAAAGCTCCGGCGCACCAGCTTCAATCCCGAGCTGATACACGTACTGGTCTCACACTCTGAGGGAAAAAGAAAATTTCTTCTGGATCAATCTTCTCTTTAATCTCCTGCAATTTCGCAAGATTTCTCCCCCAATATTTCACTTGCGCTTCATCTTGGTCCATATTGGGGTCTGGGTAGTTGAAGTACATCCCAAGGTCCCCTGCTCAATACCTGCGGTAATGTTCCCAGTAAAGTCCTGGAGAAACGAGAAACCGTCTCTGGGATAAGTTGCGGACACGTCGACGCGGTCATAAAGTTGGTACAGCAACAGTCTGTTTCGGTGCGCGTATGCCGACGAATTAGCAGCGATTCGAGTAATTGCCGAGTTCTTGCCTCCGTGAAGATCTACTTGGATATACCAGTCTCTTTTTAGACTCTTGCCAACGGTATACCAGTAGCGGACGAACGACTCGACTTGTGGGTCTAGAAGCTTGTCTGTATATAAACTCGAAGAGTAGAAATTATCTTGCTGTACAGGTCTCAGCAGGTGTACCAACACGGATTGTGTAAGTGAGATAGCTAACCTTCTGGTAGTTGTCTTTCTGATCAAGAGCCAAACCGTTACCAAAATGCTGCAGGTTACCAAACCAGTCTGTCGTTTGCGATGTGGTCAATCGTCCCCCTATTGTCGCCAATAGCGGATCAAGTACAGTCTGTAGATCTGTTTTGTCACCATAAAACATTCCTTCCAGGTTTGTGAAGCGTGGTGTGATGAATAGTCGCATGTTAAGCTCATTTGGCATCGTGCTGTCGGCCCAGTCTTGCAGCTTTTTGAAACCATCAATTGATTTCGCTGCATCCCATTGAAGTGTGGCTAAGAAGTTCGTAGCCTGTTTAGGGGCATCAAATGTCTTGAAATAGAATTCAGAGACAACGCCGAAGGAGCTGCCAGCACCCTTCAAAGCCCAGAAGACGTCTGGGTGCTCGGCTTCAGAGACGATGATGACACTACTATTAGCGAGGACGACCTTGGCCCCCACCAACCAGTCCAGAGCGAGACCCTTGGTATGTGAGCTCATACCATATCTGGAAAAGTTCTCCAGTCAGTCGGCTTCCAGCCGCACACCGTGAACTTGTGGTAGGGCTTACCCACCGTGGAGAACGTGACCACCCACACCAACACTGCTTTTTGTAAGGTGGTTGACAAGAAGCGAAGACTACAGGTAGTCAACTCACCCAGGGCATGTTCCGTGACTTATTGCCTTTCCACCTTGCTTGTACAACTCGCTCGCCACGTGACCAAGTCTGCTTCCCCCCTGCACGGTGGCAATACCGGTGGCATTGTTGAGACTGACATTGTACATGTGGTCGAGTTCGAGCACCAGGTGTCCGTCCTCACCCCCGAAGCCAAAGTTGGCGTAGCTATGGCCGCCGCATTTAGGGGTAACTTTAACGCCGTTGTGTCGGCCACATCGGATGGTTGCTTGGATATGCTCCGTCGTGAGAGGAACAGCTACTGACACTGGTACAAATGGAATCCTGACGTTGAATGGAGCTGCATCAGTAGCCCACTGAAGAGTACCCTTTTCATCGTATGGGACTTTGGCTGCGGCCAGACAGTCGTCAATGATGGATTTCTTACTCAATGGAGAGGCAGAAACAGTCAGAATTACCGCAATCAAGGCGATTCGTGCGATCATCTTAGCTTCAGATAACCAAAATCATGTATTTTGAATTAGTCCAGCCTCGGAAATCTGACCTGGGCTAGCCCAATGCTTTATCGGCATTCAGGAGTCAACATGGTTTGGATGGCATGGTTCTGATTTTAGAGTCCTATTTTTAAGATAGCGTTTTTGTTCAGGCTAAATCTTTTTTAGGTGAAACTTAGACCGGGTCGTTCGAGGGTCTGATAATGTCAATCGACGACTGCTACTTTTGGACCTCCGGGTTGCCAACTTGGGTTGTTGAACATGATGTTGAGATGGGAACCAGAAGAGGTATTGGTGGGAGTGCTATACATCTCGCAGTTGCAAACAATTATTTCATCAGGGCTGCACGAAGCTTTAATGTAGAGTTCAAGTTCAGTTAATTAAGAAGATTGACTGTTGTGACCAATAGGGGTTGAATCGCTCTCCTTGATCGTCATATTCCTGAAATCAAGCTATTTAGCTACATGGCAAACATTTTTAGGCTATTTCAGACATTAATCTATACCACGTATATCAGTTACTTGTCGAATTATGGTCGTACGTCAACATCGAACAGCCATCATGAAAACATGTGCCGTGTTTCTAGCAGTCTGTGTTTGTGAAGTTACATTTGCCGATCATTTGCTTCTCCGGAGATACATGACTATTAATTTATCGCAGGAAGCCTGGCGTCGAGCAATCTTCATCATTTCTTTCATGTTAGATCAAGTTTTAAGCGTTTGTACAGTCAGCTGCGATCAAGACCCACAGAGCATTGCTATGAGTTATCCGATGACAGCTGGTGGAAATGAATTGATTGCATCATTTAGCCCCAACGCATACAGGGTAATATAGGCTTACAATTAGAAGCAAAATCGAGGAGTGGGATGTTTAGTGTTAATCTGATCTGCAATTAGCCGTGGCCCGGCTGTATAGAAAACCACGCGATCCGCCTTCGATTTCGGTACTGTCTTCCGCAATATTACTCAATCGGGTGCCTCGGAGGATGCACTAGCCCGTATTGTCTTACAATGAAACGAGGCAATGCTTTTCAGGAATGGCGTTGTTGCATTGGCACTGTAAGAAGACAGTCTCGTGTTGATGGCCGGACACGAGACTTTACGAGAAACTCGGACAAGTAGTGACTGCCTCTCGTGGGTGTTGCTTATTGAAGTAGAGAAAACAGTCAAGAAGATAGAACGTCCATCCGATGATTTCCGGAAGATTTCTGCTACATGCTAATATACGGTTCGCATGATGGTTAGAGTTGCTTTCGTTTCTATCTGCCTGGCAGCCATTCCCGGCGCCATCGGGGCCACTCTCATCGCTTCGCATTACAGCGGCCAACTGTACACTCTCAACTTGTCGTCCACAAACCAGCTTACTATCGCAAAATCAGTCAGCTCTGGAAACCGCATGCCAGCATGGCTCGACCTCGACTCTACGTCAAAGACTGTCTATATTCCCGACGAAATCCAATGGGGCCAGCCGCTTCTGAAAAGCTTCTTGGTCGCAGCTGATGGTAGCCTGACACCGAAAGGCCAAGTGCAAACGGCTGGTGGCGAGCTCCACAGCACGCTGTATGGAGGATCGGATGGCAAGGGATTCGTCGCTTTAGCACAGTAGTGAGTCTAAGAGACATGTGATTCAAGATGGTATTATGTTGACGCTAGTAAACAGCGATGCTTCGACGATCTCCACTTATGCGCTCCCACTGGGCGGGACAGGTCAAGCTTTGCAGAAGTTGTCGTTCAGCATGTCCCAGCCGGGCCCGGTTCCATCTCGCCAAGATAAGCCTCACCCACACTCCGTCTTCACCGACCCTTCTGGGCGTAATCTTCTTTCAGCGGATCTTGGCGCGGATCTTGTCCGCGTTTTCAGCATCAGCGGCACAGGGACACTCACCGAGTGTCCTTCTTTCAAAACCGGCTCTGGCGACGGACCTCGTCATGGAGCGTTTTATACTCAGGGCAACACGACGTTTCTTTTCACTGTCAACGAGTTGTCAAATTCGCTCACATCCTGGTCGGTCACCTACCCAACTAACGGCTGTCTCAGTCTTGTAAAGAAACAAACCATTTCCACATTCCCGGCTGGAAAGATTGCCCCAACAGGATCCAAGGCAGCCGAAGTCCACGTTAAGGGCAACTTCGTGTACGTGGCAAACCGGTACGATCGTTCTTTCGGCTCGCAGGAGGACTCCGTCGCGACGTACACCATCGATCCTTCGTCTGGTCAGGTTGCGTTCGTCGAGATCACGAGTGCCTTCTCGTACTTCCCACGAACCTTTTCCATCAACAAAGCCGGGAACCTGGTCGCGATTGGAGGGCAGACAAGTGCCAATGTCGCTATAGTCGAAAGGAACGTCGCGACCGGCAGGCTTGGAAATCTGGTTGCAACACTTAAAGTTGGTAACCCAGGAACTGTGAACCAGGAAGACGGGCTAAGCGCGGTGGTCTGGAACGAGTGAATGAGTGATGTGCAAAGACAACAGGAACACTGGCGGTCCTCCTCAAGTTGCACACCGTAGATTAACGCTAGTCGCCCCCATTCGGGTTACCCCAACTTGAAAGGGCATTATAATAAAGGCAATTAATCGATAGTAGACATCCTCTGTATCAAAGCGCCGATCTGAATGTAAGCATATGACTGAGTTGCCCCATTCTTAGGCTGTCTACTGTGGGCTATGTCTATAACTGACAAATAGGAAATTTTGGAGAGCTTCCTATTTTCTGGATCAACTAATTGATCCAATGAGAACCTACGTAAGAAGAATGATGGTAGTTTGATAAAAATAGGAGATAACCAAGCATCGTGTTGAGGGATGAAAATGTGCGGCGGGGGGGGGGTTCGGGATGCCTGGATGCGGGCGATCAAAAACAATTGTATTATCGCAAGTTTCAATGGTCCGAGGTTGTTGTTTGCTTTCACAGGTGGTATCTATAAAGACCAAATCGTATTTCCGTTCTTCCAAGAGCAAAATCATTTCGCTTTACAAAGTCGGTTGGCGTAGTCAACAACACTCCATTCCTCGCTTCCGGGAGTGGACCACGAGAAGAAGACACTGTTGGGATCCCACTTCTTTTTGGTGGCGACGAGCTTAGGGTAGATTGGTCCCCAAAAGGCGTCTTGCCAATTGTTCATAAAGGCATAATTCTGCAAATGTTAGCCTGGTCCGGTACAACAGTAGATGAAATGTTGGCAGGCCTACCTCGTTTACGTAGGCGAGTCCATTGGGTCCGGCTTGCTTGAACTTCTCGGTGATGGTGTTGGCCATGAGATCGTTGAGTGCCAGCTTCGTAGCCCAGGTCGCATCGAGCGCCTGTGGTAAGATGGCCATTGTTCGCATCGTAGCTCCCCTCCATCTCGGGTGCGTCGCGCTCTCGGCCTTCTTTACCTTGTTGCCCGGATCGAAGAAGTGGCTGATGACGATGCCGAACTGGTTCGGTGCCGGGGCCAGAGCCAGTTGGATTGCTGCGGCGATGGCGGGTTGGTTGTTCGCCATGTCCTCATGCGTGAAAACCCAGCCGCCCGTCAAACCGTTTTGAGCTGCAGCCTCTGGTTCGAAGATGTCGTGGAAGAGGGTGTAGTAGTCGGGGTACTCTTTGACGCCAAAATCGTAAGGTATTTTTTCAGCGTCGAGGTAGGACAGAAGTGGCTGTACAATGGCAGTCAGTTCTCTGGCGGTCTTGTTCATACCCATAATAGGTTGTACGTGCAACGCCCCCCCAATCACCGCTGGGTATAACTCGTAGATGCCGTAAAGCCCGTTGTCGACCAGGTAGTTTCCGAGCTCGTGGAGCTTGTTGACAGCTTTTGTGACCTGATCAAAGTTTGCGCCTGTGGTGCCGTTGACGTTCAGATATAGTGCTGCACCGGGAATGGTGTCAGGGTATGTCTTGAGGGTAACAGACAAGACAACTGCGTAGTTGCCGGGGCCGCCACCCTTGAGCGCATAGTACAGATCGGGGTTGGACTTGGAGTTCGCAGTGATGAAGCCGCCGGATGCAGTGAGAACCTCGAAAGAGAGTGCTTGGTCTGCACCAAAACCATAGTTGCCGCTCAGGGGCCCGTGGCCGCCGCCACCGATGTAGCCTCCCGCGACTCCCACAGTCTACGCACTGGTCAGTAGAGCACCTAGCAGGCGATTTGTTTGAGACGCACCTCGCACTCGCCAGTGACCACATTCTGAGGCGGGTTGCGGGCACGCGCTGCAGCAGAGATTTCAAAGCCCTGGACACCAGCCCCGATGGTGATTGCAGGGCCATTGTAGTCCCCTGGGCCTCCGTACTTGTCAACAAAGGAGATGTCCTTGAAGTTGTGTGTGTTGATAGCCAATGATCCGGCGCCTGCACTTCGGCCTTCGAAGTCGTGGCCCGTGTTGCGAATGACTAATCGCAGGTTGTTTGACTTTGCAAAGTTGACACCAGCTTTGACATGATCCTTCGTCCTGGCTATAATGACGAACTCAGGATAGTTGCCAAGAGTACAGGTTTTCGTGGGATCAGTGGTGAGTTCGCAGGTGTTGTTGCTTCCCCATGTCCAGAGTTGAGATGCTGGTTGAGAAATTCTAGCGGTTCGTGGTCAGTTCTCGGGATCCATTTTGCCCCCTTTTGAACGAATTGCTGGACTTACTGCCACCTCTCGTCCGTCCATTTTGCAGTTGCCTCAGCACATTTAGCGGCATCATATGTTGCTATTCCGCGATACTGATTGTAGCAGACGGCTGCTGGCGGGATATGCCTAACGAGGTTCCCTCCCACGGTCTTGTTGAGCTTATCCCAAGCGTTGGCCTTTGGCCAGCAATCATCTGCCGGCGAGCATTTGCACTGGTACTTCTTGCCGTTCTCTTGATAAGGAACAAGCTTGTTTGTCGAAACAGCAGTGGCGAGGAGAGAAAGACATGCCACAAGAAACAGATTGGCAAGCGAAGTGCGCGCCATCTTACTCGAAAATTTTGCGAATCCAATCGATTACGATTATGAACCTGTGCTCGAGTTGCCTGACAAGCAGGCTGTTGTGAAACCGTGCCCTTCTTCGACATTTTGTATTCGAGCCCGTATGACACTAGTTTCTCGGTGTAATCGGCGACCTGGAAGCCACCGGCGAAGCTCCTCGTCGCAGTTTCAAGGGCGACTATGGTTTAGCTGCATGACCTGCGCTGAACTACAGCTGAGCCAGTTATTAGCATCAAGGGAGTGAAGTGCCGAATGGAGATCTAGATTTAAGTCGGTAAGGGAGGACAGACTCCCGAGGCACAAGCAAGTCGGGCGTCAATGTCAGGGGTGTTGTGATAGTCAGCCGCCATCTAGTACTGTATCAGCCTCATGGCGGAGAGGTTCAAAGGTCGGAAAGATGGGGAGAAGATCGGTGTGGCAAGAGTTGCGGAAGAAACAGGGTTGGCCAGCTAACTAGCGCGCCTGGTTCTCACAACGGCGTGGAGCGAGGAGAGATCATGCGATTAGTTGCAACTCAACCAGTATGACATGGAGCGACACAAGTGGCTGAGGCAAAGTGCCGAGCAAATCGGGGTAAGATTTAGCGTCCGATGACGGATACCTACCTGTACCGTAGCAGGTCGGCAACTCCGCCGCCAGACCTGGTCTCTGGGCCTCACAGGGAGCACAAGGTGAAACTAAGCAACCATTGCATGGCAAAAGTGATACCCTGTGGTACTGCGTGGCAGCGACAGGGAGCATAAAACGAGTTAACCGAAAGAGACGAGAAATATGAACACAGGGGGTTCCAAGACCAACCAGTAGCGGTTTGTGGGGAGACAGCGGGTCAGATTTTCAGCTCTTGCAACAGAACTGCGGGTTCAGAGTCCATGCTTCCGGCAGGCATCACGAAATTGGCATAGAAAGCTGCGCGGAGGTCGGGGGTGATCCATCCAAAGTTACCAACATTGGGGTTGATACTGACCCCCCATCCTGGCTCGGCACAACCCTTTCTACGTTAGCGGCGCATACCAACGCACGGCACAGCGCCGACTCAGAGGGGGTAATCGGGCCAACCCTGAATTACCCCGGTTGATTCTGCAGCATGTTGACCTTCGTGGCCAGCTCCAACCTCGTGCCGTGCTCCACGGACGACGAGTTTTGCTAGAATAGTTTTCATGTCGAAATCCCAAGTCCACTTGTCAAGCTAGTGGGTCGCTGTTGGAGGCGCTCATAGCACCCTTGACTGATTGCGCTTACCAGGGCCGTTGGGTGCGGGCCGAGTCAGTTGGCTGGATGGTTGGCTACATGGCCAACGTTCGAGAACAAAGAACACGACTTGAAAGTTACAAACAGAAGCTGGGGCTCGCCGGGACAGCGGCGATTGGCATGTGTACAAACATGAATCAATTTAAGCGAACATTGCAATGCCAAATCAGCACCTTAATTAAAAGGCAGCCGTTCGTTTCGAGAACATGCCCAGAGGTGCGCCAAAACCCTTCGGCGTTTGTACCGCGCCGAAGGGTGCTGGTTGGTTTCGGCCGACATGTTCAGTGACCAGGTACAATAGAGTTCGCCGAGCAAATTCGGCATCGGGATTCCACTCTGACTCGGGACACCGAACCACACGGCGACGCAATAGAACAAGATGGATCCAATGTCCTAGCAGTTAGTATGGCTGAGAGCACGGCACATCCTATCCGGATTTTGTGGCCGGGTGTACCCACCTATTGATAGCCGTCAAAGTCTCATCTGGAAAGATAAGCTTCCTGACAGTTGCTGATTCAGCCCAATTGAACCAACCAGCGGTTGTGAACTACAGCTCGAGAGGTTAACGTTCTCGGCCGTTTCCCAGGAGAGTAGCCACCACCAGGGCAGCAAGAACGGTAGCGCAACGACATGAGACTCGGTGGACTAGGTGCCACATTTGATAGTACAAACGGGTCATCAAGGCTTTTGGCGATACGGAAGGCACCCACAGGCTTGTAGTCGATAACCAACATGAACAGGAGTAGTTGTGGCCTAAAAGTCCGAGGTCAACAAGCGAGTGTTGATTTAATTTCCCAGCAGAAGCACTAGCTCACGGACATTGCCAACCTTTGATGTCCGTCGGCCAAAAAGCACGGCGCTGGTGAAAGTTCAAAGAGGGTTTCAAAGGAGCTCTAATAAGACATTAGAGTGCGTATTGCTGCGAAACTTCCGGTCTGGTATTGCACTGTCGGCACCTCGAGCAGTGACAGAGGCACTTGAAGGACGACACAGGATTGGTACATGTTTAAAACCGATAATGTACAAGAAGAGACAATACTCTAAAAAACGACTCGAGAATCAACTTGTTGGGGGGGGGGGGGGGGGGGGGGGGATGCGTGACACAGGCATCCTGCAAACGTTTTCTGAATGGATCTTCAAAATTATGCTACAACCTATCAACCGCTTGGTCTAACTACCTCGTCGCAACCATGCATTTACACAAACTCTTCAGTCATCTACTGCCGCCGGAGGATAGGTACAATTAATTTGAACTGTGGCACAAGCCTTTCCCACATATTTTCGTTGACATTCCTCATCGGCCATGATTGATTGGCGAAGAAACGATGGTTATGGAATGCTTGGAGGCTAATTTCCAGTTCCAATGCCGCACACAACCTTACCTCGACGAACTCCGTCTCTTCCAAGCCGCCCCAAGTCTTGGGCCTACCTGGGTGACTACGCTCGCACCTGCCACAAGGGGACCCATCGTGGGGCGTATCGAGATAAATGTGCATCTTCTCACGCAGGGCATCATCTTCTACATTGAACCCGTCAAAGTCGACAAGGTAGAGCTCCTGAAGCGCTGAGAAGACGTTTGTGAGGATCCGAAGATTCTGGACCCAGTCGTTCTGGTGGCTGGAATACATGGTCATGGGAAACGGGAGATGGGCAGGTCTCCGGAAATGGCGTTGAGGGGTATTTGGGTACCACACGTTCCCATTAGTCACAGAGGGAGGCCAGTAGTTGGGTATTTGGCCATTGAGAAGGTTGCGGGTCCCCTGCTGGGCCTCCAGTTGCCATGTATGCCCAGAATCCATGCGATTGTAAACCATTGGGAGGCCTTTGTCGTAGCTCATCGTGTCCCAGTTTACTATGTTCATGGCAATTGAGGTGAGCTGCTCGAGTAGCGGGTCCCAACTTACTTGCGGATGAGAACTACTCTGAGAAGTGTACAAGAACGGCCCTATGCTGTAAAAACTTGGAATGTGGACGAGGACGAGGTCACTCAGGTTGCAAATGTATGGGTCACCTGCTTCATGGTTAGGCGTTCTCTCCTCGTATACAATTTTTGTCAAGCTCCAACCGCCCTGTTTCTGTGGGAACGGATCAAGACGTCGGCCTCGCTTCACGATTTCCCGACCCTGGCGGCTTGTGGCCGCAATTGCATCCCTGGACGGTGTCGGGTTCGTGCTACGACACAAAAACCTTCATTCCGGGTGGTTCATGAGAAACTGGCGTCGGAGGGGCCAGAAGGTGATGTAGTTGGGCCGAGCACGATAACACAGGCACCCTGGAATCGGGGGAACCCTTGGGCAAGCGTCGGTCTCATGAACCACTGCCTGTCTAAACGAGACAAAACGCATGGTGGGTGTTTCGGGGTTGAAGGCAGCCTCGAGAACCATGTCGTGGACCTCGCCGGGCAAACTTTGATAGAGGGAAGCGGGGTCCCGCGATGCGCTTCCTGCTTGCAAGCTAGTTTGAGAGACACTCGAGTTGGAAGGTTGAAATTGTGCACCGGGGACGCCCAACTGACTTGGCCCCACGGTTGTGCTACGGAATTGATTCGTTCTCTTTTGTTCAGGCAGTTCTGTCGTTGGATCTTCCGACGAAGACTTATAAGTATGGGTACCTGACATGGTGTTGACAGCTAGACAATTCTTTTGCACAAAAATACACAGACCACCAATGTTAATGTTAATGACTTGATGTTTTGGGAGCGAGTATGGTTTTGCCTCAGACGCCGTGAATTAGTGACCGGTGTTATATACACCGACCATGTGAGTGTTTGCAAGTCCTGAAAACAGATGGTTTCTCCCAAACTACTGTTGTCATTGTCTTTGATTTTGTTGACTCGTTTGCATTCTTGTGCTGCTAGCTATTCAGCTGGAGACACCATTCACCTGGATGAAAGGCGGTATCGGACACTGATCGAAGAAAGAGGTCCTCGACTTCTGCTGCCAATTGCTTTTGTGAAATCGAACAAAGACGACCATCAGCAAACTATGACGTTCCAACCCAACTGTCCAAATGTTGAAAACCGGCGCCCATGCGCATGCCGCCAACGCCTTTAAAGACTTTTGTTTTTTTACGTTCGGGTATCAAAGTAAGATCTACTGTCCTCTTCCGATCGGGTAGTTGAACATCAGCAGGCCGTTCAGGCCACCTACCCAGCCATCGTCGTCGTAATCCGATGCATCACCCTTACCTGGTCCGCAGATAACGCACGGCACGCCGCCTTTCCAATCGCCGTCAGGGGACTCGCCAACCATCTCACCTTCGACGCGGATTTCAGTGCCAATGCCAGCACCGGCGCTTCTCTTGCCATCAATGCTGACCTCAAGCTCGCCATCGCGGTTCTTGCTGCTGACCTTGAGCGTCACCTTTGTGCTCAGGGGCAGGACCAAAGGTCGAAAGCTCAGGCTCCTGGGGCAGATGGGAGTGATGAGCAAAGACTTTACGAGAGGGTGGATGATGGAGCCGCCGGCACTGAGGCTGTAGGCCGTCGAACCCGTTGGTGTGCTCAGAAGTATGCCGTCCGCCACGGCTTCCGTCAAGAATCGGTTGTTGAGGTAGATGTCGATGTGGGCGAGGTGAGGCTTCGGGCCTCGATGGATGAGAAGCTCGTTAAGGGCGTGGATTGGTTGCGGGATGTCTCTCTTTGTTAGGATTGTATCCTCGGGGGGGACTGCTGGCAAATGCGCCTGGGATTTCGTTGTCGGAAGCAACTGACTGTTGATGTTCTGGCCATTGTTGTCATAGACGCCGACCCGCAGACGATGCCGGAGCAATATCTTGGCTGCTCGGCTCTGACCCATGCTCTTTCCTGGAGATGCATGCCATCCAGACTGGCCTCCATTATTGATATCGTGTTCCTTCTCTCCGCTTGCAACTCTGGTGTGTGGCGACAAGAGATCCTCGACGGCGACGCCACTGCCACTCATGTATGCCTCCCTCCAAGCCCGCTTGTACTCCTCAAACTTCCACTCCGCAAGAAACCCAATTGTTCCAAAGTTGAAAGCTAGGATAGGTGGCACCGCAGAGTACATGCTAAAGTGGCTCGCAGCACGCAAGATGGTGCCGTCGCCGCCCAGCGTCGTGATCATGTCGATCTTGTCGGGAAACGTGGAAGGATCACAGGTGTGGATAGGGAAGTTGAGAGATTCGTGCACCATTTGAGCCACCCTGGGTTCAAATATCAGGTTCAAGCCCGAGTATGTGCTGTTCAGGTGCTTCGCAAAGTCGATGGTCGCGCGGAGGACTTGGGGGGATCGCAGTTTCGGCATCAGGAGGATGTTCCGCGGTGGCGTCGGCCAGTGCAAGGATAGGAGACCAGAGGTTGAGTTCGGAGGGTCGCGGTACTTTGGGATAACCCTCGACGGTAGCGAAGAGACATCGCGGATCTCGGCCGCCCGCGCGGACGCCGTCGTGGAAAAGTTCAGCGGCCGAGACGCACGAGTCGGCGCCGCAGCCAGCGGCCAGGTGCAATGACGAAGTGCTCTAGACCCAAGCATTCTAACGGGAACAGTGGTTTAGAGAGACAGACAACAGGGACAATTCTTCACCGACTGTTCACGGTCGAGCGTCGCGCTCCGTAACCGATCGGGGGAAGCGCGTCGAGTCGATGCTGTTGCGTCCGGTACGGGATTGTGGAAAGTCAGGTCTGGAATGAATTAGCAATGACGACAATGCCATTAGGCAGCCCCACTCGAGCTTTTTGACCGAGCTACACCGAGCTGACTCATCACCCGAAGCCACCGACCTTCGGGCTCGGGGAAACGCAGCCCGCCGTCGCGGACAGAGTCTCCCCTATGTAGCCTCGGGATACTTCTCAGCAAACCTCATTGCATCGCGACCCTTGCAGAGAAAGCGGCGGTTCAACGTTGTTAGGTCGGGCGTTATGTCTGGGCTCTAAGACACTGCGTTTATTTTGTATTCTTACACCGACGTCACCACCCAGTGTGTATTTCTAGAAACCAACAAAGGATCTCGACAGTCCTCAGGGAGTGGACTCTATAAGCGGGCGATGGAAACGACGTGTGTATTCTGGTTTCATCAGTCTCCTTCGCAAGGATGCCAGAATACTTTGACTACGATTTGCTAGGCGAGGTATTCGAGTCTGCCCCGACGTATTGCAGTTTATGGTCAGGTCCGGCGTAGCGAGAGGGACCTGTTCGGCGTAGGTAATCGATCGCGTTTTTCGACTGTTCATCAGTACTATGTTACCTACACGGTTTATAACGACGAGATCGTATTGCTCCCTGCAGAATCCCCGAGCTTATGGATCACGACTGATGTCTAAAACACGATAGTCTTGAAATCTTACGGTTATAACTCAAAATCATGCCTTGGCAGGAGGGAAGAATCCAGCTGACTTAATACCAGCTCCGCTAAAAATATTTAAAGCCATGAAAGCCTGATGGATAAGAAGGAACAAGCTAGAAAGGTAATCTAGGCTTGAGTAAAAAGCTCTGTATGCATATAATACCGTTGAACGTCCGATTGTGGCGACGACGACGAGTCTAATACATACCGAAGAGGCCAAATAGCCAGAAGCGAACAATTGCCACTTGTCGAATCACCAGTGCAGTCACAAGGATGGAATAATATACAACAATCAGCTTCGACTCAAGCCAAAGGCTCTTTGACCATTGTGATTTTGCCGCGGGCCTCGATAGCCAAGTTTGGCGTCCCCACAAGCACTGGGCTTCTCGATCCGAAAACCAACACTAGTTATCCTCCGAGACAGACCCTACTCGATGCAACCTCCGAACGCTTGCGGATACGTAAGGGACGCATTGAGACCATGACAAAGCGATAATATGAAAGCGAAGGTATTGTACGAGACTGTTGCATGAAGTGTGATTTAACAACTGAGTTGTTTCATCAGCAGCTCTCTGAATTTTCTGGCAATGGACCGGTAAATAGTGACAAAGATGCTGAGGGTTTTCCATATTGTGTGCATCCAGAGCCCAGTCATGCTCGACTAGACCCAAATAGATACCCCATGTGGATTGGCCATAAGGTGTGACAGGGATCAGCAACTCCATCAGGTACCAGATGTTGTCCTACCACAGGCGAATTCATTCGTTGAGGAAGATTCCTCTTGGAAGCGAACCGAAAAAGGAAAGCGCCCATTTGCGTGCTATGGCCACTCGTCAGGCCGAGTATGTATGACAGAATTGTGCAATTAGCGTCAAGGCCGAGAATGCAAAACGCGGAACATGAACGCACGACGACGTCACAAAGGCGTCCGATAAGCAACAGGGGTAAAATTTCCCAACCAGCTGTAATGGCTTTTCGCCATGTATAACGCAGATTTCCCTCATCTCTAGCGCCTTTGAAGCTGCAGCACGGCGGAAGCCAAACCTGCTCTGCCGCGCGCGCGCGCTCATGCAGGCACCGACATCCTGCTGTCTGAGTTTTGACGTATGACGGAATGTTTTTTTCACTGTCTTTCTTTACCGCATTACCATTGTCTTCGCCCATAGATTTGTCTCTTGTAAACGTTCTCAATTCCTGCTTCGTTCAAAAAAAAAAACCAGTCTTGCGAAACTTTTCGTGCAGCGCTACAAGAACAACAAAATATACACTCCAATAGACGGAAATAAACCAGGACAGCAGTCATTATGGGCGACAATGGTAAAGCAATATGTCTGTTTCACCTCGCGCAATCTGTTCTAATGATCTCCTAGACCACGGCCAGGAGCCCACCCGCGAAAATGACACCATGTTCCAAGCGTTTGAATGGAATGTCCCTGCCGACAAACAGCACTGGAAGCGTTTGACGTCAGCCATTCCCAAGTTGAAAGCTATCGGAGTCGACAACATTTGGCTCCCTCCTGGTTGCAAAGCGCAATCTGCGGATGGGAACGGTTACGACATCTATGACCTCTACGACCTTGGCGAATTCGACCAGAAGGGTGGCAAGTCCACGAAGTGGGGTCCTAAAGAGGAGCTTGTAGAACTTTGCAAAGTAGCCAAGGAGAACGGCGTTGGTGTCTACTGGGACGCCGTGTTGAATCACAAGGCTGGCGCAGATAAGACTGAGCGGTGCCGCGTTGTGGAGGTCGATGAGAACGATCGCAACAAAGAAGTTTCAGACCCGTACGAGATTGAAGGATGGTTGGGATTCGACTTTCCAGGCCGAGGAGACAAGTACTCGAGCTTAAAGTGGCACTGGGAGCATTTTGGCGGTACCGATTGGAACCAAGAGAACGAACGCAAGGCCATCTACAAGATCATGGGAGATAACAAAGAGTGGTCGCAATCGGTCGGCGACGAGCAAGGCAACGCGGATTATATGATGTTCGCCGATGTGGACTACTCACACCCGGAAGTCCGAGAAGATGTTAAGAACTGGGGTGTATGGATCACGAAGGAACTTGGGCTCAAGGGTTTCCGCCTTGATGCAGTTCAACACTTTAGCCAGACTTTTACCAATGAGTGGATCGACAACTTGCGCGACGAATGTGGGAAGGACATATTTGTTGTCGGGGAGTTCTGGACCGCAGAGACAGGGCCAATGATGGAGTGGTTGGAGACCATGGACCACAAGTTCTCGCTGTATGACGCGCCACTCGTCTACAACTTCAGTCAGATCAGCACCACCGAAGCCGGTGATCTGAGGAAGGTTTTCGACGGAAGTCTCGTCAAAGAAAAGCCCATCAACGCTGTCACGGTGGTCATGAACCACGATACGCAGCCGGGACAGACGATGGATACCAAGATTGAGGGTTTCTTCAAGCCGCTTGCGTACTCACTTATCCTGCTCCGCAAGGAAGGATACCCGTGTCCGTTTTACGGTGATCTTTATGGCCTGAACAAGGACTCCGAACCGCCTTCGTGTGGAGGAAAGCTCGCTGATCTTATGCTTGCTCGTAAGCTCTACGCTTACGGATCTCAGGAGGACTACTGGGATGACCCGAACTGCATCGGCTTCGTTAGGCGCGCAACATGGGACAAGCCGAATGGTCTTGCCTGTGTGATGAGCAACAAGGGTCCTGGCGAGATCCGCATGGCTGTGGGTCAAGAGCACAAAGGTGAACGTTGGACGGACCTGCTTGGTTGGGAAGAGGGCGAGGTCGTGATCGACGACGAAGGTTACGGACTCTTCAGATGCCCGGGTATTTCGGTATCTATATGGGTAAATAAGGAGGCCGAGGGACGCGAGAGGTTCCCAACAAACTTCGACTCTAACATTTATGGACATTGAACCAGAATGAATTGGGTCTAGACATATAATATATTCCCTTAATGTTGCAGAAGATGAAGTTGTTTAGTAATACGATTCGATGTTTCCCGCGGAAGATTGAACGCAACGACAAGATGCGAGAAAATATACGCAGCAAAATTGTTTAGGATCACATTATCGAATGGCCTGATTTGAATGCTCAAGCACTCGCAACAGCACCATAACTCAAATGATTTCCCAGAGCTAGAAGCCATCGAAGAGTTAGAAACTCTCATGCCCATCAAGCACTTGATATCCAAAGTTTGTTGCAAATCGGAGGATGGAATTGCTGCCAGGTTGCCGGTAGTGCTGTACAAAAAGTAATGGCTGAACTTAACGAAGCAGCGTGGCTGCCAATTCGAATCCTACCGGCTCCTGTAGGCAAAGCCACACCCAAAAAAGACACCCTACTGAGTGCATTTCAAGGCTGAAATGCATGGGAAAACCAGCCAATGCATCCTATCATCATAGCTAAGTACGGGTACAACTCTACTACATGTTTCGGGACATCTGGAGGCCGCCGTTCAGCGCGGTGCGCCTTTGATCAACGTATTCTGTAAATGGACGGCTTCTGAAAGCCATTGGACTCATGACATACTTTTCCGGATCGGGCTTTAGTACATCTGGCTTCGGTGCAAGTAGCACTTGAAACGTAATTATTAAGCTAGTCTAGACTAGGCAGACTGGGCAACAACATTCAACATTAAAGCATTCTTCCCAAAGGTCAATGGTGTCATTTTGGAGAACTCAAGAACGTCTTACATACCTCAGACCAGCTGTGAGAAAGAGGTGCTAGTTGAGTCATCTAAGTCGATCCTAATAAGATTCCTGACGTACCTGCTGTGGTCTTGTTGGAGCGTCGGCTGGTCACCAACACTTTTTGTGCCTTGTGACTAAGACTAACATGAACACAATGCTTTCTTTACATGTGCTAATGCCGGTATAACTTTTTCGGATGATCTTCTGACGTAAATTCCTCACTCCGTTTTTGCACGATCACATCAACACGTGTTAGCGTACGTGAGGCCATGGATGTCTTGCTTGCTCCCAACGCATGTAGAATAGGCATGTTCTTGTCACATCTACCAAGACGGCCAAGCTTGAAAGCTTGTGAAGTTGAAAGCCGTTTTCAGCACAACATTGCGAAAATTCGAGCAGATGGAGTGCGTTGAGGGAATGGTACCGAGGTCTTCGTGACCTCTAATGGCATGATAAATTTGAGACAACATGGTTCATAACCGAAAATAATAATTATCATTCACTTGGTTGTTAGATAAATCCTTCCGGTTCCATGCACCGCCAGCCGCAGATTCGATTAGCTCGCTGACACAAAACTCCTTCCATTAATAGCTATCGCCCATGACAAGCGATGGAAAAAACTAGGTTGAGGCTGTGATCAGCGCCATCTGTGCTGATGCCACTAGCGCTGACTTGACAAGCTCAGTCACTTTTTGAACTGCATCCACTCTCCCTCGCCGGCGTTCTCCTTCAGCCTCAGCAACTCTGTTTTAGGCCACTGGGGGTTTGTCACGGTTCCCCAAGTGCACTTGGTCGTTGAGGGCTTCTGGAATGGCGCCAAGGATCTAGCGCTAACCTCGTCTTATGTCTGCTCAGAACATTTACACCATCGTATAAGACCCTCCCGTCCTGACAGATTCTTGTCACAATGATCCATCCCTAGCAACTAGCAACAATTAGATGCGGAGAAACAATAGGTCTTTGACGACTACATAAGTTTGTTTTGTGTGCTTGACGTTGGACGGTACCAAGCCCTAACGCTGGAGATCACATCGCTTACACAGATGCGCTCGTCACTGTTGCGGGCGCTCGCCCTCACCGGCACGACCTCAGCTGCTGCTGTGACGTCAACACAAGCACAAGCTGGCATTACAACCACGGCAATTCAAGCAGCATCCACACCAAGAGATGCCTGTGGCATCGCGCAATCGGCCGCCGATTCGTTTCTCTCAGCAAGACCCAGCGCCACGTCCGTTCAGCTTCCTCCTACAGTGGCTTTTGATTGCCTGAACTTGGTCCCTGTTGACAAGCAGAAAGACTTGGATCTTCTCAACTACCTCGAACCATACATCATGTTCCAAAGCACCTTGGAGCCTCTCACCGACCCTCCCGAGGGATACTTACTCCCTGGTGTCGACGTCATCGGTGGAATTGGCCAAATCCGTGCTAAACTCATGAAGGATGCTTACATGAGTCAAGTGGAATTCTCCTTGGATCTTGCGCGAGTTGTAAGCTCCACCGCTATTCTTCCCAGTCTCGTCATTGGAATTCGACTGAACACAGCTACAGTTTGCCCAAGCATCCGACGGGCATTTTGATTACAATCCCGCACTTCTCAGTGTCTTCACCTTCCGCAGCTTGACCTCCCTGGTCTCCGTCTCCGATGATGGTCTGAGCGTACCAAGGGTTTATCTTTACAACGATTTCGCCAAGTCAGCTATCAACGACACAGACGTGTGGGACATCAAGAGCATCGACAACGTTCCCATCACAGAATGGCTTGAGGCACAATCGTTCCAAGTCAACAGCCAAGACCCAGACGCCAAGTACAACGCTCTGTTCAGAACCAACGCCGCCAGTGACTTCCAGGGCGGAGGAAATTATTTTGTTCTGCGGTACGCTGGAGAGGCTCCAGATACTCAAGTTATCAAGTTCACTAACGGCACTGAGTACACGGATAAGTTGGTTGCCATCGTCGACAAGGCTTTAGTACCCTTCATCGGTAGTCCCGAGTCTATTCACTCGAAGGTCGAGCTTCCGCCTACCACTACCAGTTCCGCGACTAGTGCTACATCGTCCGCCTCCCAATCTTCAACGACGGCGACACCTACCTCCACAAAGATTCCAGGTTACCCCTTGCCTGTCGTCAAGCACGCAAGTGATTGGATCTCCGGGTATTTCCTCAACGGCAGCAATTATGAGGACACTGCGGTCCTCGTCGTTCTCTCTTTTGCTCCATCAGACCTTGATAACGCAAACGGGACGTTCGAGATTGACGAGGCCAGACGGGTTGTTGACGAGTTTCTCGAGGAAGCCAGGGAGGCCGGCAAGACGAAGCTTGTAATTGATGTCCAGGCAAACGGTGGCGGATTTGTGGCTGCTGGCTTCCAGCTTTACAACCAGCTCTTTCCCAAGGCCACAGACGTCTGGGACGGAAACCGGCTCCGCGCCCATGAGGCGTTAAACGCCCTTGGGCTGACTGCCCAAGAAGTGTCCCCTAGGGTTCTTGCAGACTTTAACAAGGCCAATCTCAACGAAAGCCGTCAACCCTACGAGGAGTGGCAGGATCTTTTCGGTCCCGAGCTGATCGCAGGCCAGAACGTTACCAACCTCTTGCGCTACAGTCAAGATGCGTTCCCCTTCTCCCCGAGCACGGGAGACCAGGTTTTCGATCCGCAGAATATCGTGGTTGTAACCGACGGAAGCTGCGCATCAACCTGTGCAATCTTCACTGGACTCTTGATCCAAGAACAGGGCGTCCGCACTATTGCTCTGGGAGGCCGTCCCAGAGAGACTGCCATGCAGGCAGTTGGTGGAGTCAAAGGCGCAGAAGTACTCACGTTTGTCACTCTACAAGCGGTCATTAGGCAAACTGCCCGTGACGCAATCCGGGCCAACTATCTCGATTATTTGAGGGATGCTTTTGATGTTCTCCCAGACGTAGGAGAACCTCCTCTGCTACCTAGTCTTGCTAGATCTGGCGGCAAGTTCAACTACCGTAACGCTTATTCGCGTAAAAATGTCGACGGATACCCACAACAATTTATTTACGAGGCTGCAAATTGCCGTCTTTTCTATACCACTGAAATGATTATCGACCCGGTTGCCGCCTGGACACGTAGTGCCGATGTCGCTTGGAAAAATGCCAAATGCGTCAACGGATCAACTGTGAACTCTGACAACACAATCGGCAATGATCTCGTTCCGTATAATGCAAAGGTCATCGGTTCGAATCTAGAGTATGAGGGGCCTGGCAGTCTATTATACAAGGGCGACTACGAACCGCCATCACCATACGTTGGGCAACAAACCAGTAACAAACGATCAATCATTGACGCTCTTAGCCCTCCTGAAGACTTCGAGTACGAGTTCAACAAGTTCAAGATTGGAAGCTTGGACGAATTTCTTGGCTAGAATTTCTTGGACAGCTTTGAATCCGAATACAAGAATGAGATGGGCATCAGCCATGCGGCCCAGAAGCGATTATTGTAAATACCGGGAGCTAGTGGTCATGACTTCAAATAAATCATGGCCAAGATGTTTTGGACAAGATCTTGTCGAAATACAAGTGAACAGTCACTCCTCACACGTTGTTATTAGCTAGGCGCTTGTGAATAACCACAAAGTTCACAAAAACTAGCCCTAGGCCACTTTTGACGTTCATTGCGTAAAAGAATTGAGTGCAATAAAGAAATTCGTAAACCAAATCTCCGACAAGGAATATTGATAAAATAATGGTTCACCTAGTAAAGTTTTGCAAGACAAATCAATACTAGATCAGTTCAATCTGAGACTGGTGATTAAGCACCTACAATGCATGTTCAACAACGACTTGCTCGCTACTTTGACGATCAACCCAATTAATAATCTACGATCAAGATCAACAGATAATGCTTGGCATACGTTCACCTCAGATTTTTAACCTTTCACTAAGGCCAAGCTCAATGCCAGCGTTACTCCCTAGCGGCTCCAATCATTACCTACAGCATATCAACCGGGGACCATAAACTCCAAGGGACTCGGGAGCAACCAATACTGGGTGAGATGTTAAGCTACGTATGGTTTAAGCCAAGACAGTAGCCAACATCAACTCTGATCCTCACTTTGTAGGTTTCTAGAGGTGCCACCGACTTCAGACTGTAAATGACCAGTAATCTGAAGCGGTTTCTTGCTGGAGTCACTCTTTCAAACCTGCCACAATTCACTTGGGCCATGCTTTCAATTACACGCCCACACTAACAATGTTCCTATCTGTTTCGGACATTAGGCATCCGACAGAGATATTGACTTGTCATTAGCAGATTTAATAGTCGGCCCAATGCTGTCAGTTATGGTAGCTATGTCAGGCGAGTCTCAGTGTCGCAACAGTTTTTCTGGATGCTCTACCGATGTTTCAAGAAAACAGCATCCGAAACCTAAGACACAAGATTATGATTTGACCGAAGTCGAGCATCGGTTTAAATGCAAGGATGGTCTTTTTAATATATTATTTTTCCGGAAGGTCAAGTACTTTGGCGGTCATCGTCTAGCTAATTTCCACTCTACCCGGAAGCAGGACCCTCACGAGGTAAGTATTGCCTTACTCCGATCCCTCTTACCTACATTTGACCAACATTTGACCGACCATGTGTCTCGCAGCAAATCCTAATTCCAAACTTCAATGGAGTAGATCCGCAATTTGATGCCACTCTAACATACTATGAGTCTCTCCTCTCGGAGTGTGCTAGCACACTATTGGCAGCATTGAATCCCCTCTCTAACCATAAATTCCCCTGATTCCGGGAGCGTTGCCATCTGGCTGTTCAGCTGAACTCTTTTTCTGTGCACACGGCCCCGAGCAGCTTGGATCATCGAGGGCTATATTTGGGACGAACTGTTGTCAACTAATTTTGATCTGGTTCATGTAGTCATGTTTAGGTAGTGATGCATAAGGCAACATTATCAAACTTTCAAGATCCGCAAATGTGAGTTTCTTCAGGTTCATAATTATATGTGTTCTACGTTTCAACGCCTTGTTCGTTGAGTTATACATTTGGATCGATAAATCGCTCGTGCTCTAGGTATTTGTAGCAAGCCCTATGGCCATATCCCATAAACAAAGGGGTCAACGTATGGATAGTCAGCTTCCATGCCCATGATAATACTATACTCATCTCGCAACAAGTCTGATCCCTCATTCCCATAAGCTGTGTACTTGCTAAGCTCGTGTCTTCGTAACGCTATTGTCCAGGGAAAACTTGAGTGCGCGACGCCCATGAACGCGCTCGCCTTAAACATTACCATGAAGTCTACCAGGCCCTGCTGGTCAAACGTAAGGCCATCGAGCTGCTCTCTGTCAGGCCCTTGGAGCAGATCATGCTTAGTGACCACCGTCACGTTCCTCTTCTCGGATTCTGACCCAGCTGCGAGGCGCTCATGCAGTCTTTCGGCGAATATGTCGACCACGGTTTGGTTTCCTGACGCGACGTAGACAACGTTAAGACCCGTGCGCTCCAGATTCTTGAATTGCTCCTCAAACTGATCTTCCATCCGCGAAAAGCGCCATTCGTCCGGTGTCCAAGCGGATGTCGCATCCTCTTCGAGTCGCAGGTGGGCGCCATAAAAAGCGTTTGGATTGATAGCTACCGTCGGATCGATAGGCAATGCGAACCTCTCTTTTAGCTTGAAAAGAATCTTGGCTGCCAGAGCTCGGGTTTCGTGTCGGAAAGACAGGATTTTGCCGAATTCGTGCACGAAAGCGTCGCCATCGTCGCGAACGGGATATTCGAGGAAAGACTGCTCGATCTTGACGTGCACCGGTGCATCCGGTTGAATGCGGTCCCTGACGGACATTTGGTCTAGCCAATTGTCGAAGAATTGCCGCCATTTTCGAGGGTACTTCAATCCCTCCCTAGGGTGGTCTGGCTCGAACTGGTCGCCTATCAAACTCAAAGGCTCCCCTATTCGACGGTCGTAAAATGGGAAGTCTTCTGCGCGTTCGTATATCCGCATCCCAGGGCATCCATTTGTCAAATGGGTAACGAATGCCTCATGATCCAATAGGTAATCGAGAGGAACCTCTGTGGTAGTTTCGATGTCGGTAATATCTTTCGCGTTTCGCAGTGCCATTGAAGGGACAACAACCGCGCCTCCGCCGTTGATCGCGTACCGGACGCATTTCAAGATCTGGTTGCGCACCATTCCAATGCCACCATGCTGTCCTTCGCAGCTGAACAGCAGGCCGGGGCGGAAACGAGTACGAGAGCAAATCTGTCGAATAGGCTCATAGTCGATTGGGGCGGGGTATTCGACATCCATGGCCTGTCGGATGAATGTGGTCTCAGCATCTTGCTGGCCTAGCGCCTCGTCGAATAATGATGAGACTGCGTCCGATAATACTTCGTGAACGCCCAAAAGACGAAGACTCCAGACGAAGATGAGGAGTACAGCGAATAAAAAGCACACCAGGGGACGGTTTTGACAAAGCATTGCCGCTGGTTACAATCAAGTGACAGCGATAATAAAAAACAGGTACGGAAGCGATCGAAAACAGGTACTGAAGCGACGGAAAGCCAAGAAATGCCAAGAGAGCCAAGAGATGAATTCAGATGAGATTTCTTTTCCAGAAATCCCACAAAAGCCGGGTGGCCAGAAGATCCCCCAATGTTGTGTGGGGAGACTGGAGCATCCGGGGCCTTGCCGATTGAGGTTTCAGTCTTGTTTCGAGCCACTGTTAGACTGTAGTACCGATATTTGGTCTACACCAAGGCGATTTGGTATTTGTCTGCATACCTCCACTTTTCAGAGCTTCACCACACAGCCACATCAGGCCCCATACTTTCAAAAGTACTACTCCACAGAGGTACATCTTCTTCTGCTGGCGACTTAGTAGCCCCTACGCGTCTACGCATGCCTACGCGTGTAATATTTTCGTTATTGACGGGTTCCCTAGAGTTGTAAATACCCTTGTATTTAGCTTCAAGGATTGAGATTCTTATATATGTGCTGGCATACAACAGCACGTAGCTAATAGACTAGCTAAAGGACAGAACAGAAGTAAGACAAAGGCGGTAGGACAAGAAAAAGGGTTTTTTGGGTAGGATCTACCTACGCATGTGCTGAGCAAGACAAATCCAATGCTGCAGAGGACAAACTGATTAATAAACTAGAAGTCACGTAGGCCACTGTGGGACTGTTTCTTTTCTGTTGGCTAATTAATCAAAACAGCTTCTCGTCCGTTGTTGGTGTTCCTTATGTACCTCTGCGGGATAGTACTTTCAGTGGGAAAGGCCTGATGTGGCTGATGTGTCTTTGTGGCGAAGCTGCCAAAAGTGGTTAGATGCGGCTGCCCGCATTCCTCTTCACTCCCGAAGTTATTGTCAATGAACGCCGCCTGGCGCTTACGCCGCGAGAATAAATGTGAAAATATCTTGTATCATGAGGAAATAGGCTTGTATCGTCTGACCATCATGCACGGAAAAAGGTTATTAGCTGTCAGACCTATGTGGATAGCTTAACTTGACTGCTCACAACCCAATCCGCTCGCCTCGGTGCCCTCGCATCTTCGCGTCTCGGATCGTCGCCACGAGTCATTCTCCCCGTGTCGTGTCACAAAAGACTAACTCTTTCAGCATTTCCTTGAGGTCACCTGGAGCCGACCAGCTCAGCTTGAGTTCCAGTTATTCTAGTCTCCAAACCCATGCTACAGGTTACGAGAAGATAATGCAGGGCCTTGCTGATACGCTCCTTCGCGACTTGAACGCACTCAAAGACGGACTTGTGACTATCGCCTAGATACTCTTAGTACCCTCTACTAGTAAAGACCACCCAGCACCTTTTTCTATTAGATAGATCACCATATCCTCTGAAGACGCGATCTATCAGAATCAGTCTCTTGCCTCAGCTTCTGTTAACAGAAACCCCTAGTGTCGGTTCGCTGACCGTAACAACTGCTGGATGATTCCAAAAACTGAATCTTCTGGGGTACAGGTCTACGGGAATGGATCGTACTCTCCAACCCCATTACACACCCCATCTATCTCCACCCCATCGATCCGCTGCACCGCTTTCCCGCCTGCTCCAAAACGAAGTACATCCCCTCCATTTGCCTCACTAACAACCTGTGGCTTCCATCCAAATTTCTGCTGCGGGCCCTGATACGGATCCTCCGCAAACGCCATGATATGATCCTGCATCGCCTTGCTAACCTCGACCTGGAATTCCGTCGTTGGCGCTACATGATCCAACAGCCCGTACGTTCCAAATACCAAAGGCGTCTCGCTGTTATGGTATGCGCCCAGCCAACTGTACACATTCAAATTGGGAAATTCGCCTGCGTATTGAAACCGGAAAACGGGAGCTTCCAACGTGCTTAGCTGGTTGCGAGCGACGGTGGCGTTGAGGCCTGCGCACACCCATACGATGTCTAGATCCGTGACCTCCGGCTGCCATGGGCCTTCGGTCAGGTTCTCTTTTGGCCATGGGACCAGCGAGGAGAACTCGTTGGCTGTCAAGGAGATGAGGGTCGGGCGGTGCGCGATTTTGCCCGCCGCGGCGCGCGCGTTGTAGTCACGGAAGACGATACGATCATCGGGGACAACGCTGAAGAATAGAGCGGGTGTCTCTTCTCGGTCGCCGTACTGTCCGAGAAAGTTCGTGATCTGTGCAAAGGATACTCGGCGCATGCAGTCGAGTTCTGCCGTGCCATTGAAGTCCTCGCAGTTGGCGCCGCAGGGAGACTCGCAGCCTACGTGCTGCGCTACGAAGCTAAAGCTGAAGTACGTTGGATCCTCATCAATCCCGGAAGGTACGACTCCCGACTCCAGATAATAGGATTGGGCAATTGGGTCGTCATGGTAAGCATAGGCGTGCATGTCCGCGCTGACGGAGCCCGCAGACCGGCCCCAGTGCATAATGCGAGATGGGTCGCCACCAAAGGCTGCGACATTGTCGCGAACCCATTCGAGAGCAGCTCGCTGGTCGAGAATGCCAAGGTTTTGCTCTCCATCAGCCAACCCGCGCGCATTAGGAAAGCCGAAGATGCTGACGCGGTAGTTGATGGTGACGATGATTGCCGATTGCGACCGCTCGACCCACGATGTTGGAATTTGCCAAGGAAGATTAATGCCGCCCATCACGAAACCACCGCCTGTCATGAAAAAGAGGACTGGGAACCCCCCTTTAGGAGGCGGAGTCGTAGGCGTCCAGATCGCCAGGTAAAGGCAGTCTTCGGATGTCGCTTCGCCTACCAGACCCGACGAGTCGTTCTGGCCGCCATTGTAAATCAGATTACCCTTGGTCAGAGGTGTGTTCCAGAGAGATTCGACTGCCGTCACGAACTGGGGGCATGAAGGCGGGAACTTTGTCGCATATTGATGCTTGTGCGAGGGCGGAAGCTTCTCAGGAGGCAGCCAGCGACGCGACCCGACAGGAGGCTCTGCGAAAGGAATGGAGCGCCATTGCCGAGTATTGGGGAATTCCGGATCGATCACTCCTGTAAAGGTGCCAGTTGAGATTTGCACAGTGAGGCTGTCGGAGTGCGAAACGTTGCTGGCTGCTGAGCGAACGCTAGCCACCGATGCGAGGAGCGGCAAGATGGCGAGCTTCATATTGATGTAGGGCAGCTTACTGACTTCAAAGTATCTGGAGCAGAGCACTTGAGGTATAAATACATCATTCCCTTATCAGTCCTTGGCTTTAGTTACCCCGCTCCGTTCCCGTAATCCTGACCTCTTTCTAGAAGGTGGCATTGCAAAACCATGTGGTCAGCAATCCTTTGAAGAAAGAGGCAACTCTAGCGAGTATCTGAAGGATACCGAACCTTTGGTGTTAGCACTGGACTTGAAATGAAGTTGCCGGCCGGGTTGGTGCTTTCCTAGCTCTCTTCCCAGTTTGTCTTATATACATGTTATGATAACGATGAATCGGTATTCTAGTCTGTATATCCCTTTAACGATATGCTTACATGCCGTGAACAGGTCAGACAGTACTATGCTGTAAACGTGAACGTCTGAGCTGCGAGTCTTGGTAGGTGATAACCACCTATAGGATCAATTTTGTGCAAGAAGATAGCATAGGTGGGCAATCTGCATAACCTTTGTGTAATTATACCTTGAGACATTTTCGACTCTCTCCAAGGTAAGTTTGCACTATCTAGCATAGCCATAGCTGCTCGTTTATATAATAAAGTTTTCCCTCTCACTGAGTCTTTCTCTCTTCCTTCCAAATCTCCTTAGCGTGCGAGGACAGACAAAAAGTAGCGGATAGCCCTAATCGGTAAAATTCACTAAGATGCGTAAATGAAAGACTAAATAGAAAGAATGCTCTAATATTGTTTCGAATGAGGCGCCGCAAACTGTCAAGAACCTCTTGACTTCTCCATGTGCTTTCTTGGTTCGGTGCCTGAACAAATAGCACCGTGATGAAGCTTGACGCAACGACAAAACTCAGTTATGACCCTATGACAATGTTAGCGTTAAAAGTTGCTTCGTTACTCAATCGCCCAGATGAGTCCCCAAACTCTCCAAACTGTCTGGATAAAAGCTTTGAAACAAATGCAAGAAGACATTTAGCTTAAGTCAAGACGTATTGGTGAAGCCCCATGAGGGTAGCTTCTTGCCCAACGCCATTGTCTCCGAAGTCCAAAGTAATATCACCGAGTTCCGCAAAGTCCTAGTTCAATTCTTCGAACGAAAAAAGAGGGGGTTCCCTGCTGGTTGCTCTTCCTAGTCTACATTGATGATGGGAGGCGGCAGTCGAGGCTGTACGGTAGGGCGCCAGACCGCCCGCCAGACATAGGTAACAAGGGTCAAATAAGCGAACTGTATGGAAGTCGGGCTGTTATCTAAGGCCAGTTTATGGCATCAGACTCTCCTAAAATAGTTCTTAGGATTAGAAGATTAGACCGCCACGTACTGGGAGCATCAAGTGCCAGCTTCTGGGATGACCTTCGAGAACTGCGAAGGCTAGTATTCAAATGATTCTATACTCGAACCCACAAGACTGTCAACTCACTGTACGCTCTGCTGTACGGAGTCCGCAATCAATGCCAAGCTAGCCATTCCCATGAACGGTATTTGTGTCTCAGCCTCTGCATGGTTGCAAAATCAGACGAGAGTAGTTCGCTGGCATCCCATTCTCTGTGATGAATATATGGTGGTCGACCACTCGGTAGCGACAGAAACTTTTCTTCAATATAGACCGCCCACCATAGTCTCCGACTGACTCTCTTTTCATGAGCAGGTATTCCCATCATCTTGCATTCTATATACAGCCCGAGGTTATGGGCCAAACCAACCATGGTTCCCATGAAGGGGCAAACATCCCCAGTATCTGATACGGCGTACCGCATTTCATTGTCCTTGGTTTTGTGTAGATACAGAAGCATGGCTAGGAGAACTGAAAGATGTGAATTGTGTAGATTTCGAAGAAATGAGCTTTGTGCGATGTTCCAAATTTCGCTGGAAGTCACTTCATCGTGCATGAGGGGTGCTGCCGGTCGCTCATTAGTCGATGTGAAAGGTAAGGCTGAGGGGTAGATTGCAATTAGAAGATGAGTAGGCATAGAGTATATGGTCGCAACGTCTGTAATTCGTTCATTTGAATTTGATCCCAGACTTGCTCGGGATATAATTTGTTGGGGGTGCGTTCGCTACCAGGGTTGGATCAATGGCTTTGTCCTTCAGCTTGCAAAGAGTCGGATCACTTCATAGGATCATGTCATCAAACATTACGTCGCAAAAGAAGATCAGTCAAACAGCGCCTTTTCCGTAACTTTCAAGTACAACTGACAAGGAATAACCTGATATTAGTATTCTTCACGCATTAATTCCAACCCAACTGGAAGCCTAGGGTTCCATAGCAGGGTCAATCTAGACGCTCTCCAGATATCGGCGGCATGTGGCGCGTTAATAATTTGGGAGACTGACACGCTCGGGTGTCTAAATGTTTCAGGCCGTATTGATGTTGGAATGTTAGAGCGGCATTACTGTCGCATTTTGGCAGCCCAGAGAAAAAATCTCAATAAAATGTGGGTAGGTTACGGCAATGTTTCCAGGGCAAAAGGATTAGAAACCTCATCATGACTCGGATCGCTCATGTATGAATGAGTAGTTAGGGCAGAATAATAGGTAGTTGGTTCATCGGTATGCCTATTGGCCAAATCATCATCATAGGGGCAGTAAGTTGAGATAGCCTATAGTTAGGTTGGTCGTAGCAAGGTCAGGGAAAGTCCGACTGTGGTTAGTCTAGTCACGTTTAGATTATGCTCTCACAATCTCCCGACGAGGCCGACTTCTGCATGGAAGCTAGAATTCTCGTCAAAAAGCTTGGCACTTTGGCTTAATCCAGTGTCTAGATCCATGGTTGAGCCAGCCCAAGGAATTGATGACAACCCGCCTGCGAGTCAAATGATGATCGAGCAATATCGAGCAATATATGTTGTAACATCGCGAACACCCTGGTTTCTTCTGTACCACTGGGCCTTGACAATAGGCTAAATTCAGCGTTGTGTAGTCCAGGCTATACCCATGTCGGTTTGGTTTGCCATTGTTCCAGATGGCGTCTCTGACTCGCCGACTCTATCGTTCAATTGATCCATTCAAGACGAAAGGCACAGCTTGCTAGCGTTATAATGGCAACTTGAGAGCTTTAGGCTACTCGAACTGGTCAAATGCAGTAGGAGTACCGTGATAAAATTTTTTTGGTAAAATAGAACAACGAAGCCCCTCCTATGTGAAGCAAACACATTACCCGTTGTGGATCGACTTTGAGCAACTTGGCAATTTGGCTCGGGACACTTGGGCCGAAACCCACTAAGCACGGTTCCATCAACATAGGAGGCGGTCGCATCCGTGAACTCCAATTAATAAACGCAAACGGATTCCCCCAATTGAGTAGGTCGCAATCCAGCTTATGAGGGGTAATTTTGGACCAAAGCATGGGGAACGACCACCTGAGGCTGGTAGAGGTCTCGAATACAGTAGCCTCACACTCTCCGTTGAAGGATCAGCATTGCAGCAAGTTAGTTCCGGCTCTTGAGTCCGACAGCCTGGTAAAAGAAGGTAAGGTCGATCTGACAGGCCTTTTCAGACCAAGAGAACCATATCCTTATGTTGGGCGGAGTGCATGAGACTAGAGGTAACTGCAAGCGGCTATGTCGATTTCTCGCAGTCTGACAGTTGCTCGTGCATCCATCGCGCGTGACTAATCAGCCCACTGTCTTCTATGTCTACTAAAGGATCGTAGCGATTGCCTCAACATTACAAGTGTGTCCACGTTATCCACTGCGACCGCCCCCCCCTTCGGCCAGTTCATCCGAAAATTTCACAAAGGCCGGACCTGGTTGGACCCAGACGTGCTGATTCCCCCATTGGGGTATGTATGCCGCGGACGAATAGGAGCACCGTGGCGCCCAAATCACCCGAAAGTGTGTTCCTTTTTTTGTGATCCCCCCTCTCGCTGCAGGTGGGCGCTTCACGTTAAGTAAAACAACGTTCAAATTACATTGCACGTCATAGGGAGGGAAACAGGTGCAAGCGCTGCAAGTGCCTGCAAGAGCGGTCATGTCATCACTTTGGGAGCTCTACCAATGACATTGTTCTTATTTGAAACAACGCGTTAGCTCACACAGTTGGCGCGCTTGGCTTAAGATAGCAGACAAGTTTACTTCAAACATTCTAGCGGGTCCAAGGATGCACTTCCCGGGGTCAGTGGGTCTGCCGTAGACCGAGACCAACACGGAAAGATCACTCGAACCCCGTCTGACGCCACCGACCCCGGCTTCTCGACATGCGGCCCTTGGACAGCAAGAGATTAAGGAAACCTGCCTGAGTGGGGGTCTGCCTCGTCTTGGACCATCGTGCAAGAAAGGGAGGAAGGACGAAAGGCCCGCTTCGTTGGAAAGGGCAAGGGAGATATAATATTGATACCAGCCAGAGAGCCTCAGCACTCTTCCTTTTAGAGACTCATTCATTCTCTCTCTTTGAACGCTGAGCTGCACTTTGGTTTGCATTTCTTCTTTACCTAGTCACCGCTAGTACGGTACTGTCATTCATTTCTCACCTTGTGGACCCTAGAGGTTACGTTCATTCACTTCTTACGTGTTTGTTCCCTTTTTTGAACAGACTACGAGCCAATCTTTCCATTACAAAATTAGAAGAAACTTGAAGCGATCGCCACAATGCGCTCGACACTCTCAGGAGCGGCAGCCCTTCTCGGGCTTGCTGGATCAGCGGCCGCCCAGTTGCGGTCCACGGCTTACACCGACCCTCAGACCGGAATCGACTTCCAGCGCTACAAGCCCGATTCCTACCCCTACAGCTTCGGTATCGCAGTCCCAGAGACCGTCGGCACTGACTTCATTGGTCAGATGGTAGTACCCATCTCGGCGAAGGGTAACTGGGGTGCCGTCTCGTTGAAGGGAGGCATGTTGAACAGTCTGCTTTTCGTGGCCTGGGCCGATGGCGAGGACATTAAGACAACCTTCCGTATCGGTAGCGCCTACGCCAACCCCGATGTCTATACCGAGACCGAAGTCAGCGCGGTTCCCATCGCCAACGGTACTTTCGTCAACAGTACTCACTTTTCCTACACCTTCCTTTGCGAGAACTGCATCAACGACAAGACGAGCCTGACTGGCGAGTCTCCCATCTTGGGCTGGGCTTTCTCCGACACCAGCCCTTCCCCTGCCTCTGATCCTGCTGCCGCCCTCAACTATCACTCTGCTGGTTTCGGTCAATTTGGTCTTGACATTGCTGAAGCCAAGTCGGCCAAGTTTGATACATGGTCCAAGTTCGCCAAGGCCGTTGAGGCTGCCCCGGTCCCCGGCAACGGCACGACTACTCCCGTCCCTGGCAACAGCACCCTCCCTGTTCCTATCACCTCCAACACCACCTACGACGTCATTGTCGTTGGTGGCGGGCCTGCCGGTATCATCGCTGCTGAGCGTCTCGCCGAGAAGGGGGTCAGCGTTCTCCTTATCGAGCGTGGCCCTGCCAACACCGTTGCCCTTGGCTCCGACATGGCTCTGCCCTGGAACGATACTCTTACTCCCTACGACATCCCTGCCCTCGGTAGCTCCCTGACCAGCTTGTCTGGCACCTCATTCTGCAGTGACACTGCCTCCACCGCCGGGTGTCTCTTGGGAGGATCCAGCTCTATCAACGGACTGAACTTCATCCACCCCCCTGAGCACGACTGGCAGCGCTGGCCCGCGGGTTGGAACTGGAAGGACGTCTCCGAGGCCGCCTCTCGCCTCTACGAGCGTAACCCAGGTACTACGGAACCTTCTAATGACGGCAAGTACTACGATGATCTCACATACAAAGTCCTGTCTGGCCTTCTGAGCGCCAAGGGCTGGTCCGAGGTTGACTCCATCGAGTCTCCCAACAAAAAGGAGGCTGTCTTCTCTCGCCCTTCGTGGTCCATCAAGAACCACCTCCGTGCTGGCCCTGCTCGCACTTACATGCCCTTCGCCCAGCAGCTGCCCAACTTCACCCTCAAGCTGGAGACTAAGGTCATCCAAGTCATCCGCACTGGCAGCAAGATCACTGGTGTCCTCACCCAGGCCGCTGACGGCAGCACCCAAATTATCAAGATCAACCAAGGCGGCAAGGTTGTTCTTGCCGCTGGTGCCATGTCTTCCCCCGTCTCCTTTGGAACTCTGGTATCGGCCGCTCTGATGCTCTGGAGATTGTCAAGTCTGGTGCTGTCAGCACTGGTGTCACCCTTCCTGACGAGGCTGATTGGATCGACCTCCCTGTTGGTCACCACCTCCAGGACCACGCCCAGGTCGCGCTACAGTTCAACTCCAAGACCAACTTCACTGCTTACGGGTTCACCGCCATCGCCTCTAGCCCTGTCAAGTCTGATTTGGAGCTCTACGAGCAGGGTTCCGGTCCCATCACCCAGGCCGCGCAGCGTATGCACCTCTGGACTAGCGCCGAGGGTGCTGATGGGCGCACTCGCTACCTTCAGGGTACGGCCAGCGCCATGGCTAGCGGTGTCATTACCGTCAAGGCTTTCTTGACCCACGGCACGTCCACCCTCGGTGAGCTTGGCATCACTGCCTCTGGCAACACCGTACTCAATACCAAGCCTTGGTTGGTTGACGCTGCGGACCGCAAGGCCATGTCCGACTTCATCCAATACTGGCTGGATATCACCAGCGGCAGCAACTCTACCCTCAGCTATATCACCCCTGGCGCCACCCCTGAAGATATCATCGGCGCCAAGATGATTAGTGGCGACCACTGGGTTGGCAGTGCGAAGATGGGTACCGACGACGGCCGCAAGGGTAACGGCACCGCTGTTGTCGACCTCAACACCAAGGTCTATGGTACCGACAACCTCTTCGTCGTCGACGCCTCCATTCACCCGGACCTCCCTACTGGTAACACCCAGGCCATCATCATGATCACTGCCGAGCACGCTGCCGAGAAAATCGCTGCGTACACGGTGACCGGTTCCAACTCGACCGCCTCGGAGACTACCAAGTGCGATGGGGCTACCAAGCGCTCTACTCGCCGTTCCATGCGTTTCAGACGCAACGCCCGCCTTCACTAAATCATCGATCCTCAGGTGCTGAGTGGGTGCGGTTGACGACATAGCTCTCTCGAGTCACTTTAACGTACATTTTTTGCTTAGACTTGTGTATAAAGTTTCTTCCCATTCGTAAATAAATTACTTCTAAATCAATTTGCCAATTGTCTTTTCCGCTGTGCATGTCGGGCAGTTTTCTCAAATGTAGATAGTGTCAGCTCAGAGGTTGACAGAGGTCGAGCATTGGAACTGATGGAAGGTAGGAAATTTCGACTTGAGGGTGACCCCAAGCCGTTTAAAAGCAAAGGACAATAGGGGTAAACATTTTTTCATTTGTGATGTTCTCTGCCAAACTCAAGCAGTAGTATGGTCTGCCCATGCACCAAAGCAAACCCATCACCTAGGTATTTCCCGAACTGGCCCATAACATGCAGGGCAGCGAGGTCAACTGTCATTGCATCTCCATGCCCGAATCCCTACTACCTAATCTTGAAGCAGCCTGGTACGACACGTCTACCATGCGCTTAGATGAGCTGGGATTGAGGCAGGTTCATTGAACGTCAAACAGCTCGGGAGCCCAGGTCAGTGAAGACAAGGCAAAGAGATTTGATCGCAGACAGGAATCATAGCAGTCGGCTTCGCGTATCAGAGTTCTTGGCTAAGGGGAACAGTTTCTGCAAGAGATATTAACGGAGCAGTGCAATATAACTCCACTCCGATGAGCTGGGTGCCTTTCGCTCAGTAGGATTGTTAGGAATGGCTACCAAAGGCCCAAGCTTGGTGGTGTCACAGGCGAGAATTAACTAGGGCGATAGTGAGCCCCCGACAGATGATTGACGGATCATTATCATTAGCATTAAGAGCTTCTATGCTTGTGTCTAAAGAACTCCATGCCTTTAACTTCTTTCATCTAGCACGCAGCATCGGCAATGATGCGTTCGGCAGCAATCTCAGCAATACCGTAAACGGCAGTCTGAACATGAGCGGAGATGAGAAGGGGAATAATACTGGCATCAACCACTCGCAGGTTGGACGTGCCGTGAACCTTCAAGTTGGCGTCGACGACACCTCCGTCCTTCTTCGGCAGCATGGAGCATGTTCCAACGGGGTGAAAGATGCTCAACGTGGTATTGAGGGCGAACTGCTTCCACTGTTCGTCGGTCTGTACAACATCCAAACCGGGCTCGTACTCGCTTTCCCAAGTTGACTTCATGGGCTCTGTCTGGGCAATCTTTCGGCAGTACTTGATGGCCTGGATGGCAGCCTCGAGGTCGTGCTCGTGAGCGAAGTAGTTGGGGTTGATGATGGGCTTGCCAGCGGTGTCAGACGGGTTGATGTGGATCGAGCCTCGGCTCATGGGATGCATGATGGCGGCGATGAGAGTGAAAAATCCCTTGCCGAAGAGAGGTGAGGTGGCTGCAGGGTAGCCCTTGACACCCGTGTAGCCGTCTGAGAAGATTACCTAGGACCGATATCAGATTCGACATCAAGTTCTTAACATCGTAATTGAAAAATTCTTACCTCGAGCTGGGGGATGGACGGGTTGGACATGAACTCTAATTTCTTCTGGTCGACGATACTGGGATCCTCACCGGCAGCCTCTTCGGCAAGAGCAACCATACGCGAGTCGTTACCAATTACCTGAGCCCACGTGCTGAAGGTGTAGCCTAAAGAAGGATTGTAAGAATGAGTATTGTCAGGAAAAGATGTGGCATTGCTACTCACCAGATCCAGTGTAGTCATAAAGCGAGACTTCGCCAGCATTCCAGAGGGCCAACTGCTCTGCAGCAAAAGTGGCGTTGCTGCGAAGGATATCAAACGAGGTGTAGTTGGGTTTCAACTGGTAAGAGCTCTGAATGCGGAGGTGATCTTGCAGGTTCTCGCCGACACCGGGAAGGTCAATGACTTGGTTAATGCCAGAGGCATTGAGAACCGAAGCTTGGCCAATACCAGACAGCTCCAGCAGGCCTGGGCTTTGGATGGAACCAGCAGAGAGAATCACCTCTTTCTGAGCTTGTATCACAGTTCCGTCCTGGAGAGTTACACCAGAAGCTCTTTGTTGAGTCGAGTTTGCTGCCACCTTCTCTAGGTTGACCTTAGCAACAGTTGTGTCGGGAAGGATGACCAAGTTCGAGCCGGCGATGGGGACATATGCGTTGGCACTGTAGGACCTGTTGTAGTGCGTAGGGTCGATGCTGCTAGGCTGGTACATGACGCCAAGGGGGTTCCCTCCCAGTGACTCTAAGTTGGTCTTGATACCCAAAGAGTTCATCGTTGGGATCCACGTGTTCTGATGCTCTGGGATGATCCTATTGATGACAGCCTTAACCGGGCCACTGTCGCCAACGCCCTCGGAACCGTATGTATCGGTGTTGATGCCAGTAAAGTTCTCGGATTTCTTCATGGCGGCGATCATCGTCTCCCAGTTCCATCCCGGATTACCGAGAGCCTCCCAGCTGTCGTACTCGGCGATGGCCGCCCTGTCATAGGACATGAGGTTGAGAGCGGAACTACCTCCAAGGACCTTGCCCCGGTTAACGGTGAAAGACCGGCTGTTGACATTGAGCTGGGGCACGGTGGTGAAGTTCCAGTCGTACTTGGTAGCCAGCGTCGTTCCCTTCATACCTGGGACGTTGATTTTAGGCTCGTCCCAGACCGCGGGTCCGGCCTCGATCAAGAGAATCTTGGAGGCAGGAAGCCCCTCGCTGAGACGGGCGGCCACGGCTACTCCAGCGGTGCCACCGCCGACGACGATCTGGGCAGTAAGGTCAGCGTGTCAAGGTCATGTTGCAAGCCGCGCAGTTGCATCCGACGTTAGGGGAGAGGCAAACAGGTTCAGCCACAATACCCCGTAAAGAAAGCAACATAAACATCCGAGAGCAGAATGCAGAAACTTACATAATCGTAGGCATCTCCATAGGGCTGCGACGAGGAGGGCGCACCCAAAACAAGAGCCGCGGAAGCGAAGACGAGACTCGACTTGACAAGCATGGCTCAGACGGTGCAGTGATCGTCCCACACAACTGTCTTGAAATAAGGTTTGGAACCAACGACTCGTTGGCTATGGTCAAACCACGCGGGAGCAGACGGGAAAATACAAGTCAAACAGAGGTGGGATGTCTGCACGTCAGGCCGATTAGAGAACCTCCTAAATGACAAAGTGGAGGGCGGGCGGGCTGTAGTACGTTTTGTGTCATGCAGGAAGAATTTGGGCTGCATCTACCTTTTGTACGTGGCCCCCAAAAGTCGCTCATATGAAGTCGCGTGTCGTTAATCTCAGTAATGCGGATATTAGATCAATAGAACGGCTTTTGTCCACGAAAATGTGCTGGTCAGCGGACGCCCGACCCAGAAGGTATCCTTGTTCTCCGCCCCAGGGCATCGCATCCAAGGTTGGAACGGAATCAAGGTAGTAAAAAACCATGGTTCGGTGGGGTGCCGAGCATCTTCATATGCGCGGGAGAGTCGGAATGTGACAGCGCACAACAGCGTAAGCACTTATACTGGATGTGTAAGCTACCGACGGACACTAGTGCCGATCCAAGGTGCCTCGAAAAAGCGCGAGCTGTCTGCCGGTATCCCAATGAGAGAGGGGAGTTGCGGGGAACCATAAGAGAGAAGAAGAGAATAGCTGACGCGTATGTATAGCCGGCTGCACAGGCTAGGGACGAACTGTGACACCTTCAAGTCCCAACGTGCTGTTGAGGATCTAGCCGCATGGCTGTGCCCGGCGATGCTACCGTTCCATCAACGTCCTCCCTCCCGGAGAAGAACGAGTGTCCGCTGACGGTAACCGAGCTGCGGCGGCCGGTTATGCACCGGGGACTGGCATCATGACTCAGGGTTGTGCCTGCAAGTCTTTCGGGACAAGTCGACTTGTCCTTGTCTTGCAAACCACCCGCCTTACTAAAGCAATCGCTTATGAACCATCCCACAATAACTCCGCGTCTTTCGAAGGCAGCGATGTTTTGACGGCGGCATTGCCCGGCCTTCCCCGTCTCCGTAGGATTTTCGTTTGGAAAGCTCGTCCCTCGCTACCGCTGCCTGTGAGCATGATCCTGGGGTTACCCCTGAGACTCGGGCCATCCCCTCCTATTAAACTTGGGCACCTCCAAATCGCACGATCGAAACTTTCAATCTCTTCCTTGTGGTAGAGCAGAAAAGCTGCCGTCTACAACATGCTAGCCAATGCGATTTCCGTAATTTGTGTTCCACTCTGACACCAGGTATCCAACGACATACGCTTTGCGTGAGAACAGTCGCTCAAGAGATGGTGGTCAGGCCAAGATGGACTAATCAGAGCAGCAAGAAGATCGTCATCAAAGTAACTCCATCTGCTCGACGTGACCAATTCGTATGCAGTTAGTATTGCCGAAACCCACAAATTTATCCATCATCTCTGCCCCTTGAGAGGACCTGCGGCACATTGCGCAACAACCCACAGAGCCCGGTTGCAAGCCAGCCTGTTAGATGTGTAGTCGCGGCGTGAAGAAAACCCCACATTGGCCCAGGGTCCTTGATCAAATCCTGACCTCCAGGACCAGCTGGAATGCAGGGGAGTTGAGGCCGCTCAAACTCAATTTGCAACCAAGCAACCAAAGACGAGATGGCAACGGCGGGCTAGTCGCACCGATTTGGACGAGGGGAAGCGGTGCTTGTGCTGCCCTCCCGGCCTTTCAGAATACGAGAGATCATTTTTCACGCAGTAAACTTCCGGGCGAGACCCTTTTCTGGGGTCTATCACCTCCACGAACCATGCGGAAGACACGGCCGATACCACATAAAAGACACTTCGGCGAGAAACCAACCCACGATTTAAACTCTGCAGGCACCGTTGCAGCAACCCCTTGCGTCGGCAAGCAACATCGTGCTCGGGGCAGTGTCGTAAAAGCAATGTGCCTATGAGTTCCAGAGGACTGGAAAAAGCTGTGCTTGTCAGTCCACCAAATACACCATCGCGGAGAAGACATCAAATCAGTACCTTTTACCACCCTCCTAACGACAGCCGTGTAAAGACAGGTCGGAACCTCGCCCATCTGAGACATATGCGCCGCGGTGCCCTGACCTCCTTGCTTTGCATACATACTTCGTCCGCACATGCAGGGTTTGTAGAGTTGCTCGCATACATAGTCCGTACTCATTCTACACATTCCCAAACTTCGTCGCAGCTCTTAAGACGATCGTTCCGCCCATACTCGCGTCTTGATGGTTTTAACAGTGGTCCGTTAAAAAAACAACCCCGGGGAGGTAAGAATCGAGCTGCGTCTAAAATCAGATCTGGGCGATCGTCGTTGTGTTTTACCCCCTACAGCAAGTCGTGGGTCGTCTACCCGCTGCCCCCCCCCCCCGTTCTTCGATCTCTCAGACCTTTTATCCAGCGCATGGCCCATCTCTGGGATCCGACACCCTCGTTCCTTGCCTGGTATATCATCCCCGCCACCAGGTCCGAATAGACACCGCGACTATTTTTTCTCATTCCAGAGGGGGTCGACGATGCCACCAGTCACTCCTCCAAATCCGCTGCCGCCGGATGAGAACGTCAACCCGGTTCTCCTTAGCATCTCCGGCGTGCTCGTCTTCTTCGCCATCTTCACCACATCGATCCGCCTATACGTGAGGTTCGCGCTACGACATTTAGGATGGGACGATTATCTGATGGCAATTGTTGCCAGCCTGGGCATCATTCGATACGGCGTCCAGTGCGCGCAGGGCGCGTCCGGCAACGGCAGGCATAGATGGTACATTTCAACAGAGGCCTACGTCCACAACAACATGCTTGGATGGTTCGCACAGATTCTCCTTTTCTCCAGCATTTGTGTCCTGAAATGCTCCATCATGCTGTTGCTGCTCCGCATCAAGAATTCCAGCAGGCTGAAATACTTCCTGTGGGCCGTCATGACTGGCCTGGTCGTGACGAACCTTGGCGTCATCATCATCCTTCTGGCAGAGTGCGATCCCGTCGATGCGTACTGGACAGGAGTAGGCAAATGTTGGGATGCCAAAATACGAATTTATTCCATTTACTTGACCATCTGTGAGTTGATCACATAATCTGTGTGATACTTTAGGGCAAAGCTGACGCAACTTTCCGTAGCTTACTCTGTTTTGACTGATCTGCTGTGCTCGTTTTTGCCCTTGGTGGTTGTCTGGCAAGTCCGCATCCCGTTAATGACGAAGCTCTCTGTCGGCGGTCTAATGAGTCTTGGTTTAATGTTGGTCAAGTTGAACTTGATTTTTTCTTCGAGTTTCATCCTGCTAACAACCTGGCAGTGCAACCGGCTTCGGCATCGCGAGAGCAGCTTCGCTGGGCCTGAAAACCTCCGATCTGAGTTGTACGTGTTTCCTCATGCTCAAGAGCCGCAGGAGCCACCACTAACGACTATATATGTAGATGTCTATGCCGTAACCGCAATATGGTCGAACCTCGAGCTTTACCTTGGAATCATCGCGGCAAACCTGGCTCTCTCCCGATCTCTTTGGTTTTATTTCTTCGGGGAGAAACAGAGCCCGACGTTTCCATCCGCCTACGGAAACTCCTCACATCGATCACGCTCTGCGTATAATACTAGCCGCTTGCATGGAGACAACGTCGACGCCATGGACACCTATATCCGTTCCGAACGAAGGCCATCCGTTTCAAAAAGCGACCACAGCGACATCCCATTAGAACCCGGCATCCAGAAGAGGACCGAGATTTGGATCTCTGAAGAGGACGCCGAGAGCGATAACCCCCCGTCGGCAACAAGGAGAATATCAAAACAGACACCATTGTAAGGAGAGGTAGTCTTTTGCAAAGCACACGCAGCTCAGGAGGAGCTTACGCATTTACGGTGTTGGGAAAGCCTCATGAAAGCGTTGTTGGATACCCGGCAGAAGAGGCAGACGCGACTCGTAGCTCACACACTCAGAAGCTACCGCCCTGTCTTCTTTCGCCCTGCAATTGTGCTTTGATGCGTTATTGATGTGGACTACCTATTTGGAGGATACGATAAATAATGAGAATAATGATCGCGTTCCCTGTCCGACGTCGAATCAGGGAACGTTCAGCATGCTCAACTCACGCTCTTGGCTACGGGTCGCGACCTCGAAAGCGTCTGTTTCGTGTCAAAACGCACAGCATTATCCGCAGGGCGGCGCAGGCAGCTTTGCGCAATTTGAACCTGGTCTGATTTATGGGGCGTAGAGGGAAAACGTCTGAGCGCGAGAGGAGAGAGCCTGGCCGAGTTCAGCCCTCCAGGATAATATGACCCCATCGGCTTTCTTCAGCTGGCTCATGTGCCAAGTGCGGCCCTCGCTGTGGTTGGTTGCCAGAACTTTTCTGGATCATTTCTGATTATGTTCTGCACATTGAACAGGGTATAGAGCCAAGCAGTTTCGGACCTGCATTCCCTCACTCTAGTATTCAATCTAGGCGAGCTTCGCCCGTTGAAATACAATAGCGAAAAAGGGAAACTCCACCGCCTCCCACCGGCCGACCGACAGGGATAGGAGAGTAGGCCTGCAAGGGGTCGCGTACGTCTGCGGACTTGCTACCTAGCACGGTTATTGCAAAAGTCGGCCGGAACGGATCATGTAACGTGGTGCAGCAGATAGAATAGTCATGGCATCGAACTGATCATTGTGGTATCCAAGGCAGAAGATGATTGAGTCAAGGTTTGGGGCATTCGGTCTTTTCCACACCATCGGTGAAAGTAAACGAAGTCACGGCAGTGGATAAGTGTTAAACTTCTGTGTCTTTCTGATGAATGGTAGCAAAACAATACTGCAGCCATGAGCATGGAGCTAAAGTCTATTAGTTAGGGTATGTGCAATTATCAGGATTTCATGTCGTACATGTGTACCCGAGAAGACGACCCGAAGCTTTTGGGGCTATCGTCTCAAACCAAGAGCCTAGTTCCCTATTTTAGCTTTTAGTATCGTCGGTTATCGAGTAGCCGGTCCAATGCGGCGAGTATCCGACCGGTACGAGTCCGTCGCATGGCGCATATCTTTATTTGCTTGTAAGCCTGGTCCATGTACACTGTTCGCCCTACTCTGACATTATTCATCCGCGCAGTGGACGGATAATGGCCCGACTTCCGCCATTCTCGATTACACGTTTGGGTTTGAGATCAATTCTGCTCAAGCTGTATACAATACCGCGCTTGCTGAGAAAAGCGATATCTCTCATTGATGAATCATGATTGCGTGGTGAGTCCGGATCTTCGTTTGTGTATTGGATGAGTGAACCGATGCTGACTACCTACCCTTTGACGATGACCCCATTCATTTTTAAGGATCGTCGTTCAAAGTGTAAAAAGAAACTCAACATCTAGGGATATGCTTTGCGTAGTCTGATGAATAACTAGGTTCCGTCCTCATCGGGTGTGTGTGCATCTGCAGCTAATCAAGTCCCGAAACGCGGGACAACGCCCAGCCCAAGCGTGAAAGCGATGGAGCACCGCTTTTACAGAAGCCACCGAACGTTGCTGCCTTGTACTGTCGAAAGGCTCTTGCTAAGAATATATGTTCATCTTTGCTGGCATTAAACAGGGAAATCACCAGGTGCAACGGCAACGCACACTAAACAAAGTCCCTGACGGCGTTGGCATCGTCTTGTGTCTGATGTGGACTTCTAGATCTGACATCTTTAGATCAATCACCATGAAAAAGTAAAGTCGACAAAGAGCGAGCAAGCAAACGTAAAAAGGCATAGGTGCAAAACATATGTGCGCCGAGGGGGAATCGAACCCCCGGCTCCCCGACACTGCTTGATGGCAACGGAGAATTTTACCACTAAACCATCGGCGCCCATCAACTACGGTTACGTTAAAGGTTGGTTATATTGAGAATACATATCATGATGAGCTCAGCAACCAGCACGATGACATGACATCTCACGTGCTTTTTTGCTTGAGCCTTCGATTCGAAACATATCTAGTCACGTCTGGAAGCTCTAGGCTATGGCCAGAAAGTTTCCGTTTGCCACTATGTACTAATGATCACCGAGCTCCTGTTTGCACTATGTGCGTAGCAAAGGTAGATTTAAACTATTGAATATGCTGCGTTCCATAAGAGGCTCATCACGTTAAGAGATTATCTAGCTGGACAAATGTCGCATTTCTAAATCATCTGTTTACTTGTGGCTAACCGCTTATGTCCAAAGGACTGTCATACAGACAAATGCCGGTCATCGCAAAGCTGGCCCTAAAGGTGGTTGTCTATTGTTCAACAATCGTGCATTTCTCTTATGAGTCTCAGATAAGGTGTACGAATCAAGCTTGCGGATTGAATGATTGAGTAGTGAACCGTGGTTATTCAGCTACGAACATGAGGTTGAAACAGTCCAACATGCGGATTGACGTAATAACAGAGTGCGGCAAAAGTAAAGTAGGGATCAATTCATGAACCGATTAGGAATTACGGCATCGCAGCCGACACGGGTATGATGTATCAGATTGAGAAACACATATTCTAGGGAAACTAGTCGTACTGGATTCAGCAAAGCTTGATCTTTGTACGGTCTGAAACGGTACTGTTGACTTCTAGTGAAGGGTGCTTGGTATGAGCCGTTAATATGGAACCATTGAGGTATTCAGACCTGGACAATAAAAGCAATTTTTATTCGAGCTTCACTGAAGACGTTCATAATATGGTAAAGTGGTTGCGATTATCTTTTACGGGCGAACCTTAAGTTAAGACGGACTCATTGCATCGTCCGATGTTGATCGTCCAGTCTAATATTGACCGGCTAAAATTACCTATAGCTATGGACAGCTATCATCGGAGTGTGGCTCCGTGTCTGCACAAAAAAGATGGGAAAACGAACAAGAATACACTGACATGGGAATAAGGGACAAAAACTAATTTATACAACAGAATCTTGGATCTTATGGTCCACTTTCTACTTGCGTCAACTTTCAATAACTGAAGCTCTCGAGGTGGTGGGAAAGGCAAGATCTTGTCAGCGACAACGTCGCCAGGTCTTGGGTATTTTAAAGTTTGCCATACCTAAGTAAAAATCACGGCCGATGGCTTGATGGCTTTTTTCGTCGCGATCAGCCGCTCGAGAGAACCTCCTATCGAACCTATTGTGGCCAACAGCAACGAAAAGGCGCACTCCGTCCACACTGCCTTGCTCTAAAATGCCATCAATTGTAGTTTGACTTCGTTCCAAAATACACGTCGTGTTGACGTCTCTTTTTTTTTAGGTCAGTGGCAGTATGTGGATGCTGACATCGTCACGAATGACGGCTGTTCGCAAGGCCGTGATAATATCTATTCTACTGGTGGTGTCGCCTGATAGGGAATTACACTTTGATGTCAAGCTTCCAAATTGAAGTTATTGTTTGAAGACGGCCCATCCAAACTAAACAATATCCCCCATATTATCTTCTGCTTACGTCTGTTCGCGTTAACCCCCCACACTGCAAGGCAGCACAGGAGTGAATTAGGTATGGACTTACTTTCAATCACTCCACCAATCGATAGATGAGAACCCGGCACAACTCATGATGTTCCACTCAACTGTAAATTGAGAAATTCAGCCTTTCTTTTCTGTTCTCGTTCAGCCTTATCACTTTTTTATGGTGTGTTACTCAACAGGTGCCACGCCTCATCTGTCATTGTGTCACCTGTAAGGCTGACTATCCGTTGATTGGGTGCTGAGCCACGACGAACGTGAGAAGGATGCCCGGCGCTTTTCCTGATTAGGATAATGAAGAGGCCAAGACCTGCACTCCGCCACTCCTTCTTTGCCCCCACCACGTTATTTCCAGGACTGGTTTGTCCCATCAGTATTAAACTCAACCCTGGGCCGGCGCGCTGCACACCGCAATCTCGCTTACTTCCAATAGCCCAAAGCGTCCAAGTAACTGTTATCACGAGCACAGATGATGAACTTTACATCAAAGCAGATGGCGGTAGCCACAGCGACCCCAGCGCAAACAACGAGCGGCGGCGGCAGACGACAATGTTGGGAGTGCCAGCGTCGGCGGCTGGTCTGCGACTCGGCACGTCCCGTCTGCTCGAAATGCAAGATTAGCGGCGTGGTATGTCCTGGGTACGAGGATAGAAAGCCGTTGACTTGGCTGGCTCCCAATAAAATCAAGACGCGGACATGGAAGCGCAAAAGCCCACCAACCAGTAAAAGCGACGGCGCCACGAAGAGCCTCCAGGATGGGCAAGTTGAAGTAGCCAAGCTCCCTAGTGGAAAGCAACTGCTCCATATTTTCCCTGGGCACGAGTTTCGCACGGAGACCTGCGACATCATTGAGGCTACTCTCTACTGTCAGTCGACCCCCTAGTTGTTCATGTAAAGATGTATGGTGTGCCAAGTCACCGCGTTTGACCGGATACTGATAAATGGTGCCTGCACTGCAGGGAACGAAGGAGTCTACCCAGCTTTTGCCTCGAATCAGCTGAGCCAAAGTCCATGGGTTATACCCGTTTCGTACGTCCATTACATGCAACCTTCCATACAGCACGCCCTGGTTGCTATGGCCATCGAACACCGTATGACACGTATATCAAAGAAAAAGAATGACTCTTATGTGGCCGAAGTAAGAGCCAGGGCTTGTGAACATCGCTCCATTGCAGTTCAAGCCTTGAACAAGGCAATCGAGGACGAACGTACACGAATCTCGGATCTGACACTGGCCGGTGTTATCGTGTTTCTCTATGGTGATGTACGTTTTATGCACCTTCTCATACACTGATGGCAGGCTGATGTCGTATGGCAGCTCATGGCATCTGTGACGGCTTCTAACTGGCGATTCCACCTGAACGGGTTCGCGGCCTTAGTATCTTTGCGTGGTGGGTGGGAAGAACTATGCCGAAAAACACCCGGGCTCAAAATCCTGGTCCTCTTCGGTAAGATGTGAGTCCGATCATCATCTAATTTTCTCATTGTCACAATCAGCCGCATTGAGTAGCACATCCTGACGCCGATCAACCTATGCAGTATTGAAAATTTCGCCAACACGACCAGTCCTGCAGATGATCAGATGTCTCCAGTCCCGAACTTCGAGTTGAGGGACCTGATAGCCGACGCGTATGAACTAGGCTACTACCCATTTCTTCCATGCCCTACAGAGTTGTTCATCGACATTATCCGTGTCAATCGCCTTCGCTTCCTAGCCGCGCACGGAGGTGTCACGAGCACTACTGGGTCAATTCAGTCAGAAGCTGAAGACCTTCTCACAAAGATCATAGGTTTCTCCCCGGAAACCTGGTCCGAGACCAAAGATAAGTCGCAGGAGGATCACTTGATGATGGCGCAGGTTTATCAGTCCGCCGTGGTCCTGTTCGGCATTTCCTCTCTGGAGAGCGCCGGCGCGATCCTGCTCTCGGCAGGCTGGGCGGCCGTCAAGAAGATCCACTCCTGCAGGCTGTTGAGACTCCTCGAAAAGACCGCCGCTTCATGTGTTCTGAAGAACTGCACAGCTTGGCCAATCATGGTGGCCGGTTTTGAAGCGAAGAGCGGAAAGGCCACGGCCCGAGCCTTCATCCTGGGTCGACTGGAAGAGGAGAGCAGGGCGCTGGGTGTGTACGTGCCACTGGCTGCAAAGGGGGTGCTTGAGAGATTTTATGCTTCATCTGGCAATAGCTGGGATGACTGCTTCGACTCTCCCTACGCGCTGATCACGTAAAGTGTTCAATGCTCGAGTGAAAGACTCAGTTGAGGAAACGCCTTGACTTTGAAGGATGAATAATTAGGCGGTACACCAGATCCACACCGATGGAGGATACTTTTTTAAGTAATATTAGATTTCAGTAAGAAGAATCAGATCCTTCGAACCCTCTTATCATGCTGTCAAAAAAAGCAGCATCAACTCCTTGAAATTGCCAGTCTTCCAGTCCCTCCGGATTCCCTGAACCCATCAGCCGGGGATTTCCAAGTTCAAAGAGCCACCTCGCATCGCCATTGTAGTCCGTTTGCAAGCTTACGCTTTGAGCTATTGGACTTGGCGACTCACTTATCCTCGTCGCAGTTTCATTACTTGGCCCTGCTCCCGTCAGAACGCCGGGTTCCAAAGATGCGGTATTCGCTAGTATTCCGTTCTCCTGAGGTATACATCCTTGAGCTCGATTAGATGGCAACCAAGGCTCGCGAGATGGTGGGGCATCGGGTGAGATGGTCACCGTCCCGTAAGAGGGGATTTTAAGCTGTAACACATTTCGAGCGTCTCCAGTATGTGCTTCGCCCGGGCCACCGGACGCCGGCGTTGACGTCGAACTGAGGCTTGCGGTGAAGGTAGAGCCCTTGGCGGCGTTAGCTTCAATGGCGAGCAGACTCGTCAGGACGTCGGCACTCTTCATGGATAGCATGTCTGTGGATTTGGAGCTGCCATCGCGCATATGCCCCAGTGCTTCTTCTACCTTGTCGCGGTCCGTGTGGCGCTGGTGGGCGAGAACATCTCTTCCTCGATCACGCCTGCGCGCGTCGATGTGAGCCAGCAACAACGTCATTGCCGCTATGAGGGCTGAGAAGTCGGCCACGTTGGGGATACTGGAAACACCCTGGGCGTTGCGTATAGAAAGAAACCTCGCCAACACCTCTCGACTTGCGTCCACGCAGGCCGACCTGCTGCTGCTGGCGGCGCCATCTTTCGAATGCCGAAGCATGAAAGGAAGGTGAATCTCGATGATGAGGAAGAAGTGGATCAGCTGGCCACACAGACGCAGACTTTGCCAGGCCGTTTCTAGCGGATTACCGGGCTCTCTGATAAAGTTGGGAATAGTCCACCACCGGGGGGCATAGTTGCAGCCGCCACCTGCAGCTCGCGGTCTAGAGCATGGGTGGTCTCCATGCTGAAGGGAGATGAATCTTGCTCGTTTCTCTGGATTACCTTCGCAGCAACTTCGCAATGTAATTTTTCGAGCATTCCAAGGGGGTGACTTTCGATATGTGACCGCGTTGATTCGTCGGTTATGATTCTAGCGTCGTAGGTGCTACTCGGCAGGCCCAGGAGTAAGCATATGTAGCGCTCGAGATACACGAGACGGAACCAAACGAATCCCGTCAATTTCGATGGTTTCAGATCCACGCTCTCTATGGTGGCCGGGTCATGGGGTCGATGAAGGCCCATCAGCTGAGCCACCGATATGGCTCGGCGGCAGGACAGCAGTGAAAGTCTTGGCTTCCCGCTATTAGCCAGGTATACGGTCTGTAGGACTATGCATTCTAGGGCCTCGATAGTCCCCATGAGTGTGTTGGTCTCACACACAATGTCGATCGCGGTCTCGGCAAGTGTCTCCATTATTCGAAAGGGTGTTTTCGATACACCCGAATCGTCGAGGCGTTTTGTGGGGACTCTTTGGAGCATCGTAGCTACCATGAGCATCTTCTTTGCGAGAAGTACTGGATGCATTGGCTCTCTGAGTGATGCCATGAAATGTTCCACTGATTCAGGTTCTAACGAGTCCAGGAGGCAATGAGGCAAAAACATCAACTGGAAGGCTAGGTCAGCGTCGGAAGCGAGCTTGTAGATGACCTGGCAATCCTCTGGTGATGGAATCGCAGCAGTTAGTTTTCTGCTATATGTCAGAAGCTGGGAGCTGGCTGAGGGTCCAAGTTTCGTTGGACTGCTTTGTATGAAGAAGGGATCCGGTCTAAGCGGGTGAACGTCCGGATGTTTTTGCTGACTTGCGGGATCAACAGCCACCTTCGAATATAAAACATGGTGTATTAGCAATGTTCTTCCAATGGTACTTTCAATACACTCATACAGTTGATGTGCTAGCATCCGAATGCAACGTTGAAAAACCATGGGTTTCTGGTTCAGCAGGCCCCTCGACAACATGTACCGGGGAGCATGCAGTGCCTGGAGCTTCCGGCCTCGGGCCACAACTTCTTTGACGATCGTTTTCGGGCGAATTTGACATGGGTGCGTCAAGCTCGTCAAGCCGGCGGTAAAGTCGCTCAACCAATCGTTCGACACGGTCCAGCCGGTCGCCCAGACTCCCTACCGGAGCCGGAGCCTTCTTGGCCTCTTCCTTGGGAAATTCCTGACTGAGGCAGGTCGATCCCTTCTGCCAACATGTCCTACAGGTATCTCTAGGACCATTGTCGTCAAATATGCAGCGGATCTTGCGCCGGCGGCACTCCCAGCAGCTCTTGGTGCCCTTGCGGACGGATCGGTGTTTTCCTGCAGCCCATTTCTGCGAGGCGGTGGTGGCCCTGACGTTAATGTTGCCACTCTCGTTAGCATCCATCGTACGATCCCTGTAGCCAATAACCGCAGGAAATTTCGTCGGAGCACTTGGTCAACTTTACGGACGGGTGGTGAAGTCGTTGATTGAGTGGGATTGGTGATGAGTTTCGAAGAAGTAAGCGAAGGTCCGATTCGTCCGCCGAGATTCGGACGAACTGTGCCCGGTGGGGCCGCTGCACACTGCGAGTTACTTTGCAAATTGGCGGCGAAACAATTTCGGTAGATAATACCATTGCGCAATGACTTGTGAAGATATTCCACTATTCTAAGTAACACTTAATGATATTTTCAAGCCATGAGTTGGGCCACCCGAAACCAACTCAAGAATAAGAATATTTGTTTTACCCAGAACACACACGACTCTTACATCAAGCTTCGACAGCTCAAGTCCACCAAAACATAAAACTGTGACGATATGAAGGTAAATCCAGCCTAACCAGCGTATCATTCCCATTGCCCATGGTTTCATGCGAGCTTAGTGACACTCACGAATCCTAAGAGGAACATCTGCGCTCAACTAGTAGGCGTCTGGCCAATGCTGTGGAACGATCAGTCACCAAACATATCAGTGCACTGGGGAGTCAACTTACTAGTTTCCAGGAGGATAGTAGCGGCCAACAACATAGGCCGTGCCCTTTGCATCAGTTGCAAGAGCAAGACCAACCTTTTGGGTGCCCTTCCAAATTGCTTGGGCTGTGGTCTTGTTAGTGGTGTTCGCAGTGAATAGGAATTTCCACAGGGCTTACTGTAGTGGCCATAGTCATGATAATTAGGCGTACCATCTGTTCTGATGGGCAGGCCGTCGTACAACGACTTCTCATTAAGCCACATCTGGGCAGCGTTGGTGTAGTAAGTAGTGGTGCCGCCTGACATCAGGGCCAAGTTCTCTCCCTGGCCATCCGGGTTTGCGTCGTGCACCAGGCTCCCGACGGAGGTGAGATGGTCTGCCCATGCCTGTGCGCTCTTGGCGAGATCGGCATCCCATACCAGGGGTGCGTTTCCAACTGCGGCCCGGTATTGATTGTGGAGGTCAAGGGCCTTTTGCTGGTCGGCAGTCAAACCCGAGGTTGGGGGAGTAGTTGGAATGGTAGTGGAGATAGCTGAAGAAGTCAGGGAGACGGTGGTGTATGAAGTTGTGGTCGTGTTGGCTGAGTTGCTTGACGCTGCAGAGAGCAAACCGAACACCGTTGTGGTGACGGTGAAGGGGGCGGTGACAGTGATGGTGACGGGGACGGGCGTGATGGAGACAGTGACAGTAGTACCGGGGAGGAGAGCTTCAATCTGGGGAAGCGCAATAGCCTTGGCATGAACAGCCAAGAGGCTCAAGCCAGCTGCGGTGTTGCCGGAAAAGCGCATGTTTGCCGAGTAGGGATGGGCTTGCAGAATCACTGGGATGTCTGATGAATCGAATAGATACAGATTGAAAACTACTGAAAGCGAAGATGATTGCTTCCGGTAAAAGTACCCCAGAGCCAAAGGGGCAATGAAGCAAGTTATATAGGATGCGTCAAAGATGGTGTTGCAAAAAATGCTGTAGATTGAAAGAAAACAAAACAAGACTATATTTTCTTAATCGCCTACATTCTTTCGGGACGTGGGAGGTTAAGATTGAGAGAGACTTACCGCATTCATCAACACTGGGTTCGAGACAAGGCCGGTCTTTGATGCGCAAGCCACATTGTCCAATTCATTAAACTGTAAGACAAAGTGTCTTGACTTTTCAAAGGAGACTTGCAAACCCAGCTAACCACATTTTGTCGTTTCTGCTGACTACCGGTAGATACTACTACCACCACCTATCGCTTTTGGCAATGGGGCGGCAGTCGCCATGGGTTCGGCCAAAGGGGACCAGACCAACCTGTCGCAAGACGCATGAGGCGTTGGCTTGAGGCAGGACAGCAGCGATGCTTTCAGTCGCGATATCTTCAACCCCTCTCCTATCCATGCCTCGAGGTCATGAAACAACCCCAGTCCCCTATGGAATTCCCATCTTTTGCCTGGGCCCAAAACATCTGCGTTCCAGATCGGCGTGTCCCTCGTAAGTGGCTGAATTTCCGCCCTCCAACCAGAAGAGTTGCCGTGCTGTAGCAAGCTTCGCCGGATGTGATGATCAGCACATATTGCATAGGTGTTTCTGATCTCATTGGTATGTCAGGGGCGCACGCATGTCAACGTAGTCCCCCCGTCATGCAGTCCTCGCTTGGCGATAAACTTTTGCAAAACAAATAACCTTAACCTGCGGGAAACGCCCCAATTCAGACCCCTCGTTTCGTGATGGCAGCTCGCAGCTCTCGAAGCTGTCCCTGAATTGAGTGCAGTACATCCAACTCCGGCCCGACCGCCTGTCCCGAGCCCTAGCTCCTGGACGTCGTTCTGTGGCGCATGGTACCGTCTCCGGACGAAGCCGACGTCTTTCTGACGATGTGGCCCGCCCACATTACGGCTCTTTCAAGGTCAATCGACCGGTTGCCCGCCAACAAACGGGAGCCAGTTGCATAGCTCTTCAGCTCTTCAGCTCTCCGGTGCTACAGCAGTGCTAGGCCCGCCACATGGGCTCGCGCTGGAATGTGCGCCTAGCCTTGGGGAATGGAAGCGCGCCCCCGGCTATGTCCGCCGCCGGGGGGACGAGCGGAAACGGGGGAAGCGTGGAACAATTCGGTTCGGCGTTTGTCCTGATGGGAAATATAAAGGCCGACAGGCAGGGCGGCGCCTAGCAACCATGCAACACCGCAGCGACCATCCGATAAGCGTGCGGCCAGGAGTCTAAGGACACACACATACACACAATCAGATTGTTTCGCTATGATAGGCAACAGCATATCCAGGAGTACTTATTGGCGGACGGGGTTGGCAAGACTCTAGGCAACCCCCATTTACGGCCACACATCATGATGCGACCGACGTGGAGATTTCACTGAGCAAAGTATCACGGAGCATCACGCACCAATCATTTCTGTGGACATGTCCTCAACGCGGACTAGCTCGGTCCCTTTCGGTGTCGCCTCCGGGCAAATGGGGGATGAGCAAAAGATCCTTTTTTTTCTTCCTTTTCTTTTCCCTCTCTCTTGTAAAAGCCGAACAGTAAGCAAACCTACGCGGTGCTGCCTGAGCAGGCAGCGGTCGAATCAAAAAGGCAGCCGTTTAACGATGCGTAAACATGTGGGGGGTTTTTATCCAGACCGCAAAGTCACTCTCTGCCCGGGCCTATCCGGCACGAAGCGAGACGCTGTTGGTCCCTGGATAGGGGTTTGTTGTGATTTATGGGCATACGTATCTATAAGATGACCATCTGTCTTGAGTAGCGGGGTAAATCTCTGCACTTCACCACCAGCTTTTTACTATCCACTCCATTCTCGAAATTCATCATGCGTGAGATTGTGAGTTGTACCTTGCCATGTACCTTTGGAGTCATTGAATGACTGCTTACCTGAGGACACAATAGATTCACCTCCAAACCGGCCAATGTGTACGTATCTTCTGCTCCGGTTTATGAGCCTTGATTGACGGTGATTTCGTAGGGCAACCAAATCGGCACAGCATTCTGGTATGAGGATGAGAGAGTCGATGCATCATCCAGGAGATGTGACTAACGCTGCTCACTATTAGGCAAACCATTCATGGCGAGCATGGCCTGGACCAAGATGGAGTGTGAGTTTTACCTCGATATATCGCGACGAACAGTCGCTCCCTGAGCATCGTGTTGACCTTTGACAGATTCCGCGGCACTGATGAGCAACAATCCGAGAGACTGAGTGTCTACTTCACCGAGGTAACTTGATGCAGCCGCCGCGCTTTTTCTCCCTGCTCTTTTCTGACCTGATGTAGGCTGCCAAGCAAAAGTATGTTCCTCGTGCAGTCTTGGTTGACCTTGAGCCTGCAACAATGGATGCAATCCGTTCGGGCCCCCTCGGTGATTTCTTCCGCCCCGACAACATGGTCTACGGACAGTCCGGCGCGGGAAACAACTGGGCAAAGGGCCATTACACCGAAGGCGCCGAGCTGGTCGACCAAGTCCTTGATGTCGTCCGTCGCGAGGCCGAAGACTGTGACAGTCTGCAGGGTTTCCAGATCACGCACTCGCTCGGCGGCGGCACCGGCTCCGGCATGGGCACCTTGCTCATCGCCAAGGTCCGCGAAGAATTCCCCGATCGCATGATGGCGACCTTCTCGGTTCTGCCGTCTGCAAAGGTGTCCGAGGTCGTTGTCGAGCCGTACAACGCCACCTTGTCGATCCATCAGCTGGTTGAAAACTCGGACGAGACGTTCTGTATCGACAACGAAGCGTTGTACGATATCTGTCGACGCACCTTAAAGCAAGCTCATCCGTCCTACGGACATCTCAACCACCTCGTGTCGAGAGTCATGTCAGGCTTGACGACGGGCTTCCGTTTCCCCGGACAATTGAACGCCGACCTTCGCAAGTTGGCTGTGAACCTCGTCCCCTTTCCCAGACTTCACTTCTTCACCGTCGGCTTCGCGCCGCTCACCTCCTCGGCCTCCTTCTCGAACCTCGGCGTTGCCGAGCTCACGCAGCAAATGTTCGACCCCAAGAACGTCATGTTGGCGTCCGACTTCCGCGACGGACGCTTCTTGACTTGCTCCACCATGTTGTAAGTGCATCCTTTGTGTTGCTTTGTGAATTCTTGCTAACAGACTACAGCCGTGGCAAGGTGTCGATGAAGCAAGTTGAAGACCAGATCCGCGCCATCAAGACCAAGAACTCGGCCAACTTCGTGGAATGGATCCCAAACAACATCCAGACGGCTCACTGCTCCGTGCCGCCCAAGGGACTGGCCGTGTCCTCGACATTCATCGGAAACTCCACCGCAATCCAGAACAGTTTCCGCAGGGTCGGCGACCAGTTCAGTCTCATGTTCCGGAGAAAGGCCTTCTTGCATTGGTACACCGGAGAGGGCATGGACGAGATGGAATTCACCGAGGCCGAGTCCAACATGAACGATCTGGTGTCCGAGTACCAGCAGTACCAGGATGCAGGCATGGACGACGACTACGCGGAGGAGTATGAAGATGAAGCTCCCGCTGAGGAGGAGTAAGGCGGCAAGTGTTTTACACTCCCACCAAGATGCGCGCTGTCCTTTGTACCAAAGGTAGTCGATGGGGTTGAAGGCATCGCCGATCATAATGCATACTTAATGAAGCGAAACAAAGCGAACTTTACACGTGATTATATCCAACTTGATTCAGCACCATGATAGTAATGCTTCTTGCGTCGCTGATGCAACTATGAAGTTGCCCGTTGCGTCTGCTTAGGCTTGGCTTGCAAGTTTTGAGACTGTCTCCAACTCCACGGTCTTGTACCCCACTAGAAGTCAGCTTCTCCGCGAATTGGCGATGTGGCTATTGGCTGTGAGAAGCAAGGGTTTCCATAGCGGCCATGATAGATGGCCAGCAGTGTCGTGTCTGCTTCCGAGCAGCGGGACACTGTCTGTTTCGAATCGGGCGACACGGAGTTGGATGTAAAGTTCATCATTTACTATTTGACGGGAGTGACGGGGACCAGATACAGCAGCTACCATTGAGTGACTGAGAAGTTTATATCCTGCATGTGACTCTAAGCCAACTACCGATGAAATACAATATTGCCTTCGCGCGGCTTAGTCAATCTGCTTCTCACAACCGATTCTGTTGAGCAGCTCCTTCCGGTCGCTTTGGCTCCTAGAAACCCTGACACCACTCGCCCTCGAGCTGGGTTCCCTCTTGGCGTTGCGGCGCTCCCATGCCTTTAAGTCAATGGATTCTACGCCGACTTCTTCCTCAATCTCCAACGTCTCCAACATCTGGTACTCGACCTCCTCCTCTGCTTCTTCGTCCTCGACGTCGCTCCTGACGTCTTCGGCAGAGGCCCCCTTCAACACGCGGCATGTCACCCGGATGATGAAGAACGACCACACGCAGATGACAACCTCGAGGGCGAGGAGAAAGGTCAGAAAGCCCTTTGTGATGCCGTCTGTCATACACACGGTGCCTGCGGGGTCCACGAATGGCTCAATGAGATGGGACCAGCCTTCTTCGGGTGCCTGGTATGGACCCACGACGTCCTCCGCGGGGCCCCGGAAGCATGGTTGTTTCAAGCTCCGAGGTAGGTCGTAGCAAACGCTCCAACAGACCATGAGATAGAAGATGTGACGCGTCCAAATCCACACCAAGAGGAACACGCCGAACACCACGTCGCAAAGGGTGGTGAAGCCGACATACTTGAGACACTTGGCCAGCTATTGCGGCTATTAGCAAAAGTCATGCGGAAGGTCGCTTCTACAAAACATACCGGAAAGATCAGCTCGATGACGTCCATGAGGATCAGAATTAGGTGGCCGACCCGGGTCTGGTGATAGGCGTAGCATGCGGCGATGAGGGAGATGGTGATGGCGTGGTGAACAATCATTTCCCAGTAATCCTTACGGCGAGCCTCGATGTTCACGGAAATGACCTGCTGAGCCCAGTATGCCCATTGCACCAGGATGTATGCCTTCATCAGGCCATCGAGCTCCCTTTTCGGCCAATCGGCCCAGAGCTCCTTCAGGTTAAGGTAGTATGGCGAGATGCGATAGAGGTACTAAACACCGGTCAGTCATGGGAGACGTCTGAGGCGTAGGTCAATGGACAGTACCATTCCAATCGGCCAAAGAACGCTGTAGTAAGCCAGCATCCAACCCTGTTCTGAGAAGCGCGTGACATCCTTCTTCTTCGATATACCCCAATGTCTACCAAGAGGTGCAAGAACGTGCCGCATCAGCGCCGCACGGATGCCGATGGAGAGCATGACACAGAATGCGACGAAGTAGAGGTCATCGTGTCCCGCTCCATATTTGCCCGTGGCCGGGTTGTAATATGAGAGTTTCAAGAACTTGGACGTGAGTGGACGCGCCCCGGGGATGCAGAAGTACGTGAGAAGAAGAGGGATGATGGTATAGAAGGCAAGACCTGTTCAAACACAGTGAGATCCTGTAAGCATTGAGTCGACCTGGGTTGAAGGATTGAGGCGGTAGGAGGGGCTTGACTTGCGACATACCAATCTGATTGTCAAACAGCCACTGGGCCAGCTCCTTCGTGCGGCTCTTCTCACTCCTTTTCATCTCTATGCGCGTGATCCTAGGCGGTCTTGGTGTGACAGACCCGCTCCTCATACGCGTGTTATCGGTGTTGAGGTCGTCCATTATCATTGGCTCATTGACGGAAACAATCGGTAAATCAAAGCAAGGCTTAGCGCTCCAAGATGGATGCCAACGAGGACCTATGGTTTTCAGAAAACTCTGTGTGATAAACACCGTTTTGTTGAAGGAAAACTCTCCCGAAGCGCGTGTCGCTTAAAGTGGTAGGTAGTATTCGGACGCGTCCAACAGGGTAATCTGCCCGCTGAGCGGTTGGATCCTATGTCGCATCGTAGGGCGGTGAGGCATGTCCGCGGGATGCCGAGATGCCACAATATGGAGACAGGAGCTTAAATTAAATTAATCCCTTAAGCCTGGAGAAGGGTCCGCCTCTAGGCATCCAGGTCTCCATGGGGGTATGGGTTATGGCCGCGCAACTCCACTGCGTTCGTTAGAATAGTTTATTGACCAAGAGCACCACGTCCGGGTAACATCAGAATGTAGAAATTCATCTGTAAAACTAGCTATGCTATGGATTTTACGTCGGAAGTTTCTAGTCATAGCATGTTGAACTGGAAATTGGTCAGAAGTTTTACTGAATCTGTCGTTCTCGATCGCAACCATGCAAATGCTAGGGGAAAGACGAGTCAAAGTTGCCTCTTCAGAGCCAATAGAAGCTGGGCATTTCTTCAGGTGGTAGTTGACGAGTCATCTACGCCAATCGAAGAAGTAGCCCCAGCAGGCCATGGGCTTGTGTGACCCTTGCTGTAATATCATTCGTTGGCCTCGTAAGAATTGTGAAGCCAGCGTCTGTCGCATCGTGTATGTGTGTCAGATACATATCTGCTTTTTTGAAGCAAAATGTTATCCAATTCGCCAGCATGGCCAAGTGGTAAGGCATCGCACTTGTAATGCGGGGATCCTGTGTTCGATCCACAGTGTTGGCATTCGCTTTTTGTTTTGCTACAGTTCCCTGATGATTTCCCAATGGTCAGTCATGTTTGCATCGAAATGAATTACTTTATTTAATACTTTAAACCTGTAAGTAACTTAGCACCTGTTCGACTTTTGATGCACAACGTAGCTCCGCCAGTCTATAAAGCGGGAACATCGTCCGAACACTTGCATAGCCCGAGCTGAAAGCCGGGCTCAATGACTCCTAGGCCGACATTGACACAAGCTGCAATAGCCTCCAAAACATCATGAGTGTCTACCTCAACGGAGCGCCAGCTCTTCCCCTCATCAATCCTGCACCATACTTGATATTTCTCTTACTTCTCTGTTAGGTAGTCCGAATTTGATCTGGCTGTTCGACCAGTAAACTCTGTCTGGGCCTGAGTTCCAGCGGGAAAAGCACTGGTGACATCATGACAGGCATACCTACATTCAGCTAAAGGGTCTGAACCTCAGAAATAATAGCAAGATTTGCGCTATCGAGAGACGTAAAGCTCCGTCGCCATCGGCACAAAACGGAACGCATGATGCCATGCCTTCCCGGAGTTTGCAGTCGAAGACAAAACTAGGTTGAGCCTATTGTGAAAGGCCTTGACCAGTTCGCTTCAACGTCGCGAAGGTGGAGAGCAGCTCACTGGCTCTGGTAGGCAATGAAGACTTCGTCGTGGTGTGGCAGGTAGGCCGAGTTGGTGCAACGCCAAAAGTCCAGATGTGATGATACCCAGCAATGGGACCGACGTGGAATGTAGAGCCCCTTCCATGTGTCTCGGGATGAGACGCTCGACTGTATCGAAGGATCAAAAAGAGGCAAGCGTAACGTAGAAACAAATAACAGTTGCATTCATTCGGCATCGCACCGACTGCTAGCACCGCATGTAATCCTTTGGCGCCACTCGAACCATTTCAACAGACCATATCCCGGGTATCCGTCCCAATTCCAACGCCGAACCATACCCCTAATCGCTATAGAGCTTTGCACACGTATCCTTAAGACAACATCCCCTTTCAGTTGTACGACTGCGCATGAACGCCGTCCTCGTGCTTAGTGACGGCGTACGTCTTGCCGTTGGGCGCGTCCACCTCCAATTCGCCCTTAGCACGGATGGGCGACATCTCATACAAGCGCTTCGCAACAACGAAGCTGCCGGCAGCCCAGACCCAGACGAGAACGGCGATGGAGCAGGTGAAGAAGAGGGTCGGCACGAGGAAAAGGAGGGCGACACCGATCCAGAAGAGGGAGAAGACGGCGGCGGCTCCGAAGGCGAAGGCGATGGTCGAGGCGGAGAACGAGACGAAGACGAGAATGGGGAGGAAGGAGAAGATGAGCTGGGCAAGGAGGAAGGCCTGGACGTAGTCTATTAGCAATTGACGCAAGTCAAGAGGGGGGGCATCAATTGGAGGTCAGACGCACAAAGAGGAAGGGCTGCTCCTGGGCAAAGTTGTAGGCGTTGCCGTAGGCTCTCTGTCGCGTGTCCTGGCTGACAACGCGGTTCATCTGGCGCTGGCTGTATGCGAAGACGCCGGCGGCGTTCTCCTTGGCCGAAGCCTTGATATCGTTGTAGTCGTTGTGCGACGCCATGGTGGGATAGTAGATGTTAGCGGGGTTTGGTGTTCGACGGAGGGTCTTGATGTGCGGCAGGGATGTTGAAGAGAAGAAAGATGCGAAATGGGGGTAAAGTCGACAAGTCGGCGAGGAAGAATCTGGGTTTTATCAATTGGATGTCACTCAAGGGATGTCGCAATGAAGGGGACGGGTCGCACTGAGGTTGGGCCAAGGGAGGTCGAAGGAGAAACACTGCGAGGAAAGGAGGGACTAGACGGCAAGCGGCGAGCGGCAGGCTTGTGACGAACGAGTGATGGAGAATGTACGAATCGGCGGCTGAGAATGAAGCTGCTTCTGGTGCAACTGGTGCTAGCTGCTTGGTGCTGTGGGTTGGCTTCTAATGCTGACGTTGTCGCTCCTCCTTGGCTGAGGAGGATCGGAGCTTGGAGGTAGGTACAGTACTTTCTCAACCCAGGAGAGAGACCCTTCGCTTCTCCCCAGTAGTAGGTCCGCCAGGTCCCCTCAGCCCAGGGCCCAGGAAGCGGGAGGTCGCGTTCCGCAGGGGCGCGTCATGCAAGTCACAATTTAACACGACGTGCCTGCGTTCAGCTTGTTTCCCCCCGGAGCTTCCTGCCGAGGTGGGGGGGGGCGCCACTTCACCTCGAAGTGTGAGTGTACCAGCCGAGTAGCCAAGCCACACATGTCTGTGCACCAGCCACAACCTTGACGGACAAGCTGAGGCTTGAACTCTGAGGCACGTACCGCTTGCTGCACGCTGCAAGGAAGTGGAGCTTGGGCCACTTGCATCCGCCGTCCGTGCGCGGATCCTCAGAAACCCGACGTTGCTGTCCGTTACGGACCGTTCGTCACCGTTTGAGGGGGAGCAACGTCACGTGCTGGTGTCGATTGACACGGAACGGCAGTTGCTCCAAGCTCCATGTGTGCGACAACTCTCTCTCGTGAACTAAACCCTCCTCCCTGGCTCCTGCGTCGTTGATCTGCTAAATCTGTCATGTCCAATCTTTAATCCTACTCTCCGTTCACTCGACCTTCCTGGGCAGGACTCGCCAATCGGCATCAAAATCTCTACCCGCCTGCGTCATATTGCTGCATGTGCGTGGGTCTGGGTCAGTCCATACATAGTAGACCACGACGTGGAGTCCCGTGCGGTGCGACGCTTGGTGTTGGCGTATGCATCTGCTTGCAGACGGGCACGGCAGTATGAGCGGAGAGCCGCCAGCTTCAGGGATCAGATAGCGTTTGAATTGCAGCTCGTCCAAGCGCCAAGCCATTCCTTGAGACAGCTCGTTCCAGTCACGTCACTCCAAAAGGATTCCATTCTGCTCATTTCGGAGCTCTTCACTGTAGTCACCTCAATGCGATGAACGGCGCGTCACAGAGGACTTCGCTCAAGGCGGAGGTGACGGCTGTAGAGAGCGGCAGCGATCGGACAAAGCAGATGAGGTCGGCAGTGCGCGGTACTCGTATAGGTCACAAGAAGTCGCGGAATGGATGTCAGCAGTGTAAGAAACGGCGCGTCAAGGTGAGTTCGGCGGACATATCGACCATGCCGGGGGCGACCGCCAAGCCTTGAACCTGGAAACTCAGTTGCTGAGTCGCGGACGTTGAACCCATCTCACTAACCACATCTAGTGCGATGAGAACCGCCCGTGTCGTAACTGCGTGCGACACGAGGTCCAGTGCAGTCTCGTCCTAACGCCATTCGCGCCTCATCTGCCGCCAGTTCGCGAGTCGCCCAAGCCATCCCTGGAGCCCGCGAACACGGCGACTCCTGGCAGTGTTGGGGAAGCCTCGACAGCCAGCCGCCCGGAAAGCCGGCCTGGGAGATCTTCGCCGCAGGTCTCATCGTTGAAGGACAAGGTTGCCGCGATCCAGGGCCTGCTGTCCGAATTCTCAGCTGAGGTGGATGCTCTGCATCACAGCGACCGCAATAGCTTCACCGAGTCAGCCTATGACTCGACTCGGGGCGATTTTCGAGATACTCAGAGTATCCCAAGGGCCGACTGGATGGTTGACATGCAGCTCGTCCACCATTTCACCTCAGATACGGCACATACCCTCTCCGAGAACCCAGACTTTGTGCATCTCTGGACGACAACTGTGCCGCAAATCGCCTTTACCAACGTAAGTCCAGCACCATTCGTGTCGTTCTCCCAACTAAGCCATGTAGGACTTCCTCCTCCATGGTCTCCTGGCCGTAGCAGCCATCCACATCGCCCACTGCAGCCCCGAAAAGAAGGACGAATACGCTACCATATCGGCTCGCCATCAAAACGTCGCCCTCAGCAAGTTCTCGCCTGGGTTGGCCGAGATTGGCGAGAAGAACGCCGATGCATACGTACTACATGCTGTATGCATCTTTCTTCTCAATACCTACTCCATCGCCAACCCGAACGGCCCCATCACCTCCAAGGACGTTGCTCAGTCCTTCATTCTGCTGCAGGGTATGTTGCCACTTGGACAAATCTCCGGCGTTTGCTAAAGCTCCTTCCAGGGATCAAGAGCATCCTCACTCTCCCGTTCGCCCACCGATATATCTCCAACGGGCCACTGGCACGTTGGCTTTACCAAGGCGGCGTTGAGCCCGCCGTAGGAGGCAACTATTCTTCCAAGATTGACGACCTTCTCAACCTCACACGCAGCATGGCGCCCTCGGACGATACCACGACCTGCCAGTCAGCCCTCGAGGGCCTCAAGATCACTTTCGCGGCAGTCTCCACGCCCCAGCACAGATCCGGTCTAGTCTGGCGATGGGCTGTCTCCCTCCCCCAGTCCTTCCTCGAGATGATCAGCCAGAATCACCCAATGGCTCTCGTCATTCTTATGTATTATGCAGCGCTGGTTCATGCATCCGAGCGGAACATGTGGTATCTCGTCGGCTGGGGTAATAACGTAGCCTCTGCCTTGGATAAGGCCATCCAGGAGCCGTGGAGGGAGTGGATCCAGTGGCCATTGAGGTGCATTCGTGAGGGCACTGACATCCGGAAAGCCGAGCCGTTCAAGGCTGTGCCGGTTGAAAGCCTCCCAAGACCGCAGCTCCCCACCGTCAACTTCAAGATGGACTTTTTTAAACCAGGCGAGCCGCCTTCGTGAACCATCAACCTCGGTCCGTCTTGAGCCGACTTATGATGTAGGAAACAGACTCATCATAATCCCCAGAGCTCCTCTGGGGAGACTCCTCATCAATCCCGTCAAGGAGCTGGCAGATGTTGTCACACTGGTAGACGACGCTTCCCGCCGCCGTTGTGGAATATCATGCTGAAGGATCATTCCTTTAATATATCGGGTATCTGTCCTGCCTCGCGAGAAGTGTGTTGGGCAGTGGCCTGCATACTTGCCATGAGACTATGGGCCAAAAGCCCACAGACCGCTTTAGCATGAACTCCTGTCACACTAGCTCCGTTGTCAGATAAGCAGACATCGGCAACAAATTTGGCTTGCATCTGAGGATAATCTAGATTTACTGGCCAGGTTCGAAGTCTATGCTTCTTGCCTTACTCTACAGAGGTATCGAAAGCACCTTCTGTCGAATCATCGCCCTTGACCAACCCTATCCGACGAATCGGACTGGCGGCCACACTGAACTTACGGCAAGAGTCAACAACGCAGATATCCAGGCACCATAAAAGGCTTAATTCGCTCCAATCGGCCTGCGGACAGAAACCTCAAAAGCCAAAGAAAGCCGGTTGGGCCTGGACAAAGTGGGTTTGGGCGAAGCCCCGTGTGGAAGATAATAAGAGATCAGAATATGGCAACTTCGGCTCGCCATCACATATACCCTCAAACTTATACTTCGTACCTCGAAGTTTATGTCGTATCGCTACAGTGGTCTCGCTTGCCCTCCTCTCAGACGCTCTGTTGTCAAAATGGAAAGGCTAGACCTTCAAAGACATCACCACTGCAAATGCACTTCGTCGCCTGTGCCGTCACATAGTCTTACAGCATCTCCTGTCTTGTAAACGGTCTTTATTCTAGACTGAAAGTTCTGGAGGCGGAGGGATCATTCGCGGACTGGCCTGTGTGAGGGTTGAGTTACCCCAGGCGCATCCCCCGTCGCCGTCTTACAATAACTGGCGTCGGTGGATGGCCGTGGCGATGGAAATCCAGGTTGAGACCAATTGCCCTACGACGTGTCGCGATCGACAAAGAAGGCGTTGAAATAGACGCACGAAAATAATAGTGTGGCCCAAAAAGAATGAACAAATTTGGCTGGTCGTTGCGGCATTGGAAAACTGGGAGGCCTTGACGGCGATTTGAAAAGGGAATGCAATGGCAATACCAAAAAGCACCCAAAGCAAAAGTAAATGTCCCTAGCAAGGCTCGAACTTGCGACCTTTGGATATCCCGACCTGGAGGCAGGGTCATATGTATGAATATGAGACCAACGCTCTACCGACTGAGCCATAGAGACATTGTTGCCAAAATCTCTCTATTTGAAAAATAAGTAGGTGGTGTGTGGAGCGAGTCAAGCTCACAGTGGATTTCGCCTGGTTAGTGCCAAATTGTGGATTAAACCCCGTGACCCAGCCGGGACCCGCGAGACCATCGGTATGGTATAATGCGTAACCTAAGGGGGCTAGGTGTGTAGCAGACGCTGACAGTGACGCCCTGCGACAAGGACCGGTTGAGCTACACGACCCAAAAGATCCGTCAGTGCTTGCACGCATGCAGGCCCCGCTATCAGCACTGCTTATATGCCCTTGTGACCGTACATCTCTGGCTGGGGGAGTTGTGCTGTACACTAGGAGTCCGCACTCGCTCCACACCTGGGGGCTGAGAACCCGGCGTGTGGTGTATGGCGCACTTAAAGCAGTCAGTCATTTGTTGCTCTCATAAGTTTCGGGCCTCATTTTACGTTGTCTTAGCTGGATTTCCGACTCAAGGACGACCCAGGCTTACTGTAGCAGATACTAATGTGTGGAAATGCATGCTCTTGAGGAAACCATGCCCCGTTACGCTTCATGTCGTTAATTATAGCAAACACCAAAACCTGATGAAGCTGACCAGCAATGTGACAACGCAGATCACTTTGAATGTGGCCATTGAACAGCGTAGTTGATTGATGCTATTTGTTACCCTTAACACTCTCTTAATCCATACAATGTATAAGCCTAAATCACCACATCTTCTATAGAAATACTGCTGTGGTTATATTAAGCCAACATACTCAATTCCAGTTTGATAATTGATGCCATACCTACCCACACCAGGTATCCGGAAACCTCACAGTTCACATCATAACAGTCCTGTTCAGAACTAGTTACAGACTTGGTGACATCGCAAGATGCGTATCTGGGTGTCTTCGAGGTCTTCCGGATTTCTGGGATTAATATTGTTACACTATTGGGCCGTAGGTCCTATGGTCTGGTTTCTTGGTTGGTTGCCATGTTGTTGGTCTCCCCAGTGCTTGCTGTGCGTAATAAGGACCAATGCACGAAAGAAAAATAAGAAAACACCGTCATACTGAAACAGGCGGACACGTGCTGTGACCGGCTTTGGATAAAATCTGTCTATTGGCTTCACTGTTTTTACCCATGAAAGATTGAGGATACTATCTCACAAAAGGTTATCTACGAGCAAGACCCTCTCCTCCACGCTTCGGCCTCTTGCCAGTTACACAAACCACCTCCACGGACGACGTCCCGGACAAAAGCACATGCTGGATCAAAGTGTAATGAAGCTCATAGCTAAGCTTCTCTTTCACCGGTAGGGTACCATCAATCATCAAGACCACGACTGCACTTACGCGTATTGACAGGCGGCCGAACAGAAAGTAAACTCTGCCTTGGACCCCTAGCTTTTCACGATGACTGCGCCACAACGACTATCCCCCCCCCTCCGTTGACACTTTTTTGTCCTGTTGGGGATGGCGGACAGCTCCATTCCGTCTCATCTTGAGTCCTAGGCCCTGTGCTTTCTCAAGAATATGCAAGGACATCTATGAAACGAGAGAAGGTGTTCAAGCTTTTGGCTGTCACCAACATGGGATGGTTGATGCCTCCCAACGCCACCTTTGTGCGTATCTTGCTTTGCTGGATGATTGGGCATCCATCCTGAGCGTCTTGTCTTCCCGTACTCTCTTATCTCCAATACAGATATCTATATAAATGGATCATTCGCCCATTCAGCTCTGGCCTACTAGATGGGCAGGCACTGCGCCGATGAGCTTGAACAAGACCCAAGACCCAAGGTTCTCGACGTTCCAACTCTCAGAGTACGGCTCATTGGCGCATCCGTCTCATATCACAAACCTCTAGGTTCACTTCTTGGACATCCCCCGCCGGACGAGACCTCCGTGACTTCTTCCCGAATTTGCAAATGCAGCGTCATCCTGGTCTTTGCGGTGTTTGGGATGGGGAATCCTTGATGATCGCCTCCCGGTGAAATGTGCTTTGACGAGGAGGTATATATCAAGCTCGCGAGCTCTGCTTGGGCCAAAATCCTCTTGATCTCCTTCAGTTTGGCAGAACTGTCGAGGCAAAGCTCGAAACACTACCCATTGTTGCCCATGGTCAGCACCGTCGATCCTTTACGCCATAGAAAACATCACATCCATCACTCCAAACGAGCCACCATGCCCTTTAGGCACAAACGCAAACCTGCGGCTGAAGAGCCGGAATCTCAATCCATTCACTCCTCCCCAGACACGTCCTCATCCTCTTCTTCCGCGGCCCGCTCCACCCTCTCCCGCCGCCTCTCCCTCTCCCGCACACTCTCCTCGCTGCGTCCCAAACCATCCGACCCCAACTCCCCTCCCGCCGTCAGCCCCCCCAGCCGCGGCATCGGCGCCCATGTCCACAAGATCACAACCACAGCCGGGATCCCTTTCAACAAGGCCGCGAACCTCGTCGGCGCAGAGGGATGGTTCCCGCAAACCATGCCTCGCGAGTGCGCCAAAGCTGCTCGCATCCTCCAGTCTTTTACCGACCAGCCCCTCGGCGACACGGAACCGGCTCCCTCCCACGGCCGTAACGAGCCCTTCCATCCCCTTGGGATCACCCGCCGCTCCGTCGTTGCGATCCCCCACCAGGTCCTCGCCCACTGCGCCGGCCTCGCCATCTTCAATACCCTCCGCGCGGGTGCCTACATGGGCTCCCTCGCCGCGGGCTCTGGCCTCGTTGTCGCTCGCCGCCCAGACGGGACCTGGTCCCCTCCGTCGTCCTTCGTCGTCTCCACGCTGGGTGCGGGTTTCATGTTTGGCCTCGACATCTATGACTGCGTCCTGGTGCTCAACACCGCCGCCCAGGTCGCGGCCTTTGCGCACCCGCGCGTGTCGCTCGGCGCGGAGACATCCATAGCCATCGGCCCCGTGGGCACGGGCGGAGCCGTAGAGGCGGCGTTATCAAGGACCTCGCGGTCAATGTACAGCTACATGAAGTCCCGCGGTTTGTGGGCGGGCGTACAGGTCGACGGCACCATCATCCTCGCAAGGCAGGACTGTAACGGGGTGGCGTACAATGACCGCAAGATCTCGGCGCGGAGGATCTTACAGACGCAGGCGGAGTGGCCTGAGGGTCGTTGCCGCTGTGGCAGACGCTGATTGCGCTTGAAGGGCGCTATGCAATGGACCCGGATATTGCGAGGGAGTTGGCGATGATGGGGCCGCCAGGAGATTTAACGCCGCCATTGGAGGAGGACGAAGAGGATGATCCTGCACCGGCGTATACGCCCCGTGTTGCTCCGCAGTTACGATCGAATTACGGCGGCGAGGAGGGTGTTATGGATCGGAACAACAATGGCGAGGGGCCGATTCTGGAAGATAAGGAAAGACTTCCCCGGGCGGGCTAAATGAACGTATGCACCTCTGAATAATGAATTAATTCGAAAGCGTCAAACAATTGCTTCCGGGCTTATCTTACTCTGGACTGTGGCTGGACGCAATGAACCCCAATTCGAAGCATCAAAGTGCTAGGTAGACAGGATGTTCAACTCGTATCCATCTTCACCAAACCGCGAAACAAAACTCCCTATCATCACTCCCAGGGTCTCCAATCCATGAGGTCCAGTTCAATTTGAGTGCGGGGAACCCCAAACCCAAGCTTCGGAACTTCGCCTCGGTGTCCAGGGATGTCCTTGGATCTCTCCAGCTGTACATGCTAGGATATCTTCCCTCCAGCAGAGGGCTAGACTCCGGATGAAGCCGAGGCTGGTTGGTATTTGACGGTAAAGTTCATGTGGACAAACGCATCTGCGTCTTCTTGAATTGCCATGATGCGGCCCTGTAAGCTATTCCATCGTCGAGACCACGGCATCCATCCCATTCAAATGCGGGGGTGGGAGAGTCTTAGTAAGGGTCATTTCCATTGCTGTCGACGCCGACTACCAGTAAATTTCCCGGCAAACGCCTGGCGTCAGTCGGCATTCCAGATAGAGTTAAGCAGCCTTTCTCCGATGCTTAACATAGTTGCAGCAATCGTTAAGTTCAAGGACATTCGGGATGGCCCCTTTTTTGGAACTGTACGTGGCGACGAAATCTCGAAGTATCCCTTACCAGCCGGTCTCGTACAGGAATCACACTCACGAAGCACGCGCAATCGACCCCCAGTGTCGTTAATCAATGCCGAGTCAACGTCAAGGCTTGCCTTGACATTATCTATCGTAGCCCCGTCTAGCCCTAGCCCCGTACAGTCGTCATACACTAACTACAAGTACAAGCCCTCAGGCTCACTCTCCTGCTTGGTGCGCAGGACTCTCTCTCTGGCAGAGCGGAAGTCGGCCATCTGCACGCGCATACGGCGCTCACGGAGGGCCAACAGACCGGCCTCGGAGCAGATGGCCTTGATGTCGGCACCGGAGAGGTCGTCCTTCTGCGAGATGAACTCCTCGAGGTCGACGTCGTCGTTGAGCGACATCTTGGATGTGTGGAGGGTAAAGATCTTGCGCTTGGTGTTTTGGTCGGGATTCTCGAAGAGAATCTTTCGGTCGATACGGCCGGGACGGATCAGGGCGGGGTCGAGGGTTTCGATCTTGTTGGTGGCCATGATGACCTTGACGTCACCACGGTCATCGAAACCATCGAGCTGGTTGAGAAGTTCCAGCATGGTTCGCTGGACTTCACGCTCACCGCCTGAGGTCGAGTCGTAACGCTTTGTGCCAATAGCATCGATTTCGTCAATGAAGACAATCGAAGGGGCGTTCTCGCCGGCAACCTAACATTATTAGTCATGAGCTAGAATATCAAGGGGTCCAACATACCTGGAACAGCTGACGGACAAGGCGAGGACCATCACCGAGGTACTTCTGGATAAGCTCACTTCCCACTATACGCAGGAAAGTGGCAGAGGTCTGGTTGGCGACGGCCTTGGCGAGCAGCGTCTTTCCGGTACCGGGAGCACCGTATAGAATGACACCCTTGGGCGGCTTGATACCCATCTCCTCGTACAGCTCGGGATGCAGCAGAGGCAGCTCGACCGACTCTCTGACTTCCTGGATCTGCTGCTCCAAACCACCAATATCGGCGTACGACTCCGTCGGTGCCTTGTCAAGCTTCATCACACTGACGAGGGGGTCGGCATCGTCAGTCAGGACACCGACAATGCTGACGCTCTTGTGGTGTAGCAGCACACTGGCGCCGGGCTCTAGCAGGTCCTTGTCGACGAAGCTCATGATGCTGACGTAGTACTCGGGACCCGTGGTGCTACTGACGATCGCATGGTCGTCGTCAATCATCTCCTCCAACGTGCCGACTCCCATGGGGCTGCCACGCATATCGTCGACACGGCCACGCTCGTCGGCCATACGGTCGACATCGCCCTCGGGTCCGATGGCGGCACCCTCTTTCGCGGCCTTGGCCCGGCGGAGACGCTCCTGGTTTTCGACGTACTCCTCCTCGAGAATCAAGTGATCGTGGATTCGCTGCATTCGTAATAGGCGGAGTTTGCATCGGCTGGTGGGGAAGACGGCGGGGAGCTTTGCAGCGGCGCTGGTGCCGGCCGCCTTTCTCTTCTTGCGGCCGACTCTGGTGGTAGGGCGTGGGGGAGGCTCGTACTTGGGCTTCTCCTTCTGCATCGCCAATCAGCTTGTGAATATTTGTTTTTCGATTCGATAACGCATACCTTCTTATCCTTCTCATCCTTTCCATCGCCTCCGCCACCCATTCCTGACTGATTTTGACCCTGCGTAGCTGTTAGATCGAGGTCACCACGTTTCGGACTGCAATGCGTACCATCTTGCCACGGGGAGCTCCTGGAGCTCACTAGGACTGTTCAGATGCCTTCTGTGTGTCGACGGTATTAAAAACAGGTGAACCTCTGATTCGGTGGGCTATCGAGGTATCGTCAATGAGCTTGTGATGATGATGAGTGTAGGTGGATTCCGGAGATGGAGATGGAAGCGCAGGGGAGCAAGGCAAGGCTGCTACTGCTTGCGTAGGTAATCACAGTAGGTACAGCGTACCTCAGCACAGGGCACCGACTGCTGCAGGCGGCAGAGAAACGCGACGCTCGCCGGGTCTAGGCCGGATTTGGCAAAGGTGGTCACTGGTCACGTGAAACAGCTGATGGCTTAGTTATCCTTGCTGAGTCAGTAGTCCCTTCCTCTGCTTCAACAACTCAGCACTGGAAGCTGCAAGCAACGGAAGTCGCAGGATCTAATGACGACGAAACGCCTAGGCTGCACAAGAGTCAGCAAGATCTTCTTGAAAGACCTCCCTTTTCTTTTTATCATGTTTCTATCAGAAGCAACGGGTTTACTAGAGAAAGCAACGGTATTCATTTAAACGATGGGGATTGTTGAACTCAGGTGAACTCAGGTACAACTGAGGTAGTTAGCTGTTTGCCCACGTTAATAGCATTGAAAACTAGATCAACCACATAGCTATTAGGAAAAGAAGCAAGCATTAGAACGATTTCCGCTAGAGGTTTCTTTTGTACTCTTCTGCCCTTAGTTATACTGACTCTCGTAGCCAGCTATTAAAATTACGACTTTCGAGTCCAAGGTATACAGACGGGTGGTTTTGTACACAGCCCACACAGCTCTGAAACTCGAGCTCTGAGACGATGCCCAGGTGAAATGTCGTCCGACTCCGTTGCCATCTGAAGTAATGACGCCTATTCTGCTCTGCCTGTTGCTTGTCAGGTTAGGTCTGAGACTGCAATAAGAATTAATCGTTTTGAATTCCAGCACTGTTGAAGGTATGTTCGATGCCAGGCATGACAGATTAGATGGCTACGTGTATGGCTACTTGAGGGTTGTGTTACTTCCTTCTCACAGAAGAGACATGGACTAGAACTAAGCGAGTGCACCTCTGCTAAGTGTACACCAGGAGCTGCTGTAACCTGTCATATCGATGCCAACGTCAATGGACCGAAGGTGTGGCAACAATACCGTTTGTTCATGTTCACGAAACTCTAGTTGGTTCTGAGGGAAGAACATTGCATTGCCAGCCGAATGGTGAGCCGAAAAGGGCCAAACACAAGGATGTGGTCAGGCGAGACTGAAGGATGGCAATGTTGTGGTGGTGATAACCTTGGGATGGAGCAGCCTACTGTAGCTTGATGTCGAAAATCTAAGGTAGCTAGGTATTTGAATAATTCTTTGTCTCCGCAACATGATACGCTTGGGCCTGTTGAAGCCTCGTGATCTTAAAGTGTACTGAGACACTGCAACTCATGTCGTGGAGTCGGACACCGCTCGGTGTGCAGCCTCGACATCGTCAAATAAAGGGATCCGGACTGACTCTTGTTATTGGTATTGAGCAAAAGCAGATGCACAGTGGCGAAAGCGAAACGAGAATGGCTAGCCAACCTATTCCTCCATCCAGCGTTGACAGGGGCCGTCTGCCTGAGCTGGTTTTGCAACTCAAAGCTGCAAGACAAGCAAGGTTTGCTCCTCTTGATCGAGTCTTTCGCGTCTGTGTAAGTGAGGACTCGGCGTCGCCGAGTGTCATGGCGCATTCTCGCAACCGTTTCCAGGGCTTGCACAGCAGATTCCAACCCCTCTTTCCTCCAGGCTGTGGTTGAAACTCATACTGATCAGCTCTCTTCAAAGTCTGTGACACTGTGAGTGAGTGCATTTATGCAGAGGCGTCCTCCGCCGTTGAAGCAGCTATCGGGAGGTTGACTTTGACGTGCCTGATAACATTCCCCGTTGGGCGCTTTTTGCGCCGTCGCAACCCCGCCCTGCCCGCAGCTGTCCACCCGCTGTAGGCCAATGAAAGCCCCTGTGTTTGCCCCTTCCAGGCGGCCCTGACAATCCAAGGGCGCTAAATTAGCGGCTTAGCACGGACATTCCAGCATCATCTTTCTTCTTTCCGAGGGGAGGGGCACGTCCACCGTCTTCGGCTCCTCCCCTGCGGCCAGCGTACATGCCTCAGACTCCCGACCCGAACAGCCCCTCGTCCACGCAACTTTGTCCTGCACTCACTCTACCTTGCCGACGAACACAACGACTCTACATATTCTTCCCAGGCCACGATCCAAGCCCAAAGGCAACGCACGCAATACTCACCCGAGCCTCATACTTGACGAACACACTTCTTCGGAGTCCACGTACAAGCCCGACGAACCAGAGAAGCACCGGCATGATGGCGAGCCCCAAGGAGAGACGCATCGGCAAGGAGCTCATGGACATCCGCGCAGACAAGGACAACTCTGGCGTCTTCGCGTACCCGATTGACGAGTCCAACCTCCTCCACCTCAAGGGGTCGTTCCCCGCTCCTCCCGACACCCCATATGCCGGCGGCCAGTACGAAGTCGACATCAAGATTCCCGACAACTACCCCTTCAAGTCCCCATCATCAAGTTCGATACCAAGATTTGGCACCCCAATGTCAGCAGCCAAACCGTATGTCTCGCCCACACAGCCTCGTCACTCCGCCACCAAGCATTTCGCCTTTTCTTCTCTTGCCACTCTCGATACTGACTGGAACAGGGTGCCATCTGCCTCGACACTCTAGGCAGTGGCTGGTCTCCCGTGCAGACCATCAAGACCGCCCTCCTCTCCCTCCGCATGCTGCTCGAGTTCCCGAATCCCAAAGACCCGCAGGATGCAGAGGTCGCCAAGATGATGATCGAGAACCCCGAGGGCTTCGCAAAGAAGGCGCATGAATGGGCTGTCAAATACGCTGGCGCTCCGCCTAAGGACTTCGACACCACTAAGTGGAAGAAGGAGTCCGCAGCCGAGGCCAAGGCCAACGACGAGAGCAGGTGCGTTCCCACAGGCCGCCGGATGCATACGATGTGCGGTAGTGGAGTGTAAGGGCATAGGCTGACAGAGTTGCAGGTACATGGGCTACAACAAGGAGCTTGTCGACCGCTTTGTCAACATGGGCTTCGAGGTTGATGCCGTAGTTGACGCTTTTGTCTTCGTAGGCATTGACCGCAACAACGGTGCGGACTACGAGCTGGAGGAGGCGTACATGGGAGACATCACTGCCCGGCTTCTGGGCGAGCAGTAATGGCAAATGCTCGACGCCGTGTTACCCGACGATTAGAATGGCACTATCCGATCACAGCAGTCGGTATCATTCGATCCAAGGGAGACACAGAGAGCAGTCACAAACACACCAAATCACGAGACAACGGGCGGCATTGCATCGGACAAGGAGTTGGTCTTACATTAGACGGAGGCATATGGGGGATCCTGACTTTTTTTCTTTCTTGAATCTTCTCTTTCAGCGGCCGTGCAGTCACACGGGCTTTGACATTGCGGCAGAGTGTGCAACCCGAAGTCGGCTTCAGGAAATGCTGCCTCTTGAATGTCTGGCTGTCCACGAGAGTATTAGCTTTGACTACGACGTTTCGAAGGTTCAGCCGGGGTTAGGCGGGAATAGGAATGTTTGGGGTTTGGAAGGGCATGGAATTTCGATCTGCCTGGGCTTCGTGCCTCGGGCAATCCTGCATCAAGGACACGGCGTTTTGGGCGCAGGAGAGAGACTTGAGTTTATTGGCTCTGAATTTTCACATTGTTTTCGTTACTGCGAGTATTATGTAAAATACATTGGCAGCGTTTTTCCCCCCGTCTCGTCTTGCGTACATAAGTAGGTAGCATCGACCTCAAGAAAATGGCAGCGACGCGGTCACATCTCTAGCAGCATCGCATTGCATCGCATCCTTTGCTCCGGCTTCTGCTCCCCATATTTTCTGGGCCGCGGCCGCTTCCCCTCGGGGTTCGGAGACGGGGATCCTTGCAGGTCTTGCTCGGGTGTGGATGGGGAGTCGTACGACGGCAGGGCCCTACATGCCGAGATGGCGCGAAGGGCAACGAATGAGAAGCGGGAGAGCGGGTAGCGAGCGGGTTTGCATGCGGTCAAGTGGTTAAAAAGCTTGAGGACTCGAGATACAAGACGTTACGGGGGAAGATGGTCCTTTCTTTCCGACATAAGAGGGCCTTCAATCATTCCACCTTTGTTTGCCTCGCCGCGGTGTCCTTTGCCCAATCCCTCCAGTCTATATCAAGTTGTTATTGGGGCCAACATGTTTCAAAAACACACAACGCAACTCGTACGATGCAAAGGGGAAATCCGCCTCGTGAATCCTCCCACGCCGAGAAACATTTGTCCCCATATTTCCGGCGGCGACGACGACGCTTTCAGCACAAAAGTCTCTTCTTTAACATGTTACATACACAGCTGAATCCTCCTCTTCACAGGCGCACATGTGCGCGGCCGGGGTTTCGAGAGAGAAAAACGAGCTTTACAAGAGGTCGCGGCGGACGAACTCGTCGTACAGGGCCTTACCGAGGCCAGCGGGGAAGGCTCGACGATGACGCCGGCGGACTTGAGGGCGGAGATCTTGGAGTCGGCACCGCCCTTGCCGCCAGAGACGATGGCACCGGCGTGACCCATGCGGCGGCCAGGAGGAGCAGAGATACCGGCGATGAAGGAAACGACGGGCTTGCCACCGTTGACGGTGTTGTTGGCGCGGAGGAAGTCGGCAGCGTCCTCCTCGGCGGAACCACCAATCTCACCGATCATGATGATGCCGTCCGTCTCCTCGTCCTTGAGGAAGACGTTGAGGCAGTCGATGAAGTTGGTGCCGCTGAAGGGGTCACCGCCGATACCGACGACGAGGGACTGGCCGAGGCCAGCCTGGGTGGTCTGGTTGACGGCCTCGTAGGTGAGGGTGCCGGAACGGGAGACGATGCCGATGCGGCCGCGCTTGTGAATGAAGCCGGGCATGATGCCGATCTTGCACTGGCCGGGAGCGATGATACCGGGGCAGTTGGGGCCGACGAGGCGGGTCTTGGATTGCGTCTTCAGCATGTTGGTGATGCGGACCATGTCTAGGCGTCTGGTGAGTACTTGAAGCTCAGGGGATCCCATCACTGCTCGGGAGGGATGGAAGGCCTACCATGCTGGGGGATACCCTCGGTAATGCAGACGACGAGGGGGATCTCGGCGGCGATGGCCTCCTCGATACCGGCGGCAGCCAGAGGGGGGCTATTGTTCCATGGTCAACATCCTGCTCAGTGATTGTTTTCATATCGCAATGACATACGGGACGAAGATAGCGGTGGCATCAGCGCCAGTCTCCTTGACGGCCTCGCTGACGTTGCCGAAGACGGGAAGACCCAGGTGCTCCTGGCCAGCCTTCTTGGGGTTCGTTCCACCGACAACCTTGGTGCCTATACGCCCATTGATATCAGTCTCGGAATGTTTCCAACGTTCGCGTGTGCGTCGGCGCGCGCGCAGCGATTAGCTACGCAATTGCCTCGGAGTTATCATTGCGTACCGTAGTCGATGGCCTGTTGAGCGTGGAAGCTGTTTCGCGTAGAGCACGTTAGTAAAATAGCTCTCTTGACACGGCTTGCGCGGGCTCTAATAACAGATATCGCGAGATAGCCAGCCCCGAAACAGGGGGGTTTGTTCGGCCCTCGGTCGTCGGAGGAAGATAACACCACTTACGTTCCCTGCTTGCCAGTGAAGCCCTGGAAAAGCACCTTGGTCTCGGAGTTGATGCGCAGGTTGTCGATGGTCTTGGAGTAAGGGCCAGCCTGGGACACGCTGTATGCGCGCTTCGCGGCCTGGTTGAGCAGCTTGCCTGCCGGCCGCATCTGTCTCAGGGACTGCATCTTGGCGGTATATGTGTGGTGTTGTAGATGTTGCGAGAAAAGCGCAGCTTCAAAAAGAGCAGCGCCAATTAAGGAGAGGGAGGGTATGATCCGAAGAGGGAGATTCGTTGGAGTAAGGTAGAGGAGGATGCGGCTATCGTGGAAAAAAGAAGACAGCTGCTGCAAGCAATTCACGTCACTTGCCGAAAAAGAAGGGTCGGACTGAACTGGAAAGAGACACACAGCAAAACTTGAACCGAGCTCTCTGCGAGACAACCGGGTCTGCAGCGCGAGCCACGAGGAGCCACGGGGGCCGGCAGCCCGGGAAAACCCGCGCCAGTCGGTAGTGCAGATGATCCGGCCGGACCAATCGACACCGCGGCAATCAGCACGAGCGACAGCTGCGACGGCATCCAGTCCAGGACTGCAGGGTACGTACTGGGTATGGCATGGGAGCTTGATGTGTGGCGTTGAGATATCATAATGTGGCTGATTACCCCACCATCCAGCACCTTGCATTTGACGGTCCCTCCAAAATTTCTAGGTCAAGAACCGGACGTCAATTCCAACTGTGACTCTATCCGACGGCTCGAAGCGACGTGGGCTACACTACGGCAGATAGGCGAATCGACCCGACAAACTCGTAGGCATCTTGGAATCTCTGCAGAGAACTCACCTCGGCCAAACGGCCTAGCAACCAGTCAAGATGGCCACCACCACCGCCACCGTCACTAAGTCTCGGTCCAAGAACGATAACCTGCCACCCGAGAATGAGCGCTTTCTGCGATGCTGCGCCGATATTGCCAACGCCCTGATCGAAGACCATGAGGCTGTCAGAGACCCCAAAATTCCGCACAAGGACCTCAACCTCAACGCCCTGCGCAACAAGTTTTCGAGGAAGCACAAGCTGGCCAACATCCCACCATTAACTGCGATCATCGCCGCGATCCCCGAGCACTACAAAAAATACATCTTGCCAAAACTGATAGCCAAGCCGATTCGTACGTTCTTCCCCAGGTTTTAGGATTTCGAAAGGGTCTGACCAGCTTTGTAGGAACATCATCAGGTATCGCAGTGGTGGCTGTCATGTGCAAACCCCACAGATGCCCGCATATCGCTTACACCGGCAACATCTGCGTCTACTGCCCCGGCGGGCCCGACTCCGACTTTGAGTACAGCACACAGTCCTACACTGGATATGAACCGACGTCGATGCGAGCGATCCGAGCACGATACGACCCCTTCGAACAGGCCCGCGGCCGCGTTGACCAGCTCAAGTCCCTGGGCCACTCCGTCGACAAAGTCGAGTACATCATTATGGGCGGTACTTTCATGTCCCTGCCGGTGCCGTACAGAGAGGACTTTATCGCCCAACTACACAATGCGCTCAGTGGATATCAGACATCCAATGTTGACGAAGCTGTGGAAGCTAGTGAGATGAGCAACATCAAGTGCGTCGGAATCACAATCGAAACGAGGCCGGACTACTGCTGGCAGCCCCATCTGACGGACATGCTGCGGTATGGCTGCACGAGACTGGAAATCGGAGTGCAGTCACTCTACGAGGACGTTGCGCGAGATACGAACCGCGGACACACTGTCGCAGCCGTCGCCGAGACGTTCTGCTTGGCTAAGGACGCCGGATTCAAGGTTGTCAGCCACATGATGCCTGATCTGCCCAACGTGGGCATGGAGAGAGACCTGGACCAGTTCCGAGAGTATTTTGAGAACCCGGCGTTCCGCACTGACGGTCTCAAGATCTACCCGACCCTCGTCATCAGAGGCACTGGCTTGTACGAACTGTGGCGAACGGGTCGTTACCAAAACTACACACCAAACGGCCTCATTGACCTTGTCGCTCGGATCTTGGCATTGATCCCGCCATGGACCCGTATCTACCGTGTCCAGAGAGATATCCCCATGCCTTTGGTCACGTCTGGTGTGGAGAATGGCAACTTGCGAGAGCTGGCGTTGGCGAGAATGAAGGACTTTGGCACGACTTGCCGAGATGTGCGAACGCGTGAGGTCGGAGTGAACGAAGTGAAGAACAAGATTCGGCCCAATCAAATCGAGCTCGTCAGACGAGACTACACGGCCAACGGCGGATGGGAGACGTTCCTGGCATACGAGGACCCGAAGCAGGATATCCTTGTTGCTTTGCTCCGTTTGCGCAAGTGCACTGAGAAGTACACCTACCGTGAGGAGCTTGTTGGACAGCCGACTAGTCTGGTGCGAGAGCTGCACGTGTATGGTACCGCGGTGCCAGTGCATGCCCGAGACCCGAAGAAGTTCCAGCACCAGGGTTTCGGCACCCTTCTCATGGAGGAGGCCGAGAGAATCGCGAGGGACGAGCATGGCAGTGAGAAGATTAGTGTCATTTCTGGTGTAGGTGTGAGGAGTTACTACGCCAAGCTCGGATACTGGCTCGACGGGCCGTACATGAGCAAGTGGCTCGATGGCCGGCCTGGACCTGATGAGGCTACCTGAAGATGCCCTAGGGACCTTTGACGATTCGACGGACGCGAATGCATGACCATGAAGAACATTGCGTTGTTCGAAGCCAGGCGCGTCCGGCACCAGAGATGCAATCGCCTCTGGTTGATGGCCGGGGAATAGTCTACGCTTTAAGGGCTCGGCTCTCCGAAGCTGCGAACCGGCGTGTCAGGCTCGCGGCGCAGCGTCGAGGAGGGTGTTGGAGCAGAAAGAAGCTCCACGGGTCTAGGGTGACTGGAACCACGGAGGGCCTCATTTCCCAGCTGCAGCCGCCAACTTCTCCTCCCACGCGAGAAGGCATTCGAGGGCTCCTGATCCTGCGTTGGCCTCAAGGGCAGACCACTGATGCCTTGACATGGGCTTGAGCACATAGTTAGATACAGTAGCCTTCTCGCGCTCTTCCGGCCGCCCAATACCAATGCATATCCTCGCCCACTCGGATCCCGGGTAGTCTGCCTGGCGAAGACATGCGTTGACGCTCTTTACTCCGTTGTGACCTCTGTGACTGCTCTTCCACTTTCTCGTCTTGACGAAGCCCAGCTCCTCCTCCAAGTCGTCATGGACGAGAATGAGACTCAGATCTGCCGGATCACGCGTACCGAGCGTCTCCTTCCACGCCTTGGCGACCCATTTGCCGGAGACGTTCATGATGGCGGGACTCTGGATCATGGCGTACTTGGGGCCGATCGACGCCAAACATGAGCTGCCGCCGAAGCGACCCCTGTGGAAAGCTGGCTGAGAAGGTCCCAAGAGTTTCTGGAGATGGTTAAGGGCGTGGTGGCCAGCAGAGTGAAGTGTGTTGTAGTATGGTTCAGGGTTTCCCAGGCTGATGAGCAGGAAGCGAGGGGCGGCCATCTTTGCTGATAGTTCAGATGAGCTGCTGGTAGTGGTGGTGATGGTGGTGGTGTGAAGGGTGAGGATGAAATTTGAAATTGGGGCGGTTGTCAGAGAAGCTTAAAGGGATTGGAAACAATGCTTGGAGATTCTGTTTTGGTGATATGTATATTCCAGTCATGGATTTATAATGGCGGGAGTGAGTCCATATGCACAACCGCGAAAATATGGCGGACAGCATTTGCGCACTCCCTCCGAAGGCTGCCTGCAGTGCTGCGCCACATACTTGCCGGCGCTAAGACGAACTAGCACCGAGCCAGGAGCCGTGGCGCAGTCTGCGCCTCTGTCGCTGACGTCGGTTTCCGCTGCCGGGCGCTCGTTGGGTTTCCCCAGCCTGCATTGATGAGTGATTCGTCCGCGCAATCAAAACCTCCCCGGACGCATTTCCTTTCTTTCCCATTAACCTTTGGACGACGAAACGGCCTTCACACGAACGATACCCCGCGAACCACCCAGCGATCACCACACACCGCCCGAGCACACTCTCCGACTACAGAGTTTTTTGTTTTGTTTCCCCCTTACAAACACTGAAAGAGTAACACATCGGAATTAGACCAAGATGTCGTGGGCAGGTACGACTCACTCCTATGGATGACCCCTCATTGCTCAGCGCAAGTCGGGCGAGGAAAACCGGTCTGGACTGGACTGACGGAACGACGGCAGGCTTCAAGAAAAATGTCAACCGCGCGACGACGCAGGTGATGATGAAGACGGGTGAGCCCCTTTCCTGCCCAACCAGCGGCCGTGATGCGAGGTTCTGATCTTGGCAGGTCATGTGGAGAAGACCAACGATCGAGACTACGAGGTTGAGGAGAGGTGGGCAACAACACCCCCAGCTAAAGATCCACGACGACAGCGTATACTGAGACTTTTCAATGCAGACGATTCAGAACCATGGAGACTGCTTCGTTACGGTTGCAGAAGGAGGCGAAGGGATACCTGGACTCATTGCGAGGTGTGTTTGTGGCGGTGGTCCGTTCTCCGGCCGACGATGGCGGTGGGCTAACCCAATATGCCAAGCCATGACTGCTTCCCAGATGCGCATTGCCGAGACGATAGACGCCTTTTACGGAGACGCTGGAGCGAAGGACGGTGTGAGCAGAAGCTACAAGCAGGCCGTGGAGGACCTCGACGCGGAGACGATCAAGGCGCTAGACGGTCCTTATCAGTACGATGCCTACCGCAGTCTCGACCACGCAGGACCAAACTAACTCTCGGCGCAGACAAACCGTCCTCGAACCAATCTCACGCTTCTGCGCCTACTTCCCCGACGTCAACGAATGTCAGTACCCCCGAGGAACTGCCCCGCACCCGTAGGCGCTGACCCCACCATCTAGGTATCAAGAAGCGCGGTCACAAGCTCCTTGACTACGACGCGCTGCGCGCCAAGGTCAAAAAGCTCGTCGAGAAGCCCGACAAGGACGTTACGAAGCTGCCGCGCGCCGAGAAGGAGATGGAGATGGCCAAGGCCGCCTACGAGCAGCTCAACGAGCAGCTGTCGACGGAGCTGCCGCAGCTCATCGACCTCCGCGTGCCGTACCTCGACCCCACCTTTGAAGCCCTCGTCAAGATCCAGCTGCGCTTCTGCGCCGAGGCTTACAGCCGTATGGCGCAGGTGCAGCAGTACCTCGATGCCGACACGCGAGAACAGTACGCGCAGGGCCAGCTGGACCAGCGCGTGGAGCAGGTGTTGCAGGAGATTCGGGAGCTCAGCATCAGCGGCACGGTATGAGCGAGGCGTCCTTCCATCCTTGTTCTTTGGAGTGGGGTTTCACACGACACCTTTGTGGTAATGGGCGCGGGGGGGTTTTACGGGCATGGTCTGGGATGGGCCAGGCTTATGAGAGGTTGTAATAGAAAAAGGCCTCGCCTAGACTTGCGAGTCATGACGGGGAACATCACGAAAGCCCCATGACGACTTTGCATCATTGTATGAAAAAAATGACTTGTCTTTCTTCTTAATCAAGGGTATCGCTGTTTTACCATTGCTCTCTTTTCCGGAGCCCCCCCCTTATGCAGATGATTCGTCAGGTTCGTGATCAATATAGACTATCCTCATGCCTTTTCACAGCGACATGCGCGTGCCTCAAAGCGGAGTACACTTTAGCAACAGCTTCGCCATCCAAGGTTGAGGTTCCCTAGGCTGATAGGCCCCTCCCTCTCGATTCCTGTCCCTCCACACATCGGGATCCTCCACCACGCCCCAGCTCTTCATCACCAGCGCCCGCTCCTTGGCCTCCGCATCAGAAACCACGAGCTCCTAGCCCTTGACCCCGTTCTGCGCGCCAAACAGGTCGCTCAGGCTCAGCCTCCTCCCAATGGCCTGCATCGCGGGGCCCACCTCCTCCTGCTGCGCGGGGGCCCCGGCGACGCCCGCGCCGGCGTTTTGCTCCTCTGCGATGCGGACGTGCTTGAGCGTCTCGGCGATGAGGGCGGCGTTCATCACGCGCGTGTCGTCCTTGTCGGCGTGGATCCAGATGCCCATGACCTTGTTGCTCTCCTCTTCGCCCCGCAGGCGGAAGATGTAGATCTCATCAACCACCTCGAAGTCGGCCACATCCCCCAGGTCGAGGATCACATTCTCCAGGCCGCGGCGGTTCAGCACGAAGATGCAGGCGCGCGGCGCCGCGGGGACGGCGCCGGGGGCCGGGTCCTGCATGCAGAGGAAGTAGGTGCCCTCGATACCAGTCTTGTCCCAGCCGGGCAGTGAGGGGTTAAAGGTGTAGACGACGGCGTTGGCGGCGATGGAGAGGGTGGAGTTGATGGAGGGGAGGTAGCGGCGCAGGACGGAGAGGTTGAGCTCCGTGTTGGTGCGGTTGAATAGGGCCGGGTTCGGGACCGGGACCGGGTGGGAGTCGACGTAATGGGCAGCGTCGGATTCGTAGTCAGATTGCACAGGACGGGGACCATAACCGGTTGCGGAGGAGTGGCGCGCGTGTCCACGTTTGCGGGGGGTTGGACGGGACATTGTGGTTGGATGAGATGCGATGTGGGTGATGGGTGTTTGGTGGAAGGCGGTCGGATTCCAAACGTAGTGCCGAGACGTGCTTGGGTCGTTTTCTCTGTCGATTGGTGATGATGGGAGTGGACAGGGTATCTTTTAAGCAGTTATCCAGCGGAGAGTGAGGGGCTGGTCGTGGGTGTGAGTTGTGGTGATATTGGAGCTGTGGAATGGGATCGTGAGTTGTCGATGTCAGGCTGAGCAACAAGATCGCAGCACAACACTTGCCGAGGGTGGGCCCGAAACAGCCTTACCTTATCGCCCTCTGTCCCTCCCTTATCGGACCTTGTCGCAACAGGTTAGCCGTGTCTACCCCGCCAATCCCAGCGCGGTGGCAGTGCAGAGTCAGTATGCAGAAAGGGGGGGGGCCTCGAAGTAAACCCCCTGTCATTCCAAAGTCAGTGGCACGGCGGCGTTTTCAGCGGTGTCGCATGCCCTGCTGCAGTGTGTGATGTGATTGACTGCGACGGTGCAACCTCGAATCATTCAGAGGCCCAGAACCCGCACGTCACTGGTCTCTGTTGTGGATATGCGAGAAACACTGGCTGGCTGAAGTCTCCGTTCCGTCATCTTCAGGATCCGGCCCAGATCCCGGTGACAATCCTTTCCCCCACCCCAACTTTTATGCCTTTTCGTGCCTGGTCGAGAGAGAGAGTCTGCATCTACCCCTTACTCCATCTACACTTACACTTAATCCGCACTTATTCAGTACATCGTGTCGCCGCCCCACCGCTTTCTCCTTTCGCGTCGTGTCGAGCTCCGGCTCGTCCGCACTTTTCTGGGGTGGTTTCATCCGTTTCTACCTTGGTGTACGCGTCTCTTCCGACCATTCCTCGGCATCCGTTGTCCCTTTAGTCCGCATAACTGTCGCCATCCTGGTCCGTGACCTCACTTACGGTGACTCGTAGCCACGCCGGAATTGCCAACATCATGCGCCGGGCGTCTCCGGACTGATCGACGACCACCACACCAAAAGTCATAGGCGTCCCAGAACGGCCTCGTGTCTCACCCTCCTCCTCCTCTCTGCCGCTTCCCGAGTGCGGCACTCAAAACCCCGAAGCTTCCTCTCCATCTCGAGCTCGAATCCCTAGCCAACTCGACCCTAGCAACAGCGCATAGCTGGGCTTCCTGAGATGGCGCCCTCTGAGACCATCCCCTCGACGACCTCAGACCCCGTCGACCTGACCTCGACGCCGCACTCTCTGGCCCGCGCCGTCTACGCCCGCCGCGCAGAATACGTCCGCCCCCATCGGATCCGTGTCAAGATCGGAACATGGAACGTTGCGGCGTGTCCCGGCACCGACAAAGATCTTGCGAGCTGGTTCGTCGACGGATATGGCCTCGACGCGACCCTTTCCAAGCTTGACGTGTCTGACCACGACACGGTCGAAACGAACCCTCTGCCCGCCACCAAAAAAGAATCGGACGACCAGGACCCTAATGCCTCCGTGCACCTGGTCGGGGGGGACAAGATTGGGCTATACGTCTTGGGCTTGCAGGAGATCGTCGACCTGAACATGGCGAGGGACTACATGACCCGCATGTCCTCCGACCCGGCGCCCATGAGAAAGTGGAAAGAAGCGCTCGAGGACGCCATGCCAGAGGGGTACGAGCTGGTCGCCGCCGAGCAAATGTCCGGCCTGCTGCTGCTAGCGTATGCTTCCCCAGAAGTCGCGCCGACTGTCAGCAACGTAAGCACCGTCTCGGTAGGGACGGGTCTGTTTGGATACCTTGGGAACAAGGGCGCCGTAACGACCCGGATGCTGCTTGGCGAAACAACCCGCATGGTCTTTGTCAACTGCCACCTTGCTAGCGGCGCAGAGCAGACGTACTTGGACCGGAGGCTTTGGGACATTGGCCAGATCATGACTCGAACCCAGTTCGACCCCATCAACCTGGCTGGGGAGAACGACGCCGAGGCGGAGAAGATTGGCGATGAGGATTTTGCGTTCTGGCTGGGCGACTTGAACTTCCGTGTCGACGGCCTTCCCGGAAACGATATCCGCCGACTGCTTCTGCTGCATACCCGCGGAGAATACGATCTGGACAAGAAAGGCCGGAAAGTCATTGCGGGCGAGGAGATTTTGGTGGTTAAGAGCTCCAAGGGGGTTGACAGCGACGATGACACGTCTACTGTTGACACTAGTCTGTCGTCGCCTAGCTTCGATGATTCGGCAAGCTCCTTGCCAGACCCCGACGACTTTCTGCCAGATCCCGGTGAAGACCCTGCCTCGTTACAGGCAACTCTAGACTCCCTCTTACCCCATGACCAGCTGCGGAGGGTGATCAAGGAGAAGAAAGCCTTCCATGACGGGTGGCGAGAAGGCCCAATCACCTTCCTGCCATCGTACAAGTACGACGTCGGTACTGTCAGTCTCTTTGACTCGAGCGAGAAACAAAGAGCCCCGAGTTGGTGCGATCGCATCTTGTACAGAACAAGGAAGGACAGGGAGGAACACGAGCAAAAGGTGAGGGACGCGGAGGAGGCAAAGAAGAAGGACGAGGAAATGACCGCGCGGGGTATTGACCACGCAACGGACGACGACGACGTCCTCTTCAGCTACGATCCCGATGCGGACGGCGAAGAGCTCCCAACTGGCGAGGCCGGGCTTGATTACGACGAATACGAAGAAGACAACAACGAGCCGGAGGAAGTCGTCACGAAGGAAGGCTTCACAGACAGGATACAGCTCGACATTTATACCTCTCACCAACGGATCGTATCGTCAGACCATAAACCCATCATCTCCATCTTTACGCTCGACTACGATGCGGTTGTACCTGACCTAAAGGCCAAGGTTCATGCCGAAGTCGCAAAGGAGCTTGATCGGGCCGAGAACGAGGGACGGCCGCTGATCACGCTTATTCTCGACAACCAGAATACGCAAGTAGAGGAAGAACATGAGTCCATGGGCCTCGGCGAGGCTGTCGATTTTGGCGAAATTGGCTTCCGCAGCAGACACACTGCGAGCCTGACAATAGCGAATACCGGCCGAGTGCCGGCCAAGTTCGCTTTCGTCGAGAAGCCCACGATTGAGGAAGACTCGGATACTTCCAGCCCACCGGCTTGGTTAAGCTCATCGTTCAAGCGGACAAGCAGCGAAGAGAACGGTGAAGAGTCGCCAGATCTTGGCAGTGAGGTGACGTTGGAGCCGGGCGAGACGGTCAGCGGCGTTCTTGAGGTCTACGTCAGCGACATAACTCACGCACGAGCTCTCAATGATGGCCATGCGTCACTGGAAGACATCCTAGTGCTTCGGGTAGAAGACGGCAGAGATCACTTCATCCCCGTCCGCGCATCCTGGCTCCCGACATGTTTCGGCCGCTCGATTGACGAGCTCATCCGCGTCCCTGACGGAGGCATCCGGGCTTTCCTCCAGTCTAGAGCGGACAAGGGGTCCAGTTCCATTCCGTACGACCTCGACGTCCACTGCGCCGCCCCGAAAGAGCTGTTCAAACTCACAGAGGCCGTCGAGGTCATGACGGCTCGCGCCATCGCTGATGCGAATATGATCGAGGAGCATATCATTCCTGTCGACAAGCCTGGTTGGCCATTCGACGAGACGGCGTGGCTTTTCAAAGACCAAGAGTCTAGGGACAGCCAGATAGTTGCCCTGATTGAGGCGCTCGACAACGACAAACCTCTCATCGATGCCCTCCCTGTCGAAGTGCCGTCTCTCTATCGACTCGAAGTCCTTGCCGAGGTCCTGCTCCTCTTCCTGAGCGGCCTCACCGACGGCATCATCACGGCTGCCCTCTGGGCTAAGATCGAGCTCGCGATTCCAAGCCTCGGCAGCGCCGCCACGCGCTCGTGCTCCGAGGTCGAAGATGACAAGACCTCAGTCCTAGACATCCTCGCCATGGCGCCGAACCACAACATTGCCTTTGTATTCCTCACAGCGACGCTGTCCAAGGTTGTCGCCGAGCTAGCGCCCATCTCGAGGTCCGAGGCCGAGGCGCTCACAATGCCGAGGCCTAATCGCCGGAGTCTGAGTTTCAGACGGCCGACGGGCGGCAGCGCGGCTGCGGAAGCGGCGCTAGCGAGGAGGCGGACGAGGGAGAGGAGGGTAGGCGAGGTCTTTGGCAAGGCGGTTTGTCGTGTGGGCTTGCCGGCGAGGGATAAGGAGAGGAAGGCGATCGAGGAGAAGATGAGGGGCGCATTGGAGATTTTCGTGAGGAGGCCGTTGGAGGACGGATGACTCTGAGGCTGAGTGGGCGCTTAAGTTTTGAATGATAAAACAAACGTAGAGAAATGATACCTGCTTGTACGACTGTTACTATTTCTCTCCTTCGATGTGTCGGTCTGAGTGTATTCATGTGTTGACTTCTGCCCCGTAATACATTAGGATGATGGTCCTCGGCTTTCACAAGCTGAAGGCTTTCCCAAAGTGCTTTTAATGCTGTTCTGCCACAGGGCTGACTTTCGGCTAAGTTGCGTTGGTCTAGTTGCAACGCACTTTGGGGAGCGGCTGCTTCGGACGAAGAGTCCTTTGGGTTCGGCATTGGTTTAGCAATGGTGATCGAAGCGCACCATTTAGAACTTGGACTTGGGTTATGGCGTAACCTCTTGACTGGGGCAAGGCGACCTTTTCTTGTTTCATAGCCGAGCATGTCGCTTGGTTAAGAAAGCAGCTTGGCCCATTTTGGATGACAACGTGATACTGGTCTTGATGCCTGCCGGACCCAAAGAGCACTTGGCTTTGTGGGAGTAAACAATCCCGGCAAAGAACATCAAGGCTGTACTTTGTGTCTGGAAGTTTCTCTGTTTGCTTGTGGGCGTTGGTTCATCGAAGCGATGTGACGGAAACGCATCCGGTCTCAAGACCCCTGACTTCCTGCAAGGATGTGGAACAACTTGCAATGAATGTCCCGGTAGAACGTCGGAGTTTGTTACTCTTCGTTTTCCCGTGTTTGTTCTACGATTCTCTTTGAGACGCAATCCTCGGGCTGACACTTTAATGTAAATCCTTTGAACAACGGGAGACTTGACAGATGCCAAAGAGAAGAGAGGCTCCGAGCTACAGGGATCAATATCACAAAAGGACGAACGTCTTTGAAAGCATCTCTAAAAGGGGTTTTCGATATAACTGCCCATAAAAAAGAAGTACTTCAGAGTTTCAGGGGTTTGTAGCTAATGTATCTTATCGCAACGTTCGTTCGATTTGTCACGTAGAGCTGCTTGAACAGGTCTTGAGATAAAAGCGTGCGGGAGAAGATGAAACTTGACACAGCACGTGGTGTTCAGTGCTTGGTTATTGAGTAACAGACGGCAACCATGCCCAAATTTTGGTATGTATATCAAAGAGGATGTATTCAGGAGATGAGGGTGCTGCTTGAGGGACATGGGACGAGCTGTCGAGCCATACATGGGAGAGAAAGGCTACAACTTCCAAGGGTATCGACTTGGGCCAGCGAAAGCTGGGTCTAAACTATTCGGGAATGAGACCTGCCCTTAGAGACAGTTTGATAGTCTTGAGGAGCGTCCGGGCACCCTCAAGAAAGAGCCTGTGGCTCGGCTAGAAGAACATCCTAGTGGACCGAAACGCCATCTTCCACTTTAACTCGTTTGTCACACTCGAGCATATATGATTCAACACTGCATCCATAAAGAAAAAACGATGTGAGATTTTAGATTTCGACAAGTTCGAAGAAATCATAACACCACGTGACTCTTCGTCGCTTAGCGATTGGAGCAACTGTTCGATCCGACATCTTCTGAGTTATTTCATAACCCTGCAACTGTACGGCTTTACGAATGACATTTCTTTCTCTCAGCTGCCTTTTATACAAACAACATCCAGATGTAGAAGGTGTTGCTCAGTTGAGTACATGAACGGAGCCTACAGAGAAGATGAATGCGTTATGGATTGGGGTTCAACTCTTACGAGGGTGGAACGAACGGCACGGCCGTTGGTGTCTAAAAAGGTTGACGATTTCGACTACGCTTCTGCCAGATGGGACATTGAAGTTGTGAGGCAGAATGGGATGGTATTCAGTGGATTCAAAGGCTAGTTCAGGTTATAGTAAAAACGAACAGTGGAGCAGTGTAGTTGACGGACCATACCAAGTGTATATAGAAATACAGTCCTCATGAACTAGCCATGTCTAGCGTTCATATGAAGGCTCCGAGTGAACTGTGAGTATTTCGTCAAGTAGCTATAGGCTGGCTCCTTCCTTCCATCAGAAGATGGCTCAAAATTCACTCTCAAAGCTCAAGATCTATACCCTTTGATCCCGACTTTCACTCCTTCTCAATCCCTCACTTCTCACTTCCCACTTTTCACTTCAAAAGAGCTCTCCTACTTTCTCTCCTATTTCATCTTTCACTCTAGCGAGGTTTCAGCTTCTGGTCTCTTTGAAGACTCGCTTCGCTGCTGTCTCGACTTTTGACCACTTCATCTTCATCCATTATCTTGCACCCCTTGGCCGTCCCAACTCTTCTTTCGGAATTCTCGCTTTCCCGTCTTCTTTCATCCCAGATCTGATATCACCCCGCAACCGCGATGGCAAGGATTACCGATCTCTCGAATGAGCTCTTGCTTCATATCGGCTCCTTTCTCCACCTCCGCCTTTCGGCCAAGCAATTCTTTCGTGCGCAACGCGAAGAAAAAGGACGCGAACTTATCCTACATGAACACAGAGCTTCCTTCCTGAACCTCTGCGTTGTGTCGAAGCGGTTCAACGGCGTCTTCACCAGGGAGCTGTATCGTTTTGCCAGCATTCAGAGTCGCAACGGCCCTCGTCAGCTGTTATCACTCCTCCGCCTCCTTCGATTCAAACCCGGCTTATTCCACTGCATTGAACGAGTTTATCTAGACCTCAGACCAGCCCCATATGGCGGCTCGTCTCTCAGCCACACACAGATGCTTCCGATGAAGACCTGGGCAGAAGAGCTAGGCCTCACCGTCGACAACAATATCATGACGACACTGGCGTTGTGGCAATCACACGATGGGAGAATTCTGTCGTCTCAGTTCTCCCCAGAGGAGAGACGAAACTTTTGGCAAGTAGAGCAGAACAGTCTCGCTGTTCTTGCGGCAATCCTCCTCGCCAGCCTTCACAGGGCTCAAGAAGTCGCCTTTTCGACGACCGCCGGCGTTCTTCGTCATATTCCAGTCTGCCTGGGCATTGCTGGCAGCCAGAGTAATGCGCCGCAGGGCAACCTCCTTCCAGCGCTAAAGTCACTGGTACTGCGGTCCGCGGGCACGCAAATAACAGACATCGAAACGCACCGACTCTCCCAAACCGAGATCCACCACCTGACTGCAATGTGGAAGAGCATCTCCGAGGTATGCCTGAATGAGATCTGTATCTCCCAGGACGAGAACATCGACGAAGCCGAGAAGCCAGAAAGCCGTGTCGCCAGCCTTATTTTTCAGAATGTTCATTTCCGTCACGGCGACAGTTCCATCGAAACTCTCTTGGTTGGCTACCGTAATATTTCAAAGTTTGGATGCTATAATACCGGCACCATCTTTCATCCGTTTGGCTTCTTCTTGCCTACACCCCGCAGGCTCACCGATGCCTTGGCTAACGAAATTCGAGCGAACAAGCTGAAGAGCCTCTGCATCTACATGGATCCCTTTCCGAAGATTGATACCTGTCGGGTAAAGGATGTGATTAAGGAGGAAAGTAAGGCATGTAAGCCACTGGAAGCTCTAGGCAGTCTAGAAGCCTTCTCCAACCTTGAGCTCCTCTATATCGACAAGTGGAGCTTCAGAAACGGACCCAAGACAAACGTCCTTGTCAAGCAGAGAAGCAAAGCAGGCGATCTAGTTCAAGCTGAAGTCGAGGTGCACGACGTCATTCTCACACTTCCTCATTCACTGAGGTGGCTCGCCGTGGGCGGCTGCACCGATGGAGTTACGGGAAGCGTATCGTGGTTTGCAAACAACCGTCGAAGTATGCCCCATTTCTACGCGCTGGCGATACGCCGCTGCAAGGCAGAGGGTTATGAGGCCCTGACCAAAGAGTTAAGAGGGTGGATAAAGTTCTCAGCCTGCCATTTTGTTCCTTTTGAACTCTTGTGAGTGATCGGTACTCGGATACATTGCACACTCCCGCCTTTCGCTCATCCTATCTCGCTAGTAACTATCGCTAACAGGAACTGGTGGCTGGGAAACTGTTTGAGAACTGAGATGAAAATACACAAAAGGTTCGGTACCTTTCAGTTTGGGATCGCCGATCAATGTCGAGGCGCATGATGCGGCTTGGGCGGGAAGTGAACAGTGGATGAAATCGGGGCACGCTGGGCAGGCTGCATCGTGGATGGTCTGGGCTAAATGATCGAGGTATTGTGGCTACAAGGTGTATGAGTTTTAAAGTAGCTAGCGAAAGAAATCATCATAACTGACGTCGTTCCGGATACTAATTTTACAATGCCGTTTGCATAGGATCGCAACAACATTGGGCGTGACGTGAGGACCGAGATGCATGGGTCTGCATCGCCGGGCGAGATGCGCCGACCGATGCGGGGACTGTGCCTTGTACCTAATGCGAAATTCCTTAAGAATATAGCATCTCATAAACCAAAGTGGCTTAGGTGGTTCGATGCATATGCGTGGCACATCCGTCCTGTCTCAATGCAAGTCGCCTGTGCCGTCGTGGCCCGCCTGTAGGCGGTCTGGATTTAAGACAACGTCTAACAGCCTTCTTTGCCCTTTCGATTCCATTCCACCCTGAAATCCAGTCTTGCTTCATCTTCCAACCTCCGTGAGAGCGCCGATGACACCAGTTTCCCGACACTACCAACCATGGCAAAGCTCACAGACCTCCCAACAGAACTCCTGCTTACGATTGTCTCCTTTCTCAGGAGCAACCAACCCGCCAAGAAACGCCTCCTCGACGCTAGCGTCAGCAGAAAGCGCAACGTGCTCGCAAAGACCCTTCACCGTGAGAGGTCCTCCGTAATCAATCTCTCCAGCGCCTGCAAAACCTTGCACGAGGCGCTAAAGACGGAGAGATACCGCTTCGTCAGCATCCACGGACACAACAGTGCCCAGAAGCTGCTCTCCTTGCTGCGGCTCATCCGTGTACGTCCAGAGATTGGTGAATGCATCCAGCAGTTGCATCTGCAGCTCATCCCACTCGCATGCGATGTCACATCGGTGAGCTTTGAGCAACTTCGTTCTCTGAAGAGCTGGGCGGAACCAATCGGCGTCACAATTGAAGACACAACTCTGTCGAACGCACTTAAATACGAATACGAAGAAGATCTCGAAAACTCAGGATATTATGGACACAGCGCCAATAAGTATGAACACGACAAAACATGTCTTCGTATCCTTTGCCTCATGTTGTTCTATTATCTTCGGGACGTCAAGGAGATCACTTTCTCAACATCTTGCGAACTATTCTCCACCCTCCCAGATCAACTCAATACCAGTCGACCAAAGTCACATTCATGGCCAAGCAGCCTTCCATCTCTTCGATCAATGGCATTCGAGACCAACCTGCCCTCCTTGGGTGAATCAGATTGTATGCGCTCTTGCGACATTGTAGCAATGACCGAAGTAGCAAGGGGCGTCTCCGAGGTCTATTTGCGCGGCTTTGGCCTCTATCACAGTGCAGGGATGACATGTTCAAACAACCATCTCCAGAGCCTTGTTCTGCAAGACGTTTATATTCCTCACAGAAAAAGCTCGGTGTATGTCTTTCTAGAGTCCTGCAGGAACCTCTCCAAATTCATCTACATAAGAAGCAACAACATCCATCAAACCTTTGAGTATTCAATACCCTATCCATCGAGAATTCAAGAAGCCTTGAGAAGCAGCCGGAATTCCTTGAAAACACTGTGCTTCTATTATGGCCCAAATCATATGGAACGTGAGATCGACCGGTTCTTTGATTCTTTTGAGAAGTTTCCCTGCTTGGAGAACTTGTGGGTTGACGCTTGGAGCTGTGGATGGGCTGTAGGAGACAATATCGAAAGCGACGTCGAGATTGAATCCGAATCCAACTTCGGCGAGGAGGTAATAATACCAGCCTCCGCGACCAAGCTGATTCAGAATCTTCCCCCTTCTCTGCGGCGTCTTCATATTGATGGTCCCGTTGACCGCATTTACGACAGCCTGAGATGGCTCGCAAACAACTGCAGAGACGGGATGATGCCCCACCTCAAGGAGCTGGCTTTCGATGACCTAGACTCCAGAATAGCATCTGAGAAGCTCAAGGTAATGTTGAGGGAGGTGGGGGTTAAGAAATGTAGCGTAGACACGAACCTTATTATGTGGTGAGGCAAAAGGCGCCACCGGCACCTCAACTCTAATCAAACAAATGGCACGGCTGTGCAAGAGCTAGTACCTTGGAAATGACCAAGCAGACAGGAGGATTCCCAGAAGGATACTTAGACAGAAGCCTTTCATGATGACGGGTACGCCTGGGTCTGAATGATAATAAGTCCCCAAACTTTGGCAACGCCCAGTAAATACTTCAGGGAAACGAATGGCCTGAGAAGTTGTATCGATTAGACTTGTGATTAGATGACACGGTATTGTTAGCGGAGACGACGTTGCGATACGACTGCCTCTCGGATTCAAACGCCAGGTTCAGTTCGAAGTGGTACCTTTTAGCAGCCAGCTTAGGATATGAGAATGTAAAAGGGCTAAATCGCTTAACTTCAAATACTTCGACAGATCACAATCTGACACTCTTTCGTCTCCCAACTGGTCATTCTTTAAACATGCCATGGTCTCGCCACTTTGTCATCGCGTCGGTCGAGTTAAGGAGAAGGCTTGTTTGGGCGGATGCTAATGGAGCAAAAAGAAAAAAGCTCTGTAGGAAAAAATATCGTCGTTTCATATAATCTGCATCTCGAATGGTGTTGCTAGATAAATGCAACCTACTTTTCTGAAGTATGATCATTGCTAGGTTGATTGTGAGGCGGACATGGACTCAATGCGCCATCGAGTAATGCAGCCACCTGCCCAGCATGATGACTGTTGGCGGCCTGCATCGCCACATTCGACGTCAGCCTCATTTTGCTTCAGACAATAGGACACGGATATTAAGCCGACCCCGTAGAACGTCGCATAGTGGGAGCACCTGTGCAGAGATCGATCCCATGCATTGAACCTTATCCGCAAATAGAACGTCTTACGAACTTCTCGTCGGAGATGTTGCACAGGCACGGATATGGCAATTATCTTCTGTTTGAGCTGAACTGAACCGTGCGCATCCCACAATTTTTGGACGAGATGGGGTCTAATAAGCTCAACTGTCCGCTCGCTCGTGGATCCTCATATGCCAGATTAAACAACAGCTTAACAGTCGTTCTTCAATTATTGTGTGCGACTTTGATAGGTTTCATACGAAAACGGAATTTAGGGCAGGCAATTACTCTAAGATTGGTTTTCTGGCCGTAATAAACGTGTCACATAAAGTTGATTGTAAACAGGACTAGGTAGTAAAACCTCTTCGAATAGTCTCTACTAGAAAGTGAACGCAATATTAATCCATTCATTACGTTGAATTCAATCTTGTCGTATGTCTTATAAATGTCAAGAAATAATACTACAGAAACCCCAAAGCAACTAGCCTAATATATTACGACTAGGCTGCAAGCACGGCTTAGAGAAGGTGGCAGTATTACAAACATACTGCAACAACAGAGCAGAAACAGAGGTCTCTCATCCATAACTCGCGAGTGTGGCAGTTTACTTTTTCTCGGATTGCCCTTGGTTCTGGTCATATTCTCCAAAATCGTATCCTTGCATAGGCAAAACCGTCTCCTTGCGACGGCGTCTGCGCTTGCGCCACATGAGGAAGCCGCCCAAAAGGATGGACAGTGTTACTACCAGTCACATTGAGTCAGCGATTTGTTATACTGTCAAAGCGTAAATTGTTGGTGTTAGAGGGCTTACATAGGAGTCCCAGCATGCCAACAACGGCCCCAACAATACCGGTGAGGAATGGGTTACCCTGGGTCATGTTAATATTGATGCCCGGTTGATCGAGCTTTCTTCCTCCTCCACTATTACCACCCTCGGCATTGGTCAAGCCTGCGTTTTGAGCGGGGAGAATTGTGGCAACCACTGTAACGGTTTCGGGAGCAAGGGTAACTGTCACAGTACTTGTAGGACTTCGAACTGGTGGCGTCGATGGTGGCATGCCCGGAGGCGGTGGTGGGGGCATGCCCGGAGGAGGAGGTGGTGGCATGCCCGGCCCCGGTGGCGGCGGTGGTGGCATGCCCGGTCCTGGTGGCGGTGGTGGTGGCATTCCCGGAGGCGGAGGAGGAGGGCCTCCTGGAGGAGGTGGTGGTGGCATTCCCGGAGGCGGAGGGGGAGGTCCTCCTGGAGGAGGCGGGGGAGGAGGGCCTCCTGGAGGAGGCGGTGGTGGCATGCCCGGTCCTGGTGGCGGTGGTGGTGGTGGTGGCATTCCCGGTCCTGGTGGCGGTGGTGGTGGTGGTGGCATTCCCGGTCCTGGTGGCGGTGGTGGTGGTGGCATTCCCGGAGGCGGAGGAGGGCCTCCTGGAGGAGGCGGTGGAGGCATGCCTGGAGGAGGCGGTGGAGGCATTACTGGAGGTGGCGTTGGTGGAGGAGACGTTGGTGGAGGAGACGTTGGCGGAGGTGGCGTTGGTGGAGGTGTCTGGTCTCGCAGTGGAGGTTCTAATTCTTCACCAAAAGGAAGTGGTTTCGGTTCTGGTGGGGTTGGTGGCAATTCTGGATCAGGTCGTGGAAACTCGTCAGAAGGAGGCGGTGTTGCAGGGCGTGTGGCTGTCAGGAGACTGGGAGGAAGAGGACCGCCCGGAGGAGGCGGTGGTGGCATGCCCGGGCCCGGTGGCGGTGGTAGTGGCATGCCCGGGCCCGGTGGCGGCTGTGGTGGCATGCCCGGGCCCGGTGGCGGTGGTAGTGGCATGCCTGGTCCCGGTGGTGGTGGCATTCCCGGAGGACCAGGAGGTAGTTGTCGCCTTTGGTGTTGACTACCCGTGTTGAGGTTCAACATTGACGGGGGGGCTTCCTCCGAGTAACGGAGAAACCAGCCATTTTACCAGATAGACTCGATATCTATTCTGATCCTGCTTTGATGTCAGTGGATGCAACAAGTTCGTCGAATCTCGACCACTACATGGGATGTGTAGTATTAGTTCATGAAGATTGATCTAACGGCTTGGACATACTGTAAGGCAAACGCTCAACGAGTCATACTATTCGGCTGTGGTCCGTCGACTGAGGTGAGGTAAAGTGTCCAGTCGGCTCGTGTAACGATAAAGATGTTGATGAACGACGCGAGAATCGAGGCTTTTTATGGATAAACAAAGTAGGGCGAGACGGAAATAGGAAACGGATCTTTGTGGTTTACATCTCAAGGAATTTTACCTTTTGGGTTGCGGATCTATTCTTGGCATCCCGCGGGGGAATCCTGTCGTCGGAACTTTCCTATCACCCCGCTCGTGCTATGCTCTTCGGCGTCGGGGACGACGTCTGAAGTTCGGCGCCTCGCTTTCCAGTTTTCTCACGCTTTCCGGCCATGAACCACTCACTCTGGATTGGCAGCTGTGAAACAGAGTCAATTACAACATCTGATGAGGGGGGAACCTCCAGCGAACTGCTAAAAATAGGTGTCTGCACATCCCTTTGCCCCGATGCAAGTGTCGCTGCGAGGTTGATAGAATATGTCCCGCGAAAGTTTCTTGTTGGAACTGAGTTACTGTAAAAGAGGGGTTTGGTAACAAGAGCTTTGCTACCAAGGATAGAGAACGAAAATTTTGTCAGTCCAGGTTCTGCCGTCTCTTGGCGATCTGAAAGAAGAGGCCAAGACACTGGACAGACGTCGGATCAATATCGACGCATCTAGGGCGATGACCACTGAGAATAGCTGTGGTGACTACGTCAGGAAAAGGTTTTCTGCACAGACTCTGCTAATTATGGGAAGAAGTGGCTCACTTGTCTCTCCTTCGCTTGGTCATCGGCGCCACTGAGCGATCAAAGCCTCATTCGGAGATCGTTTCCGTGGCCATAACCAAGCTGCCCGAAATACTCTATAAGACTCTAATTCAATGTTTCAATCTTTGTTTGGCGTCTTTCCAATTCTGAGATAAGGTTCATCTGGTCTCTTTCAGGGGTCGATGATCGAAACTAACCCGGTTCCAGACGAGTCACGAGCGTAGCCTGGAATATGGCCACCGGGATTACCAGCTCGTCTCACTTCAAAAGATGGAAGCTATGACATGTTATTTGCAGATCAATACAAGGAAATGAACACAGTACCACTCCTTCGACCCTTTTCTGCATCAACCTGATATTTGCACATTTGACGTTGAGAACAATCTGTCCCTGTTTTCATCAAAGAGTACGATGATGCGAGAGCACCAGCACAGATGATCAAATGAGGTTGCGAAAACAATTCGAGCGGCAGATCTAACAACGACGGTGCGAGGCTCTTGCGTACAGTCGCCTTCTTGAAGTTAGCCCTGTAAATAGCTTTTCGCTCCAGCTTTATGGTTAGCCGGGATAGACCCGCGCGGAACCGTTTCCACAAGTGGTTTGTTGATTTAAGCCTCTTTTTACCTAGAGCGAGCAAAAGCTTTGGCCCCACAAAGCCATGGGTATCCTAAACAGCTCAACTTTGCATCAAAAATACACGAGGGTCTCGCGAAAAGCCGTTCAGTTCGCGTAACTTGCGATCGTCTGGTGTTAGCAATATGTTTGGTCGCTAAAATACACTTAACTAACGTGAATGTTAACCAAGGGGTGGCGTATTGTAACTAGTTCGAGTGATGCCTGCCTAGGGGCAAGCCTGAGTTTAGCGAGATCAGCTCGCAACCGCATCTCGGCATCTGCTTCGTGGGGTTTTCAAATACAACTTTAACGCAGGTAATTATAGATATTTCTGACTCATGTATGAACGACAGGCTGATTAGCTGAGTGTTGGTCTTGCGCCGATGCCTAGCCACTGGAACACAACGTCCGTCTAAGTTTCCTGATCCAAACGCCTTTGTTCGTCATGAATGAACTCGTCAGCTCGGATCCATACAAAAAAATGATTATGGTTTCATGGTTGTCATTCTCAATCACTCGGCATTTTGTCGTCCATTCCAATCAGCCCCTGAGATGCTCATTCAACACACTTTCGCTCCCACCTTGACATGCATGTTTAAATACGCGTCGCAAAACCGATGGTTTGATCCTCAGCGCATTTTTGCTCCTCTTTGTATTACCCTATACTTGTCGCCCCTAAGTCGCCCTCTTTGAGCAGCCGAAAGGGAGCCAGAGTTGCTTGCCTTCGCTATATGGCTCCTACAATCTCCCAGATCAAATCCCCACCGCTGTGAATTTAATTTACGTTCTTCGAGGCCTTTTCCAGTGGGATAATTCGAGCGTCTGGAGTGTCTCAGATTGGGTGACAGAGAGACGCTGGGTTGTTGACCTCTTGCATGGTTGGCAGGTTCGGCTGCGGATACCGCTTTGGCCTATGAACGTCTCTGCATGCCGGTTATCCTGATCGCTAGGATCTGGAGTCCTAGTCATACACTAGTCAGTACCATTTCCCTATTATAGCTTGCGTTTATTGGTGAGTTTAATCTGCCCGTTAGCTGACTGCGGAGGTGTACGCGTGCGCCAAGGCGGTTGCTGTTCGGGCGAGAAGCGGGGAACTAATCTATGTTGTTGACGATCGAAATGGTTGTTATGATGCAGAACTCAGATCGAGATTTTAGCTGTGATGAGAGTTTTGCGTTTGGTCAATGCATTGAACCGGGAACGATATCAAGGGCCTGAACCTTTTAGGTGAACTTTATGAAGACGAGTCAGAGAAAGACTTGCTCATTGCTTTGAAAATATCTCAATCTGGCTAGCCCTTCAAACTCAATTTTCTTGTTGACCCAAGGCAATTGAACATACCTTTCCCACGCGCTGAGAGTATCGACCGATCACGAGCATCATTATGGCCGACCAAAAACGTTCTGGCGCCACTTCTAAGGACAAAGTACGCGGACTAAATGGGGGTTGGATGTCACATAGTTTTCAAGCACCTACTCGATCTGGTAGCCTCTTTTACCGGGTTGTCCGGAATTCCGCACTTGAAGTAGTCCGATACGCAACGCCGCCACCACCACCATCACAGTCCACAGCTTGACTAATATACAGATCAGACTTGAAAACCTGGCCAACCACTTCACTAGAGACATCTTCCACCGAAACAATGTTGAGAAAGTATATTCCTTGATGCATGAAACAATCTACATGATTGTGTTTTGGGAACTGGTGGTCGGCCGTTAAGGTGGAATAGGAGGAAGATGGTGGTTTTCGTAAGGCATACGGGGTTCGAAGGAGGATGCTTTTTCAGGATGAGGCCTGATATTGAACGAACAAGATGAAGATTGGAGTCAATAATACTTGGCTCACTGTCTGTTGTTTTAGTTGTTGACCTCTCTAAAACCAGCTTACGGACCATGGTATGGCTCAGGATGTTTGAATTATTTCGACCGAAACAGCCTTGGACCGTCCCTCATCCAGCATCAACATTTTAATCATGTTCAAACCCGCGGCGAGATCACCAGGGGCAAGTCGCCGGGCTTTCCGTGAGTTGTGCGCCACGGTCGACGCTCAATGCCTTGGCGACGTGGTGTCCATCAAATCCAGCCACAGGCCGACCCAGCACTGAAACAATGACGTTCCAATACTTTCAAGACGTTTTAATCGTCTCCGATGGCTGACGTACTATATTCATCATCGGTTTCCATGAAACATTTCCAAACATGGGAGTCTTTGTACTACTTCGTGCAAGATCTTCGGCTCTGACCCTGACCCTATGGATGTGACAGTGACATCTCTAATGACAGTGTCGAAGATTCGAATCATTAAAGGTCTTAGATATTCACGTCCAGAAATCTGATACGAATCCTCCTCAATACCTCAAACCCGCCGGCTTGAAGCGATGGCAGTACGTCTTAGAAGTAGAACGAGGTCCCTGTTGCGTCAGGCACATAATCATCTCGACCCTCGCTCGATGAGGTTGGAACCCGAGGAAAAATCAGACACATGGAAAAGCTTTGAGGAAAATGGGAGTAACGGTGGATAACGAAGTGATAATGTGTTCGGGAAGATGCGCTATATAGGCCATCTGGATGAATGGGTACAAACAGTGACTGCGGAGTTGTGAATGCTTAGACAAGAACCGACATAGTATTCCGATGCATTCTTAGACTCTACCAACCAAATCTCAAGCGGCATGTGGCCAAAAATAGCCGAGTAATCAATCAGTTCATCTTGCCCTTTGTTGTCGATTTCGCCCTGCTGGCCTTTTCTGATCAAGTATCTTGTTTCCTATACCTGAGAAGCCTGACCTGTTCTTTTTCGACAAATCTGTGGCACTCTTTGAATGGTTTCGCAATGGCATAAGATGAGCCCGGTGTCTTGCACACCCTCTTCCCTAGATAAGACTCCCTGTCTGCCTCTGATACTTGGGCCCAGGACGGATGCTGCTGTTTTGCCGCTGTGAGGACAATCAAGTCTTCGGGGTCAAAGAAGGCGTGGCCAAAGTAAAAGTCGATTTGGTTTCTTAGAGCCTCCCCCAAATCACCCTCAACTATTGCTTTACCGATGATTGAACTTCGCCACGGCTGAGCTGAGTCATTAATTAGTCGAGCTACTAGGCCCAACCACTCATTCAAACCAAGAGAAGTTGTGAAGCGTCCTTGCACAAGAAGAACATCTCCGGACTGTACGCATGGAGTGAAACGCACTGATACCTGGAAATCCTTCGACCGCACATGAATTTCAGACGGAAACTTGTGTTAAATGGGCTTGTCGAATGACGGGTCTGGTGGTACGGGCCGTTTGCATTCTAGCCTCCAACCGTGAGAGTCATTGTAAATTATGCGCCATGCCAACCAGAACATGCTTTGTTTCTTGAGGTTTCTTGAGGAATGACGTTGTATCGGTCGGTGCCTCATCACGACTGATTGTTTCATTGGTACACCGCCTTTGGCGAAGCGCTTCAGCAACCTCAGGCGTTTGTTTGGTCAACCCCAAGGCAGGTATCAGCCGCACTCTCGGGTTGTAGAACTCCGGTGAACCGCCCATAAGCTCGGGCTCAGCAAGTTTACGCAAAGTTTGCAGGGCGAGGTCGAACTCCGCTATGGTATAATCGGGCTTGACCGGTTCCACTTCTCCCCAGTTGACCAAGGCAGAAATAGCATAGACTCTGTGTCGCGGATCCAGGCAGTCGAGGCCGGAGGTCATCCTTGCAGCCTGCCCCGGAGGGAATAGATCGGCATCTGAATGGGTAGCGACTTCCATATGACTTTGAGCGAGAAGGTCGCTCATAAGTAAATGGTCAAGTTTCCCTTCGCCATAACGACGAGTCCAACTAAAGACTCGGAGGGCAAGCTTGAGGTCTGTCCAAAATCCAGGAAAGTTCTGACGGAATTCAAATTGACAAACAACAACGCGTAGTCCATCAAGGATCTGGAAGGGCACAACGTCTTCACCACAGCAGACACCGATTTTTTGCCCAGGAAAGTTCCTGCATTATCCAGCCCCGAGTGAAATATGGCCGGTTGAGGAAGGAGGAAAAAGCAGCAAACAGTCTCTTTCGCCGGTTTGTAGACTTCAGGCCGAGTTTTTAGTTCATGCGAAGCTGACGAAAGAGGTCGTCAGTTGACAGGTCGACGCGCCACTTTACTGCATCGAATGAGGTCGGTTGCATGTTGGCCCAGGAAGCCGCACAAAAACGAACTATTATCGGCAGACTCTCCGACACAAGCCAAGAAGTTGGCAGCATTTCAGTAGATGTTGCCCATCTTTCTAACCTGATGGTTCTTCTCAACATCCTGTTGATTCATGCAGATGGAATCGACCCAGAAATGGCATTCGTCTTCGTCGTCGAGACGACTTGAATATGCCTGCGTCAGAGCATAGAAGCAGTTTTCACCAATCGACGCCTGCTGGCCGTTGATAATGATGCATCTCGTGGCGCTGACGTCACCCCAAGTGTATGATATAGCGTGATACTGAGGGGCTTCTTGGGTGGGCCATGTCGTAAGCTCGCAGCTCATGCTTTGAGCTTCGCATGGTTGAATGATTTTGAGAAGCTTGATTTCATTGTCTGGGTCGGACAGTGTGTCGTATTGAAACAACTTGTGTGTTGCGACATATTTGACATCTTGAAGACTTTTAAACGGGCACGGAAAACAAGATGAAAGAGGGTTTTGCCCGGCTGTGCGGTTGTGAGCAACGAAGATGGGAATGAAATAGCCGCGGTTCGGCGTCTATTAAAGGAATTGAGGCATCTAATTACTTCTCATGATTTACATGAGGCTATGGTCAAGTGTCAGGTGATGCAAGAGCGCGAATGTGTGGCTGGAGGAGGCTGCGTAGCGTGCCAAGCCAGAACATGAGGTCATTCAGGCTTGGAAGCCGGCGGCCTTTTCCCCCATTCTATCAACCTATGTATAGCTGATGGAATCACAGAAAGAGAGGGATAAGAAAGTCCTAATCGTGCCTTGTCAGATGCCAAGCCCGAAACAGGCAACGAGGAGGAAAGGGAGAGTCTGACATGCAGACATGAATGCAACGTAGTTTTGACAATTTGCTTTCCTGCTTGCTGAGGGATCGACATGCGTCTTCAGCCTCGGTCGCTGCACCGGCCACACACAACATGTAGATCCATCGAGAAGGGCGTGGCGATGAGGAACGGTGGACGCGAATTAATAAAAGTAGCACGGCAGCATGTGCTTCTCAGATAAGCCCCCAGCCACAAGCCACACGTGGGATGAGGTAATCTGTCCTGAGTGCCACACTTGGGGTCCCTAACGTCCGTGCGCCGACATTATGCAACGTCGGCAAGCTGCAGCAGCGTGGGTGGGTACGTACCTTAGTCCTCCCACCTGGACAGGGCCGGAGCAGCAGTGTACGGTACAGAGTAATTTAGCAGCGCGCGGTCAAGTCTCGGAATGTCATTTCGCGACGCCTGACACTCGACACTTTATGCACCGAAGCTCTGTCTCCATTTCTCTCACCTCGCTTCATTCTCCCCTAAACCACCTGTCCTCGGCTACCGAGGGTGATTCACACACTCTGCGCCCACCAATCCACATCCTTTTCCAAAGCTTGAATGCGCGAATAACCTCTTTCTCTCGACGCTGCTGGAGATGCCTTCGGTGTCAACACCATGGACTTTGTAAGCTGCCCTAACACTACCACCCCGGCTTGGGCTTCGGGGACGTGATTCCTGACGATGCATAACAGTGGTCGCGCCTCCTAGCCGGCACCTCGTTGTCTCCCTCGGCCCATCGCAAAGAAGAAGCGAAGAATCCAACGAAACGCTTGCACCGCTTCGACAAGGAGTACAATCGTATTTTGGTAGGGAGCTCCCTCTCTTAGCATAGTCTTGTTCGGCTGTTGATAAACTTCCAGCAAATCTGGCGATCTTCGTCCAACCTCGCCAACGATGTCGATGCTGCCGAAAACCTTGAGATCCGCCTCCAGGAGCTCACAAACATCCTTACCGACGAGTCCCGACGACCCCTCCCCCATCCCTGCATCCAATATGCAGCGAAGAAACAAGTTTACGTGCCCATTGGCAAGATAGCGACGACGTCCTACAACGAATGGATAATCAAGGAGGCTGTGCTGTTTTTCGCAACTCTACTCGAGACGGAAGAGGAGGCATTTGTCGAGAACACTACCTTCTCCGCCAGCCTGACGAACCTCCTTGTTCGCATCACTGGCGTCAACAGTGTCCGTCTGGGGTCCGACACCGAGGCCAAGGTTGTTGAGCTGGCTTTTAACATCACCACAAAGATCCGCCTCAACCGGGACATCCTGCACGCCTGGTTCAAGAGCCACCATGATGGGACCCCCAAGGATCGTCCACAGGACGAGCACGACGCTTTCGCTGGGCGGACTCAAAGACAGGACTTTCCGCTGTTTTACATCCTGATGGACTACATCCACCACGAGGGTAAGGTTGGAGACTTTGCGAGGACGGGCCTGTTATATATCATCGAATCGGCATCGAGCGACGAGTCTCTTGAGCAATGGATCGTCGAAAGCGACCTCTCCACACTGATGGCAACCGGCTTGGGTGCGCTCTACAGTCAGCTGAGTCGCAAGCTTGTCATCGACTATCCTTCTAACGACCTACCTCCTGTTCTCGCATTATCCGATTACCAACACCCGACCTCCACCTTTGAGATCATCAGCTCATGTTCCCCCGACTTCCAGCTCCATCTCGAAACCTTCCTGTCCCATCTCCTTTTCTGGCAGGATGTGCTGGACCACTGCAAATCGGTGGAGGTCAAGCAGACGCTGCTGGAACACTTCCAGGTCATCTTCCTGCAGCAACTCTTGTAACAACACTTTATCGTAATGAGACGGTTCTGCGCTGACCAAGCATCTAGATACCCGTCCCTGCTGGAGTCGTCCGATATTGACGGCGGCTCGTCTGTCGCCGTCTTGACCTATCTCCGCCGCATCCTTGAGTCCCTCGACCATCCCGACATGATAAACCTAATCCTCCACTATCTACTCGGCTTGCCGGAACACGTTTCCTCAGACATGACTGGCTCGCGTGCTTCCATCAGTGCAGCCCGCAAGCGCAAGTCAATGGATCTTGCAACGATGTTGGCCCAGACCAAGTCCGACATCACCGCAACCCCTCTTCTCTTCAACTTGGTTGATCTTGTCCAAGCCTGCCTGCGTTCTCACAACCAGCAGACCATTCGCGTGACGCTTCAGCTGGTCTCAGCCATTCTTAGAAGGCACCATCGTTATGCTGTCAGCACGCTGCTGCGCACCGAAGCCGTCCTAGGGGACAAGATGCACAGGACAGTTGGTGCTCACGACCAAGAGGTGGATTACCTCATGAGTTTGGCAGGGTCCATCGGTGGGCAGGACAACTTTGACGAGATCTATGATAACATCCTGAAAGACACCATGTCCCGGCTCGAGAGCCACCCCTGCTCGTTGAAGCTCGTGGCGCCCAAGACATCCACCAACAACCATGACCTACCCGCAGTTCCTGATACACTCCCTGGGGCGCCACGCGACGTGCACGAGCACACGCTCCGCCCGGATGACCCGCTGCTCAACTCGGTGTTGGATCTTCTCGAGACGTTCTTTATCAACCCGGTCGACACAAACCTCTCACTTACCGAGGCCATATTGGACCTGGCCATCTGCGGGTACATGACGCCAGAGGGTTGGATGATGCGCAACCCACACAAATACACTTACGAGGAGCAGCCGCCGAGTCCGATCTCACCCGACGCCTCGACCACGTCGTTCAGGCCCCGAACGGATCCTGATTCCACGACATCGGCCGAACAGCAGACCCTGGAGTCTCTCGATGCTTGTCGTCGACGTCCCATCTGGTCACAGTCATCGCTGCCTCGTCTACTCGTCGTTCTTCAGCAGCTGTGCAACCAGGTAGCTAAGTATCGTGAGACGATTCCCCGCTTCGAAGACTTGCTGCAAGGGCGAAGGGAGGCGTTCCAAACGGCAGATAACCCGCGGCCACCGCCGCCCCCCTTGCCACCACGTAAGCTCACACCGCAAAAACACACTTCAACGCACACCCCGGAACGCTCTAGTCTAGACGAAGCAAACCGCAGTGGGTCTCCGGCGCGTCCATCAGGTCTGGAACGATTTGCCCAGCGCTTGGTATCGGAGCTGAGCACACCCAGTCGAACAGGAAGCCCAAGGGGAAGAAAGAACAGCAGAGGGTCGAGCACAGCAAGCCCTGCCCAGAGCGGCATGACGGGCGGATACGGCCTTTCTACGCCGACATCTCGGCCTGTCCCCCCACCAAAGGACACACCTGGTAGCTATGACAATTCTGGCCGAAGCACAACGGATGAAATGGCTTCTTCGCACACGCCCAGAGACCCAGTGGCCAGCCAGGCCGCGGCGTTTGCAGCTATAGATCAGAGCATTCTCGCGCGCAAGGTCGGAATGCCAGAAAAGGTTGAGGCTATCCCGCTGGATCTCGGGAAAAAGAAGCCGACGTTGCACATGCCGCCGCCGAAAGATGACGAGGGGTCTCCAGAAGACCAACAAGATGTGGAACAAGACGCAGAGCAGCAGACGGACGGCGCCGAGGCGGAACCAACTGGTGACGATACCGTCGAGGCCAATACCCCCAAGAGAGATAAGGAGAATGAGAAGGAGAAACGCAAAGCGTCGGTGTCTCATGTCATCACGAACGTCATTGTGCTCCAGTCGTTCTTGTTTGAGCTCGCGGCCCTGATCCAGGCGCGCGCGGCGCTTTTTAACGAGGTTCGCTATGCGTGAATTTGCCGGATGCAACCATAGACCAGGAACCAGGGGGAGAAGTTCCTCGACGCATGTACATAAAAACAAAACACAAAACACAAAATATTCATTGGTACCCAGTCGCCTTGGCGCCTCTTGTTTGCGGTGTTCGTCACCAGATCTGACGCGAGCGGCTCCTTGGGCTTGCTCACGAGACATTGTGAAGAGGCTTACCCGCATCATGCCGCATAGCCGCTCCAACGATACTACTACAGTTGTGATTCGGTCAGATGCGGTGGGTTCCATGAGGATGGTGAGGCAAACTAGTACGCGGTGCTTGGTGGTTTATCTAGATGAAGATGCCTAGGGAGTCTAAAAATGGGCTGCGGCATGGTCTTGGATCTGCCGAAGGGCATATCCATGGATAACGGCTGAGGTGCGCTACTGCATCGGCATGGATCCGGGGTGCTGGACGTCCTGGCGCAACCGCGTGGCGGGCGATCGGCTTGGATGCCGAGCCCGGCGCCAACTGGGGATGACCGTGGTCCAATGTCATCGTTGGACTGCGTCTCAAATCATCGCATGAGTATAGACGGCCAAGACCGGGGATAAGAGGAGCGGGTGAGCGATTTTTTACAGTCTTCGGACTGAGCATGTCCTCTCGGGTTCGCAAGCCTTCTAGAAGGACAGAAACCACTGGGGTGCCCGGCCGAGGGGTAGGGGCGCAGCGCAAGATGAGAAAACAGGTCGGTCTCTTTGTCACGACAATGAGACGGGTTGTCGAGCCCTTTAAAGGGGTTCTTGGCGATGCAGAGAGCAGTTTGGACTGAAACCTCAATTACGGGCAAACAATGTCGATGAACAAGAAGGAAGGTTTAAGGCTTGAATCTATCTGGCGACGGTTGCTGGTTCAAGAGCAGAGTTTGGGCGACAACCCGGGCGGCTCACTTAACTCTAAAGAGAAGATTGTAGAACTGCCGCCGCCAAAGTACGAAGAAAAGCGGGTGAATGACTTTGTGCCATTGCACGACTAGGTAGGGCCGTAGGCGGCGCTTCAGACGAAGTGGTCGTCTGGTCTCGTCATGTAAGTTTTCTTGGCGTTGCCGGTCTTAGGGTGAAGGTGGGGGGCCGGCTTGCTGCATGGGGTCAAAAGGACGGGACTTCTGAAGCCCCATCAAGAGTAGGGCAACGCGGCGATTTGCGAGTCGTGGAGAAGAAGAGACGGAGAGGGTTCTGAATCGGGCGAGGCAGACGGCAGAGTGTTGTGCCCCCCTCTGCCCACATGTCGCAGCATTTGAGGAGAACGTGTCACGAATTGAGCGGCTTACAAACTCCTTTTAGGGTGTGAATCGGGATGACCGGACGATGGGATGATGTTGGAGACTCGAACCGCGTGGCTTTGTCTTGATGGGCTGTCAAGGCAGACGAGCACAGACGAGGCGAGGCGAATTCAGTCGAAAAGCACTAGTTCGTTTGTGCGTCTGTATGCTCGGGTGAGCAAAGTATGTGTATGCGTGGCACCTGGTATTCTGACAGAGAAGAACGTTGAAAAGCAGGCAGACCAAGATCTGAATAGTCTGCCAAGGTTTAAGGCGAGCGGGTCGAGAGAGCATGTCTGAATCCGTGGACTTATTTTGCACGACTGAGAAGGCGTCGAAGAAGGGAAGCTCGCCTCCCGAGAAGTCCGCCGTGTGTACCGGAGGTTGGCCCGTGGTTCGTGTGGATTGTCGCGAACTGAAACTCTGGAAACGCACTTGCGAAAGTTAGACTCGAGCATCCCGTTGCGTGTATGCCTTGACGGGATCATCCTTGACGCCGTTTCCCGAAGCGTTCGATCTGATACCACGCAGGCGGAGCCTTGAACGGGCGCGCCACGTTGTGATGCGACGCAAGGCAGCGGGGACATAAGTCGTCCAGCGGCGGTGCCGGGACACGGCATCCGGGGTACTGAGCGTTGCGATGGGCATCGAGGTGGAGATATAGGGAAAAGAAGACCAGGGGGAAGAGGGGAGTGCGGATTGGCAGAGACGAGATAGATAAAGGACGGCAGGACGTCTGGTCTTTTTTGGGTTGGGTTTTTCTTGTTGGTTTGCTGCGTCTAATTTCGGACGATCGACAACATTCACTTCCAACGACAACACCGCGATACTAGGCATTCCGCAACTCTATCCCACGGACCAAGCGCCAATCATTGTATACCGTTCAACTCGCACTTGCAGCCACGAACACGACTACCACTGTAGCGTGAACGAGTCTCACGGGTCAGGAAACACCAACACCCACGACGATACGCAACGTTGAATTCCAAGACAAGATGAAGGTTTCTGCTATTGCCGTCATCGCCACCGCCGTGGTCGGCGTCACCGCCGTCCCACTCGAGTCTGGGTATGCCAGAGCCCCGTCTCCATGTACCACAGAAAGGACAGAAGCTAACACGAGTCCGCAGTCCCATGGCCAGCCTCCAGGCCCGCGCCGCGGACGCCATCGGCGGCGTTGTCCACTACATCCGCAGCGAACAGGCCGGCACACCCGTCGTGCCGGAGATCAAGCGCTCGCCGATCCGGTTCCACAGCGGCCTGGACCACGAGAACGCCATCAAGCGGCGCAAGAACGGCGACGGCAACAAGAACGACCCGCCGCCGCCGCTGAACCCCTTCGTCACGGGGTCCCAGAAAGAGAAGCGCTCGCCGGACCTGACGAGGAGGAACCCGGCCGAGACGTCCGTGCCGCCCCTAGCGCCCTTTTCTACGGGCGAGTAGCGGGCTCTCAGAGTCTAGTGTCCTTGCCGCTCTCGACAACATGACAAGATTGTCTCCTCTTCCCAGGCAAGATTCGACCGAGAACGACCACTCTTCACCCTCCTGACCGGGCTGGAATCCGCTGGTGACGATTGAGGATTTGAAAGCTGGGTTTTCCTTTTTTGTCAAACGTGTGGGGAGAAGAGCCGACGGGGAAGGAACATTGCGTTACTTGTTTTTAGAGTGGATGTTGGGATGCGCGTTCCTGGGGAATTGATCTTCGATTCATTGTATATCTTTCGAGCCGTTATTTACGACCCTGCTTCTGAGCTCTTCTGTCTTCTACCAAAAAGTGATGTGACGAAACGTGATGGGAGACTGCGCAACTCACTTGTGGTCTCATTCGAGAACGGGCATGGGCCAAAGCTAAAATGGCATGTCAACTACCTAGAGCCTTTTATCCGCGAGACGTTTCAAATAAAGAAGTCGATAAATGCCGGCTCGAAGCCCATGGGGTGGCGGCAAACCATCCAGTCAAGTCTGGCTGTTGATCATGGTCATAAGATCGCTTTTGGGGCGGGGAAACATCTTGACGAGAGCGATTTCCACGGCCCTCAAACCGCTTTTTGTCTGCCGCAGAGTCTCGTTCAAGGTTCTGCCCCGCAGCTGGACTACCGGCGAGCCGCTCGTGATTCTTATGTCATTGCATGTTTCGACTCTGGAGACCCAGAGGGTGGCGACAACTCCGCATGTCAACCATGTGGCCTGTCAGGTGTTTGTGAGAGACCTTAAGCGGTCCCTACTGTACTGATTATCTTCTCGAGTTGTAAATGCAGCTGAGCAGTTGAGGATGATAGTCGTGTTGGCTACTGTTTGCATTGCGATACATATTTACTCAGGTTAAGACGTCTCATTGACTTGGCGGGAACCAACCGCTCATCGTTGATATTCTGGATCCCAGAACCTCTTGGAAGGTACAGCTGCTCGATATAGAGAGGTATCCATCATAAAAACTGGGCCATCAGCGCGACCCCTCTGCCCCCTTTTTGATTCCAGCCGAGGCATACTGCCGCAACACAAGAAAGCTTGCGTCTCTCCCCTTGGTACTCGTTATTCCATCTGAAACCGGTTTTCATCAGGTACTCTTTGACTTATGGCCGAAGTTATTGTTGTTGTCTAAAAATCTTGTAACATATCTCTAATCTATCAAGGATAATCAAGCTGCGTTCCCAGGGTGTCTTTTTGTACTTCGTTACGCCAACGGTGTTGCCTTGAAATGGCACCGGTACATCTTGAAACCGAGTTGATGAAGCTGGTTCTTGCTTCCTGTCCCTTCTTGAATGTGAGCTTACTGGCCTTTTGTGCTTAGGCGCATGAGAGTGGGTTATCTGCAATATAGAGAAAGCCAATCGTATCCTTGGCCTCTATTTCTTACCACCCTGAGACACGTTATTAATTCACCCGGCAGAGAAAGTAAGTTGGCCTCTGTCCCACGTTTCGACCAAGACCATCGTTTCTTCTAAAGCTGCGGCAAAAGAGAGCGAGACACTCAAGACTTTCCTGGTGGATGAAACCAAACCTTTGTTGTTCGTAGGAAAGCCAATTCTTGCATCGAGTTGTTTGAAGTGATGCTGCCTCGAAGCACAGCGGCTGTTGGAAAGTGTAGTCACGAGTCAGGTTGCATGTACAGCAGCATGGTCACAGTGAGCAGTCAAGAATGGAGAGAAGGCCAAGAGCAGATAACTAACGAGAGTAGTAGACTTGCCGCAACCTTGTGTGATCCGGATGGTAGTTTTGAGAGAGCCAGCAGCTTATTCCCTCCAGATCTACGCCGAATGACTCCCACCGACTGCAATCTTCCTATCTCTCTGTGATTCACCATGAACTTGTTACTCTTTGTTCGTACCAATATCCGTCCTTTTCATTGTCCTCAAAACGTCCGCCCCTGTCAAACTGAGTGGGGATGCCGCAGGTAGTGTACTCAATGGCCTCCTCGATGCAGCCGCGGCTGTCTACGCCAACATCCCAAGCGTTGTTGCGCAAGTTGATGTACACACCATATCCCAGCTTGCTGCGGATGTGCTTGGAGTTGCAGTTGATGAGCGAATAGCCCTGGTTCAACTCTTCTTTGGAACAGCGAGCGCGGACGGCGGCAAGGAGCTGGTCGCACCAGCATCGGCTGCCCTGGCCCGTTGGGCTGATGGCAATCTTGTAGTCAAGAAACTTGCCGCTCTTACCCTGGTACGAGACGTAGGAGCAGCCTACGTCAACAGACTCAATGGGGGACTTGTTGACGTTGTCGCAGGTATGATCCTCACCAAGAGCAGGTGGGCAGCTGCCGAAGGATTCTAGACCTTCTATAGAGTTGTTGTCCCTACCTGAGGCGAGGGTGGCTACATCCTGGTTGACGATGGTGGGAGTGTTCTCGGCGCGATAGCCGATGTTGATCGTGCTAGACTCGACAGGGAGGCTTGTGGCATAGATATAAGCTGCGGAGACTTCTGGCTGGATCTCCTCTGGAGCAGACGCCAGATGGGGGAGGTTGTGGGGAGGCTCAAGCTCAAGGGATCGTTTCCACCAGCGGGAGCGGCAGATACTGGTCCTGTAGCACCTGCTGAGGAGAAAGCGACAATAGAATAACCATGATTATGGATCATGACCAGTGCTGGGCCTACCGTTCGTTGACCCAGTAGTTGAGCTCGGGCCCCTCTTACACATGTTGTCCCTGATGACCTGCTCAACGTTGAGGCGCCACTCGCCGAACTTGGGAATAGGCTTGGGCAGGGTGAGGACGACAATCATGCCGTTTCCATTCTCGTTGGATTTGTAGGAGCGATCGCAAGACTCTTGGCGGATGTGGTAGTTGATGGATCGTTGGACCTCGTGGAACATCATGTCGCACCACTTCGGGCTCGTCTTGCCGATGGCGTTGATGCGGATAATGTATTCCAAGTGGTTGTCGAAGCCACAGTTCTCCCAGGAGTAGGAACAGTCAATCTGCGGCGTGATTTGGCGACGGAGAATATCGTCGCAGTCGTGCGGGGGGATATCTTCGCGAGACAGGACGTTGTCATCAGTGCTCATGCCCGGCTCAATGTTGTCGAAGACCGTTCGGTTGCTACCAGTGTTCGAGAGCGTGATGTATTCGACGGGATTGTTGCGCACCATGCTGAAAGCATCAAGGGCAAGAGTCGCATTGACGAGGACGCAAGAGATGAGCATCGTGGCGGTCGTAGTCATTGCCTTGACGGTGTGTTTATATGCGCACGAGGAAAGAGGGGGGGGAACTGAAGCCAATTCCCTCTGCTAGAGTAGAGGATACCACCAGAGCAGAATTGTAGGAAATCAAGAGGGAAACTTGCGTGGAAGAAAGAAACTCCAGTGAGGAGTTGGATGAGTTGAGAAGGTGACGAGAGTGGAAGGACGGCGAAAGTCTTCCTGGAGTCACCTTTATTTACTAAACTCCGGTCAACCCTGTAAAAGAGCTAATTCAAGGTGAAAGCAGGCAAGTAAGGGAAAGAGCAGTTTCAGATACTAGCAAAAAAGGGAAGTAACAGTCGAGATGCGCAATGATGCGGACTACGTTGAATACTCACCTCACTCTCCAGTTAGACAACACATTTTCACTCGATCCATGGTTGATACACAAATGTTGGCTGGAATTAACGTTGCATCATGGGTACACAGTATGGAGTTCGGCATTAATTGGAAATGTTGGATTGGAACAAAGTCTTTTGTCTGAAAGATCACTGTACAACATAACTCCAGTCAACACACCCGCCAATGTTGATGTGTTACTATGCTGTGCTACGTGATTTTAACGGTGCCCAGGTAATCATGTCTTTGATCCGCCGAATCTTTGCTCAGAAAGCCCGTTTACCCAGTTTTTCTAGTTGGAACGAAGCAGGTTTTTCAGGTGTGGTGTTGTAGCATACAGTTAACTCATCAAATGATTTGACAAACTCTGTTTGTTAGGAGGCTTGCAGCAAGAGTATGGAAGTTTTGCTTATCGGGATTCCTTTAAGCACAAACTACCAGGTCTTGTCGCCTCTCCCGACAGCCAGTCAACTGGGATACATAAGAACAGAATGAGCATCCACCATAGTTAGAGTCACAAATGCCTTCTAAGCCGTATACATGACCATATCAGCCTTCATGAGGAAGAGCTTTTTTTTGAATATGAGTGGAAGAAACCTGAGCTTGTTCACGTCCCAGTACTGTGTAGAAAAAGCATCTAACGCCTAATATTCTGAAGAAAAACCCGCCCCGCCCCATATTTGGTCTCCTTGAAAGGCGGCCCAATGCATCGACGTCGTTGCAGTAACAGGAAGTGCACTGCACTTGGGTCATTTTAGGATAGTACATGACTGTTGGGACCTTAGCAGCTGGGCTCTGCATAACGAGGCTGGAACCCCAGTATGCTGTCACGTGGTTGTAGGCGTCAGCATCATCAAGGAACGATACGGAATCATGCAGGAACCCCCTTCTTTACACTGCGCTGCCACTCCTCATCCTCCCAACAGCCGCACCCGGAACGCGTATCGCAATGCCACACGATATTTGGCCAGATCTTGGCCTTTGGTCCAATACGTTTGGGCTGGTCATCGCGGTCATCGTCTGTTTAGCAGCATTTGCAGTTAGCCGCCGGCCAGCCCCAACTGCTCAGTCCGCTGCAAAGAAACCGAAGCCTTCCAAAAGCCTGACGTTTCGTGTCGACGACATCCCAATCGAACACGCCGAAAACTTCGATCGCAACCTTCAGTCCGTGGCCGAGCTGGATGAAAGTTTGCGTGGCGCTGCGGTTCCTTTTGTCCGTCGTTCCCTGGAGCGCAAGGACCAGGCATTTATGTGTGCCACCGTCTTGACCACCACACGTCTTTCAGGAAAGGAATTGTGTACGCGGTTATCCCAAGCTTCAAAGGACTACCACTACAGCTATAGCTGTGACTTTGACGGCATTACGCCTATGTTTGAAGACGTCAACGGTGTAGCGGTAGAGTAAGTTTCGGTTACGTTAGCGTTGTTCCACACAGTCCGTCATCCCTATGGCATTGAAATCGCTAACCCATATCTCGCAGTATCATCGCGGTGCCCGGCCTCGGAAGCCACGCGCTTGGGTCCTGGAAATCTACCAACAGCGATAAGGTCTGGCTGCTCGACTTCTTGCCGCACGATGTGCCCAATATCCGAGTCCTACTCTATGGGTACGACACGACGCTGCCGGGCAGCCTTTCGAAGCAGTCAATCGAAGACTTGGGTGGAACACTTGTGGAGAGAGTCGTTGCCTTCCGTGCGAGAGACGGCGTAAGTCGATCCGGGAGAACTGCGAACCTTTGCTGATATTCAACAGACAGCCCGCCGGCCGCTTATCTTCATTGGCCATAGCCTAGGTGGCCTTCTTATCAAAGAGGTGCGGTGCTGTTTTAGCCCGTTGTGACCGCAGTATACTGACTGTTATTTTAGGCACTAATTCGCGCTCGCAAACGGCCCGATGGCGCTATTGCCGATCTTGCCAAGGCTTGCTACGCTCTCCTATTCTTTGGCGTCCCGAACCTTGGTCTTCGCAACGACCAGCTCAGGACCCTTGTTCAGGGCCAACCCAATGAAGCTTTAATGCACGATCTGCTTGTCGACAACGACTCTGAAGCCTCAACGTTTCTCAAGAGACTTGCAGATCAGTTCTCTGAGAGCTGTAAGAATCATTATCGCGTAATGTCGTTCTTCGAGCGCATGCTCAGCCCAACTCTAGAGGTATGCCACTCTTCTACAAAGCTGATGGCGCAAGTTTAACTTTGATCTACAGCTTGATGAACAGGGGAACTGGCGAAAAACGGGTCCGCCTTCTTTGCTGGTAACAGACAAGTCTGCCACTACCACAGGCCTAGTGGCAGTGACTGATGAAGATAACATCCCCCTCAACACGGATCATTCAGGGCTTGTCAAATACAGCTCCAGAGGCCAGAGCGACTACACTATTGTGGCAATGAGAATCAAGGATTGCGTCGCAAGGGCAAGGCTGGACGTACCTAGACTATTTGCCGAGCACAGTATGTTCCTTCTTGCAGTGTAGAAATACACGACTGATTATGTAGCCTAGGCTTTGAGCAGGCGCATTCGGAAACAACACAGGCCTGTATGAGGTCACTGGCATTCGAAGAAATAGACGGTCGGCATAACGGCATTGATGCTGCTGCTGCTGGTACCTGCGAATGGCTCCTGAGGCATGAGACCCTCACGAATTGGACTCGCCAGGACCGGGGTCTAGTCTGGATCAAAGGCAAACCTGGGTCTGGCAAGTCGACTCTGATGAAATACGCTCTCGAAAAAGTCCCGCCTCTTTGTGGGTCGCGGCCGCTGGTTCTTTCTTTTTTCTTCCATGGCCGAGGTCATGAGTTGCAGAGGTCGCTGCTCGGCCTCTTCCGATCTCTTTTACACCAGCTACTGAATCTCGTTCCTGGCGCACTTTCCGACTTGATAAACACGTTTGAACACAGACGCAAAAGTATAGGCGAGGCTGGAAGGGACTGGCAGTGGCATCTCCCAATGCTGCAAGAGCTTTTTCAGTCATCACTTTCGAGAATCCTGAAAAAGCGTGCACTTCTCGTTTTCATCGATGCACTAGATGAGTGTGGAGAACAGCCTGCTGTGCAGCTCATTGAATATCTCAAGCATTTACTTTCCGATCTTTCATCAGCAGACCTACAATTTGCCGTCTGTTTTTCCTGCCGGCATTATCCCATCATTGAGCTTGAAGGTGGATCAACGATATCGCTTGACGTGGAGAACAACGGCGATATTGATGTGTATGTTCGAGCACGTCTATCATTAGACCAAGACTCGGACATCCAAAGCCTTTTGAGTCGCCGAGCACAAGGGGTCTTTATGTGGGCCCATATCGTCGTCGACCGTGTTTTACAAATGAAGCGCCGTGGCGAACCGCTTGGTAGAATCAAGCGTGAAATCAAGCGGGTACCACAGAAACTGGACGACCTTTACTACGACCTGCTTCAGAATGTAGAAGACCGTGCCGGAACCACACGGCTAGTGCAATGGATCTGTTTTTCAACTCGACCGTTGACAACAGACGAGTTGCCATGGGCAATGACGATTGACCCATACAACCCAGACCAAACCCTCACGGATTGCCAGCGATCAGATGAATTCATTGCTCAAGATAGCATCGATAAGCGAATCACATCCTTAAGCTGTGGACTTGCGGAGTTGGCACCTTCCGAAAGTTCTCGCGTTGTCCAGTTCATCCATCAATCAGTCAAGGACTACTTCATCGAGCGGGGACTGCTGCTTCTCGATAACAGGCATGTGACAGCCAAATTATTAGCGCCAGCCATCGAATGCCATTTATGTCTTCAGTGTATCAAATACTTTAAAATGGTCGCTTCTTTACATACCGAAAGTTTCCGCGAAGAGGATATCGCAAAGTTACCCTTCTTGACTTACGCAACAACGTCTTTGGCATTGCACATAAAACAGAGCGAACCAGCGGAAATGTATGCGAAAGAAATTCTTGACAATATTTGTTGGCCGTCAAATTCCATCGTGGACCTATGGGTGCTGGCAGACAAGGCAGTTGAGAGATGGCTATGGAAACGGCTGTCGAGGGGAAGTACCTTGGTGCATATTGCATGCAAATACAACCTACAAAGTCTCTTTTTGCAAATACTCCTGGAGAGAACTGAGATGGATTTCGAATCGAAGGATAACAACGGTCAAACGCCGCTATCTTTGGCAGCTGAAAATGGACACGAGGCAGTTGTCAGGATGCTCCTAGATACAGGCAAGGTTGACGTTGACTCACGGAGTAATGACGGCCAAACGCCGCTATCTTGGGCAGCTAGACGTGGACACGAGCCAGTTTTCAAGATGCTCCTAGATACAGGCAAGGTTGATGTTGACTTAAAGGATACATACTTCGGCCAAACGCCGCTATCTTGGGCAGCTGAAAATGGACACGAGGCAGTTGTCAAGATGCTCTTAGATACAGGCAAGGTTGACGTTGACTCACGGAGTAATGACGGCCAAACGCCGCTATCTTGGGCAGCTAGACGTGGACACGAGGCAGTTGTCAAGATGCTCTTAGATACAGGCAAGGTTGACGTTAACTCGAAGGATAACAACGGTCAAACGCCGCTATCTTGGGCAGCTGAAAATGGACACGAGGCAGTTGTCAAGATGCTCTTAGATACAGGCAAGGTTAACGTTGACTCGAAGGATAACAACGGTCAAACGTCTCTATCTTGGGCAGCTAGACGTGGACACGAGCCAGTTTTCAAGATGCTCCTAGATACAGGCAAGGTTGATGTTGACTTAAAGGATACATACTTCGGCCAAACGCCGCTATCTTGGGCAGCTGAAAATGGACACGAGGCAGTTGTCAGGATGCTCCTAGATACAGGCAAGGTTGACGTTGACTCACGGAGTAGTGACGGAAAAACGCCGCTATCTTTGGCAGCTGAAAATGGACACGAGGCAGTTGTCAAGATGCTCCTAGATACAGGCAAGGTTGACGTTGACTCGAAGGATAACAACGGTCAAACGTCTCTATCTTGGGCAGCTGAATATGGAAACGAGCCAGTTTTCAAGATGCTCCTAGATACAGGCAAGGTTGATGTTGACTTAAAGGATACATACTTCGGCCAAACGCCGCTATCTTTGGCAGCTGAAAATGGACACGAGGCAGTTGTCAAGATGCTCTTAGATACAGGCAAGGTTGACGTTAACTCGAAGGATAACAACGGTCAAACGCCGCTATCTTGGGCAGCTGAAAATGGACACGAGGCAGTTGTCAAGATGCTCCTAGATACAGGCAAGGTTGACGTTGACTCGAAGGATAACAACGGTCAAACGTCTCTATCTTGGGCAGCTAGACGTGGACACGAGGCAGTTGTCAGGATGCTCCTAGATACAGGCAAGGTTGATGTTGACTTAAAGGATACATACTTCGGCCAAACGCCGCTATCTTTGGCAGCTGAATATGGACACGAGGCAGTTGTCAGGGTGCTCCTCAACACCAGCAAGACTAATATCAACTCCAGGAACAAGATTGGTCGCACATCGTTATCTTTGGCGGCCGGGACAGGAAACGAGACTGTGGTCAGATTGCTTCTTGACGCAGACGATGTCGATGTCAACTCAAGCGACAGTACTGGCCGGACGCCAATTCTCTGGTCCGCCAAGAAGGGGCATGTGGAGGTGGTGTCGTTACTCTGTGGTAACGCAACCGCCAACATTAATGCCGAAGACGAAGAAGGGTTCACTCCATTTATGTGGGCTGTATGGAAATCTAACAAGAAGGTTGTTAGTGCCCTCCTCCAGACTAGACGTCTTTCACAGCAACATTGTACGGATGGATTATGTTATCAGGCGTTCTGGTTCTTGTTGTCAGATGAGCTGGACGAGTTTATGGTTAACGCTGGCTTAGTTATGGGGGATGACTTTTTCGGGTTGAGGACACTGTTTTCCGACCCATCGACACTATCATCATAATGTCAAAATAATGTAGACCTGCTGGAAGCGAACATATGAAGAGGCTGCCGTTACCTATCAGCTTTCAGTAAAGTTTTCCTGTTTTAGGTAATCTTCTTCCACTAGTGATGACGATTTGGAAATTTACTGCTCAACGTTTAGAAAGCTTCCACAAGCTTAGGCTATCTAGCCGTATTAAATATGGAATCCTTCTTATTGAGTTATATGTGCTTTTCGGAGAAAGAACTTGACATCATTTCTGGCAACTGATCCAGATCCGACTTTGACTGCGGATTGGTTCCGATGGTACTGGACCGTCAGCGTCGCGACGTCTTGAAAGAACTAAAGGAAAGAAGGCGCTACCTAACGAGAATCTATTCACAGAGGTTGCGGATGCCGGTGATGCCATTCGATCTATTTTAAACCATTGGTATTGTTGGGTGGGATGTCTGGCATTGCCTTTTCGCCGACAAAAAATGTAGCTATTTGGCACCTAACCTGTAGCACTGGTGGTGCATAACGCGGTGAGAGGAAAAGTACACGGTAGTTTCCAGAGTGGAGATAATAACAGTTTTTCAAACACCAAGGAATGGACGATATTAACATTGATTTGACACGACTTTTTTTCTAGCACAAACGGAAACACCACTATTAATATTCGACCGCAAGTGTCTTTGCGTAACGCTTTCCACAAATAAGCTCACGTGCCTGATCCAACATGTTCTAAACCCCTTTTCCCGAGCTCTGTTGCTTCAGCAACACGTGATGTTAAAGGACTTGATATCCAGAACCCGCCTTCCACGTCATACCTTCTTGTCAACGTCTCCCGATTCCCATTAGTGTGTATCTTCTGAACGCTCAGTAAAACGTCTTCCTTGGGCTCACCAGCCATCTCAATCCATAATTTATGTACTCTGAAACGGCCGGGAAAGATGGGCACAACAGTATCCGGAGAGGCTCTTTGGTCGTCCTTCAGACCATTTTGTATTCCCCTTTCCTCAAGTGTCATGATTTCCCTGGCCACACGGGCGGACAGCACCGCATCCCAGATTCCTTCATGACGTTGCCCTAACAGTAGTAGTTCCAGTGCCTGCCGCCTGATTTTGGGAACACGGCATTTGATTGCGGTATAGAACAAGGGAGGGATGAGAGCGATATCAGCAGTACAGTCGTCCTGGGGAACGTGCGAGCCAGGCGTATCTGCTGCGGGCGTCGGCATTGCTGATGCCTGAACTGTGTCAAGTATCTCACGTGACAAGGAGACAACCGACCCGAAATGACGGGTATACAGATCGAATATCAACTCGTTTCCTGGGTTGAGAGAAGTGTTGGTGATGACATAGGCCAAAGTGTGATATATCGGTAATTGTCGACATACAAGCCTTTCGGCGTCTGATAACTCGCTCCAAGTTTTGGCCTTAAAGACGTCGAAACATTGAAGCCATACCTCCAGATCATTCCGCAGAGTTTGTTGTGTAGCAAGAAGCTCGAATATGTCGGCCGCGTCTTCCGCTAAGCTTGTCACGCTTCCTTCCTTTTGAAGCTGGTAGGCTCTAAATAGTAGACCATCCAGACTATGACTTGCATCGCGGGTTGTCTGGAATGCTTGAGGCATCGAACGCCAGATTGAGGGCGTTTTAGAACCACCTCCCAAGTAGAACTGATTCGTGAGGAGGGCTGCCTGTAAATCAAGCCGGGGAAGTTCTTCAGCAAACCAGTCGTCGGCCGGATCTGTCACCGATGCCGATGCCGTGCTTCTAAGCAAACTGCCCAGCAACTGAAAACTATGCCCGAAATGGAGGAAGCCGGTCTTGTACCGTTTTTGCATGAGCTCCAAGCACAGGAATGCCGTACAAACAATAAGGACAACACGTATAGACTCGGTATCTGGCCTAAGTAAGTGCGACTGAAGAAGTGAAATGGATTTGTTGTAGTACTGCAAGCGGATACGTTCCGTGATATCCGAGGGCTGCGGCTTCCGTTCGTTGACGTTGCATGGTTCCATGATCTCAATCTCCCTCTCATGGACCGCTCCCAGAGCGAGCACAGCGTAAAGCATGGCTGGCTCTGCTGAGCTTGCTTGGAGGACAAGGTCTATCCAAAACGGCGAATTGAACACTCCGGGCAATGTTCTGGATGTCTCACGGACGAACCACTCGAAGTGACGCTTTTCCGGATAGCTCAGCTCGGCAAGACCGGCATGCGTATTGCAGCGTGCTATGGGGGGAATCGGCGGCGAGGCCAACGGGGACCTGCGGCCCGCAAAGCGGGTCTTACCGCCGTCCGAATAACCACCGCACACCTTGCCCATGACGGTGCATCGCCGACATGATGGTCTAGTCTCGTCACACTTCACTCTTCGGGCTCTGAATGATGGTCAGGTAAGTTCCCCGCGTCTGGGTTCCTCAGCAAGAGTGAAAATACATCGAACTTACTTGCAGGTTGAACAACCCTTCTTCACCTGCGCAGGAGAGCGACTCTTCGTTCCGGAGTAACCGGGTGGGGTTCGGCCACTACTCATTGCCGTAAACTCTAAGGGTGGAATCGATATCAACTGCAGGCGCTAGAGCGATGGACGGCAGTGGCGGTATAACGCGGGAGACGGACGCCATTCGTCCTGCCGGCAGAATTGGGGGTGGAGCTGGGCGACACCTAGACCTGATCTTTTGTACACAAGGCAGAGGATATGGAGTCGTGAATCGGGAGAAGAGGGGCTGACATCGAGGCAGCTTTGACGCACAACACTATTGTTCCAGGTGGCTGTTGATCGGTTAGCGATGGTCCGTGCTGATTGGTTGTTGCCACTATAGTTTCATTGCCCCTTTTCTGGGAGCTGGCTCGGGTCAAAGTCTAATCTCGCTCGACAACTAAGTTTCGGTGAGCCTCACCGAGTCAAAACGCTGTGTCGGCATATGTATCACGGCTTGACAGATCTTACGACGACTGAGCCACGAGGTGCTCAGTGTTGAGCAGAAGTGACAGAAACTGAGCAAGAATAAATAAAGAACGCCTATGCACATCATTGTTTCATTATGACGTGTCCACCATTCGTCCAAACACTATGGAATAGACCCCTTTGAGGCATCCGATAGTCAGTCCTTATACGAGCAGAGTTACTTTAGGGGAGATAGAGTATTTCCTGATAATTTCAACAACCTCCCATGAGTGGCTCCAAGACCGGGCACACTCGGAACCCGATCGTTCCCCTCAGCAAAGTATGATTTGAGTACCTTTTTCATGTGCACTTAATGAAACGCGATCAGGTATTGTCACAACGCTCTGACCGACTTCAGGCTGCGTAAGTTCCAATCCGTGGTCCGAAGTACTCGCCTTTGGGCAACTCTAGACGTGTGCAGGTCGTGGCTTCGCATCCGCTTTCTGAGTCGTTGCCCCACCAGTGTATCTCAAACCCGTGAAAACTGACGGCAAAGAAGATGATGACACCGGCAATGGCAATACCTGTCGAAAACGCCGCTGACAAGACGTAGTTGTATTTGGACCAAAAGGCGAGGTAGCGCTGCCGAAAGTACACCATGCTCAACCAACCAGGAAGAACAGCAGGCCACATGTAAGCAATGTTGTACTAAGAGTTTAGTCAGCACTGGAATGATGACATCTTGTCAACATGGGTTAAGAACTTACGGGAGACCAGCTGATACCACCACTGAGGATCATGACGGGATGGATCTTCGAGAACCAATGTGTTCTAGGGAACTTTCTCTGAAAGTAGTAGAAGATGAACGGTACAGCAAAGCCAACGGGGAATGCCGACAACAGCGCGGTGTAGATACCGCCTGAGCCGAAAACCTTGCGTGCACCCAGGCTCCCGAACAGCACAGCAGCTGTAAAGTAAGTGTTTACTCCAGGGCAAGTGAACCGGTCTTTCTGGTTCCTAGAGGCGGACGAATTTTGTTAGAAGTTGACATCTTTCGAGTATATTTCAGGTAACACTTACGTGGAGCAGAGATCAGGGATGTTCTCGATCTGGAAGTTCATGACGCCAGTGCATACGAATGCCGAAACGAAGACGGCCACAACCTGAGCGGCAAAGGTGTGGCGCTGAGGAATCTTGAGATAGTGCGCCAGCTTAAGGTCGTTGGCAAAGTCGAGTGCGTGAGCCGTTGTGACATAGCTAGGCGCAAGTCAGTTGCGTATTGAGACTAAGTTGAATGTAGAATCGGCTATTTGCGCTTACCCGAAGCACTTGAAGAAGTTCATAGCGAGAGCATTGCCAGGCTCCCAAGCACCCCCAATAAACTCGGCGAGAACGCTTCATAGATCAGCAAAGCCCTTCCTTGACGAATTGATCAGGGGTCTTTACTTGAACTCGACCTCCATTCCAGTGGTAGCGAAGATGATACCAGTCGGAATGACAAAGACAAGGGCGAGGGCGATACCGAAAAAAACGACACCGACGCTAGTCTGCATAATCTCATTACAACCTGCCTACCTCCTACTCGAGGGTAACAGCACCACTTACCTCGGTTGGCCATGCAGCAACGGCAGCTACACCAAAAGCGATGGCAGCCACATTGAGAATGAGATACCACCATTCGGGTACTAGACAATGTTAATGCATTTGAAGACGTAACGTGGTATGTGATGTGATCATACCTTCGGGGTAATTGGACATCATCCTCGTGTGGACATCTTTGAAGTCGTTCGAGGCTTCCTTCTTGAAGCTGCGCTTCAAACTCCGGAACCCAAGAGCAATATCATGTCGGTGAAACAGAATCGCATACGAAACTGTAGCCGCGTAAACAGCAAAGAAGTAGTAGTACATGGTAATGCTACTAGCAGCTAGGTAGACAGGTGAGTAAGCTTGGTACTTGGCCTCATCAAGCCACCCACGGCTGTCAAGGACCTTGGAGACGTTATACGAGCCACCAAAGTGGTTGTACATCAGATTTGAGTTGATGGGAAGATACGCGGTGTTGTATGCATTAGTCCAGTAGAGCCCGATGATCGTGATGCCACCCAAGAAGACGCCAACAAAGGTATTGAGCGTGACGCGGAAAGGAACTACAAGAGGCTGTACTACGTGAGTTGCAACGTTCCAGTCGAAAGTGGGCAGAGGGTTGAAGCCCAGGCCCTTCTTGACTCCAGTGATGGCGGTCAGAGTAAAGTTGTTGGGTGCGATCCACGCCAGCCAGTTGAATAGTGAAAGGGCACCAAAGATGTAGTCGGGGAACCAGAACCAGACAAACATGGCGGCAAATGCGGCCAAGAAGAAACGGTATCTGGACATGTTGTATATTTTCTTGAAGGGTCCAGGAACTGGATGGTTTGCCTCTGCAAGCATTTGTTAGTTCTGGTTTGCGCCCAGATGTTGCGATGGCCGACTTACCGTTATGGAGAGAGCTGTTCAGTGCAATTGTGGCCAGCGAGGCCGGCCACAGACAGAAAGATGGGTACACTAGAAATCTTCTGCAAATACCAGCCAAACCAAAGCCCATCAGGTTAGTTGATAGGGCCAGCAGAATTTGATAGCTGAATGACTTGGCATATTTTTGACCGAAGTACCGATCCATCCACTGGGTAAAGACTAACACGACAAATCAGCAAAATTGTCATGGTATTGCTTATCAGCGTAAGACAACTTACTAATGTATCTAGAACTCGGTAACGTCTTCCCAACACTCGCCATAATCGAGATAAGCATATGCTCCTTTTTGTTGAACGGTCCAGGGTTAAGACTATGTCTGACTCCGAACAACGTAAACCCGATATCGGGAAGCCATCTCTCCGCGGCTTTTCCAACAGGATACGCTAACAACTGGACCACCTCAGCACGGAGAGATATCGATGGCTGGCGTACACTGAAAAGTTGATTGATGAACGCAATGAAGACAACGAAAAATAGGCCAATAGTCCAGGCGCGAATCGTGCTCACGGGAAGGTTTACGTCGTCATGCGAATCAACTACGGCGCGAACCTCGGCGTAGGGGCTGTTGATTGTCAAGAGGGAGACTTCGATCTTGGCTTCAGAGATCTCGTGAGTGTGCGAGTCTGGGTTGGCGAAGATATCGGCATTGGAGAGGAACTCCTTAAGACGCTCGAGGGCACCAGCGGGGAAGTTAGGATCGAGGCCGTGTTGGTGAATAAGTCTTTCAGCGGACTATGGAAATCTGTTAGAGCTTTGAATTTGATTGGGAGCGGTTACATGCCTCCTTGGCCTCTTTGAGGGAGATTGTATTAGAATGTTGTCTAGCCTCGAGCACTTCTTTAGGAGTTGCGTTAAGTTGTCTTTGTCGAGTCAATGACCACCGCCAAGAACTCGAAGTGTTCGATGTCTTACCTTGCAACTTCTTCAATGGACAATTTCTCATCGACGCTTTCCCTCTGCTATGATGTTATGGGTTATGTAGATAGTAGAGATAACTTGTTGAAGGCTAACCTGTAGACTCACATCGGTAGGGGTAATGATGTCGATAATATCGCCTTTCTTCTGATTCAGGGCACCCATGATAGTTAACTGCCAAGCAAAATGGCAACAGAAATCAGGCAAATCTCTCAACGTACGGAGAAGACCCCCTTGCTATACGGACAAAAGGCAGCTAGTATGAAGACAGCGTCCACTTCGAAACCACACTGGGGATGTCCATTCTTATTTGCGTCTCACTACATACAAATTGTAACTTTTGAAAGAGTAAAACCGATGTACATCCGGGGCTGTAGAGAGCTGGTGGCGTCAAGAATTGCACGGCGCACATCGCGCTGATGTTTTCCCGAGTTGGTAAACGGCCACCTACTCTCTGCTACGTTCTGGGTAATTACGCCAGCTTGGCGAGGGTCGTCCGCCTCAACTGGCGGGTTCTGCTGACGAACAATATCCATGTACGTGCGATAGTAAGTCGGTGTTAATGTGGAGATGGCTCGGAAGACATTGAAGGGGCGCCATCGTATGATTGGGGAAGATTCCGGGAATGACAGTCGAATTCAGACTCTCAAGCCGGGTTTACCGGAGTAGCCCAGATGGTGTTGCAAGCTTATCAAACAATTTGCTAAAGCTTCTTAATCCAGACAAGAATTAGCCAATGGCGTTACTGAGTACGCGTTTGCATCATCTGCCAGTAGGATTAGAAGCAGTGTCTGGCCCCTCGCTTTCGGATTTCTTCTTCGCCCTGTAGCTGGCCTCATGATTATCTGCTCCGACTGGCCCCGTACCTTACGTAGCGAAAAGCTAGATTCGTCCTACCTGGCCGGCTGCGTAACTGACTACTAGATTATGGTGGGACGGGAGAATGGGAAGTGGGCGGGTCTGTCAGTCGCGTCATCGGGATGGAGAATGGCGGTTGCGGTGCAGATAACAAAGCTGGACAAGCGCCTTGACAGGCAATTAGAATTGTCTGAGCTCTGAAGCGTTCAAGTACTGGGCTAGCCGAAGCAAAGCATTGTCCCGTACTGTGGTAGTTTTAATGTCGGCACAAGACCGACTTTACTCCCACAGAAAGGGATCACGGATATCGGAAGTAGACCGCAACGATTGCCATGGTCACGTCGGTTATTACCGTCACTATTGGGGAAATGCTAACATATACATGAAGGCGTGCAGAAGTCGCTGGTTATTCTGGGAAATGCTATTTCTGACTTCTTAGGCTGGCTTGTATGCGCGGGGAGCTTCAGAAAGACTATGGATGATAACTAAATCAGATAAACCTTCGTCCTTTCTTCCTTCGGTGCGCCCTTGATAGGTTCCATTGAAGCCATCGCTGGGATGTCAGACCATAAACCAACAATCCTTCAAGGTTGTGACTGATGCTGCTGCTAGCACACCCGCCCACGAATTTGTATAGCCTTCTAAACAACAAGGGTAATTATAGTGGGTTCTTATTTCGTCCGAGTTGTCACTGGAGCTACGTAAGATGTCTGATCGGTCAGTACTTACTTTGCCCAGCAGCCACAATCCGCGGAATGTCAAAGCTCAAAGTCCGTGATGATAATGTCAGCATTGTGTTCCAAATCTATGTGGGCCATGCTCGGCTGACGTGCTTAACACCCATGTTGACGTCTCTGGAAATAAACAACCGCCAAGACGTGGCCCAACCACTGCGAAGTCGGGAGAATTAGCGGCTATAGCACAAGACGTGATAGGACCCCTCAAACAGCCGTGCCAGCTCGTAATGACTTAGATTAAACATCGACAGACCGAGGCAAAAAAATTATTCGCCGTTTTGTAGCACATTCAATCTCGACCTTTGAATCTAAACAAATTGTCTTTCATACTGCAAAATGAGATACAAAGATGGCGAGGCCTTTGAAGTGAGCCCTCCTCCTTACCAATATCAGCTACCTAGCCGACGCTTCGCAATTCGCAAGCGTCGAGGGCATCTTGTTACTCTCGTGGGAATCGTCGCTCTAGTCATCTTTCTATCATGTTTCAAGAGTGCTACTAGGGCACCGACAACATACCAGCAAGATCTGTTTCGAAGAGGACTGCGCCAATGCAGCGAGTATGCCCTTGACCTTGCGGTGCAGAGGTCGCCACCCGAGAATCGGTCAAACCCGAGATGGAACTCAAAGTCTGGACAAGAGCATCCGATTGTCATTCGCAACGCAACTCTTTTTGACGGAGAGACGATACTTTCCGAGGCCGTCGATATTTTTTTCGAAAAGGGAATGATAAAATCAGTGTCCGAGGCCCAATCCCAGTCCTTATTTCCCGGGAATGTCGTGGTTTACGATGCAAATGGGCGGTTTGTCACTCCGGGCCTCGTCGACATTCACTCCCATCACTTGGAACTACCATTCTCCTCAGTTTCTGCCAACATGGATGTGAACGAAAAGCCTGGCTTGGGCCCCATCACCCCTTTTGTGCGCGCCATTGATGGATTCAAACCGTATGATCCAGCAATCAAGATCATTGCTTCCGGCGGGGTTACGTCTTCGCTTAACCTTCCAGGCTCTGGGAACATAGTCGGTGGCCAGGCATACTTAGTGAAAAATCTGCCCCTAGCTGGGGAGAATGGTGAGCCAATCGTCGAGGAACTACTCCTTGAGCATGGCTTGCCGAAAGAGAGTCGGCAACGCTACTTGAAGATGGCTTGCGGCGAAAACCCGAAGCACATATACGGGCATACCCGCCTTGGTAATGCTTGGCTTCTCAGAGAGCATCTGGATCGGGCTAGGAAACTCAAGAATAAGCAAGATGCGTGGTGTCGAAGTGCTGATGATATTGACGCCGGCAGTTTCTTCAAAGATAGCCGAATCTTCCGTTTCATTGCAGACTCCGGAGAGTTGCCGGTGGATTTGGAGCTCGAGCCCACCGTTGCTCTGTTGAGGGGCAAGTTCAACGTCAACATCCATTGCTACGAGCCTGAGGACTTTGAGCGAATGCTGGATATTCTACATGAGTTTGAAATTCATCCGCAAGCTTTCCATCATGCTCTCGAGGCGTGGCAGGTTCCCGAATTTCTCAAACAACAGGAAGAGTATAGCAATCTGATCCGGTGCAAGGAAACTACTGACATCCTTCAGAAACATCACTATTGCTACCTTTGCCGAGAACTCATTGTTCAAGCACGAGGCTTATGGTGCCAATCTGCGCGGCCCCAAGATCCTGGACGATCATAGCCTTCGCGTAGTGTTGAAATCGGTACGTTGCAGGTGCTGTCCAAAGTGAAAGATCCGTGATCATTATGTTGACATGTGCTTCAAAGGACCACACCGGTGAAAGCAACAATGCCAAATACCTAGTTTACCAAGCTGCTGTCTCTCATTCTTTTGGGTTGTCGAGTGATAAGGCCCTTCAGTCTGTAACTTCTATTGCCGCTAGATCCATTTACCAGGATCATCGCATTGGCTTCGTCCGGCCTGGGTACGATGCTGATCTTGCTATCTGGGACTCCCACCCGCTCTCAGTTGGCGCAACGACTGTCCAGGTATTTATAGACGGTAGAGAGATACTAGAGCCCACAGCTTCTCTCAAAATTCTCAAGAACCCAACCAAAGAGACCGACCTAGTTTTGCCGAAGTCTCGTCCTTGGATTGATCAGGACCAGAAGCAGCTAGTCTGCAGCGAAGCTTTAGCTGCTGAATCGCGAATTGTATTCACTGGTATAAAGGGCTTTCTGCTTGAGAGTCCTTCTGCCGACTTCAACACGGATTCTGAGGGAGAGGCTGGCCTTGCCATGACGGTGTTCAATGGAGATATAACGTGTCTTGGACCCAAGGCCAAGTGCCTGCCGTCTCAGAAACATGAGAAAGTCCTTCGAATTGACTTGAACGATGGCTACGTCACACCTGGCCTCGTTGCATTCGGCAACAACATCGGCATCATCGACATTCCTTCAGAGTCATCCACAGGCGATGGATCCCCTGGCCGCAATGGAAATGCTCTGAACCAGCAAAAAGATCTGCACTTCGCCAAGTATGGCATCCATTTCGGTGGGAGAGGATTCGGTCGAGCAAGGGTCGGGGGCGTCACTAAAGTGATCACGGCGCCAACTTTTGCGGGAGGGGTGATTCAGGGCGTGAGTGTGGGATTACGGACAAACGAAAACTCGACGATACTGGGAGGTGGTATCTGGAAAGATGAGGTCGCTCTTCACTTTGCTGTGGGCCAAGAAGGGAAAGGTCAGTGAGCTGTGGATGTGTTTCATTATGGGAGATACTAATATGCCCGTGCAAGGTGACGATACGCCGACTGTGTCGTCTGGAATCGAACGTCTGCGTCAGGTCCTCGAGACAGGCCAAGATTCGCCTGCAAATCCCGGCGACGCATTTTCGCAGGCTACGAATGGTTCCCTTCCCGTCGTAGTATATACTGTTAACGAGGTGGGCTTTGTTTGTTGTGTTGTCGGCATGAAGTACGCAAGCTGACAAAAGCAGGATGATATTTCCCAAGTCATCCTCCTCAAACGGGACTTCCCCTCCGTGAACCTTGTCATTTTCGGTGGCCATGCTGCACCATTAGTATGTTATTTTGACTCATTTCAATAACATATCGTTGAACTGATGAAAACTAGGTTGCTAAGGAGCTCAGCGAAGCAAAAATTTCCGTCATCCTCACCGGCAATCGCGGTGCGCCAGACAAGTGGGAGAAAAGGCATATCTTCGCCGGCCCTCCGCTCTCTCCTAGTCCCGCGCAGGTTCTGATTGACGCCGGTGTTCCGATTGCGCTCGCGGTCCGGGGCGATTCCAAGGTCCATGGGTTGGCCCAAGAGGCGCAGTGGGTAGCTAAATTCGCCAAGTTAACGGAAAAGGAGGCGATCAAACTGGTTTCAACGAACTTTGAACAGATTCTCGGATTAGAGCGATCAACTCAGGAGACTAATGCATCGGCCATAAAGAAATATGCGGGTGACTTTGTGGTCTGGGACGGGAATCCTCTCCGTGGGGAGGGGAGCGTGGTTCTGAGCGTCCAAGATGATGGAAAGATCGGGGACTGCTGGCCAGATGTCGAGGGTGCCGTACTTTGAGGTCAGCAATGCAGCTCTTATCGTATATGGCACTGAATATGGACGAATGTGTGGGATGTCTAGGATGTATGGGACTCTTCTCAATCGTGGAAAGCAGGGTAGAATGGACATCGAAATCCAGAAGACTAGGAACTCGAGGACCTTCAACGCTTTGCATTACTCCGATCCTTCCTGGATTGAATTTAATAAACCGTTTTCTTTCGCTTATTTCACCTAGCTTGGCCCAACTTTCGAACATTTCTAGCCTTGACAGCTCCAGCCAAGTTTAATACCACTGCTCCACGATTTCTCGCCGTCTACTGTGTCCAGTTTCGGTCTCACGACAAATTTTCTGGAACCCGAACACTTGTTGTGGTTTCCCCAGCAAGAACACTGTGTCAGATCGCAATCAATTGCATGGAGAAATTCTATAATCTGACTAGCATTTTGCTAACCAGAAGCATTCTTCTGCAAAATTTTAGACACTCATCATCAAAATTAACGATGAACGGAAAGTGAAACTGTGTACGTTGTAAGGCATACGAAAAACTCCGTTTCTGGGCCCTAAACTCATAGCACAGTAGGGTTTGTCCACGTACCCTAACTTCATCTTCAGGCCAACTGTCGAAATCCGATGATTTGCAGTTGAAAAGAAACAGGATGATTAAATTTTATTGGTACTATTCGGCACGTTTTGCTGTAATCCTACTGTCGCTCGATGAGACACTCAGGGGCTCTTAGCCGTGCGAACCTTTAGATTGAAGTTCCATGGGGTAGGGTCCGACTGGCCGTGTGAGATTCGTCAAGGTACATCGTTCATACAGAAAAAAAGCCGGCTGCACTTTAAGATTTATTAGTAAGAGCGTGCACTATCAGAGAAGCCATTCAAAAATAATGGAGCTTAAGTCTGTAATCACAACAATTGTCAATTCTGAGATTTCGGAGGAACACTGTGTAACCTAAGATGGAATGCTTAAGGTGACGTTGCAAAGACAGCATGTCATTCATTGGCGGCAGACCAAATAAGAGATGAAAGTAAAAGTTCCTTACGAAACAATAGAATCTCATGACCGTTTGTACCATGAATAAGTTTTCCAACATGGAGGATAATTACTGATTCCGACAGATCATCCTTGTAGTGAACAAGGCAGTTGATATGAGTATGGATGGTGACACTCCGTGGCATACGAGAACCTTGGCTTGATGCACCTTGCAAAGCATATGTAAGCTATCGCAGTCGTCGGTGGTTCAATCGATCTGGACCTGCTAGTGGTTCAGCTGAGGCAGCATGGCTTGGACTCTTCATTGCGCTCATGCTAACGTGGAGACGATGAACAGATCTTACGCCAAGGTGCAAATCTTTGTTCGTCCGAGTCCAGACTTCGCGTGGCGAGAAAAATTTTCCCTAGAAACGTCATCCATGATCTTTTCGTTGTTGTTTGATGCAAAGTTACTGGTGTTTTTAGGTCGACAGACAGTAAGCCAAGTCTCTTGGACGATGACATTATTCATGCAGCGCTCCCGTTCGAGCTGTCAACGTCCCCACCAAACCTTAACTTTATTGAAATGATTTTTGCTGGACTAAGATGGCCAAGAAAGCTGCGCCTCACGGAACATGGGCAGTGATTTATGAAACTTCCGAATCTGCAGCTCAGATGTTCTCTGTGGCGATGGTGACGTTGAAGGCTGAGGGATAAGACGTCTCAGGCTGGTTACCAATATTAGTTGGAACAGAGATTTGTCGTCGCATCGAGCTTTAGCCAAGGTCAAATAGCAGTCCAAAAACCATTGTGTTGATTATTATTCTATACCTAAAAGAGCTGGAATGAAAACAGCAAGGTCCAATCCACGGTGCAAGCTATCGAATATGATCATGAGCAAAAGACGCTCAGCGGCAAGAAGATAGGCAAAAAGATGCCATCGAGCCTCATATGGATAATCTTCGAGGAGTTAATTTCTCAAGATACAGTTTGTGACAATTTGGTTCAGTCCGTATAGAGTTTACGAGCCATTCCCCGCATCCACCACTGCTACTTGGAACCTCAGCGGGACCCCAGCGTGGAATCTTCCGGCTTCGAGTACCACTATTCAGCATTTGCCGGGTCACAAAGTCTTGGGAGACTCGGTGGATACGATTCTCCCGTCTTTGTCAACACTAAGCTTATCATCATACCAACGTTTCTATCGCCGTGCCAGGATGCCGGCATTTCAAAATCCTGCGTTTCGTTACATGGATGTGATCTGATGGTCAGTTGCAACCGCGTCAAGCCGCTGATAGTACTGCTACAAAATCTAAACCTCTGAAATCTTGACTGGAGATTTTGAGACAAGTTCGAGCACGATGCGCCTTGAGAAATCTCGCGACAGAAACTCTGGATTGACATACGGCAGACCACCTGTCCGGAGCCATGACGCTTGAATCGTTTCCCGACCATATCTGGATGCCGTATCAGCCATCACAGTTGCATCGTCCAATGTTGACCAAATACATCTGAAGCAAGATTTTTGTATAACGCTATAGTAAAGATCATTATGCATACCGCAGGCTGCCGAGGAGACTAGCTAGCTAAGCTGGGCGATGTAACTCAGCACGAGAATCTCGAGGATTGATCTACCATTTGATTCGTAAGCTGCCGTTCCTGCCACGTCTTTTACTGGGAAGTGGAAGAAGCTTATTTCGTGTACCTTCACTTCATGTCCGGTGTTCAGGGCTGCACATCGGTGGATGCGTTGTTCTATTTCCGGCCATAACCCAGAAAGTGGTGATCATAATGAGAATAGCCGAGCACATAATAACAGCAATGCTACGCCGGCTCAACTTTGACTCTTGAAACATATAAAGGCATTGGAATATCCAGTCCTGTACATGTTGTTTGAAAACATCATCGCATTCATCAATTCCATTATTGAAATTGTTTTCAACCCAAATTCGCCACAACTACACTTGTCTATTGGCCCCAACTCAACATGCTTGGAATCGCTTGGAGACATGCCCTCATTGGGCTGCTTCTTATGGATTCTTTGGGATCAGCCCTTGTGGTGCCTCCAGGAGCTGCCATTACGAAGTCAGACAAGCTTCCGACGAAGAACCGACGTGAAAGCCTTGCTTCTTACAGTGTTGTTTCTATCCGAGATGACGGCGATAACGATGATGGTAAGCACGACAAAGAGAAAACGGCCTCTAGTTCATCACAGGTAGGCTGACAGTTTTTTGTCAGATGGGCCGCCGCCGCCGCCGCGACGCCCCGGTGACCGCCTACCAGGGCCACCGCCTCCTCGGCCAGATGACGACAGCGACCATGATGACGGTAGGTGTCTGCAAGCAAGAATACATTGACGCAACTGACGATTATCTAGTGACCCGGGAAATTAGAAGAAATGACCCACCTAATCCACCTAACCCGCCTGATCCTACCAACCCTAAGCCTCCCGACAATCCCAAGCCTCCTACCAATCCCAGGCCTCCTGACAATCCCAAACCTAATCCCAACCCACCTGATCCTAACCCAAGACCACCGTCGAACTCTAACGACGACGATGATGGTGAGTAATATGCACGGTAGATTTACATGGTGTATACAGGGCTAAAGCATAACCATAGATCCTACAGGTCGGCCAGATCACGACTGATTCTGTGGCAATTGACCTATTTGTAAGTTGGGACCGTGCTATATTATTCTCATCAAGGCAATGGATTATAAGAACTTGCAGCAGGTGATCTGACGTCACAAATGAACAGTTCGTTCCTGGATCAAGTCAAGGCTGTACCAAGATCTCAAACAATAGGGCCTGGGGTTCTTCATCGTTGTACGCAAGTATCATTCGCTTTTCAAATTGTCCAGACATATACGGATAGCATTGGTCATCGGAAAGATCATTGATTGGAAAATACGCTGGGCAACGCAACCTACTGTCGTTTAACTTAGCTTAGTCTCGAATTGTATTTGTGATTCTTCCGAAAGTGTCACTGTCCCATCATAACAAATGCATGTGAAGAACTGAATTGACATCCAAATCTAAGCTACCTCTTAGGAGTTTCGACCTAAGGACAGAATTCTCTGATTAAGATGGTTCTGAAAAGGTCCTTAATATTATGATTGGGCCTATGGCCTTGTATCGTGTTTGTGGAACTTTTGTTGGCATTGATTCTCATTTTGGCCCGGCGCCGTACCAGCCAATGGCCTTCCGTTACATGACTACAGCAATTACTTAGACTCTGAACTACGACCCCAGCATTCTACCTTGGCCGCCAATGGTATAACTAATCAAACTTGCACTCAGGCGCGCCGCCAAGACACTCCGACTTCCGACTCGTCCGCCCCGCCAGCCGCCTCCGAAATTGACATCGACCGTGACGTCCCCGGGCCGAAACGCCGCCAGCAACCAATCCGCCGACCCGGCTCAAATGCTATCACAGTCCTGCTACCGTCAATGAAAGCTCTGGACATGTTACAGCTCAACCTCGCGCCATTTACGTATCTTCGCCAGCTTCTTGTGGGACTCATCCATCCCTTTGATGACCTGCGCCGCCGCATTCATGACGTCTTAAAGTTATTGCATGTAGCCAGGGCTCGCAAATCTATCCAGCTGATCCATGGCATTTGTCTTCATTAAAGAAAAGTTATCGATCTTATCGCGTACCTTTATGTCCGGTTTGTCCCTCATGAGGAGCTTCAGACCAAAGATGGCCACTTTACGCCTTTGCTCGCTCAGCAGCAGGATGAACGGCGTGTCTTTATCGATGGCCCTAAGGCCAAGGTCCTAGGCCAACATTCCTGTTTTTTTAGCATCTCTACAGACCGCTCTTGGAGCGTAATAGTCTATAAACTGTGGCAGGTTCTACGGATTAGAGACGGTGGTTCTTGAAGTCATCTAGAGGTTTTAACACAGAGTTGTTAGAGTTTATTAACTTAGGTTTGAGCATAAGCCATAAGACAAAAGCCCAGTTTACAATTGGGCTTTTGTACACGTCTAGTCGCATCAAGCTTTTGCGCAAGGTTTCTGAAAGACATAGACTAAAGCTATCGACGTTCAGAGCAACTCACGCCATAAGGTTTTCAGAACCTTAGTGTTAGGTTCTTTGGACTGAAGCCATCGCTGTTCAGCGTGGCCTAAGCTGCAAGGTTTTCACGACCTTGGTGGGAGGCTCGTTGAATCGAAGCCATCGTCGCTTTTCTAACGTTAATTAGTCCAGCGTGACTCAAACGGCAAGGTTTTCATAACTTTGGTAGTAGTTCAAATAAAACTATCACTGTCAGGGTTATAGCTGATGCTTCTGCTTGCCACGGTTGAAGTGAGGTCTGGACCAGCAGTCGTTCCACGCTATGGGGTATTTCGTACCGTATTGATATATCAAGATCTAGCATAGGCCAGAGGTGCTACTATATTAGGTTATACGTACTATGACAATTTTCTGTCCAGGGTGAACTATACTAGACCGCTTATGGGAGGCTAGAACAACAACTTAAACTAAAAATATTATGATTACCGAGTATACTTCTTTGATCTGTAAAATAAGCCGAGTCGACTTATTTGATGTCACCCGTCATCCGTAGCAAATGAATTATCACATAAGCTAGGGGGGATCGTAATAGTCAATATCCCACCCAAAGGCACTAGACCGCTGACGAAGTGAGCCGTTGACAACCATAGCCACAACAAATAAACAAATAGGAAACCGATTTTAGTCTTTCTACGTATCAAAAACGGTTCTGGAAAATCTGTAAAGCAAACTTGTTTAGATTAAAGTCAAACATTCTCCCTATGAGTCAACTTCAACTCATGTTGCGAGATATTGCTGCATCTAACAGGATTCTCGGCAAGTCATTTGAATCCATCATTAACCATGTAGAGCCTCATGACGTAGGTTTTGCATCTTATTCATGATATCAAGTGATGCCCAATGCCATACGATAGTGCATTTCGTCGAACGCCAAATGCGCAAGGCCTGGGAAAGAATTTACGAACGCCATTTCCATCGAATGACAAGCCTGATAGCTCGGCAAGGTTACAAACCATAAAACAACCCTAATTATTTCAAATCTATTGCACTCGTCATCAACAGCATAATATTACAGGGTTACTCTTGCCACATTATTATTGGCTCCAAAATAAGCCTCCCCAGTCTAGAATTTGTTTCAACTGGAGATGCAGCTTTTCTCGGCTTATTTGCCGGTTTTTCTTCTGGGCAGAAGATTGCGAGCTCGTAAAAAGCTTCGCATAAACTAAAGGCCAGGATGATGGCAGGAGCCTCGCACGATCCGCCCAAACCGACACCAGACGGACCAAACGTACTGAACGGGCCCAGGCTGGCTCCATTGGCATCTAATCCTCCCATAGTCTTACCTTAGCAGTCATCACCGGTTAAACACTCTCATGGTCAGTCTCCCGATAAATCTGCCATCGATTCATCTATTATTAAATAGTACAGGAGTTTGTCCTTAACCACCGCTCGCGGTAGCAGACGACCCAGCCGGCAACTCGAGCAGTTTCAGAGACAACTATCCCGAGGAGCGAGAAGCACCAGATGATGTACGGTATTCCTGCGTTCTTCCGGTCCGAAATTAAGCGAAGGCAAAGAAATGCAGTGTTGCCGTAAGGACGGGTGGAGATTTGGCCACATCCATCGCATACCGGCACAAAAGAACTGAGCGGATTGTCTACCCGAAGCGTTGCATCGAGGCTGACTAAAGAACCGAATAACGGAAGATTATCACCAATATAATCTCCAAGGCAGAAAACACGTTTTGGTGTGTCCCAGTAATATTTGGTCTTGCCTTGGAGGGCTTCCGCCAGCGAAATCGTCTCGAGTCTGTTGAGTAGATGGTTTGTGGACTGGCAATTCCGAATCCCGTTCTTGCCACTGGAAAGCTTATGGTCGAATGGAAGGTCTATATAGCTGCTGCAGACAGAGATAATGAGATGGAATGGGTCCAATAGGCTCAGCCATCTAGGGAGGTGGTCTGAAACGGGAGTCTACGGGCGGCATATGCTAGGCTAACCACCACTGGCAGTCCTTGAGGGACTGGTACAATAGCCACTATTAGACTCTAGGGCCCTTGAGTGCATTATCTGATTAACACACTACACCAAAAGCATCACATCGATCGTCTAACATTTGTCAATAGTTTGCTTTTATTGTTGTTATTGTTGTTGTTCTGCCTTGAAAGATGCAGGCGTTCTAAGAAGTATGTTCCGCAGCAACGCAGCATGTACCTATTGATTGCGGGTATTCATACTAACTTGGTCTTGTCAGACCTTGGCAGTGCTTCGCCGTTCCATCCGAAAGGACTCATCCCGATACATAATCTCCACCTGGGCAAGGATGTCAGAATGATTCATCGTCGCTTACGTTATATTTTCCATAGCGCCTCAGCTTCCAAGCCGGATTTCTGTAACACGTTTCAAAGGAGTTTATTGGGATCATTTGCTATGAGAGGGAATGATTCATTGTGACTGCAGACATATGCAACAAGCATCTATCCCTTGGTAATATGGTTGAGAAGACTCAAACATCGAGGAGACAAGCTGCCCAGGTCCAGCTAATCTTATATAAGAACTGCATGTTGGGACGGACTCGGGGTAGCAAAAGTTTATCAAATCGGCTAAAATATACAGTTGATTCTTTTGCAACGCGCTGTGATAATATATTCTCTCAGTACCCTTCTTATGCTCTAACTATATTGCAATCGAATGTCAAAATAAGCCTCCTGAGAAATTGGGTAAGTTTCCTCTGCCTTTCCCCTATCTAAAAAAAATGATGAGTAAATGTTTTGCCGATCGGAATTGCTCTGCTTTTGCAATGCTATGAAGACCGCTTCAGTCGACATCGCCTGAATTAAGCCTCTACCCCTACATTCCTTAATTAGGCTTGACGTATATCATGCTAATAACTGATGTGTTGTATTCAAGATGCAAGACGGCCTCTCAAATTAAGTCAACCCTAGTTAAACTGGCCAAACGTTCGGTGTCAACAATGGGCATCACCTATACTCGAGAGCTATCTCTCGTCTTGACGAGTTGAGTTTCAAATGATAACCCAGACTCCATTCTTAAGACCCCATACATGGATGAGGAGTCAAGTGGCCTTCTTTCACCGTCCGAGTACCTTGTCGCCTCTGAAAGATGTTTGAAAACGACCTCACCAACTTCAAGTCGGGCGCCAGCTCTCTCAGCACAGTCAATGCCATGGCCAACGTCTTTCAAAGCCAGTGTCAGATCCGACCAGGGTCTCTCGCCCTGTGATGGCATGTAAGCGCCTGACGTCATGCGTCTTGACATTGAGAGAGCCAATGGCCCGTACTGCTGTTCGATAAGATTCTCCATCGCCTCCGTACCAAGTCCAGTCTTCTCGGCAAACACGTGGGCTTCAGCAACAAGTTCCATCATCCCGGCTGTCATAAAGTTTCTATGAAAGGTAAGTCTAGTCTTCATTGCTGAACTTACGGAAAGAACATTACTATACTTACCCAGCTGTCTTCATTATACCAGACTGCTGCACATCTTCGCCGAGCCGGATAATACCCCTTCCCATGACGCCGACGATGAATGGGCTAATATTCTCCACTGCATCATGAGGTCCGGCGATGATCCACAGTAGTTTTCCCTCTGCAGCCACAGGGCTTGCGCCAAAAACAGGTGCTGCGACAAGGTTTGCACTTCTGTCTGCCAGACGGTCTCTTGATTTCGCGGACGACAGAGGATGGACGGTGGAGGTATCCACAATGATTTTGCCAGTCAAGTTGAGTGGTGCAGAGTTGTCGAGGATTGCATCCAACGTTGCTTCAAGAGCAGCATCATCGCTGAGGGACATGAAGATTATATCCGTATTGTCCACAAGATCTTTTACATCAGGGCGCGCCACCCCTCCGATCTCTGACAGAGGAATGCCGCGTGACATTGTTCTATTGTGATACTGCAGGTGTGGAGCGTCGAGTTTGACAAGATGCTTCTGCAGGTTGGTTGCCATACCAAGGCCCATTGATCCGAGACCTATGACACTCGTCAGCAAACAGGCTTAGGCTCAAAAGCTGGATTCTAACCAATCCACCCTAGTCGGGGGTGCGGGGTTGGTGGAATTGCACTGGGCTCGTTTTCCATGACTGCTTGAAAGGCGATTACGGACGTTGGTCAGATGATGATGTAGTAATAATTGGGCCGATGTTTGGAGGATTCGGACCTGCTTGTTGATCTGGCACATATGCACAGGTTTGAGAGAAGAGGACTTTGAGTGGGACTTTGAGTGATCGAGGTGGTGAGTCAAAGGGCTGCGAGCCGAAGATGGCTCGCCATCAGTACGGTGGTACATTATCAGCCCCACTTTCGGTTTCTGATCCGTCGGCGGCGACATCCGAAGTCTGGTTTTCAGACAAGCACATCTGATTTCATGCTCAATGAATGAATGTCGTGCATGCTATCATGCTCATTTCTTCTATTGTAAGATCTCAATCTAGAAAGTAACTGGAGTCATTAGCTTTTTGGTGGTGCTATCAATGATAACCATTTTGGACTCGAGTTCGCAAGCCGGTGCCAGAACGGTTCAATTGCTCTACCAATACTTAACAGCAACTACATATATGCTCAACTATAACCACATGCGGCGCTTCTTGTCACTTATTGAGCTTTTTTAGAAGGGTACCTATGGTTTCAAAACGAAGCACCTTTTCTTCTTCGTGTTGTCAAGACGTGCAGGGTGATCTGTCGTGCATCACAGATATCAGGCAGCCACCCGAGGCCGTCGCTTTGCACGGCAGCCTGCTGGCAAGAAGAAACACGACGACGGCAGGTTGAACTAAAAATAAAATAAAATTAGTTTTAGAACCAAAGTAGCATTGGGATTGCCTGTATGTGGGTAGCTCGTGGGAGAAGATTCGATTGCATAGCTTACACCTCCAGACAGGTGCAGTCATTAATTAAGGATAAGACTGTAGCGCCAGGGAAGAAGTGACTTCAGAGAGGGACATAAAAGTCTGGTCTCGATAACCCCTCAGTTGTCTCCCCCAAAGCCTATGCGAGCCGTCGTCCCAAAGACTGCCGACGTGTCCTTGTAGCAGAGTGAGCTACAATGCGTCGAACCTTCGGAAGCCCTCATCCCCAGCGAGCGACTGAGTGAGCGTCGAGGTTTATGATTAAATGCTCATGTGAGTCAGGTATTCCAAACAGGTAAAAGTTACATGACTCGATTTCGACATACACGGCTCTTTCGAATAGTCGAAGGGAACTGAAGTCGGCGTCAACGTAACGGAAGACTGCGTTGCACGATGTGAGGCCAAGATCAGATACGGGAACTTAGAGACCACAGCAACGGCATTGGCAGCGTCGACAGCGCCGACGATTAGAGTTTGACTAAAAAATTTGATTATGTCAAGCTCACTAGCCCCAAGTTTTCCCAAGCCAATTTCCCAATGTTACTTCGGCGGACGGTGACCGACAGAAATAAGGTTTACCGAAAGTATCGTCCTTTTGTCGTGGGCCTCTCCATTGTTTCCTGCTAACAGGCGTTTGATGTAGCAGTCCGAAAGATTACAGGCGCCATGTTTACCACATTTCTCTTATTAAACGACTTGGGGAGGAGAAGCAATGCTGTTGCGACTTTCATAAGAGCTTGCTAGACTAACACCTTATATAGGAAATTGCTCTCGATCCTGTGCCAAGGTTCTCAGCCTGATAGTACTTCAGTATGAGTTGTTTTTCCTGAGAGAACTTAGAGCTCTTGATCATTGACAGATTCATCTCGTGAACTTAACCTCCGAGATTACGACGCCATACACGAAAACCGCATGTAATCACACCGGAACGAGTACTCCACCGAGCTAGAAGCGCTTGAGGTACGTCTACAAGGCGCGCTCCCCTCGATAGTGCATTGTGTCTCATAGCGCTTCCAAGACATCTGAGAACAAATAACCAAATGACCAAAGACGAAGTACTGCTGCGGTTCCTCCTTCACAGGAAAAGCATTTAGGTTAGCAGGAACAGTCTTGTCTGGCCCCGAATCAATAGGACGGCTTTGAACCGACTGACCTATGGAAACGAGGAATAATACTTTCGCCAGTCAAGCTATCATGTATCAACTAACAGCTCAAGGGGATATAATATCTACGTCTTTCTCTCCGAACACTTTCCAACCCAGCGCGAGTAGTCGGTATCGACAAATAACAAAGGGCTTTCATCAACCGGTTTTGCGACTTAGCAAGGGTCTGCCCGCAGTCCCTTGGTCATCCGGAACTCCCCGGCTGCCACGGCAAGGGTGCACGGCCACAACGTTATTAGGCGGATCTTGACCCTGGGTCTACTTCGGCGCTGGACAGGTGGCCACCGATGTGGTGTTGCGGTCATCGAAGCAACTCAGTCCCGATTCCGGTCGCAATCTAAAAAATGGACGAGTTTGGATGGGGATCTTTGTATGGCCTTTAACGCTCTTCGACACTTCCGATCCCTTCCGGGCCGCAGCGTGACGTCGCTTTCTAGGTCCGTTGCATTGGCAGAGCTTGACGAGGAGCTGGATAGCCCCTTGACTCATACATGAGTGAAATCCACGCGTTAGGGCCAAGTCAAGTCCGCCAAGTTATACCCGAGAATGTTGCCGAGATGATCCGAATGAAATCTACCTGTTGGAGATGAAACTGGCTCCCACTCCCAATGGTGAATCAAATTTTCTCCGACGTGGGCTCAACGCAAAGCCGATGGACATGGGTAGCTCCAGAAAGCTCCAGTCAAGTTCGCGTAATCCAATAGGGTCACTCAGGGACAGATCCGACGCGTCGCCACTGTGGTGGAGTTTGTTTGACTTCCCCTGGTCATCTCGTCGGACGGCGAATCTCGCCGGTGCGGAGTGCCAGAATCCCGTAGAACCGAGAACGAGTTACCACGTCTAATATTGTCAGTCGAGCTCATTTTCTTATAGTGCGAACTTTACCGGAGGTTTGATCAATGGACTCTTTCATCTCTATCCTTCGACCCCGAAGAACGCAAAGCGCAGCGGACAAAGGATCTGCGAATTGCAAAACCATCGCCAGTCTTCCACTCTGACTTCCCTTGTCAACGTGTCCAAGCTCGTCTTTCTCAGTAGCACAAATGCCAAGTGAGGAAATCATGTCTTGCACGGCAAATGATCAATTCCCTGTCTTTGTTTCTCTTCAATTTCGTACTGTCCATGCTTACACCCTTGGCCATATCCTCAGGCAGATGGCAGATACTCCTGGATTTCGGTCACCGTCCAATAGCTATGTGCAATGCTGGCCGTCGGGTCCCGATCCTAGGCCCGTCCCCATCAAAGAGCGGGTTGCGCCGCAGATCTGGTCCTTTTGGCGGGGAGACTGGTCGTAACCCTACCGTATCCTTGTCAGATGCAGGCAAATGCAACGGCGCCATTCCCCGTGTTGGTTCTCCTGCTGAGGACACCGCAGCAGAACGTTTTCTCTCTTGGCTCCTTCACTCCCGGGCGCGTTAGCTCGCAGACCTTCAACATCGCATCTGTGATACCCAGGGCAGCACTTGCTTTTTTCCCTTTCCCTATCCCGCAAACCGACTAGCGCCATGCTCGACGTAGTCATCGTTGGAGCTGGCATCGCCGGCCTCTCGGCCGGTATCTCTCTTCGCCGCGCGGGCCATCAAGTGCGGATTTACGAAAGATCCTCGATGAACAACGAGACAGGCGCCGCCATCAACCTCACCCCGAACACGACAAGATTCCTCACCCGCTGGGGTCTCGACCCCGAGGCACTGGGCTTCGTCAAGGCCGGACCCATTCACCTCCATGATCCCGCGACGATGGAGATTACGGCGACCGAGTCCCATGCCGACAGCGGAGAGCTCTTTGACGCCGATCTGTGGTACGCCCACCGCGTGGATCTGCATGATATCCTCAGGAAGATGGCGACCGACTCCGCAGGCCCGGGCGTTCCCGTCACCATCCTTGCGAACTCGTCGGTTGTTAGATATGTGAGTGTGGAAAAGTTACTGTCGCTTTGTTTTTCGTGAGTTTTCTTGTTGTACTGATATGCTACAGAGTCCCGACCTGCCGGCCATACACCTACAAGATGGCGAGGAGGTTCGAGCCGACCTGGTCGTGGGCGCGGATGGCATCCACTCCATCGCATGCGAGACGGTTCTCGGCCGCACGAATCCCCCATTACCACCCAATCACTACAACTCTTGTTATCGGTTCCTAATTCCTGCCGAAGTCCTCGAGGAAGACCCTGAGACCAAGTTTTGGAATGAGAATGTAGATGGACTAGTCCGTCTGTTTCCTGATGACAAGACCAACCGAAATCTCATATCATACCCGTGCCGCAAGTATGTATCGGAGAACCAGGCTAGAAAGGACATGCAGCTGACGAAACAGCAACAAAATTCACAACTTCATCGGCATATCTTTTGATGAGGACATGATGTCAGCTACCCGTGAAGGTTCGTTCTTTGCCGCTAGTTGACATGTCCAGTCTCGCTAATGTGGCTATGCTAGATTTTGAGGCGGATTTCGATAAAGCACAGCTTATTGAAAAGTTCTCTGGCTTCCATCCTAGCTTGCTGGCAGTGATCAAGTATGTTCACAACAGAACCAAAATGGCACTATATTTATCTGACAACCACTGCAGGAAGGCGACTGACATCAAGCGGTGGCCATTGTTGTACCGCGCCCCTGTGCCAACATGGCACAAGGGCAAGATGGTCTTAGCCGGTGATGCAGCCCATCCAGTATTGCCTCGTAAGTCATACATCTGCTGAAGTGTGGGCGTTTTCCCTGACATCCTACTTAGATCAAGGCCAAGGCGGTGCTATGGGTCTTGAAGATGGTCTTGCGTTGGGTGTCGTGATGGCTGGGGCTGCAGATGCCTCAGACGTCGAAAAACTGCTTGACGTCTACGAGAAAATCCGCAAAAGCCGTACCAGTATAATCCAGTTGCTTAGCAACGTTGCAAAGAATGATTCTCACCTCGTCGAGAAAGAGCTCTTAGAATTCATGCCCAAGGAGGATATTCCCAGTATGTTGCATCTAAGCCACCACTGCGAGACGTCCTGATCTAACATGTTGGCAGAAACACAAAAAGAAATGTTTATCTATAACTTTGAATACGATGTTGTGGAGGAAGCTATCAAAATCATGGAGGAATTTGACCCGTCGTTTCATCTTCCCCACGACTTCTTTGAGGATGACTCATTCAACATGGCCCATGTTAGTGGCGAGCTGTCCAAGATGAGCGGGTTTATCACAGTCGAGACTTGTATTAGCGTTGAGACGGAGGAGTCCACAGCACAAGTATGATTGTATGACTAGTTGAAGGAGAATAGGCGGCGGACATCTAAGGCAGGATGGGTGTCGTCGCCTGGTCGCTACTTTTTATTGTGATTCTACACGCAGTTGCTTGTATTCCTATGTAAGGTTGACGAAAGACAGCGATACGTCGAAACTGCATACAAAGATAGCGTAGGAAATCGAATTTGCCAGATATTGTGTGAATCCTCTACTTGGAGCCAGGCCTTGAATATTCAGCAACCCTTTTGAAAGACTAAAGAGTCACAGAACTTGGCTTCAGTAACTAGCGTCTTCATTCAGCTTTTGAGCATAGAAATGTTGCGCTTGACTTAAGGAGCTGGACATAATTCACTGTTTTACAACGTTATGTCACATTGAAATCACACTTCGGAAGACACATAGGATAGCAACAGACCAATAGCTGTAGTAACCTTCAGGGAGTCCGAAAATCAAGTGGAAACGGATGGCTTGATATTAAAAGTAGATTAGATCACAATTCAAGGTCCTTATGTCCACTGCTTAAAGCATCTTGGCAATGGCTGATACAGATGCGAAATTGAACACCCCATCTTCCTATTTCTCCCATGCCGCCATACCTGCGACTACTTACTAGTCTTTGTATGTGTCTCAAGTCCGCTGAGTTCCATTGTTTTCGACAGAGTGGTCCACGGTGTTTACACCCTCGGCAGTCTCGCTGTCGCGGCTAGCGTTCATCTGGTCCTCCTTCTCGATCTGTTGGATATCAAGCTGAGCAACGTTGGCATCCGGACCGTCGATGACTTTGACAAGCTCTTCCAAGGTAGGGCCTTTCGTCTCGACATATTTAAAGAAGACGAAGCAAAGCTCCAAGAAGATCCAACACTGTATCGCTTTATTAGCTGCAAGGCCCATAGAACATAGTTTCAGGACTGGGTGGGTTACCGTGTAGATGAGGTACAGCTTCCACGTCTCTCCCTCGAAGAATTTGAGGGCCACGGGATTGGCGTAGTTGTTCAGGGTAAGCGCCGACTGGATAGCAATGTTAAGAATCATCAGACCCTTGGCTCGCAACTGGTATGGGAGGATTTCCACAGCATATCCAATCAGCAGACCGGACCACGCAATGGCGTAGGCGACGTTGAAGACCCAGATGAAGAAGATCATCGCATGGTTTGCGCCCGGAGACCCGTACTCTTCGTAGAGCGCGCAGGTCAAAGTCCAAAAGATGAAGGTACCGAACATTCCTCCGGTGGATGTAAGGAAGATCGGACGGCGGCCGAACTTGTCAACCATAAGGGCAAACGTGATCGAAACAATGAGTGATACCATTGAGGAACCAGCAGAGAGCTGTTGGGAGAGCAAGGTTTGTCAGCATGATAAGAAACGAAGAAAAAAGACGACCTCGAGGAGTATAGAACTCACACCCAGCTTAGCCGTCGAGTTTGTGATTCCAGCATTATCGTACAAGATGTTGGTGTAGTTTGAGATGATGGCGTTGCCTGACCACTGAGAGAAGATACCCAAAGAAATCAAGATCATCAGCCTGTAGCGGTTGCCAGGGCTGCGGAAGAAGTCGAGGTAGCTACTATGTTCCTTCGCTACCCGCTCCATCCTGATCGTGTCTCTGATTTCGCGGTACTCAAACTTGACGGTAGGATTCTCGGCGTCTCCATTAGCATGGTACTTAGCAAGAATGGTCAGTGCCTCGTCAAGCCTGTCGTTCGCGATCAAGTATCTTGGCGACTCAGGTACCCCTAGCGCCAGGTAAATCAGTACACTGAGAGTCTAAAGCCTATACAAAGAGACTCACAGTAGATTCCGACGATCTGAACGACTGAAGGAAGAGCCTGGAGGATTGCAGGGATACGCCAGGACCACTGATTGTTCATGAAGTCGGTGCCAAAGCAAACCCACGCAACAGCTTCAAAAGTCATCAGTACAGTAGCCAGATAAGGATTCGACATCAGTCAGATGTCCGTACTTACTGAGTGATCCTACGTTCCAAAGACAATTATAAACCTGTGCGACATCAGCCTTTAGTCTTTTGACACCATCCTGGTTATCCAGGCTGTGGCGTTTTTGTTGTTGACATCATATTTTCACCCGATTTTGGCTGGAAGATATGGTGGATTTGGAAGAGGATTCGTCTGAAATGGGGGATTTCTCTGTCTAACGTAGCATAATACTCACAGTGGTAAGTCTAGCGCGATGCTGCGGATGACAAATCTCGGTAAGTAGCATGGGCGAAGCCATCTGAGAGAATGAGTTGCCGAAGCCTAACAGCACGCGACCACCCATGAAGCCTATCGCTAGGTTAGTTATACCCATCTCAAGCTATTGTGATGAAGAACTAACCGCCCATGTTCTGGCAACAACCCTGAAGCAAAGCACCGGCAATAGTGATCACACCGCCGATGACGATGGGGAGTCGTCGACCAAAATGGTCGGTGAAGTAGGGACTGTATAGGACCAAATAAGCACTTTTACCGATTCATTATAGTGTGTTGAAGCGCTTACACAATGGGAATCGAGCCCAGACTGCCAATCTGGTAGAGCGCAGCGAGAAGACCCAAAAGGTGATTGGCGGGGTGATCGAAATAATCCTTCCACGAGTCAAAGTTTTGCACCGAGTTGAAGAACATGCCATCGTAACCAGTACTGGCTGAGCCAATGCAAAGAATAAAGGCATGCCAATAAAGCTTCCGCAGACCGGGGTCCTGGTACCAGGTAACATGCTCAAACTTAGGAGCCTCCTCCTGGGCATGGGCAGTCGCCTCTTGGTTGGGCTTCGACCCTTTGAGCTTCGAAAACACCATGACGGTCAAAAGTGAGAGATATTGAAATACTATGAGAGTAAAGATGGTATCTTCGGCGACGTTGTGGAGCAAAACGACCGCGACTCATGGACTCGCGAGCTCTGAAGACTAACACTCCGCTCTAAGACTCGACTGTGGAGATCCCCAGTTCTTATATCTGGGGAAAACATGGTCCAACCTCTGAACCCCGGATTATCGGGTGACTTTACCGTCTCCTGTTTCTTGGGGGCCGGTTGATAGTCACATGGTGGTCGCTCTGGGTTTTGGATCCGGAGAGGCAAGCAATTTTACCCATTGGAACCAAGTGATCCGGATTAGCTGATAGATGCAGTCTAATTTGCAGGCCCAAGCCGGTCCAAGAGGTGCCATGGAAGCATCCAAGAAACAACCCCGGCTACACTGGAGTCGCGAGACGCTGTAGGAACCATACAGAAACGTCCATTGAGTGGCAAGGCTGGCAATTGTCGAATCACATCTGCTGAAGGATTTAGCCGGAATATTCTTGGACTGTGGAGCGCCATGAGGCCAAGGCTGAGCTCTTCAGGTTCTCGTTGGAGAACCGAGACTCTGCCCAGTCTGCCAAGTGGTTGATGTGGAACCGCGCGCCATGAAATCGGCTGCTGACCCGAAGACGCACAAGACACACAGCATGCGGTGACTGCTACGGCCAGAGTTTTTCTTTGTGCCATTTCGAAATGGTTGCGCCCTTCTGGCAGACAAGAAGGAAAGGACGAACAAATGCGATGTGCTCGTATTTAGGCAGATTTCAAACTACTCACATGGCTTTTGTGCACAATCTTCAACACCTTGGCTCAATTTTCGAATAGTTTGAAACAGTATGCTTTCTGTCTAAATCGAATACCCAGTAAGGTAACAAAGCCACTTTTGTGAAACGCTGTGGTCGAGTCGGCGCGTCTCCACAGCGCGAAAAGACGGAAACTCATCCGCGATATGATACACAGTAAGAACTGTTCTAGACACGTAAACCACGTGCAGGAAGTGCCGAAGCCCTGTGAGTGTCCGGACTAGTTCATCATTCCAAAAACGCGAGTTCTTGCGGAAAGAGATTAGCTTTCTCCTGGAACCCTGCGTATCAACTAGCGCTGAAGAATCTGAAGGCGGAATTCGCGGCTGCTTCTGTACTGATACTGTTCAATTGGGAACAAGAGGTAATGTTGGAGACCGAAGCATTAGGCGTGTTTCCGCTGTAGTTCTATCGCAGTATGGCGATGACGGAGTACTGTAGTCACAGCTTCTCATAAAGCACTGTGCCAACAGAATTAACCTACGAGATATACGACAAGAAACTGCTTGCAGTAATTCGTTATTTTAGGGAGTGGAGACCTTTTTATATTAGAGGGCACGAGCTCGGCGATTGCATTAATAACGGACCATCGTACTCCATGACGACCAAGACGCTGAACCGAGGACAAGGCCGGTGACTAGAATCTCTGTACGATTTAGCCTCAAGACTTTATAATTGCGGGAAAATAGGGCGCGAAACCTGATACCCTGACTACGTTTGAACTTATTGTCAATTCTCTCTGCGTTTTACTCATGGGGCCACTTTCAATGGAGCTTATTCAAGCTTTGGAAAGTGTCCTTCATCTATATCTCCGTCCGTTACTGGGGTATATATGTAGAGCATTGTATTGTATGTCTAGGTGGATTCAATTTTGATCACGGAGTCCGGGGCGAGTTGAAATGGGACTTGTCTATATGTGTAAAAATATAGTAGAAGCAAAAGGAAGGAACGATTGCCAACATGTGATGGTTCCGGTGCAATGTTCATTTCAACTGATGTATCCTGCTCTACCGAGATCAGAAACAAAGAAGAAAAGGGATAGACAAACAATCAAGGTGCTCAAGGGATTGAGTAATTTTGTGCTCAGGCTTCGCCATAGGTAGTGGATCGCACTGATACACAACAACTTCCCCTATATAATGATTGCTACTGACACGTATAATGCTCACTTGGTGGTGTCTACCTGACAGTTACATTTGAACAACCTCGTCCAATAGTTGTGGCCGGTTAGTAATCGTAGGAAATTCTTTCTCATGGCTGATGCAGTGAGTCCCTGCAATGGGTTTTAGTGGCCCCTCCCACTACCTACCACGACAATTCCCTTTTTGCCGGTCTTGGTATTTACGGGCCGCAGAAGTTTTCTGCAAGCCGGCGATTATAGTTTGCGGGACATCAAAGTATGACTGTCTCAGAATTTACGGAATTAATACGCTCCAGATGCTCCTCCACCGCCTGCCAGAAAGGGTAGTTAGCCAATAATCATCGCAACGTAACTATTCGAGAGGAAGCAACCCGCACAATGGTGACGTACCAGGTCCCCAGGCCCCTATGAACCCGAACTCTTTCGCCTGCCTTATCTTCCTTGCCACTGATGTTTGCGCCAGAAGTCAGCTGCCATACTAATATCAGGAGGGATAAGGGCCAGTCCCGAATCTAGATAATTACCTCCTTCGATCCCTTCGTACACTTTTGGGGCATTGACAACGCTAAACTCCCATACATGACAGCACCACAGGGCTACGAGCATGTCAAATTGGCCGCGCGGCAGGGCTGCTGTTACAATCAAGCTGTGTCGTCGCTTGTCCGTTTTGTCGTCATGCATGACAGCCACAGCGTTCCCTTGCGCATCAGTCCATTCGCGTCCGTTGGTGGCGAAGATTGCGACGCCATCCTTATAGAACTTGGGAATGCCGTACCCGTTGGTTATGCCAGAAATATCAATGGGCACGGCGGTCGCGTGCGCCGCCTTTCCTGGGATGAACCAGCTGCTCTTTTTGATCCCTAGGGCTGCGGGGTCTGGGAGACGCTTGCTCGCGCGTTGGATGAAATACCGCGGTGCGTCGGCCGGTAGTTTTTCGTGGCCGCCCGGTACCGAGCGCAAGTGCTTCAGGTCATAAATATGGCGTTCGCGCCCCGAGCCGTCCCTGTTGGGTTCGACGCGCGACAGTTCTACCTCCGTGGTGATCTTTGAAAGGTTGGCGATGCCCAAGCTGAGGCGGTACAGCGACGGGGAGTCTGGCGTCAGGGCGTGAATTGCCTGGCCTGCGAGGACGAGCGTCGTTGGTTGAAAGACATCCTCACCAGGTAGCAAAGACTCGTCGTATGACGGAAGAGTCTCATCAATCGACTCCGTGGTTTTTGACATGATCTTGTCGTATGACCCTGATACCAGTCAAGGCAAGGTCTTATAAAAGCTGGATCTGAATTGCTCTAAAATGAGTTGTAATTGGGTGCGAGGGGGGGATGCAGCTTTATGGCACTGAGTACACATAACAGCATGTCGACCATATGCAGTGTTGACGTGGCTGTGTTGGGGGCTGCGTGTAGTGCCAAGATCTGACAATGGAAATGTCGAACAAAAAGGAGAATTCCTATGGTCAGAGATCTACGCGTCGCTTATATATTTTTTCACTGTCTCTCCTTTGAATGGAGCTTGGAGTGCCAAGTTTTCGCGACTTGAGACTGGCTATGAAAGATAGTTATACTATTTCTCTTGTTGTTTTTGCACGCCTCGTAACCTCCTGCCAGCGTGGGCCGAGGTTTGTCGATGGGATTTCTGCGACGTACTTTTGCGATAATGCGATGACCCGTCAGCTGTCGATTGCCTTGGTGGGGAAGGCAATCGGGCAATCATCAGCCTTGAACGTTAGGATTGGTCAGGTGTTACTTCCGAGCCTAATATTGCGGACCTTCCTAGTGGGTAATTTGACGACTTTGTAGCTGACTAGGTACCGCAGTATTGCCCCTCTCACTAGCGTCGGGCGTTCATTCGAGTACTTTTGTATATTATCCTGGGTCTTTCATGTACCCCGGGTAGAGTGATATGCCTAAACTGCCGACTGCTTGTACAGTACACCTTGAGTCTGTTCACCCAAAGTGACTGGACATAAAGCAGCCTTATAGGAATCATCTCATCACCGAAGAGGCGTCTACACCACCTAATGAGGTCTGCGAACAGTATCTAAGGAAATTTTACATAGTCTATTCGGTTATCCTCGCGTCTGCGTTGCTTCATGTATCTTGTGAGTATGGACCCCCGAGGTCTTGGAGGCTTCTCGTTACATCAAAAACACATCCCTACCTGGAGTCTTCCATATAGATCCGATAAAGATAAAGAACACCAACACCGAAAGTGCGTTAAGACAATAGTCTCTCATATCTGTGATTCGTCCGTGTGCAATACGTTGGGCGACTTTCTGGTTCTAATGAACAGACTCCAGGGCACGCCCAATATTTGACATCGTCACAAAGGAATCAAACTCATCGATAAAGAGAACTTCCATCACGTCGCGTAAGTCATCTAGTCCAATATCAAGAATTCGACAAGATCTAGTAAGAAAGCCTCGTATGATGTCATATTGCAGTGTAAGTTTCAATTCCAAGTCCCAGAATACAGCGTCAATTTTAATCATGATATCCAAGCAGCAAATAATTATCTCATTTCGAGTCAGTATCCTCTCTCCATCTTTCGAACCCTCGAGCGGGTAATCTGAGGTTGAACATGTGGTCAATCTCCATCACACTTCTCCCCTTCATCTCAGGCAAAAAAAAACCAGCAGAGCGCTACTCCTAGGGCACACAAGAGGACATATATGAAACCTGTCTTGGCACCTAGCTGACCAGCGTCAGGGTTGTAGGCGTAGGGAAGCACGAAGTTCATCACTACTGATGAACCTTGCTGTGCTATACCACCAATTCCTTGTGTCTTCGCTCGCAATCTCAAGGAACCCGTCTCACCCATGATGGCGTACGATGCTGGCCACACACTCATGCCACAGACGACAATGATGAGGATGCATCCTCCTGCCGTGATGTATGCGACTGCTGGGCCTTGCCAGATGCCCGAAATACCAACAACGACCCATAGAATGGTTGAGATAGACAAAGAAACCAGGGTCACCTTTCTTCGGCCAACGCGGGACAGAATCCAGAGGCCAAGACCGTTGGCAAAAGTACCAGCCACAATGCCACCGATGAGAATCATGAGACTGGTGCTGGACTTCATGCCAATGGTCTGCAAGAAATAACTTGACTTGGAGATGAGGTCAAGACCGAACAAGGCTGGCAAGAGATTGGCCATGACGACGATCATTGTTCTCCGGCGGTTAGTGCCTTCGAAGCAAGTGACGTAGTTGGCTCCAGCAGTCATCTCCTTCTCCTCGGCGATGCTAGCGTGAACTCTCTCTAGGACCTTCAACGCATCGACGCGAGGCGCATACAGTTTTCGTGAGGCCTCAGCCGCTCTGTCCGACTCGCCGCGCTCTTCCAGGTATGCCGGGCTTTCTGGGATGATGAGGGAGAGGATGAAAGGTGTGACCGCGAGGATCCACTGAGAGCCGAAGGAGGCAAGGTAAGCAGCCTTAGTCGGCACGTCGTTGACGACGTATACAACGATTGAGCCAAGAAGCTGGCCAACGAGGTTACCCGTCGGTACTTGCCCCATTGCTGAGCCGCGCAGAGCAGTTGGCGCCGTCTCAGATATGTAGGTCATGGCGGTAACCTTGAGGATGCCGATGGAAATACCCTGAACGGTCTTGCCGACGAAAAACATAGCTCGCATCGCGTTCAGGTTTGTCGGGAGGTACGAGAAGAAGATGCCGACGACACCAATAGTGCAGATGATTGCGCCCGTCCGCAGACTCCATTTGCGACCGACACGGTCTTGGTACTATCCGGCAAAGACAGAACCGATGGCCATGCTCAAGGGAATAGAAGCGCACCACAAAGAGACCCAAAGTGATGGAATGATTAGTTTGCCCTCATACACCTCGCCATAGTCCCTCTGAAACGGTTTGACGGCGACGATGGCGCCAACAATGACCGAGATGTAGCCCAGCCAATGATAACGATGGTGAGAGACAGACAGTACGCCACGATTTTGGGATACTGCCGGATGGCATGGCCTAGTGGCAGCTTCTCCTCCTCCACGTCATGGCTGATAGACTCGCTGCGTGTTGATGTCATGAGAAGCTTCGTCGATTCGTCTCGCGTTGTTCTGATTTCCGATGGCCCCAAATTTGGTATCCGTCCGGTTGTGGTGCCTAATTTGGAAATGCTGCTGTGTTCTGCAAGCTCGATATTATCGGTCACGATCAAATCCCCGTCGGTAAGGCTAGTCTTATCGTGAAAGGGGCCCATCGCTTAAGTGAAGACTGGGCAAAAGACATTGATCTGGGGTGACAGAATCGGGAATAGCTCGATGCACGTAAAATGAAATGCCCTTTTATGCTTCGGCAGTTCGTACCTTGTCGGATAGATTGCACAAACGATACAACACTGATTTCTATCTGAATTCGAACTTGCGTGTTTACAAACTGGAGAGATCATAACCTTCTTAAGGCTCCCGTTTCTCATTGCTGCGCAAATCCTACGTGCTTCAATACATGCATGCCTGCTGCTAGTGTGTCAACTGCAACGGTGACACAATACCAGATATGAGAGTCTTGTTGAAAGGATGTCGAGGCGCAGCACGGATAAGCGAGGACAAACTAACCTACGGAATAATGGAGGTGCCTAGAATTCGGTTACGACATTTTTTGTGAAAGATTTTCGACAGTGTGCAAACATCAAGTGAGTTTGCTTTCTGGCTGCTGCTGTACTGCGGTTGAAAAACACCAGACGTCTTGGCAATCATCGTCCGTGTCAGAAAAATAAGTACTCTTGAAAGATGCGCGGTGGGATTGCGCGGCGCAGCTTAATGCCCGTTCCCTCACTGTAATATGTCCCCCTAATGGAAGTAAGCACCTACGGAAAGGGGACGGGTACGGACCCCAATCGTCAGTCTCGAGCCCTATCGTAACGGTCGCGCTTGATGATCCTACCGACTGACGTTGTCACTCTGATTGGAAGTTCAGTTGGCATACCTACGGACACGGATACGGGGCAATCATCTAAGCCACCTACTTATTCCATGGCGACCCGAACACCGTCGTTCAACAGCATCGAAAGGACTACTACATCAGGTAAACCGGTAAGACAGAGTGCACAGTTTCTCTGGGCGCCATCAAATCGAACCATTCTCCAGCGGTACACTCGGAGACTAGATAAAATATCGGTCTCAGGACTACTTGAAGGATGGTGGTGGATTTTACCGCCTTACACTAACGACTTCTGCTATATCTGGCTCATTCCTGAAGTTGATACAGAGCACTCGTTACCGCAAGGATAAACAATCCTTTTACCCGACCTCGATAGCTACCTTTCCTTCTAAAGCCAGACCAGCGACACTACATTCCACTTTGACACCAATTTTTATCAGACACTCGAAACTTACAACAAACACGATCATCTCTGGAGCTCACAACGCAACATGGACTCAACCCCCCTTTGCCACATTGTGGCTCCAGTCGGCTGTATGGGCTATGGTTTCGACGAGAGCCTTGTGGAACTGGAGCTGGCACAACTCGCACCAAGCAATGTTCCGACTGCTATCATCCTCGACGCAGGTTCGACAGACAGTGGCCCCGAAAAGCTGGCTCTTGGGACCACGACTGGCCCACGCTCGTCATATGTCAAGGACCTTACCAAGCTATTGAAGTTGGTTCACACCTTTCAAGTGCCGTTGATCTTTAGCTCTGCTGGGGGTGACGGCTCCAATGAACATGTAAGGTTGATGGAGGAGATTATTGAAGAGATTTCAGCAGAAGAGACAAACAGGTAAGTTTTACTTCGCTTCTTAGCAGCTTTCTCTTACCCCGGTAGGCATTACTCTTTCAAGACCGTGTCGCTCTTCTCGGGTATTGATAAGTCTGTTATTCTCGATCGTCTGAAGGCAGGTTGTATTACGGGATGCGGAGCGTGCGTCCCAGTCTTGACGGAGAAGGACGTCACAAATCTCCTCGAGTAGTCGCGCAAATGGGACCAGAGCCCTTTGTTGACGCTATGGAGGCCACACCTGACTTCAATGTCATCATCGGAGGGCGAGCATACGACCCTGCACCTTACGTTGCCTTATCAATGTACCAGCTAAAATTGCAGCATCCAGCCCTCAGCCCGGAACAGCTCGACTCGTGCCAGGGAGGTTTTTTGCACATGGGTAAGATTATGGAGTGTGGCGGGCACTGTTTCTCTCCAAAGTCGCATGGAGCGGTCGCAACTGTCTATGTAGATGGGACTTTCGATGTACGAGCAATCGCCCCTGGTTCACGCTGCACACCTCTGTCGGTTGCTGCCCATTCGCTTTATGAGAACACGCGGCCCGATATTTTGCGAGGTCCGGGAGGCGCTTTGCATCTAAACGAGGCCAATTACAAACAGCTTGAAGACAAACGGACAGTCCGCGTCTGGGGAGCAAGATTGTTTCTTCAGCCTCTTACGGCCAACCGTATCAGCTCAAGCTAGAAGCTGCACGGGTTCTGGGTTACAGGTCTATTGCCATGGGCAGTATGAGAGATCGTAAGTCGATACTCTGCCCTATGTTCAAGAAAATGCAATGGGATTTATGAACGGACACTCATAGCATAGACATTCTTGTTCAACAACTCGACAGTTTCCTCGTCTCGGTCAAAGCATATGTCAAGCAGCAGCGTCTAAATGTGCCCGGAGACTGGGACATTGACTTCCACGTTTACGGCAAGGGACAGAGCACGCCCACTGGGCCAGGTGAAGTGTTCCTCATTGCGGAAGCTGTTGCGTCAACCCAGCAACTCGCAACGGGTGTTGTGTCCACAGCTAGGATCGCCATGATCGTTAGTATTACTCGCTAAGTGAAGCACATCGCCGTGGCTGACAATCTTGACAGCATGGGCCCTATCCAGGTCAAAAGGCAACCTCGGGCAATCTTGTGTTTGGACTTTCCGGGAAGTTGGAAATTGAGACAGGGCCTTGTGCTCAATTCTCCGTATATCACCTCATGGACTTGGAACCAGGTGAAGAAAGACTCTCACCTTCTTTTCCAACTGGAAAAGGAGAGCGTCTCATCCATTCTTACGTCTCCGTCATTGGAAAAGGGCAAAAGGCTAGACAACCTGATAGCTCAACAGAGGAGATCAAATATTCCGAGTCCAAAAACTCGAACCGCCACACCAGGACAGTCATTCTATCCAAAAAAGGAAGTAGACGATCAGAGCGCTCTTAACCGTCAGCCAAAAACACTTTCTGACATCTCGCGCGTCCTCCGCTCCAAGAATGCGGGTCCGTACGAGATCACCATGGATGTCATGTTTGAGTCGGAAGCCGTTTTCGAGACAGTCAGATCGTCTGGAATCTTATCTGCGGAAAATGTAGCCCATGCTTTGGGCATCAGCCAGGAAGACATTATTTGGCTAGGGTTCTTTGCACCAGCCCTTGCGTTCAAGGTAACGATACCACGCTTCAGGGGTGGAAAAAAGGCTTCAGCAGGAAGCTTCATGGAGAATGATATTCATGGCTCGCAGCAGCACCTGGGACTCTCAACCATGAAATTGCCACAAGGGCTTCTGTCTTAGTCGGGGAAAGGTTTTGTACAGATTCCATAATGTAGATTGAGGCAAGTTCATTTCGGAAGAGAGTACCAGAGGCTAAATGTCACCTCAACACGTAGCCTCCAAGAGCAAAGGGACCTATCTACATGTGACGACGAGTCATGATCTTTTCGTCAGTTTTTTGGCGTCGCTTCCTAACCAACAGGAGGTTGTCGATGACTTTTGCATTTTTTCTGGACATTCCAACATGATTTTCTGAGTGAGTCGGAATCGCAGCTGCTGCTTTCACAGTTTATGTACTATCCCAACCCGGGTATAATGGTGAACTCTGTCGAAGACTCAACCATCCGAGCTCCAGGCAGAGTTCGGGGTTCATAGACGCGGGGCAGACTGTGCGGAGAGATGACGCAACGACCAGGATGCCCAGCTTCGTCCCTGCAGATCTCCAACTCCAGCCGCGAAACATCAGATGACTTTGGCTGAAACGCCGGTGACGTTCCCGTGGCCAAAGCGGCGCAGCATTTCTCTTTACCTGGACATGTCCAACACACTTATCAAAGCCCTCCGTGGACGAAAGAAAACACTGCTGTTGATTGACCTGGGAGAGATTGCGTGCCCGAGACACCTTAAAGACTCTTGGCCAAGCTTCCAGCAATCCAAAGCACGATGTCCAACCGAACTATCTGCGACGTCGACACGCCAGATCCCTGGATCGTGGCCGGCAACGGCAAGTTCTACTTCACATTCACCCTCGACAACCGCATCGAGATCTGGGCCTCCCACACGCTTGAGAACTTCCACCAGTGCCATAAGAGTGTGGTTTGGCAACCCGCGCCGGGCAGCCCCTGGTCCGTTAACATCTGGGCGCCGGAGCTGCACTACCTCAAAGGCTGGTGGTACATCTATACTTGCGGCGCGCCGCCCGGCGTCGGGAACCCGGGCCACCGGACAACAGTGCTCCGGTCGTCGTCGCAGGACCCGATGGATGCCAGCGCATGGGAGTTCCTCGGTCCGCTTAAGGGCATGCCAGACCACTGGTCTATCGACGCGACCGTGTTTAGCCCCAACGGGCATGATCTGTACTGCTGCTGGTCTGGGTGGCCCATCGGCGACACGTCTGATACACAGCAGGACTTGTTCCTGATTAAACTCCGCGTACCAGAAGAGGCAATCACGGAGACGCTGGTCTGCATCTCCCGGGCCGAGCTGCCGTGGGAACGTCCGGATGGGGGCCGTCGCGGGGTAAACGAGGGGCCGACGTGGGTGAACATCCCCGGCGTATTCAGCGGCATCGTGTACTCCGCCGACGGGAGCTGGACAAGCGACTACAAACTCGGTTTGTTGCCTCTTGTGGGACAGGATCCCCTCAGCCCAACGTCCTGGGCAAAGAGATCAACACCACTGCTCGTCAGCCATGAACGGTGTGGTGGTCCATACGGGCCAGGGCACGCGAGCTTCCTGCCGAACCCACACAACAGAAGTCGGGTATACTGCATCTATCACGCGACGGCCAACTACGGCGAAGGATGGGCGAACAGAAAAGCGAGAGTGATCGATATGGGACCGGAATGCTTTGGGCCCCATGCGCATTCTGTATGTTGCGCGCTGGAACGACATGTGCCAAAACATGGCAATGGCAAGCCACGTAAATCATCGTGCATCATGTCATGAGATAGGCGACTCCTTGGTAGAGGATGATCAGACCTCCGATCTTACGGGGAAGAAAGGAGAGAGTATCGGGGAAGTATGCAAACCTCCCAATGATCGTCCCAATTTAGTGCAGTGTAACCATGATTTGGCTGCTGCGTCTCTACATTGATTACGTATGTTTGGGTCACTTTTGGTGAATTTGACGCGCATCGTACCAAGAATATTGAACTGTTCAGAGAAGACTTACAGAGAGTTCTGCGGATTAATCGTTCACCACTCTTTGCGAGATCAGCAAATATTCCTAAAGTTCACAATCAGTATCACAACATCACCCCCCACCAATACATCAAGCATGACTAACCTTCCAGTACACCGCAAGAGAGTGTCACAGCGATGATGTGAGGAGTAATCGACCGGGACAGCTGCATGTGACCTGCAGGCCAGCCTGACGTGGCTCAGCGGTGGTGGCAGTGTCAGCAGCTTACTCCGCTCCTTGAGGTCTCATCACTCTTGGTCCCAAGTCTGACATCTGCCTGATACTCCTCTAAATCGCTGGTTCATCATCGTAATCAGCCACCGCCACGACAACTATTTGGTTTGAACACAATGGTTCGCAAGATACTTGATAGCACATCCGCTGGGGCAGGCTTGGTTTCTGAGCTTGCCTCAACTCGCAGCGGCATCGAGTGTGTTGAAGATGTCGAATACCAGTACACGCCACTAAAATGGGACGAGATCCGCCTCATAGTCCTCGAACCAGGCCTGACCTCGCACCCTATCCGCTGTCGCATCACAACCTCCTCCCAAAGCGATACTCCACCGTATGAGGCGGTATCCTACACTTGGGGCGACGACACGCTCATCTCACACATCCAGATCCTCAACCAGCCGACCCTCGCCCAGCCACAAAGCACCACCCTCGCGATACCGAGCACCTGCGCCGCCGTTCTCCGAAGCCTACGACACCCCTCTGACTCCCGACACCTCTGGATTGACGCCCTATGCATAAACCAGACGGACCTTGCTGAACGAAGCGCCCAGGTGCGAATCATGCCGCAAATCTACCGCGCTGCCTTCCAAGTCGTCATCTGCCTCTCCGCCCCACACTCTGCCGATGAACGATACGCGCAGGCGATGGACTTTGTCGCTCGTTGCCGTTTCCAAAACACATCTCCACAGATGAGGACCGCAGTAGAGCACCTCTTCCGACACCCCTGGTTCACCCGCATCTGGGTGATCCAAGAAGTCGCCAAAGCGCGCTACGCGACTGTTTTATGCGCGGACAGATCGGTGCCGTGGTCGAACTTTGCGCTTTGCGCCAGCCGCCTCGGATTGGACGTCCCGGTATTGTCGCCCATTCGGCGGCTTCAGCATAAGCACTGGATGAACATGATTACGACGGAGCAGTTTGTCAAGGCCGTTTGCATGGCGACGGCATGCTCGTGTAGAGATGACAGGGATCGGGTGTTTGCGTTCCTGTCGATGTATCCGAGCATGATGGGCAAAGAGCAGATTGAGAGGTATCGAACGTCTGGGAGCGCATGTGGACCAACTTGGCTACGAGCGAGGAGTTTGGGTGTCAAAGACGATGCGTCTAGAAGGGGCCTGGCGTCAGAGTCGGCAGTGGATGACCCTTCCGACAATCAAGTTGTGGGCGGAGACGAGGATGAAAACACACCGCACCGTCTAACGAACTATGCCCACTCCCTCGAGACCGTCTACACGCACTACGCGATGCTACTACTGAAAAACCTCGGCCTTGACTTTCTCTCCGCCATGCAAGGCCGGCCAGAGACAGACACTCTACCAAGCTGGGTCCCCGACTGGCGCGTCAACCGGGAGCGAACAATCCTGGCTCACCTCCCTTTGACCGGTTTCAATGCCGGCGGGCACGTCGAAAATCAGGCTTTTCTGGTTCTACCTGCCGCCGATGCGCACTCGAAACCAATGCTCAAGACCAGTGCAATTCGCGTCGGCATTATCAAGTATCTCGGACAACCCTGTGATATAACTCTATCAGAATGGGAAAACATTGTGTTCTGCGGCTGGAGGGGTTTAGCCGAAGACGCGGCAAAGTCATTGGAACCTAAAGAAACCGAGACACAGATTCTGTCGGCATTCATTCAGACAGTCATGACTGACTCGGACGGCGAGTTCGAGTGCGCTCGACATGCCCTAGTTCAAAGACTCTCGGCGGGATTCGAAGGGGGGAAAAGAGGGACAAGCAGATTAGCTGAAGGTTTAGACCCTGAAGCATTGGAGAGGTTGCATGTGAGCTGTCACGGTCGAAGACTGTTTGTCGCCGAAGACGGGACCCTGGGCCTGGTGGCGGACGCCAGTCGAGAAGGAGACATGATCGTGGTGCTTCCAGGGGCAAAAGTGCCGTACAGTTTCCGTCCTCGAAATTCCCTACGAGATGGCGCGGTCGAGTTAATCGGCGAGACTTTCGTCTCTAGTGTAATGAATGGCCAAGCCTTGTCGGGAGTTGGTCGTGGGTCCACGGCAGATATCTACGTTAGCTGAGAATAGCATCATCTCCTCTGCCGTAAAGTCTGTTGAACGCATCACATAGTCAAAGCACTTGCATCGTATATGTATTCGTAGCTCAAGCACCCCAAAACACTAGTGGTATCGTTGCTTCCATCCCTCCCCATTACCCAGCATAGTTACGACGTGCCATTACGCAGTAGCATTATAGCAGCATTATCTTTCTTAAGCATTTCAAAGCCCATTAGAAGCACAACCGAAAGGCTTGCCAACTGTACCCGCTCGGAATTCTTCAATGATGCCCTCAACACTGGCATAGGTTCCAGCAGTGAGGAAAAGAACACCAGTGAGAATGATGATGACGTTGAGACCCATGGACGCCCAGTCAACAAACTTGTTCTGCTTCGGAACCCCAGCGCGGTTGTCGGCACTTCTCATGCGGAAGTAGGCTACTCCCCAGAAGATGAAGCCGAAGAAGGAATCGAACAGAGACGACATGAGGGAGAGGACTGAGGCTTGTTAGCAAGTTTCAAGAGAACGGAGCAGCAGACTTACGAGAAGAGAAGAAGGGAATCAACTCGGCAATCAAGAAGGCCAAAAGCCAAAGCGCCACTGTTTACGTATTAGTTAAGAAATCTTTAGCAAGAATTACTGTGTACTCACGGAGAATGGTTGCCCACGAGCCCCAGCCAATGATGGTGTGCTCGTGCAGGTGCTTCGTTCCCTTGAAGAAGCGGAAGAAGAGAAAGCGAGCCGAGACACTGGCGTACAAGACACCAAGGAAGATGAGAGTCGGGATCATGAAGGAGAATGCCACCTTCTTGTAGACCTCCTCGAGGGAGCCAAAAGCAGGAGCTGTCATGTACTGGTTGCCAACATAGGCGTAGACAACGGCACCAACGATGCTGAAAACGATAATTTCGCCAATCGTAACAGCCCAAAGAGCCTTGGGAAAGTCGCTGCAACAGTTAGCACATCCATGCGTCGCCAGACGAGGTTTGCTGCTTACCGAGGGTCCTTCATCTCGGCAATGAAACTAGGCAGCGTAATTTGACCGATGAACGTATAGCTAATGTTCAAAAAGGCGTTCATGCCGGACACAAATGTGGTTGACGCCAGCGGGAGGGCCGTGACAATCGGGTTGCCGCCGACCTGAGTGACGCCATTCTTGTCGACGTACGAGGATCGAGGGTCGTAGCCGGCAGGATGCAACTGGACACCGGCGAAAATGGCAGCCAGAAGCACCGAGATGAAGGTGAAGGCCGCCGAGGCCGTGCCGGCTTTCGAGAGCGCGTCGAAAGTGCGGGGCAACGAGGAGACCCAGCAGATGATGGTGACGACGATGGAGAAGACGACAGTTCGGCAGACGACGGGGTCGGACTCGGTCATCGTGTTAAGGTACTTGGCACCGACCAGGACGTGGAGAGCCTACAAAGTTATCAGCATGGCATTCGCTCAACAGAGTCGGACGGCGGACCTGGATGAACTGCAGAAAGTTAGCAATCTAGTTGGTTGAATTAGGACATAGAGACTCACAGTGTTGTTCAAAATGAACATGACAGCAGTGGCATACCATGCCCATTTCTTGCCCCAGAAGAGCATCTGACCAATGTCGCAAACGTCTCTAACCTCAGGGTGCCTCAAGCAAAACTGCCATAGAACCAGAGAACTGCGTATTGATGTCAGAATAAGCGCTTGTCATTGTTGGGGAAAAGGGACCACATACGTGTAGAGGACAATGAGAGCGATAACGGCGGTGAGGATCAGTCCAGGCACGAGCCCGAGGATGCTGTATGACCACGGGAAACTCATGATGGCCTAAATGGTCAGCAAAGAGAGCCAGATGCGACCGAAAGTGCAGGAACACTCACCAGGCAAATGTACTCAGAGAAGAGCAGGCCGGCAGTCTGCGTCTCGCTGTTAGCATGTGTGTCGGCGCATGAGGCACTCATTGCGATCCTACCTTTTGCCAACTGCACGTCCTATACTTGATGGCATGTCCGTCTTCCTCCGCGAGCTGCTTCCCCAAGATCGCGTCGGCGCTGTCTTCGCTGTCGGAGTGCTCTCCCACACCCTCAATGCGAGGTGCTATCCGGGGGCCGACCTTGGTCTTGCGGCCGCCGAACCAGGCGCTGAGGCCGGACAGGCCTCCCGTCTCGGCATCTGCGTGGGCAAAGGCGAGCTCGGCAGCGCCCTTGTCGCTCGGAGTGGTCTCGGGCTGACGCAGGTCCTCCATGGCGCCAATTGGGGTTGCGACGATGCGGCGTGTGCGTCTGGGAACCTCGGTGGATTGGTGATGCGCCGGAGTGGACTTTTTCAACGGTCGTCCAGCGGTCGATGCGCGCGATGAGATGATGCAATAATGCAATGATGCAATGCTATGACGACGATACGGCGGACGGATCACAGACGAAGGGAAAGAAGAGATAAGAAGAAGAAGGGATGGAGAGCAGGACGAGAGATGAGACAGAAAGTTCAGAACAGATTCTCTGGCACCAGTGTTGGAGAGAGAGCGCGAGCACGTGGGGCGTGCGAGTTTATGAGGAGGAGCAGAGGCAGAAGATGGGAAAGATCAGCCAGATTCGGTTCGAGGGCGGGTTGCACGTTGCGACTCAATCCCGGCAGCAGGAGACTTGAGAGATACGTACGGTAGGTACTTGCGACCTCGAGCTGCGCTTGGGATGCGGCTTCCTTGCGAGCTAAAAGTATTAGGTAACTGGGCCCGTGGAGGAAACGATTACCCAGAGGACATGCAGGAGGAGGAGCTCGCCTGCTGCCGCGCACAGCTAGCAAGAGGCCGGTACGCGGGGAGGCACCAGAAAGAAGGTGGGATGCCAGGTAGATTCTGTCTTACCCGGGATCGACTCTAGTACGCATGGTACAGTAACGTCGGCGTTCCTCGGCCAGAGATTGCGAGATCCGCCAACAGCGGGATTCCTCCAGTCACGCACGAGGCAATGGAGGTTGTGGCATTGTGGCGTGGATCGATATCAAGGAGAAGGGTCCAAAGGGGTGGGAACCGAATCCGCCTCGGTCAGAAATTTTACGCCTTTCCACGTTCAAGACGCCAAAGGTCAAAAAAAAAAAAAAAAAACAAGGGACCGAAAAGTGTGAAATGGTCTCAGTCTGGCCGAGGTCGCGGAGCACGTCATTGCGGGATATGGGAGAGGGCGGCCAAGGCGGCGTCGCCGCTGGACTCGGCCACGGCAACGAGGCAGAAGAACCCCCAGCGAGTATCTTGCAGTAGTGCGCCTCGACGAGAGGCAAGCCTCCCCGTGAAAGCGCCACGAATGCGCCGTCAACACGACGACACTGGATGCTGGAGAAACAGAGTAGGCTGTCCCGTCCGTCTAGCGACCCGAGTCCCTACACGCTACACTACCTAGACGAGCGTTTCTCACACCCATTCGAGAAACGATTAGAGCCGGTCGAGGAGCCGCCGGGCAACGGGGCCTATCCTACGACAGACGCGGGCAGCTTGCAGTCGTTGAAGAGCCAATTGACTTCCCCAGGCCAGAGATGCAAGCCCAGTGGATCGACAAAGACAAGCATCGGAAGAATGCGCCACCAGAAAAGCTTGCTCGTGCTAGTGACGTCGTCCCCGTCAGCAGTACCCCGGCACCACCTCGCCGCCAACGCGGCGAAATGTGTGGCGCCCGGAGCAGTTGTGCCAGCGCCAAGGGGCAGAGCAGAGGGTCAAGAGATGGCCAAGAGATGAGGCACTTGTCTCGGCGCGGCTGCGTGAGCTTGGCAGGGCGGGCGAGCCGGATGTCTCTGAACGGACTGTCTGTCCATTATCCCAATCCTTCCACATTTCTGACAAGTCTCGGCCAAGACAAACAGCACTGCATCTGCTTGATTGAAAACATACACTACACAGCACCTCTTTGCTTACGTTCCATCGGGCCGAGTGAGCTCTGCCACAGCGTGCGCGGCATGGGGCGTGGGGAGGACCTATGAAGAGACTTCAGGCTTGAAACCGGGGACGCAAGACGCCCACCAACGGTGGCCCCCGTGGCCCCCCCCGTCTCTTGTCTGCCTTGCCTTAGCCTGATGGCCCGTCAGAGGACCAAGGATGCTGCATGCGGCATGGCAGGGTAAGCGGAGAGTAAGCGGTGCGCCGTGGTCACTCTCCGTACCGCACTGCATCGTCTGTGGAATGGGCTGCAGCAATGGCCACAGCCTGTTCAGACTTGAAGGGTGCATCCATACACTACATTGGCCGTTGGCAGAGATGACACCCCAAACCCTCTGCGTGAAGAGCTTAGATAACTTGGTCCAACCGGCTGGGTTTGCTGGCCAGTTAGACGTAGCCATGACACATGAAAACGCAGCAAGCCGTGGGGTGTTTCCCGCCCTTTGAGGATTGGCTCTGATAGTGCGCCGCTGAGTTCGGGATACGGCCGCGATGCTCCAGAAGCATAGGCCGATGGCTGAATTGCGCCATCGGTATTTAAAATTGCATCACGGCAAGGGAATGGAAAAGCCAAATGCTGGTTCGATCACCATTGTACATCCGAGCCAACCCAAACCAGCCGGATGGGTTTCGTCTCCCACTTGTTGAGAAAATTGCAGGGTCCTGTTGATCCCCGAAATCTGTCTTGTCTATCCGTACTCCGTTCTGCAGAAATGTCACTGCGACACTACCTGCATGCAAACACCATCCGTTTGCGCCGTCCGCAATGCAAGTATGCGCGCGAGTCTAAATACAACGCTGAATGATGTCTTTAATCACTCGTCACCTCGTGCCTCTTGCCAGTCTCATCCTTGACCTCCGTGGCACAAGCTACACCTGCGTCTCGTCCCAGTCAGCCCACCTTCGAATGACCTCGTCCACCGCCCCGATGCCCTTCTTGGACGTCTGCACCTCGAACCACTCGCGGTGGACTTGATTGCACCCATCGCACGTTATGGGCCCGGCGTGCAGCCCCATGCCCGATAGCTCAATGTGAATCAGTCGCTCGACGCGGTGAACGTGTGGCGTCATCCGCGGCTGCTCCCCCGAGGCGGCGCTCGCGCCCGGTATGTATGGGTAGTACCGTAGCACCTCGATCTCGTACGAACACTGCTTCGTCCATTGCTGCATGCGGCGCTGCACGTTTGCCGCCCGCCCGATTTTGATGAGCATCTTGTTGTTTCCTGACGCGCCGCCATTGGCATTGCTGAAAGCCGAGACAACGTCGCTCGACCGGCGCTGGCGTCCCGCACCCCGTGCCGGTGAAGGCGGCGCAAGGAGCGACCTTGCCTCCTGCAGCGGCACCGCCTCTTTCTTGGACGTCGGCGTGATCCAAAACATGTAGATGTAGCCTGGCTCCTCGGAGCTGCCGTACGGTCGCGCCAGCTCGGCCATCAGCGCCGAAGCCGTCTGCGGATCGGTCGTCGGGGGGATAAGGGAGAGGTATTGCGCAGTCTGGGAGGTCGACAGAGGCTGCGGCGACACCTGGGAGCTCTTTCGGGAGTGGCTCGACGTGCTCGGTCCCGGTCCACCGTTCGAGGGGGACAGCAGCTGGCTCGAGGGACGGGGCATGGCCGCGGAGCCGCCGTTCTGCACCGGTCGCGGCTGAGGCCGGGGTGCGGACTGCGACTCCTGGACTTCGTCGATGGGTATCTTGAAGCAGAAGCAGAAATGCAGCTCCTTCTCCTTCGTCGGCGGCCGGGTATATGCCGCGGACGGCCTCGAGCTCGTGGGCTGCGGTCTCCCGCCGCTGGGGCGTCCGCCTTGGGGTCGTTTTTGCTTTTTGTTCGGGTTCGAACCAACGTCTACGAGACCGAGGCGATCGGCGAGGGTGTCGATGCTGGTGCGCTGTTCCAAAATGGGTTTGCCGGACAACCTAGGCCCGGGACTCGATTGTGCAGAGCGGCTGGCGGCCTGGTCCTTGTGGTGGTGACAGTAGAGCGACTCTTCCTTGAGGGTCGGCGAGAGCGTCTTGCCCTTGGCCGGCGTGACCGGGTTGCGACACAGGTTTCCTGCCCCCGTGAGGCCTTTGCAGGTCGTTCTTGGATTCTTGGAGTCGGACCGCTCGAGGCGGTCCTCAGGGGTATTGGGAATGTAGCCCATCGTGCGCGCCTTTCGCGGTCGTGTAACAATGGGATTGTTCGTGGTCGTGAAGCTTAATGGCTACTGGGCATGCCGGATTTCAAAAGGGCACGGAGAAGTCTCAGAAAATGATAGCGACAGCAGTTAGACGACGCGTCAAGCAAGGGAAAGACTGGTAAAGACTTGTTGATTAGAAAATTGTCGTGACGAAGCTGTCGACGCGACTCACGACTCTGGTGTGCGTGAATCAAGGCTGCGTCCCCCAAGACGGTCCCACGAGTGACGACTTGCAGATGATGCAGCAACGGCAGCAAGAACAGGATTACCCCCAGAGGCATCCATAGGATGGCTCATCTTGACTGAGGCCCATGTCACGAGGTGGGCGCGGACTCGACATGACTAGGGAAATGACTGGAGGAGGTTGGGCCTCGACGGGCCGGCAACGGGGTCAGAGAACAGGGCATCGAGCCTGCCGAGCCTCTGGGAAGCTGCCCTTGTTAATGTCGACTTGTGCGGTGGGGAGCTGTTGGCGCCAGGACTGAAGCTTGGACTCAGCTGCAGACGCTGGGCGCGATGTCATGATGTGGCAGGACCGGAGTGGCTGGTGGGTTGATCGCGCGCGAAATAGTGGCTGAGCTGCTGCACAGCCCGACTTTGGTGTGGCTTGCCAACAGCTTCTCTTCCCAGCCACACTCCACCGGTGAATCTTCACAACACCATGAATTGCATCACCGTCTCTGCATTTCTGCCTCAATTCAGGTGACTGCTCACTGTGCGGTTCATTCGCTGATAAGAGAGGCATGCGCTCTTCACAAGATCTGTAAGTCAGTCTACCTAGCCTACGAGGTCGGTTGAGGTGGCGTTGCCTACGAGGGGCTATTACGTCCGGAGACACTCTCCAGCCGCGTGGGCACAATGACGAAGACGCCGGCTTGATCGGCAGCGAGGCTGCCAGTTTCGAGCTCAGTCCAGGAATCGAACAGGTCGAAGAGTTGAGTTTCCAAGTCTATCAATCCTGAAGGGTTACGCATCCCATCGAGCCCCATTCCTTGCAAGGGTCAGCATTGGCACACGTAGCAGTACCCTCCGGCCTCGAACATCACATCCACACCGAAGTCCCGGCCCCCGTATGTTCAACGGCTCCGACCATGAGGCCTTTAAAGCCGAGGAGACCCACATCCGCACGGCCTTGGACAAGCTCTGGATATAATTTCTGCATCACGGATTGAATGACGGTCGCGTCTTTGTGGCAGTATGGGGCATGATGGCAACCGGACCAGCGAGTCACTGGCCGAGACAGACCAGTTCGTCCCTCCAACGGGTATCCATAAGGCCAGCCGAATGGAGGGTCTCTCCGGCGAACTCACAGACGACACAAGTGCACAACCGCACCATAGGAGCGATGGCCTTCGTCCCCGTTGGCCAGACGAGTTGCCTACGCGTCATGGCTCGCGACTCCAAGCAGTGATCGATGATTGATCTGGCATGCACCCCATAGCTCGCTGCCAAACTGAAAGCAATGAGCTATTCTGATGATGTCTCCCAGGTCGCCCATATCTCTCGTCTTAGCGAGCGAAAAATAAGGACACAACATACCATTGCCACCTGCTAGTATGTCAAATGGCCGCCTATGCGTCTCCAAAAGTACAGAACCGTGCATTACCTATTCGCAGCTGCCCCTGGGGCCGGTAATCTCGGAGTCACAGACGCAGCGACCATAATCACACCACAAACAGACCATCGGCAAGTGGATCACCCGGAGTGGAGCGGCCTTGGAAAACGGGGCCCCTGTGCCTATTCCAGCTGAACAGCAACGGCTCCGAGCCCATCTGGCCCGTCTTTTGTAAGCCCAGGTGCGGTGTCTGAGAAGGAACAAACGGAAACCAAGGCGATAAGTTGATGTCTTTGATTCGCCAATCTCATCAATTACACATTTAACCAATAGCACGCGCTTCTAGGTAGGTCTTGTATTCGTATTCGGCAGGGTGCACTCCCATTCCCAGTGGAGAGGCACGGATCGAGCTTGGCTTAGAAGACACGCAAGTTTGTCGTACCACGCATCTTGAGCGGATGCTGGTGAATTTCATCGTGCCATCGGTGTCTGCATCCCTGCATCGCTCCTCGAACAACGATCCAAAGCCCGCCGCGTAAACAAGCACAGCCATTGGAACATTAATTTCTACTTTACGTCTCCACTGAATGCGGATGTTTATAATTCTGCAACTGCCCCCTTCGCCGCTCTCATAGACCCATTTGGGCCATGTTACTGCCGTTGTGTCTTGAGTGCAGCATCTCGTCTTTCCTCCAGCCTCTCTCTTGCATTTGAGGTGCGTTTGAAATCATGGCGTCCTGGTAAGTCGCCCGCAGACAAAGTCACCTCAACTTAGAACCGGACCATGGCTTACACACCATAGGAACTCGACCGTCATATTGCCTAACCACACCTATCCCCAAAGCTACCTTGGCGTGCTCGACAATGTCAACAAGGACAATGTTCAGCTCAACTCCATCGAGCGCCTCTGGGCCGCGTGGTACCTGTGGATGCAGAACGATATTCTCGCGACGGGCATCATGACCTTTGTCATGCACGAGGTCGTTTACTTTGGTCGCAGTCTGCCGTGGATCATCATCGACGCGATCCCCTACTTCCGCAGATGGAAGATTCAAAATGTACGTCCTTCTGTTCCTCAGTCAAGCTATGTACGGGTGCATTGCATTTGTATTCTCCTAGTTGCGACTTGATTCCGACCCGTATGATGGACGTCAACTGATCTCCTTCCAGCAAAAGATCCCAACCTGGAAAGAGCAATTCGAATGCGCCGCCCTCGTCCTCTTCAGCCACTTCACCGTCGAGCTCCCGCAAATCTGGCTATTTCACCCCATCGCCACCTGGTGCGGCCTCGACTACGGCGTGCCCTTCCCGCCCTGGTGGAAGATGGCCTACCAGATTGCCGTCTTCTTCGTCCTTGAGGATACATGGCACTACTGGGTGCACCGCGGCGCCCACTGGCCCCCGCTGTACAAGGCTGTCCACAAAATGCACCACTACTACTCAGCGCCCTTTGGCATGACGGCCGAGTACGCATCCCCGATCGAGGTCATGTTTCTGGGCCTCGGTACCGTTGGCTCACCGGTTCTCTGGGTGCTTATCACGAAGGACTTGCACTTGTTCACGATGTACATGTGGATCGTCATGCGGCTGTTCCAGGCCATCGACAGTCACTCGGGTTACGATTTCCCCTGGTCCCTGAGGCACTTCCTCCCTTTCTGGGCCGGCGCAGCGCACCACGACGTCCACCACGAGAAGTTTATCGGCAATTACGCGTCGAGCTTTACGTGGTGGGATTACATCATGGACACAGAGGCCGGAGCTGAGGCTCACCAGCGCAGGCGGGAGAAAAAGTTAGCCAAGGCTAAGAAGGCCTAGTAGGTGGATCGGCGGGCATCCGGGGTGGGACACAAATGGTACCAACCGAGCATGGCGACGGAAAGTGTTTTGAAAGACTCTGGAGTGGTTGGATTTGTTGCGAAAGGGACCCGGCTGAGTATTCATTCCTTTACGGCCGCTACATTGACCGTTATGATGAGTTGTAATCTCACTAGACTTATATCTATTAATGCGACAATCGCTACCATCAATTTCCCTGACGCTGTACATGTATTAACAACTCTTCCATGATAATAAGCCTTGTGATGCAGGATGGCGTGCTTTCTATTGATCGATTCAGCAAGCAAAGCCGCATTCAGTGCGGCAAGGAACAAATGCACGAATCTTAGCTAGACAATTTGGCTACATGTTTCCCTTTACATAATGGTGGAAACGTTAACAGAAACTGGGGATCTTCTGAAGTACATGTCATGCATATGCCCCCAGAGGCAGCAGCAGAACCGAATGCTCGAAGGCTGCGAGGACATTATCGATTTAGTTGCTTCCCTAGCTACACACTCAGAGATGAGTAGCTTTAAAGTAAACGAGGATAAGTATGAAGGTCTAATGTCTACATGCGGACGAGCAGCGGTAGACAGAGTTTGTCGAATGTTGATCACGCGAGCCGTGAGAAGAGTCATTCGCCTAATGATGTTGGTTTATAGGCAGCCCGCCATACCGAGCTACTTGAGGCTTTCTGGGAACGACAAGCAGAGCTACGCACGATGAATCCTTCGGCTGAGGGAAGGAAGAAGATCAAGTTAGCAACACTTGAAGTCGCTGATACACTCGATGAGTTGAACATAAACTCCATCTTTCATGAAACTTAGATGGCTGTTTTGAAGTCATTTCATGTCTCGCTAGTGCATGCTATGTGTTGTCCAAAGACACAATAAGGCAGCTAGAGCGAGGTGATCATATCTAAACAACCTAGTTATTTTACACAGTTGCAAGATCTCATGCATGGTATCTTAAGCATCACATACACAGTATTTCGTTTTCAGAAACATGAATTCCTGATGTCTGGCGAGGTATTATGTAGCAAACATCGCAAAGTACGACAGCAGATGATTGAGAGACCAAAGTGACGTTGCCATAGTACGGCAACTCGGAAACCGGAGTTCAAAGGTAATTAATAGTATATGCTGCACCAGACTGTATTTTTCTCAACTGTCAGACCACCTCTTAGACATGGGGTCGAAGTTCAGAACACGATGGTGATCGAAGTTGATGTTGGCGATCGAATGGATTTTGAAGGTGACATTGCGACATTCATTAGTAGTGGCAAACTGCAGGTCAAGCTCATATTGATATGTGTAACATAGTAGGGACAACACAAGATAACATTGGGCCCTTTTATCTTCCAATGGCTAGTCGCCGGCCAAAGCAAGGGACCAGTGTGTCTGACCACCATTAGGACGCGTACCCTAGTTCTATACAATGCCAAGTTTGCCCGAAATTTGATTGACCATCAGCCCAAGCTCATCACAGGCAACCAAAGTCCTTTGTTCGTATTACTTTTCCATTATGCCCTGCAACGGTGCATCTGAACCGATGCATCCAAGCGATGCGTCGATGCGGCACGCCGTATCCCATTTTAGGCTGTGTCCAGGGGCAAGTTAAGATTAGCCAAGTGCATCGCAGGATTTTCATTGAGAATTTCACGAAGCACGAGAAGAAAGAAGAGGTGGTCTCGTATGAGAATTGAATTAAAGGTGACGTACAGCCCGTTGAACTCGTCCCGATGATAATCTTTCTCGTCCTGATGTCATCAGTCGACTTTCTACTGCTTCGCCGAAAACTGCGGCTCTTATATCTTCAAGCCAATCATGTCAACTTTTAAGTCTTATCGACACAAGGCTCGAAACATGTTGCGCTACTTTCTTCCTATCGTGGCCGGCACGGCCGTATTGGCTAAGACTGATATAGAGGGCTGCACCTCCTTCACCTCGACCGTCACCATCGACCCCTCCCCAGGATATGGAAACACCTATGAGACCGTCATCTGGTACGTCCCCGACACGCTGGAGATCTGTAAGGGCGTCGACTGCGGCGGCGGCCGCGCACCGCCCCGCAAAGTCCCTGGCTGCCCAGCTTACTCCGGTACGGAGACCATCACCGCTAGCTTCCTCGCGGCCAATCCAGCCGCCAAGCCCACGGCCGCGCCTAAAGTTCTCACTACGATGACAAGCGGGACTCACAATGATGGAAGAAACACAAAGGTGAGCGTGACACCGACGCGGATCATCACGATCGTCACAGTCGCCACTGCGTCTGGGTTTACGGGAGACGTCAAGTGGACGGGGCAAGCAAGCGGCACGGAGCATGTGTCTCATTCGCAGGCTGAACAGAGCGGTTCTACGGGTGGTGCGCCAAAAGATGATGGGACGGCGGTGACTACGGATGCTGCTGCGACAGTGACTACGGAAGCTGCTGCGACAGTGACTACGGAAGCTGCTGCGACAGTGACTACCGGAGCGGCGGGTGCGAGCGGTACCCAGGGCGGAGCGGAGGGGGCTTTGAGTACGGGGGTTCCGGCGGGGGCGGGGCCGACGGCTCGTGCGGGCGTGGCGGCAGCCCTCGGTATCGCTGCCGTCATTGTAGCGCTTGCATAAGGGAAGGATAACTGGACTTGATTTTGTGGCACCAAGGGTTGATTCGTATTGGTAGTGCTTGTTGGCGCGGCTCAATGTCATTCATCGTAGGGCAATCCTAATCTCCTACGCTTGGCTTCATTCGTTCACTTCCCAAATTAATTGTGTCGGTCTCGACGAAACTTTGCCGGATCAATCTTGGTTTACCTAAGGTTTGCCTATCGATATTGGCGTTGATGGAGTTCCTTGTCTGGTGATAACCAGCCAGAGCCAGAACTTCCAAAGTTCTTACAGGCATAGTAAGCTAATACATGTCATGAAAGGCAAATAGGTCGGTGTCTGTCTGTCCACTAACCCACCACAGGAGACGTGGCGCATGTTGACTCCCCCCGCACATTTTCGACCGGTTGTGCTATAGCTCAGGCTCAAAAACTTCCCTCTCTTTCGCAAATCTGAAAATCGTAACCAAGAAGAGGAAAACTCAAACGGACATTGACACTGCTCAATGATCCACCGAAAACGGCGTAGGGCTTTTGGTGAAGGCGCAGCACATGTTAGCTTCAAGGGCCAAAGACCGGCGTTCAGGCCAGGGGGGAAAGCCTGCAGTCTGGAGATTTTGGTCTTGGGGAATGCACAGGAAATTTGAAGCGTTGTTGTTCTTGAATAGACGTTGATGACACAACGCGCTTTATTGAAGTTGAACCGTTTCTGATGCTGAGTAATGCTCCCACGCTCTGGTGGTACTCATGGCTGTTTGTGCTCCGTCAGGAACAATCTTTGACACACTTGGCAGGATGCCCGTCTGCAGCAGATGGCCAGCCCTGTAGTGCTAGTTTGCCTTCAACCCGAAGCTTACTCAAGATACAGGATGAACCTGAGCAAGTTTGTTATTATCATGCATTAGAGCATGATCCACTTAACCACGTCCCGAGGTCCACCAAATTGCTGTCCTCGCCCTGAGGAGTCGAACTACGGAGGGTCAGACTTCAACAGGGAATAAAACTTAACTGTGATCTTATATACCATGGAGTCCATCTGTCTAGCTATTGTGCGATTCCGCTCGATAGTGCTGGATGATTTAGACTTTCGGCTGGGTGGAGGGCATGAATCACGGATTAGACAGAGGCCGAGACGGACGCATCAAGCCCGCCGAAGCCGCCGCCCGCCTCCGCGGCATCCATAGTTTATGCCCCACGCTTGACAGGCCCCCCAGTTCCAGGTTCCACTCAAGCTGTGAGTTTCACATGGGGGATTGGGGCTTTGACGACACGTTTTACCCGCGTTTGTTTGCAATGCGGCCTCTGGCGTAATTGCTAATTGGGCGTTATACCCTGAGAGCCGAATTTAGCTACCGATAACACCCTTTGCACCGGGATGGGTAGTGGTTGAAGAGTTCCTCCTATTCGCTATTCTGGCTACCCCATCATATTTCAGGGGGCATTGTGACGGTCGATTCCTTGTGGCGTTTGATGGCTGTCATGCCGTGTTGCTCTATTATTCGGGTACCGAGTGCGCACCGTGCCGGGCTTAGTTGATCGCCGGCCGCGTGGTACGGCAGTTTTCAACCATATTGAGCAATAATGTACCGAGATAGAACTTATATAAAGCTATGAGCTTTCTTCCATCTTCAGTGTTAACAGCATCAAGACATCGCCATTCAGAATTCAGAACGTTGAACAATCCGTAGACCGGACAGTTCTTAAACCCAACTACTTAGATACCCAATCTATCGCATCCCTTCGACAAAATGCCTTTTCTCGTAGTTGTCACTCCCAACATCCCCGCCGACAAGAAGGATGAATTCCTCGGACATTGGCCCTCAATTAAGGAGGAAATCTCAAAGCAACCTGGCGTTGTTGGCGTAGCCGGAGGTCAGGTTGTCAACGAGAGCGGATCGCCAGTGACCGACTTCAAGTTCCTTCAGACCATAAGTAAGAACCATCACCTAGCACGAACATGGGGCCTACATATCTGACAAAATGCGATAGCTTTCAACTCAGAGGCGGATGACAAAGCTTTCACTGAGTCAGCATGGGCAAAGGAGCATGAGGCCAAGCTCAAGGCTAGTGGTGTTAGCGAGCCACGCATCAAGAAGTTCGAGACGAGCCCACTTCCTAGCGAGAAGCCCAAGACCTTCACCCAGTTCTCATTCCTCGATATTGCCGACGAGAGCAAGCACGAGGAAGCGAAGCAAGCGTGGCTGGATGTCGTTGCCGCTCTTGGACAGTCTGTGCACTTCGGTGGGAAGAGTGTTGGTGAGGGACCGAGTACTGGATTGGGTATCCTGGGTTGGGACAGTGAAGATGTAAGTTGTCCACTTTTGAAGTTCCACCATCTTGATCCTAACAGCTTGACGTAGGAAGCTAAGGCTGCGTTTAGCAAGCCGGAGGCCCAAGCTGCCTTGCAGAAATACAAGAGCTTCGGGCAGACCGTGGGAGTCATGGTCAAGCTCGATTTGTGATAAGTACAAGCGAAAGAGGCTATGTTTCGTGGCAAATGAAAGCCAGTCATGGGGCATTTTGAGGGCAACATAGCTATCAACGTATGAATGTTCATATCGAGCTCTGCTTTGCATCATAGATTTATTATATATACTTCTGGTGGGGTACACAGTTCTCTTTGCTACAGGCTACAATCTGTCAGCTTAACGCTTCTACCGCAGATACTGCCCTGAACCGTTTTGCTTTCCAGTCAGGAGGCGCGTAGTAGTCGCCTGATTCCATCCAGATATTTCTACTGAGAAGTAAGAGTACAGTGAACTGTATCGTTTCATCGAGGCCCCGTAACCACAAATATAGACCAACAGGTCAATATCTTACAGTAGCTCCCTGATCACCAACAGCCGCAACGTCGACCTCACCTTTAGACGACCTTTCCGATTCATTTATATGTCTACGACGCAAGTTGCCAGCATCATCATGCTCAGCATCCCATTGTGCCAAGTCGGAAAGCGGCACTCGAACGAGGCGATGTGTGTTGGCACCATTATCAGAAACCTCAAGGGTCTCAGGTCGAATCCTATAGCCGCGCCACTTTGGCAACAGCCACATCCAAACAGCATAGTAGAGGAAGCAGATAACGAGGCTAATGTCGAAGTAAGTGATGCTATTCCGCATGGTTTCAGTGGCGGGGACTTACACAGCAATGCCGACAACGCAATATGTTGCATACCAGAAGCTGACGTTGCCGGCGTACGGGCCACCCTTTGGTGGCCACCAAGGCATTGCGAGGATGTAAACTTGGAGAAGGATGAAAAAGATGACGGTTACGTGCCAGGATTTGAACTCTGTATGTCCAAGGTTGGCGCGCTTGCGTCGAGTGCGAATGAGGTAGACACCGACGGCCATCGCGAAATGGAAGATGCCGTCGGGATACGTCTTCAAGCTGACGACTTTGGGTCTGTTAGCCATGGCAAGCGTCATGGGAAGAGCAAATGCTGACCAAACTGAAAGGCATCTCCAGCGGGAGGGGCAGCAATCATGACGAAAGTCATGATCCACTTGAGGAGATAGGGTCCGATAGGTGTTCCGAAAGGCTTGGTGTTGACCCAAAACTCCGTCCACGGCAGTACGCCTTGTCTAACGACTGTTAACAACTGGGATAAAAGCTCCGAGTGTCAGTGTTACTTACCGTCCGATCTCACGGATGACGCGAGAAGAACCAATCAAAACTGCAAGGAGGTTGCCAAAAGCACTCAGGAGAACCAAGAAGTTGAGTGCTTGCTCGGCAGGTCCTGTGCCGAAGACCTTGGTAAAGAACACGGCGGCAGCAATTTCTTTGGCGGTCCTAAACTCAGCCTTCGGGACTAGGTTTTATGTTATTGTAAGCGTTCATCCACATCAAGCGATAAAGGATGATGGCCTCACCTGCAGCAAAATATGCAACGTTGCAAAACATGTATAGCACTGAGACGACGACAACTGATATTGTCGCATGGCGTTTCAGCACAGGAATAGGATTCTTGATCTCGTTGACGACGTTGAACGCGTTTGAGTACCCTGTGTATGAGAAGATAACATTGACTAAGGCCGTGGCTAGATCATTACCATTATCCGTGGTTCCCTCAAATGAGTTTCGAAAGTTGGCAGTCGGATCAGGAATGTGATCGATGTTGCCGCCAAGAACGACGAGACCAGTGATGGAGATGAAAATGAGGGTAATGATCTTAATCGCGCCAATGATGTTCGTGGCCCAGAGGGAGTACTTATTGTGTGCGATGACGCAGATAACAGCGAAGGTATAAGCGGCGATAGCAACACCCTTCAGCTCCCAAGGAGATGGGGACTTCCCGGCGATTCTCCATAAGTATCGAGACAAAACTGAGGCATATTAATGGGACTTCCAGCAGAAGAATGGGTCGTTGTTCATACCAATGGCATTGCTACTGCTGAAAGAAAGTAGGACAGACTGTACGGCGAAAGCAATGGGGAAAAAGTGCTTTGGTCGTGGGTAGGCTTGTTCGAGATACACGACTTCAGAGCCACTGCGGTTAGGAAAATAGCTGGCTAGCTCCAAGTAGACACTGAGTCCAGCGAGAGCCATCAAGAAGCCGATCGTCCAGTAGAGAAATGCTAGACCAACAGACCCGGTACCATTCAGAACGGATGCAGCTGTGAGAAAATGTCAGTATCGCCGAACTCCTCGACAAGGACCCAGGTCTCCTACGTGTCGAAAAAATACCAGTACCAATCATCTGATTGACATTAAGAAAGATGACGGTGAACCATCCAACATGATATCCCAAAGGCGAGTGCTTCTCAACTGGCGCTCCAACGGCCTCTTGGTATGCGGCCTTGGATCCGTTTCCTCCCTTCGCAAGTGTATACGCAAGATCTCCATCGCGGATAATGGAGTGTTCGGAGTCGGAGGCCTCGACGTCGATGGCATTGATACCTGCATCCCTGGACCTAAAATGGAACGAAGGCTTCGAGAACACCATGGCCACGGGCTGGTTAGAGATGGACGCTTTAGCTGACTTGAAGAGACAGACGATCCACTGAATAACCGTGTGGGCACGGAGATGGAGGTGGGCCGATCAATAATAGATCATTCAGCTCCAAGGAACCAAAGGAGTAATCACGCAGGGGAGGGGAGCGCGAGATGTCTACAGCGAAATGGAGCCTGTGGATGTTGCGTCCCGCTGCAACGTCTTTAAACCATTGAAACATCAACGGCCGAGCCTGTTGATGCTCAAAGAGTTTCAATGCCAAGTGCCAACGGGATCCTACGCCGTTGTGAACATGGGAAAAGAATGGCACAGCGCTGCTTCGCATCCTGACAATTGCGTAGAGACTGACCTCTGGTTTGTCTGGAGTGCAGGGAGCGGGATTTGACCTTCCTATGTCAGTCGGAGCCAAGAAGCACGCAATGATAGCCGATCATGACGACCGTTGTAGCAAATCGCGTAGACGCCCGCCACGCTTGGGATGTCACAGTGATTCGGGGGTCTGCAATAAGCTAATTTGAAGGTGTGACCTTAAACATACCTGCTATCGCTTCCATCCGATAGGGCCAAGATGCCACAGTTCTTATCTAGGGCATAGGAACCTGGAAAAATGTCACATAGAAGACTCTGTGCCTCATTTGACCAAGTAACCCAACTCGTATTTTGGCGTCTTGGCATGGCTTAGCATTGCACTGTAAAGGGCTATTGGGTAATGGTCACCGATCAGACGCCTATCAAGAAATGTGTTCATTCGAGGGTTTTAAGAGATCTCCTACACGGCCCAGAACGAACAGTCAACAGGGAAGAAGCGCGTATCCATTTCTTCGCATTGCTTTGCCCGACTAACTGCAAATTCTTTTGCCTAGACCCTTGGTACTGATTGCGTGCAAACCCAAACAGACACCTTATGGCCGACCCTTGTTCTTGTTGCCTTCGCTGCGGATGAATGGCTCGAGCGGAAATACTTGAGCCTCAGGTGTGATGCCTTCGTACAGCTGAGCCCATCTCTCTCTTAAAGGCTCGGGCGTCTCCCACGCGTACTCTGGATCGCGCAGCCATTGTCTCAATAGGTGGCGTCTACAAAAGACGTCAAGTCGCCTTGTTAGCACCTCCTTCCCCTTCTGGAATGATTGACAGGTTCGCATGATCGACTTACTGCTGTTCCTGGGTATCGGTGAAACCGTCTCTGGCGTGGAAAATGCCCATGTTGTTGGCATATTGGATGTCGCCCTTCTGGAAGTCCAAGTTCACTGCAAACTTTTCGCCAAGGAAGTGAAGTGTGTCGAGGGCTTCAGCCTGCGCCTCAGAAATGGGAGGGATCTCCTCACTTCGAGGAAGCGCACCGTAGCCTACGAAGTATCGACGAGCATACTGGACGGCCAAGCGCTCTGGAGTTTCGGCAGTGGCAGGTTGGTAGTGTACAAGAGGGCGCGACGTGAATGACTTCTGAGGAGTCCCGAAGCTGGAAAAGTAAGGGTGAGTTCCTTGCTCCAACAAGAGACTGGTTCATATAGAAACACACTTACACTTCAAAATGCCAGTCTTGGGTGAGAGTGTGAATAAGATCTGGGCGCGTGCTAGCAATCTCGTTGTAAACCCGCCCGATGCTCGCCAGTTTACTCTTGCCACCCTCAGCGGCCGTTGACAATGCAAATAGTGAGACGATGTCCCCAGCATCAGTATGAAACACCTGCTTGTCTGCAGTGTAAGCAGGACTACCAATCTGACCCTTCTCTTTCGTGAGCGTTAGATCCTTGATATGCGTAAGTACAACGTCGGCCGGTTTGCCGTCGTATTGCCTGTCTTGTCGACCGCGCTGGGGCGCGATGTGCGACGACAGCCCTGCATAAATAATAATGTTTTCTTCTCTGGTGTGTTGTTCAACCCGAAGCCCGCGGATAACAAAGAAACCGTGACCGTTGTGCAGCTCATAGGACAGCTTGCGAAGTTCAGCATGAAGGTTTGGCAGCGGAAAGGTCTCTTGGCTGATGTGACCAAGCGACAAACCTAGCGCTGGAGTGCACCTTTTGTTAGTTGCAAACAAACAGCAAAGGTTTACAAGTCAAACTCACACTTGAAATGAGCTAGTGCTGTGTCAAGCTCGTCCAGCTGTTCCGGCTTTAAAACGTATGTCCAATCATATTCACTGGCCAGCGTCGCACCGTCCCAAACCAAGTCGCTTTGAATTCGCGCTGGAAGGCCACCGGGCAGGGTCTTCAAGAGACCGGGTTCCTGGGCTCGGCGTGCCACCCGAGCCTGAAACTTTTGGTAGTCTGGTGCATATTGAATGTCTGGCTGGACGGGTCGGGCGACGGTGACGGTGGTCATGGTGTAAGACTGGGAGATTCCTTGGTTTGCCTGATTGGAACGGGAAGTGAGCTATTCTCAAGCCGACTTCTCCGTCTTCATTCTAAATCGTCCGTGGTGCACTCTTTGCGCCGAGTGTTCTTATGTTTCATGGTTCTGGAGAGTGAGCGTGGGCTGGGGGGCCATCGGTGATGGCGACATTAGGCTTCCGAATTTCGTGCCGCAAAGTGGGGGAAGTGCTCATCCAAACGGCTCAGAAGAAGCCGATCATCTGATGACGTTTGAATCTGACCACTTACGTAATCCAAGCCGAATTCTTCGGATTCGAGCTAAGATGGCGTGCATGTTGGAGTCACTGGGGTCTGCGCGCTGTGCTTGAGCTTAAAGGATTTCTTGTGCAGGGGAAAATGGAAGCCAGCAGAGCAACCAGATCACCGGGAATGGTGTATGACAAGTCCAACTCCCTTAAGAAGCAGGCTGTTTGAAGAGACAGTAATTCTTTTTTCACTTTGACTTTGGACTGTTTTCTTTCTTCCACTTCTCAGCCATCTGATTCACCTCATCGTTTGTTTTGAGAATCTGTTCCCGCGCTCCAGACCAAGGTTTCCGGCCCCGCCCAGTTTCGAAAAGCCGATAGACCGCTGGCTCATCAACGCCATCCATGAGCAGATTGTAGAATGTGCGATCGTTCCACCAGAGCTTCCATGCCTCAAGGCTGAAGCACGCCAGTCGATCCGTTACCCCAGTCCCGGCAACCTTGTTTACCCACTCGTAGTTCTTACTGCCAAACATCCGGAACCCCATATGGGGCACCGGCCCGCGTTTAAGGGTACTCACAATAGTGTCGTAATGGCTGTTGATGTCTCGCGCCATCTCTTCACGAGTAGGTAGTGGAGCGGCTCCGCTCCAAATGCTAGCGAGGGCCATCGTTGCGAGATCGTTCAGTACGAAGGTTGGCTTGGCTAGGAGGAAGTGACCGATTACTGCGAGAGACTCGGGGTACTGCTCAGAAATGAACCCACGGTACAGACGGGGGAAGCTGACGTGCGGGTCTTTGTATCTTGCCGCGTTGATGCGCTCGTAATGATCAGGTGCTTTGGTGGGATCAGTGGGATCGCCAGCATCCCTGAGAAGAGAGAAGTCGAAGTGGTATCCTGTGCAAATGATAATCGCATCGATATCATGAAGAACAGTACCATCAGTAAAGGCCACAGATCTGGGGCCAGTGACTTCGCTGACACCCTGGACACTCTTGGTAACACCGTCTCTGAGGTTTTCGGCAAGATTGCTGGAAAACACGGGGATGCGATGTTCTGCACTCTGCAAAACTCGAGGGGCAAGAAATGATGGGTGTTGGCTCAGCCAAGGGTATGCCTTTTGCCGTGCACTGTCCAATGCTTTGGTAAAAAGCATCGCACAGCCCCTGGGCCACCAATCACCCAGACTTCGAATGGTTGACATTACTCTGCGAGACATGCCATGATCGAAAGCTTTCCCTTCAACCATTTTGGGCAACTGGACTACTCTTAGTAGACTGCAAGCAGGGCGTAAGATGTTCCGTAACTAACCAAGTAGTATTGACCACGGTGGCTCATGTGGACAGAGCGAGCCTTGGCTTTCTGAAGGAAAGACTGTGTGTCCGCGCCTGTGGCTCCGACACCCACGATTAGGACGTTTTTTCCTTCGTATCTGGACGGGTCCTTAAACTGCACAGAGTGCACTGCATCGCCCTCAAACTTCTCGATTCCCTTGATATCAATCTTGTGGGGCGTGCTGAGCTGGCCGTTCGCAAGAACAAGGCGGTCAAAGACGTGTCGTTCGTCAGTTTGACTGGCAGCATTTTCCTCCATGTTTTTGACTTGCAAAACCCATTTGTTATTGACTTCGTCTCTTTCAATCTTGACAACTTTTTTGCAGAATCTGATATGGGGAAGAAGCTCGAACTCTTTCGCGTAAGCTTCGAGGTATTGTTCAATGTCTTTAGTTGTAGGGTGTGTCGGGGCATCTAATCATTGCATGTTGTATCAGCTTAACATGTTATAAAACACTTGAATGGACTTAAGCGACTATATATCTTACCTTTCGAGAAGGGGAAGTCAGTGAAGTGAGACTGCAGTTGTCATCAGCACGCTGGATTGCCAGTTCTATATGCCTTGACGGAATCCCACCATCTGCTTTGATGTATTGAACGTCGTCATTGGAAGCGCAGTATTCTGATCTGTTCTCGGGGTAAAATGCCAAAGTCCACCGATGAATTGATTCTGCTCGAAGGCGGTGACACTAAGACCCTGTTCCTTCAAGTTCTTCAGCGCCAGAAGCCCCAAAACACCAGTGCCAATCACCGCAACATTGTTTCCCACTGGTGTGCCTGAAAGACTGGTTGCCATATTGTCGGACACTCGTAAAACGTCGGTTGGTGAAGCTTGAGAGTTCGTTTCTGCGCTGGCGTTTGGAGCGATCGAAATGTTGATAGTCCGCGTTCATACTAGCGATCAAGCTCGGGGACTTTGGGTTTTTAACTTAGTACAATCTTAGACTCCAGAGATAATCTTTTGAATGGCCTGAGTTTTCAGGTCCGTCGGAGACATTTAGTCTGACATCAGCATCCCTCGGCGAGTTCTAGTGGCTGTGATTGGAGGTCTGAACTTGCGCTTTGGAGGATTTATATGGTGCTAACTTATCTCGTCAGCCCTTGGGTACCTGTTTGGATAGTCAGTTCGTCTCTTTGCAGTTTTCATTGGGTGAATATCCGAGCCACCCAATGATTACAGACGGGGGCATCTACTTGTCTGAACAACGTCGCATTCTCGACCATGTTATAGCTAAGAAGATTCTTTCAATTTGGCAATCACTCTCTTCTCATTCCCAAGAGCTATTAGCGAGCCAGTATCCAAGGTAAACTCATATCAAATTGGCTGACGGAAACTTTTCGTTCCAGAGTATTCGCCAAGCTAGGATTTCAGGGCACGCTTCAACATCAACTGCAGATGACAATGAGGTATGGGTTTCGAAGTCGACATTTGCATCCCATCTGGAACTATAGTTACACGCAGCATGCCTCAAGTATTAAACACTCTTGGCTATTATCGCTGAACAACAGCCTAGGAGGATCAGAATGATATGTGAATCTCAAGTGAAGTGCCCGAATCTTATGTGAATCCCATGTGAATGTTACCTTGTAATTACCTCATAGTACTAGTTCAACGCGCACTCTTCACCGTAGAAATGTCTGCTCAAGGCCTGAACAGGGTGCACAGAATGGCAGAGAGTGCCTGCTCATGCCCCGAATCGTTACCTTAAAAATCTGACCGACTGTGTGGCAGTGTGAAGAAAAGTTACTTAAGAAAGATGTTCGTGTTTGGCAGATTCAATATAGAACGTTATTCAATCTTGGTCGCCGTTTTTTCTGTAGCTCAGGTGATTCGAGGATTGCTGTTGGCGGGATCACTTACATTCTCGACGAATGGTTCACAATCTGTGCTCAACAAGTGAATACTCTCGTAAGTCTATGGTCAAGTTCGTCCTCGTTGTTCGTGCTTAATGTAGCATGTCTGGACGAATGTGGGTCATGTAGATTTCTGATACGGCGACATGCTCGTATCCAGAGCCAAGACAGCGTGGGGCCGGGGTCTTCGTCTCAACTGGCCCCTGATATCGTTTCATCCCAATTACTCAATGGCACCACCCCCTTTAAGCTTGAACTTTTGGGGATTGTAGTTTATAAAAGAGTCCCAAAGTCTCTTTGATCTCATGCAACCTGCGAGCGGGCTGTTCAATTCATTTACCACATTCTTATTCATACTGACCGGCCAGAGATTCGTGACGTGCCCAAATTCCCTCGTCTCATCCCTATAAAAGCCGCGATCAATCAACTCTTACCATACAACAATGAAGTTCTCAGCGGTCCTACTTGCTCTTGCGAGTATTACGGCGGCATCTTTTGCTGCACCTGCACCGAAATCTGTCCCTGCGAAGGAACATAGTGGCGGTAGGGTAGTTCTTGATGGCGCTCAGTGCAGTCCTGTCCAGGGCCGACTCGTTTGCGATGATGGAGTGGGCAATACGTTGTAAGTTTTGAACATATCGAAGGGTTGAATTTCTTTTTTGACGTACTATTGCTTATAGCTTCGCCGATGACCCTTTCTCGTCGTAGACCTCGTAGTATGGGACATTGTTTGGGGCAGTCGAATGGTTGTTGTTCGATCAGTCGATGGAAGAGTCGGCGGACACAACGTCTTCGGCGGAAGAAATAATTAATGAAGACAAGTATTAAAATACTCAGTTCTCATGTGCTTGGTGAATGACGGCGAATCGTTTACTACATTTGCCATCAAATTGTCGTACATCATATAATTATACCAACATGTGCATGGATTTGATAATTGTCAATGGCTCAGGTCTGAAATCAATTCGTTTCATCTTTTAATACCACCGTTTTCGACAGACATTCTTCGTCCAGTCCGCGTTGCCTATCTTTGTTACATCAATTAACGGAGGCTCCAATTGGAGGAAGCAGTGCCGCTATTTCCGTAGTTCCATGAGAGAAGCTCGCAAGCCTTGGAATGAGGTATCCCTTTCCTCCATTGGTAAAGCCATGGCGTGAACGGTTTTGGTTTCAAATCTGACAATGGAATATCCTGACGACAGCCCGAAAGCCAAAAAGACAAGGAAAACAGCGACATCGGAAAAATTGTTGCGAGCTATGTACCAATTAATCGAATCTGGAAACAAAGCACGAAGTCATAGTCACAAAGCATGCAATCAAGCTGGGCAGGGGTCATCGGAATTTTGAATGGCGATTGGATTTGATGGCCATCATCAAAAAAAATACTGTTGTGAAACCTTGGCAATGCTCTTTTCATAGTTAGCGAGGTGGCTACCCAAGACGTACACATCGTTGGCGAAAGTCAACGAATACGCATTGCAAATAACCTAAATAAAAACTAAAGGAGCCGACTGGGATGAGAAAGCTATAGACAATGAATGGTTTTAACTTCAATATGCAACTAGACATCAATGATCAACACCGCGATCTTCCATGGACGTAAGTTTGGTAAGCGATCCACTGAAATGCCGGCATCCCCGCATGGTGATTTCATCGACTAGTAATCGCTGATATCTAGCGCCTCGGCAAATAACAAATTGTCGGTAACATACATAGCGAAGTTCAGAAAGAGACTGGATTAGACATACATAGGAATTCATGAAGGCAGCGGCCACTCCCTGTCCTTAGTGCCACGCTAAGTAATTGCTTGTTTTATTATCAAGACGATGAGGTGATGTGGCTATTCGTCATGACCCAAATGTGTGAATAACAAGTCCTGAATGCCTAGTGATCAGCAAGTGTTAATGCTGTTACAGCACCCTTACTTGATCATACCGCGCGTTTATTATGCTAGATAATTTGAAATCTAACAAACGTCACACTATGATCCGATCCGTATTTGCAGCAATCGCTGTTTTGGCAGGAGTAAGAATCTCCAATGGGCAGGACCTAATTTTTGACTCTGGCCATGCTGGGCCATCTCTGGAGCTTGTGCATCTGTACAGCGATCAATGGCCTACAGGTTAGCAGTGATCTTCATTCGAAACATATTCTTTTACGCTAATTAGTTATCAGGCATTGCTGTATCGTCAAGTGGTCGGATGTTCTCCAATTACCCCGGCGGTCTCGACCCTAACAACACTAATGATGGTAACAATGGGAAATACACGGTCGCGGAGCTCTTTGATGGCAATATCGAGAGACCATACCCGACTACCGACTTCAATAACCCGCCAGGCGGAGCCATCAATTTCACCACGACACCTCCGACAGGCGCCAACTATGAAGAGCACCTAATCGGTGTTCAAAGTGTCGTCATTGACAGCACTGATCGCCTCTGGATCTTAGACACCGGTAGAGTGCAGACGCCAGAGGGTGTACTCGTCACAGCGAGTGTCGGTGGCCCAAAACTGGTCGGTGTTGACCTGACAACCAACTCAGTCATCAAAACCATCATATTTCCGGACACTGTAGCGTATCCTGACAGCTACCTGAATGATGTGCGTTTTGATATCAACCCAAGTTTAACCGACAGTGGAGAAGGGGTCGCATACATCACAGACTCATCTAACGAGGGTCGAACCGGTCTTATCGTTGTCGATCTTGGCTCAGGAAAATCATGGAGGCACCTTGACGACAGTCCGTACGTGCAAGGAGATCGGCAATTCCTCGCCTTTGTATGGGGACGTGAGCTGTACGCCAACCAGCCTGGCAAGCCAGCAAGCCACCTAACTTTTGGCGCCGACGGCATTGCTCTTGGAGCAGACGGTAAGAATCTCTACTTTGGAGGCGTCGGGAACAGGTATCTATACAGCATCCCGACCGAGCGTCTCCGCGACAACGGACCTACTTCTGAGATCCGAGCACAAGCAGCTGTCGTCACTGAGAGCCACAAAGGGCTCTCTGACGGGTTTGAGACTGACACAAACGGCTTTATTTACCACGGCAACTTCGAGCATAACGCACTCAACTTCTTTAACCCAGAGAATGGGACTGATCAAGTCTTCCTTCGCGACCCACGGATCAACTGGGCTGACACGGTATGCGGCTATGAGGCGGTCTCAAGCTCCCAGTACAGTGCATCACGGACTAACCGAGCGTAGTTCTCCGTCGCGACAGATGGATATATCTACTTCACTAACAACCAGCTGGCATTCGGGCCTGGTATATATCCCGGCACAGATATACGACAGAGACCATTTTCGTTATTTAGGGCAAAGCTTCCCAATGGTGGATCAAAAATCGGATGATCATCAGGCCTCAGGAGAGCTCACTTTTGAAGCATGCTTAAGGGGAATATAGAGAGCCTAAAGTCTTGGTTTTCTTGTGCATCTGCGAGCAACGCCAAATCTGGCTTTTGTTTCTCGTTCCTATTTTTTTCATGAGTAGTAGACTCGAGTATCAATCAAACAATTAGAAGGTTAAGATTACTAGTCTTTGTGCTTTGGCATGCCTGAATATCATTTTGAATAAGTTTCCAAACTCACTACTGGCTTTAAGCTTTTTGATGCGGATTAACACAACATCTCCATATCCTGCATTAGGCAAAATCAATACTAATTCACTTTGGCTTTTAGCATTTGATGATACAGAGATATCTGCTTCTACCAGCTTAGACAATTTGTCTCACACACAGCTTGCTTTCAGGATCTCGTTGTAGCTTGGCGCTGTCCACTGGGTAGGAAATTCGCTTCATGTTATTCAGTCTTTCCCTGCAACAGTAACTCGTCTGCTACCCTCAATACTCTCAACTAATATGAAATTGATCCTGATCAAATCTCGATTCTCTGAGTTCGTGACTTACCTATGCTGTATTCTTCAGAATTAGGGTGATGCACCTTGTCCAACCAGAAAGCCGTATCATACCATGCCTAAACACGTCAGCAAAATATGCAGCGCGCTAAAATCAGACAAATAAGACGAGACACCCAGATGCGCCTAGAAGCTTTAGACATGATTTTGTCTGGCCGGTTTGATTCTAAGGTGGACTTCGTGGCTGATCTCTCGTCTGCTTCAACAACGAAGACCCTATCCTATTTTCAAATATAAACCAATTCCTAGGTCTTTCCTTTTGTTGACCCGTACCTTTGACCCTCTGGCCTAGACCTACTGTGAAAATGGCCAATCTCTTGAATCTACCCATAGAACTTTGGGAAGGATCCTCTGCAAGCTCATTGTATGGAGTCCTCAAACGACTGGATACCTCCTCGCGGCACAGGTGCTTGAAGAAGGTTGTTTACATGTGCTGGCGGCCCTGTCACAAATGTGCCACTCTCTACACCGCATTATGGAGCCTTTCCTGTATAGACACATAAGGTTGACTCATCGCCACAGAATTCATCAAGTCATTGCCCTCCTCCGGCATTGGCTTCGCCATTCCGAAGTCTCAACATGTACACGGACTTTGACGACCTATTGGGGTTACTCAGTTCTCGGAGGTTCGATCCCTCCATTTGTCAGAAAGGTACCTGGGCACAGGTGCACAATGCATGTTGAGAACACTGCCCAAGGCACTCGTGGAGTTGAAGATAGATGATGACACGGACACCTTACAGCAGGTGGGCACCGCAGATTTTGAGGCATTAATACTCCAGGTCCAAAACGAAGACTATCTTCAGCTAAGGGAGATAACATTGAGCACATTATCCAAGGTGGAAGAGTAACATGAGATGGTGCAGAAGATCTTTGTGGATGCAGGCCTCACGTGCCACCTGAAGTAGTTCGAGACAAATCCACTCCAGCTGGAAACGAAATCCTACGTAATCCAGCCTCGGTGGCGAAAAGAGAAACTGGAAAAATTGCGACCACTGCATGTTTCTTGGTTGACAATACACTGGGTAGCCTCGTTAGAATTTGACTAGGAAAGCTTTAATGGTTGGTAGTAGCTAGGTCGAGAGACAGATAGAGAGGCACCCCTGCAGTTACAGCTACAATGTGCTTGGTTTGGTCGTCCGTAACGGAAACTTGTGCAGATATATTATTCATTTAGATATTAGCCTAACGAGTGTCTAATCTTTACTGTCTATAATGTGGTCATGTGTTTCCGATCTTCATTATCCAACGTCTTTAGTTTTGATAAACACCATTTAGTAGGTGTATACCTGCTCAGGTCCAAGGTTCCCAAACTGTCCAGAGCCGAAGGGGTTAGAGGGAGTGGTGGTGACGGGCTTGCCGTTGACATCGGGAACGCCGAACCAAGCGATCTCCTTGCCCTTGACAACAGTAATGACAGCGAAAGCAGGAGTAGGGTCGACGACGTAGCCCCAAGAGACCGTGAACTCGGAGCCCGAAGTGCAAGGTTGGTTAGACCAGCTCTCAGTGGCAGCGTCGGAGCCGGGCATCCGGATGATAGTGCAACGCTCAGTCTCGCCGTTGGCCTCAATCGCGAAGTTGTAGTCGCAACCCTGGTTGCTTTCGCCGCAGTAACGGGTCATGTCCTGGATTATCCACTGCTTGCCCTCAACGGGCTGGGGACTGGGGTATGTGGCGGTATTGCCGCCGGATCCGGAAATTGGCGTGGCAGTAGGTGCTGCCGTGGCCGAGACAGTTGGGTACGTAAAGTACGAGGAAGGACAAGACCCCGGATGAGCCGGATTGCAGCCTCCCGGGATGCCGGCAATGGAAGTGAATGAAGGCGCCGCGGAAGCGGAAGCAGTCGGGTAGGTGAAGTACGAGGAAGGGCAGGAGCCGGGGTGGGCCGGGTTGCAACCACCGGGAATACCGGCGATGGAGGTGAACGAAGGTGCAGCGGAAGCGGAAGCGGTCGGGTAGGTGAAGTAGGAGGAGGGGCAAGATCCTGGGTGAGCTGGGTTGCAGCCACCAGGAATGCCACTCGAAGTCGGCTTCGGCAGGTTTGCAGTTGCGCTGGCACAGTACTCACGGAGGCGAGCGCTGTCTTCGCCGAGGCAAGATGTGAGAGTGCATGAGCAAGCAACCTCAAGGGTTCCGGCGGCGATACAAGTCTTGTAGGCGTCTTGGCAGTCGTCGCGGCGGCCTAGAGTTGGAGCCGCAGTGGCGGCCGAAGCCATGGCCAAGGCGATGATGAGCTTATTCATCGTGGTAGAAATGCAAGGGGTTGGGAGTTTAAGATGAAGGAGTCGGTTGCTGAGACGGAGGAGATTGTTGTTGCTGGGCTTGAGTATGAGTATTGGAGAGAAAGCACTGCAACGAGGCTGTATTGCTGCGATACTTATATACGGATTTTACCTCGCTTCAAAAGGCTTCCTAACTTTGCATCCCAACTCAGACCGAGCCATCAGCAACCGTGATCATATCGTGTGCATGACAGCAACAGCCTCCATCTGTGGAGTCGGAAAGGCAGGGAAACCTTCTAGTTGTTCGTATTAACTAGCTGCCCACCTCGTCTTTGCCGTTTGCCCCATCAACTAACCCGTTAAGGCTGACAGCTCACTGGCCCCACGAATCTCATGATCTCATTTAACCAACTAGCGTCTAGAGACCCCGTATTTGTGGCCGGGCTTTGACAAGCAAACTGGATGAGGACTGTCCCAAAATGGTTGGGCCCTTCATTTAGCGGGGGAAAGAGGCTCGTTGAGAAAGACTTTTTTTGACGTCAGTAGCATGCTGAAAATAGACCCTAGCTCAGGACTTGGGACCCTTGATAGAAGCGGACCAATAATTACACTGATTATCTTCCAAATGGTTACTGTTGTTGGCGCTGCCGATTGCTGCCGAAGAGCCGATCGCCTGGGCTCCACCTTCCCGCCAACCTACTTGCTGGGTAGAGGGGGCGCCGTCGTAAACCGTCGCACCGGGAGTAAACTCAGTTCTCATTTGCGCCCCCCAACAAGCGAGTCAGGATACGGTATACTACGGACACTTTTTCGGTCAATCTCCAGGAATAGCACACGGTTGACTATAGGCTTGAGCATACAGAACCACATTTCCAAGGTTGCCCCCAACGATAGCTTCGCATATCCAAAGCCATAGAATATTAGTTTAGGCCCCAAGTGCATCTTTGCAGTCTCTCAAAGTCGTTAGGCACCCAATGGCTAAGAAGTCGAATATGTTACTTGAGACGGTCATCGGCTATCTTTCTTGATGGAAAATCTGATTGTTTCCGTGTTGCCGAGACGTGACGCCTGCACGATGACAATCAATGGTCTACTGAGGCAAGAGATAGGAGGCTGCAGGGACCAAAATCCGTCGGTAACACGGATTTCATGTTCATGGCTACCGTAGAGTCCTAGAATTATTGAGGATGGACCGGCTATGGCTTTCAACGCCTTCTTCATTTCTGGCTTTTGAACTCCGCTATACGAAGCGAGCTTGTCGAGTGACCACAACACAAATTTATTTCCACAAACCCATGGAAATAAAGCTATCCTAGCTAGAGGTATCGTTCGACTGCTTGATTGCGTTGCCCCCGTCAATGTCTTTAGCTAGCGCAATTAAGTCCCAATGAATCATTTGTTAGCCAAGCCTTTAGTAAGTACTTAATTATCCTTTACACCAAACCAATTTTACCTTGCTCCCCATCCTTTCCGTTCATCTTCACTTTCCCCAGTAACCTTGTTCATTATGAGTTCCTAAGTTTCGGGATTGTTGGCCGACTCGAAGCCTTGAATCACCCGATATCTGAAGGTTTGGAACAACATACTAAAACTATGACCCTGCACAACCCTACAACTTCAGGAATCAATACAACAAAGACTTTGTTTCGCAACTGATTGATTTCTTGTTTAAATACAAGCCACTTTGTGTCAATACAAACCTGTGTTGTAATGGGTACATTAGCTACAACTACTGTACAGCAACTACGGGTCCACTTTGCGCCATTCACCACAGTTATGAGCCAAGCTTTGATGAACCTAGGACCGTCTCTGGCTTGTTCAGCGGGAGCCTATTCCGTATCAGATTTCACAGTGTATACAGCGAATGACATGGAAATCTCAGTACTTACCTATCGGCCGAAGAAAAGCACCTCATGCTTTCCGCTGAGAAGGAGGTGCTGGGTGACAGTCTTTAAATCTTACTATTACCTCTAGTTACGGCGACAATACCCATTTTAACGGTGAGAAATGATGAAGTTGGGTGTTATGTTGAAATGTTGGTGATGGGAATTTTCGAGTGGTTCACGCTCCTATGGTATAATCCTACCTATCTCGAAAGACTAATTAACAGTGTGATCGAATATATGGTACCATTCCCCAAATATGAGGTTTTGATGTGTTATGTAACATGATGGAGTTATAAGGCCAAAATAATTGATTTGGTTTGCATCGAAATCACAGCTTGGCTCAGTGCCGGCGGGCGGCGAAGAAAAATAACGATATTTGTTAGCTTTGCAGCCTTTGGGCCTGGTGGGATGGTGGTTGATGGAGATCATTCCAGGTCTGGTAGGAGTGAATAAGCCATCCCACCAGTATGTGCGGATATTTGGGATGGGACTCACGAATGAGCATGCAGAGAAACAGACAGTGGCTATGACGTAAAGGCTTTGAGGCGCAAACGCCGCTCCTGGTACACACTCGGATTTATTGGCCGGTAATTTACCAATTAACGGTCACCATAGAGCACTTCTAGGTGATCAGAACCATGTTCCCACGTGTGAAGCATCTCGAAACCCAGATAAGGACTAGACGCTACTATGTACATTAATCAAATATCCATTTTTGTTTCCCGACTCCTTGCTAGCAGCCAATATTCCCCTGAAAATGACCATGCTCATGCTAAATACCAACCTGACCCCAATTCTCAGTGAACCACAAACTTATATGAACACCATTTGCTAAACCCTAACAGGAGCTTTTTCTTTCCATCAAAGGGAGCTCGCAAAGTTGAAGCCAACAATGCCCTCCGCACAAGCATCCTTCATCTCTGACTTAGAAAAGACCGAGACTCTCCGACCGATAATTCCGTCATCGCCTACTTGCAACGAGATCGGGCTTCGCAATGCCAACTCAACCGTCGAGCCGTTCTCGAGTATGGAGGCACCTGAAAAGGCAATGCGGTGAAAGAGGCCGCAGTCTTCTGCGCTTCGTGTAAAATCGCCGGACTTGCTGTTGGAGTCAGGTCGCATCAGTAAACGTAACTAAAAAGTCTTGTGCACTTGATGCTGCGTTGATGCAACTTACTGGATGACGACAACCATATCGGCCAATGACTGCAGGTCACAGTCGTTGCCGCCTGTAATCCTCGCATGTGTTGCGAAAGGACTCGATGGCTCGCCTGGAGTGTGAAATGATAGATCTCCCTGCAGCCTGGGAAGTGTTCTTGTTGCTTCGGGTTGACTGAATGGCTGGTTGAGAACCGCCAGAGCGCCTCCTCGAGGTTTGGTGCAAGTGTCTGGGCCGCACATATTGGCTGAGGCAGCTAAGTTGAAAAATATGATGCTGTTTTTGAAATGGATTGCTGCTAGTGCAAGACTTTTCCTAAGTTTGGAAACCCTCAAGTCCCTCCTTCGAAAACTGAATGTATGGCATCTATAAAGGCTGTCTTCCCACTTGATAACTCCCTCAAGGTGCTCAATCTTCCTCAAGATCCCTGTCATCCTAAAACGAGCGCGAACGGGTCCGGCCCGGGGCGTCGCTAACAGTAGATTGACCAACCATGACTCGGGTTCACCCTAGAGCCAGCAACTGAGCTCCCTGCAAGTACGGTTTCGGATGAGCAAGTTAGAGCATAATTGATCATGTTTACGCCGAGTGCTATTGTGCATCGTCGTAAAGTCGCCAAATGAGCAGCATGAGATATTAGTATCAATGATCCATTGCGGAATACAGCATAAATAACACCGAAAAAAATAATTAAGAAAAACCTGGAGGACGTTGATGCGTATCATGCCCCCACTGTTTGATAACCAGTGCATATCAAGATGAGCTGGTCAACCTTAGGAGAAAGGGAACCATCAAGGTGCTCATCACATCATCAGCCTCGACGGAGAAAGAAGTTAGGCCCATGTATGCCGAAATGATGAAATGTGCTCACCGTTACCCCTCTTTCCAGTGACTTGTGCACTCCTCTTCTCGCAGTTACAAACGCTCTATCCCTCCATCAACCTCTTCTCCTAAACCTCAGTTAACATCCCTCGGAAACCAGAATACAGCCAACACCAAAAGCCGACACCAAATCGGGTCTAGATATCACAATGGCCAACTCGCAGTACACATTGCCCAAGCTCCCGTACGCTTACAATGTACGTACTGTCGTCCAACTAATAATTGTGCACGCTAACCTATCTTCTAGGCTCTCGAGCCTCACATCTCAGCTCAGATTATGGAGCTGCACCACAGCAAACAGTAAGAGAACCGATCGCTGGAAAGTAAAGAAGAATAAAGCTGACCTCGAATTATCTGCAGCCACCAAACATACGTCACAAACCTAAACAAGGCCATCGAGACCTATAACGCAAATCCTCTCCAGAACCGTATCGCCGTTCTGGCGGCCCTCAATTTCAACGGCGGTGGTCACATCAACCACTCTCTCTTTTGGGAGAACCTATCACCAGCCTCGAGCCCAGACGCCTCGCCCGCCACGGCACCCAAGCTGATCGCTGAGATCACCCGCGTCTGGGGCAGCGTAGACAATTTTAAGCTGGCCTTCAATACCGCGCTGCTGGGTATCACCGGTAGCGGCTGGGGGTGGCTGGTAAAGGACGATGTAACGGGTCTCAGCATCACCACGACAAAAGACCAGGACCCCGTCACCAAGGACGTGCCCATCTTCGGTGTCGACATGTGGGAGCACGCGTACTACCTTCAGGTCCGTAGACACTAGCAAGCTACTTTGTGGAAAGCTAATTACTAACGATTTTCCGGTTTAGTACCTCAATGGAAAGGCGGCGTACGTCGAGAACATCTGGAACGTCATCAACTGGAAGACGGCGGAATTGAGGTTCTCGGGTTCTCGAGACGACGCCTTCAAGGCACTTAAGGCGGTCCTCTAAATGACTTCGTTTTTATCTCAGGAAAGCCACAGACAGGTACCAAGGCAAGGTTTTCTTTGATGTGCATGTATTTGTGCAGAAGCAAGGGGCCTATTACAAACATATCATTTTGTTTGGGGTGATCACAGTCTTTGACGTAGTACTTTCGGTTCAATATAGACGAATTAACATGGCCGAGGATTAAACAGAGACGGGCTCGAATTTGAAGATACCGTGTCGCACTGTGATCAATCGTCGATAATGCTACCCGCCTGTGTGACCCATACCCGTTTGGCATTGGTAATCCCCTTTTCTTGTGAACTCCAAGACAGTCTCGGCTAACTGAAGGTTTAGTGGCACCGACTTTCAAGCTCCAGTGCTCGAAGTTGAGCTGGTCCTGTCGTGCGAGGGATGAATGTTTTGGTCACTGTTGGTGACTAGGACGAGTTGGCGCGCACCAGGTTTCTCACCAATTCTCATTCATGCGTCAATGCAATACCGTCGCGTGGAAAGAGTAGCTCAATGTTAGGTCAAACAGAAAAGAGTCGGTCAAACACGTCTCATCCCGAAGGAAGAGCATACACCCGAGTCCTATGCTATGTTCCGAGGGTCATCAAAGATGAACACAGTTAATGCCGGGTGTAAGACGGACACACGCAACGTGTGATTGAATGCAAACAGAAGTTTTGCTCCCGCATGAATGACGAAGACTGCTACCATCTTCTCTCGGTTAGAAATCTCCGAGTCCTTTACTAGACTCCCCGTGCACTTAGCGACACATCATGGTAACCCTATAGTCTTCATTGTTCCCTTCGTCATCAACGACTGACATTTGACTTCAATCGAGTGGGATCTCTAATCAACCTGTCTGCGCCAACCGCTATTCCATGATCCAGTTTATGCAGAGTCAAGGATTCAAGACTTCGGGTATTTGATTATGAAAAAGTGTGTGTTTAACCATCTTAAATTGCCGGAAACTGGCAGGTGTCTGGATGCTGGTACACACGCGATGCAGGCGGTACTTGCTGTGCTACACGGCTTTGTTGAAAACCAAACCAAATGTTTACCCGGCATCACAATACAAAAGATTCCTCGGCACAGAGTCTCTCGTATTTTCTTCTTCCTGAAACATAGTGAGTCCAAGCCTTTGGAATGTGTTCGAGCTTCGTAGCCTGGCCCTTTCAAGGCGGCTGAATCTTGTCTATTGTTATCTTCGGGAAAGCTCTCTATAAAACAAAATTAGCACCCTACCTGCTCGGTTTTTCGTATATTTGCAGGTGACAAGAAGTTTGACATTTTGCCACTTGCGTTTACTCTAGCGACGGATTTGTGTTCCTGGGAATATGTAGGACGGGCAACCGCAGCTGAAGTCAGATCATTGGAAGTTGCCGTTATCACGCCTTAGATTTCCAACCAACCCAGACTGTTCAAAAAGAATCTGCACCTGCTTGGGATCAGCTGGGAGGCTGCATACTGCTGCGAAGATGTTACTAGCAACTGGGCATCTTGTCGGCTCTCGAACGGCTGTCAAGTGGGGAAACAGACCCCAGCTAATGCAGCTTTTCCACGTCTCGGCTTGCTCTACCTACATACAGATAGATTACAAGAAATGGTAGGTTTGTACCTGTCTTCCGTAGTTTGCGCCACTCCCGCATGGTGCAAACCATTATTGTAGAGAAGCCAAACGGTTTTATGAAAGGGACATCATGATTTAGCTCGGATAGAGAGGCGGTTCCCTGGCCGAGAATTCCCACCAATCACGCCATTGGTGGGACCCCTTCACGCAAACAACGTCAAGCAGAAGAATGGAGTCTAATCGGATCGAGACTACCGAGACCCTCATAATGAAGTGATGTGCTGTTGGTCCGGGCGGCAGCCTGCAGGCAAGCCCTTACCGAATTCCATTCTAGTTGAGGAGGGCCTACCGGCTTACACGATGAGAGTGACTGCCAATCTTCCCGTTAGCATTGGAATTGTGCATGCTCAAGCAGGCTTGCGGCATCATCCATTCTAGACAGACACAGGTCGAGATTTCTTTGATATAAAGCCATCGAGCTATTGATCGAGTGAGGCTCTATCTTTCTAGTCCTGCAAACATCGACTGTTGCGACATCACACTCGTTTGATACTCCAGTTTACTCGCTCAAATGGTTCGCCCTTCCTCCCGCTTTGCCCTCTTGGGCCTTGGGTGCGTGTTTTTATTCAGCTTTCCCTTGATTAACGCTGACTTTGCAGTCTTTCTTTGGTAAACGCCGTTCCAAAGGCCAACTACCTCATTCCTCGCCCTCCGGAGACGGTCACTCTCACGACTTGCGGCTACCAATGCGCCAGCACCGTGACTGTGACTGAGACGCTCATTAATACCGCACCGTACTTCCTTACCTGCGAGCCATACAGCACCCCTGTGACGACTGGGCCATTAGGCTCCTTGACTTTGTCCTCCAGCACCCCCCCACCTCCACCCTTTACGCATATCAATACGACAACTTGGGCATCATCCAGTACCGCGCCTCGAGTCACTGGTACTACTAGCAGTCTAACTCATTCGTCTTCGATTGGAACAACCATCAAGATATCAACCCCTGGAGTCACGGTGTCATCTCAGTTACCTAGTGCTAGGACTCCCAGCTCGTCTTTCATATGGACCATGAACGGTACCTCGTAAGTGATCTCATAACTCTGGTAAATCTTACATGTAATGTTTCCTGACGATCATAGGTCTTGCAGCCGCCCCAGCTCTTACAACTACGGGACAGGCACCGCTGTAACTAGCATCGCGAGCGCCAAACCCTCAATTCCCTCGAGCTTATGGAACAATTCCACGAAACCCACCACGCGCACCGTCACTCGCACCGTTGGGACCATTGGCACCGACTCGTCCACTACGGCCAAGATCCCGATACCTACCGTCCCTAGCATCAGCATTCCTCCTCCGCCGGCCAGTGTCACAGAGTTTGATTCCACCACGTCTCTTGGTCCCTCTTACACCATCACCACGTACACTACCGTGAAAGTCATTAACACTACTTTCTCATCCCAGCTCCCAGGAGCATCTACAATCTCGCGGTCCGCCTTTCGTACGACAATGAGAACCACCGTTGTGGTAACCATTACGAATACCGTCCCACTTAGTACCGGCACCGGATACATGCCCACCAACAGCGGAACTGTAGCCTCCAGCAGGATTCTCTCGCTATCGTCGAGTAGCTCCATCTACCTGTCCAAATCACTTAGCTATGGAACCACTTCTACTTCGAACTGGCTCAACACGACTTCCACCGTCATTGGCATTAGCACTAAGTTGACGTCCTCCACGGAGACAGCTACCACGGATGCGGCCTTTAGCTCTAGCTCCAACGTGCCCTGTGCAACAGACACGGGGTCAGCCTCCAGGTCTTCTGTGACGCTGGGGACCACCCTCTCGAGTGCTTTGCCCAGCCTGGTCACTCTTAAAAGCACACTAAGTCTAAGCACCAGCTCCGATAAATACGGATATCCTCCCTCCCCTTCTCCGGAGACAACAGTAGATAGTGCCAAGCCGAGTATCGTCCCGAGCAGCACCTCTGATATTCCGGGTGGCTACGGATCCGAGGACTCAACTTCGTCGCTGGGGACAGCTGTCTCAAGTGCTCTACCATCATCAGTCACACACTCAATTCTAAGTGTCTCGGGTGATTACGGAGACTACCCTCTCGATTCGAAGGAGTCGACCTCGAGCGGGCCCGGTACCACAATTGCAAGTTGACTGCCGTCTTTGACCACCCCATCAGTGTCAAAGACGCTGCCTGCGCCGACTACTCTTGAGACCCGTAAGTCTGATGGGTATACTTCGACCTCGGTTTCCTACACTAGCTACGACTACGGCCACTCTCTCGGAACTATTTGACTTTTTTCGTAACTGGGACGGCACACATTGAGTGACAGATGTTTGGTGGTCGGGATTAGACAGACCATGGGTGGTCGAGGTGGCATGAGGCCGGAGTACAATCTGTTGATTCTCTTCTTGACTTTCGTTTAGATTAATTTTAGTATCAAGGACTCGGGGGATCCACTGGTGTTGTCTTGCACGATGCACATCAGGAGGATGGTAAGCACTCTAGTTGTGAGATCATGCCTGAAGAAATTTATTGTATCACACCGACTTGTGCCTCAATATCGTCATCACTTCTCTGTAGCTTTTTGATCCTATTGGGCAGTAGCCTCCTCCTCCTCTGTTGGATAATCAGTGTACCCGGCTTCTCTCACCCTGTCCGACGAGCCGACGAAACGACTTCGGTCATAAGCATGCAGTGGCGCGCCGTTCTTGAGACGAGCGGGCAGGTCAGGATTGCTCACGAACCATTTAGCGAATACAACTGCATCCCACCCTTGCTCTAACGCCTTGTTGTGATTTTCTGAGCCCCACCCGCCGCAGGTAAGGGTTGGCGTGCCCTTCAGGATCTACCGGAAATGAACGTTCGAGACTGCCGGCAAGCTCCAACTGCGATAGAAACCGTCCTTCTCCGCTTCGGAGTCAATACGGTCCAGTCGTGGCTCGATAAGATGCACATAAGACAGTCGATTATCATCAGCGTAGGCTTGAGCAACCTGGGTACACAGGTACCCTCAGGTCTCTACGCGTTCTGTGCCGCGGGTGTGATTGAAGACTCCGGTCGGCTCTAAGCGGATGGCAACGTTGAAGGGACCGATGGCCTTTGCCACAGCTGAGACGAGGTCGAGTGGGAACTTTGCTCGCTTTTCTGGACTGCCGCCGTACGCATCCGTTCATATGTTGATGTTTGAGTGAAGGAATTGATCAAGGACTGAAGGCTATGTCAGTGGCGAGCAGGTTCAAACTAGATAAATAGTAAACTCACGGTTACCGTTGCCGCCATTGATTTCAACTCCATCAAACCCAACTTCCATGGCAGTCTTTGCTGCAGTGACAAAGTCGCCAATGGTGCGGTCAATATCTTCCTGAGACATGGCTCGAAGGGGATGACCCTTGTACGCCACCTTCTCCCTCGTGACGGGATCTCGAAACGGAAACTTCTCGTCATTATCCCATGGCGTTGCAAACGCACTGTATGCTGTAGATCCCGTCATTTGAGGTATTGTTGCCCGACCAGCGTGCCACAGCTGCGCGTAGATAAAGCCGCCCTTATCATGAACGCCCTTCACGACCCCCGCCAGCCTTTAACTTGAGATGGATGGAATATGCCGGGCACGCCTGGCATTCCGCTTGCCTCAAGCGAAGGTGGGATTCCCTCGGTGAGGAGCAGGCCACCTTGCGAAGCCCGTTGCGCATAGTAGAGCGCAACGGCATCATCGGGAAGCCAAACTCGGTTCGGCTTCTCGGGCACCCCCTCTGTCAGTAGCACTCCGCGATTACGTGTCATCGGGGCCATGACAACCCGGTGCTGCAGCGTGATGCGCCCATAAGCGATCAAGTGGGGTAAAAAGGGTTGATGACATGGCGGTAACAATGAGATGTTGAGGCAGGTCAATATGATCTCGACGGCATCAAACGAACAATGTGCCGCATATTATCGTGGTCGTAGTAAAGATAAAGTGCACAATTAATTAGACACTTCTCGCAATATTCAAGCATTACGAAGCGCTGGATTGCTAGGGTCCAGGAACGATGTCACCATCTCTTGCGTCGGCCATTAGGCATTCGGTCAGGGTTGCAGGCTACTGTAAGAGACGCGCAGATTCTAGTAAGCCATTACAAAATCTTCCGAGTCCTCAGCTCTTTTATGCTTTCCTGCCGAATCAACTTTGGCCTTGCCACCTTTTGTATCGCGATTACAAGCTCACTTAAGATAGTTCCGGTACACTATCTGCTAGCTATGGTTTTGGATTGTGTCGCTGCGGAAGCCAACGCGGGACATGCATGAGATACTCTGCTCACGCAGTCATTCTCGTGGTATCATGAACCAATGCCAGAGTACCTGTGAACCCATCGGATTGTGGGATCCGGGTATTTAAAGGACGCAGGTGCACAGCAGTTAATGAGGTTAATGATGGCGTCGGGTTGTGATGTCCAGATTTCGAATACGGGCTGTGGCAAGGCGCGTCAGTCGACGAGGAAGGCAGGTGAGGGACACAATGTTGGTAGATTTTCTTAGATCTGGAAACGACCAACATCACGCTGAAGGACCATAGTTCTTACAACCTTTGCCCATCCCGCAGGTTTTCCATTTTCTACGGTCTCATGGAGAAATCGCGACGCGATCCAACAGAGAAGTGGAAAGGGAAAAGGAGGAACATGATGCTCTGACCAAGCATGCTGACTAAGACTCTCTTCAATCGATGTTCATTTCTCAACGGGTAGAGCTCGTCGGTTATTTACGTTCTTGTCTTGGAATTACGGTCTCGAATTGGCCCGCGGCGCCCCCTTTTCGTTGGCCGATCCAGCTTCCATCAGTACAAGGTTTGTTTTGCGGCCCAAACTTCTACAGACTTGACCTGACTAATATCTCGACGTAAGGTTCTCGTGAGCAGGCTAGTGCCAGGGACAGATGGTTGGCTAGAATCTTGGCCAGCAGGTTTATTTCTTCGGATGACAATGCCCATAGTGTCAGAGTTTTGCAAGATTTCACGTGGATAGAGTGTTTGCGGAACGATCCCTGCCGCCCAAAATGAAGTTTCTTGAATTCGGGCAGGTTTTTCCATCGCTCTGTATCATCTGGCCGCAAACGTTCAAAGAAGCCAGAGCTGAAATTCGGGGCACTGCACCTCACCAGGACTCACAACACAGCGCATCTCATTGGTTGCATGAGCCTGTCGACCTACATGAAGCTACTTTGTGCAAATTTATCATTGACATATAGCCATGGCCACCTGGTCTATTCTGATGCTTCCATGCGTGTCATCTAACTGTGAGAACAACCAGGATCCAATCAACTTGGTTGTCCTCTCGCGCTTCTAAATAGTCAAGTGAATGGCAGAGAACCCAACCCGAACGCCACACAAATTGCAAAAGTCCATTGTCTAGCTATACTGCTCAGCGAGATACATTAGTCTGGTCGTCCCATCAATAGTAACCTTTCCGCGAAAGGGTCGAGTGCTATGACCTGCCAAGAGCTCACTAGCACCGCAAAATTTCGGAAATAGCTCCTGGATTTGCGGCTGAACACTTGCCAATACCGCTGGTGCAAATCTCTTTCCTACCAAAAGGCTTGGCACAAGCCACTGGGAGCTCTAACCAGGCCGCAGCAAGCTGTGGCTCTACTGAGGGACACTGAATGCGTCCAGAATAACTCTTGATGCAGAGCGCTGTGGCGTTTTGGCTAGGCCAGTTTACATATTTGCTTGACATATTTGTGAGAGGGCCTGACGGACTGTGCTAACGCTGTGAATTCTAGTGCTTCCACATATATCAATAGCAGCTCTTCGCAGTCGCTGCACGTCTTAATCTCCAGTCTTGTGTCGTTACTATCGTGCTCCTGACAACCTCTACTATGAGATTCCCAAAACTCATTCTCGTCTTCCTGACGTTGTACACTAGAGGATATGCTCAGGATCCAAGCTCTCCGTCCACTCTGATTGAAGCAGCGACTTCTGCAGCAGCACCCGAGAGCTCGAAAGGTATGAACATGGCTCCGGGTCCTACACCCTCGTCGCGGCAAGGGTTTTTGCCAATATCGAGAACTTGATCAAACTAACAAGTTACACAGCACCCGACTCCAACAGTCAGCCCATCAGTCAATCACAACCGACCTCCGTGCAGCCTATAACAAGTGCACTTCTGAGCTCCGCCCAGCCTCCCGTAAGATCAAACACCCCTTCCGCGAGCAATGCAAAGTCGGTCGAGGCTTCACCAGTGCGAGCCAGCGGCAACCAACTGCCAACTTCTGCACAGGTGGACGCCCCCTCGAAAGCATCAGTGCCTCCTGAAAATTCTGGTTCTCCAGGACGGACAGCCTATAAAGAGGAGCCCCAGTCTGCGACAGTATCAACTCCAGTGAGACAACCCTCGCTTGCGGGGGCGCCAGCCTCATCGAAAGGAGACCAAAATGTCAAACCATCACCGAACATTCCAATATCTAACACGATACAGGGCACTCAGGTGCAATCTGACTCACCCAAGGCACCCGACAACACAATATCCGGTCAGACACAGGCATCAGTTGCCGCTACCACTGATGCACCCCAAATTTCTGGAGGTTTAGCAGGGAATGGCACTGCTCAAACTGCAACGGCTCGGTCGTATGTCTCATGTATCGTTCACGCCGAGGACTTACTGAACTGACCATATTAGAAGATCCGGAGCCGACTCGCTTGGTGCTGGCGGTGTTACGGCGACGGTTTCGTCACCAGAGCTTGCTACCACTGTCTCCTTCGCCGCGCAACCTTCTGACGGCTTCCGCGTAGTCAACGAGACCGCGGTGGAAGCTATGCCCGAGTCCACTATACCGGCACCCCCTGATGTGGCGACAGTTGATCAACTCGACGCCGAGCTTGCCGTGAACATTCCTGACCAGGGTATCGATGAGAAGAACGCCAAAGCGATTGCTGTCCTCGAAACGGCATATTTCGAGTACTTTGTCAACAAAGACCCGGCGCCAGTGGATATAGGGAAAATATCGATCCCGGCCAATATTTCACAATGCCAGAACAAGTACTCGGAGAAATTGACAAAGCGGAAAGGCTTCGTTGACGAGGTCCTGGACTGGGTGCCACTCATGACGAGGGATCTTCGAGGTTTTGATAATTGCAAAGCCGTTGACTCACTGGAAGTCGGAGTCTACTTCCACTACATGAGAGCATCGCCAACAGCAGCTCGTCCCAATGAACTGGAGGCTAGGGTAAAGGCGCAGGTAGATTGCCTCAACCACGCACCAGCAGTTGTCAATGCTGACACCAAACAGGTCGGCGCTCTCAATGAGGCATTGGGGGCAGTGAAGATCAACTTCCGCTTCATGGCACTCAACTGGTGGGAGCCGAAAGCAGACGAGGACTGGTCAAAGGTCTCCCGACGCGAAAATAAGCTCAAGGACTGGCAACAACGAACTCGCGCCCCAGGAAAACTGGTGCTCACGGTCTGGCTCGTGAACAGCCTTCGCAGTGGCGATAAGGATGACCAAGAACTAAACAGTGTAAGCCCACTACTCTTTCGATTTCACTTGCACGTCGCAGACATAGACAGAGAACTGACATGCAGGGAAAGTACGCCACGTTTCCCAACGAGAAGCTTGACGAGGCAGACGGAATTGTCATCGAAGAGGCGCATGTACAAGGAGGCGATGCGACGACACTTATCCACGATGTTGGCCACTGGCTCGGCTTGGGCCACACATTCGGCGCAATCGGCCAGGAATGCAACGACCAAGGCGGCCTAACCAACGCTACTCAAACATCTGGCAATCGCGACGTTGTGTATCAATGCTCGCAGGTAACCTGTGCCGGTGGACCAGCAGTGGAGATTAACAACTACATGAGCGTAAGTCCCTCCAATTACCGCATCTCGGCGTGTGCTACTGGAAGATGGCGGCACTGACACAGCTCGTTATGTAAACAGTACTCTTCGTGCCGAGGGAAAACACCACGGGACGGCTTTACCACGGACCAAAAGGCGAGGATGTTTGCGAATGCGCTACAATTCCGTCGAGGGTACGAGTCGGGAGAGTGCATGCCGGACGGAAGGGCTGCTGTAAAGAAAAGGTCGAGCATGCAAGAGCTGCTGGATGGGAAGTGTCCAGACATTGACAAACAGGCTAGCATCCTGATGAATGAGCCGCACAGTTCAGGAAAATCACTTTCCTGTTCGCCAAGCAGGCTTTGGGCTGTAGTTGCGACACCGTGGGCCCTCAAGATGTTGCTTTTTTAAATCCGTTGCTGTATATAAATATCAAAATATATAAACGTTCTCCAATTATTGTAGGATAGGACCCGTCGCGGTGATGTCGATGATACTTCAACCATCCTCAGAACGGGTGACTGTAAATAAGCGAGCCTGATCGACCCTGACATTATCCTGCATGGTGTTAGTTTCATTTGAAGTCTTGCTTAGAAATCATGTCAAATAGACATATTAATATTATGTACTAGGCTGCTTGCATTGTGTTTTTGCCTACATGCCTAGTCCCAAGATGTCCCCAAACATAAAGCCACGCAAACTGCGCCAACTATTGCGAAGCCTATGCTTTACTCTTACAACATCAACCATGATTCACTTCATTCCACCTTTTGACCTCAGAAAGGATTCGCCAGAGGCGGCCTTCGCCATTACAAGCTCAGAAGGACGAAGACTGCAGGCCTTCAATACAAGGGTCTGAGACCCGCTTAGATGGCAAGAGCACCGAGAAGGAGCATGGCCAAACCTCCAATGGGGGCAATGCCAGCAGCGCCAGCCGGAACAGCAGAGGTGGTGGTCGCGGTACCGTTGCTGGTAGCAGTGGTGGCAGCGCGACTGCTGGTTGCAGTGGTGGTGACAACACCAGTAGCAGTCGTTGAGCCAGACACGGTGGTGACGGCGGTGGTGACGGGCAGAGACATTGAGCCCTCGGCCGAGGTGGGAATGCTCACGGAGGCGGCGGCTGAGGAGGCAACGGAGGAGGCGGCACCACCGGCAGAAGCCGCGGCGCAGAGCTTGTCGGACGCGGGGAGCACCTCGTCTAAAGAATCGTTAGTTGCTTGAACACAAGGTAGTCCGGGTTGATGAGCGTCATAGCATACTCAGAGCCTTGTCAACGCCGCAAGCCGAGATGACGCAGCTGGTGGCGGCAGTCTGGATAGCGGCCTTGTTGTCAGCCTGGCATGTGCAGGAGTAGTCGCCCTCCTTGCAACTGGTGGCCGAGGCAGTGGCGTCGGTCAAGCACTTGCGAGCGCACTCGGGGATGATGGTAGGGTCGACTTGAGCGGCGGCGACGGCGACAAGAGCTGCGAGAGCGAAGGAGTACTTCATCTTGACTGCTGCGGGGTGATGATGTCGGGTGGTGAAATTAAGGTGTAGTTCGAGTTTGGTTAGTGATACAGCAGGGGACAGCGACTATCAATTTGACTGAGGCAAGTGAATGTGGATGAGAGAAGACTGAGCAGGAAGAAGTATGGAGCTGGGGGAAACAGGGCTTTATGTAGATATGTGAACGGATTGTTGCACGCAGATGCCTTTCGTCTGTTTGGGTATAGCCGGGTCTATATCTGAGTTGACATGGAGGTCAAACACGTAAAATGAGGAATTAAATTGACCTGGTTGGCTGGTCTGACCAAGCTGGGAAGAGCCAGACAAGCTCAGGGTGGACTCTCTCCTTTTCTCTGCTTTCCCCCCATCCATTCTCCGTCAGTCAATACTTACACACGTACCTGGACTAGCCAGAGAGGGACCTGGAAGTGTGAGCGCGTGCGAGGCGAAGGAGCCTGGGGAGGGAAGTGGATAACAGAGATCTTTGCATAGGAGCGGTCGCTAGTTCCGGATGGAGTCGTGCATGTTAATGCGCGCGTTGCAACAATATGATGAAAAAAGCATTGAGCGACAACAAGGCCGACCTCTCGGTACGTAGTTCCCCGCGCTATCCCCGGTCTGCGAGTGGTCTGCGGGCCTCAGGGCTGCGCTGGTGATCGCTTGTAGACAGGCGGATTGGTCGGGCTGGGATACCGGATTGGATAGTTTCCTCCGACGGGACGGGGACCATCTTAGGTCAAAGTAAGGCCTGGAGCTACCTCTGTTGGTGCTTATTACAGGGGAGTTTGTTGTAGTGGTGGTGGTGTGTGTGAAGCGCTTGACAAACAGGTCTCCTTCGGCATCTTCTCTTGCTGGACATGTGAAGGAGATCGATTCTCTAGAAAGGATGTGGCACGATGCACGTTGAACCGGGAGGCTTTGCAGAGTTGGGAAGCTGGATTTCCCAGATTCAGCCGGATGTAATCCCGGAGCCGTATGATCCATCCCAAATGGTCTTTTGTACGACCCTATACCCCGGCTGGGCGTTGCTGACTAGCGGAATTGAGAACGATGTTCGTTGGAGAGATGTTGAGGGCCTCCGACTAAGGGTAACTCCGTCCCAAGGCAAAATGTTTTCTGCCTTTTTTCCGAGCAGGGAAAATCTGGGGTCACTAATGGAAGGCAGCGGGAGCGTTTCTTAGCTACAGCGAGTTGCTAGGTGTTCGGCCCATCCGTTGACTGGTAACTTTACGAACATCGATGCCAGACTCTAGAGTCAGACGAACCTTGGGTCCTGATCAGTGTCTCTAATGAAGGTTTGGGGGCTGTTGAACTTTGATAAGTCATTCCAAAAGTTGGCTGAATGTGGCTGGGCGCCTCCGTGATCTCCAGCCAGCCCAGTACATCCGAGGTCAGGAACCAAGGCACAGCGTTGCCGAGACACTGTCTCCTCGTATTACGAGAGGCGAACCAGCTAGAATAGCCCCAATGCCACGCTGAGAGGCGAATGGAAAGGATGGACTACCACAAAAAGGCAGACAAACAATCAAGAAGTGGGCAGATGCAGGAACACGGCAGCTACCAGAACGCCGTGATTCCTCCCTCCACCAGTTTTCAGACAAGGTGACATCCGTGTGTCACGGCTGTCATGATTGGACAGATGACACCGCCACCTACGCTAGACTGCGCACCTTTTGTGCTGCTTCTCTCAGGCCACTCCCAATGGTGGGCATGGCGAGAGACCCAAGAAACCCAACAGAGGTGGGGGAAGCAGTGCTGTTTTTCCCGGGGGGGATGCCAATTTCCCCCGCACGAAGCCATTCCCCTTTGGTAAAGGGATGCTTGGTTGCCCCTGGTTGATGGACGCAAGCCCGCCGAGGCGAGTATGCTTCCTTTTCCAGTCTTCCTGCTGGAAAAACGAACGAAAATAAGGGGGGGGGGGGGGAAGCATCTGACACAAAAATAATGGTATTTCTGGCTATCAGCGACGAATCAAACATCAAGAATGCAATAGTGGCTTTTCCCATCTGTATGCCTTGACACTGGCATTTTTTGGAAGAAAAGCAAAATGGCCCCGTCACCGCTTCTCACATCACCGCAAAATATTGAGCTTGTTCAGACCGATTAGAGCTGAGGTGAAAGTTTTAGTCGGCGGTTAGCCGACTTTGATTCAACTCTAAACCACAGCTAGCGACAGGCCAGACGACTTCTCGACAGGTCCTCGATGCTGGGCCCTGGCTGGGTGAGAGAGTCCCAGTCCGGCCTTTTGCTGGGGCGGTGCAGGGATGCGCTGGTGAAGTGCCTCGACGAATCAGCCGAGCAAGCCGGCCTATCCATTTCTGCCTCTTTTCCTCTTGCCATCTTCTCTCCCCCCAAGGCCAGCCTGGGTGCACGCTCTAGCTAAGTCCGCTGGCGAAGAGGATTGGTCTCGATAGTCGCCACCGACGCGTGGTGGCGCTGAGCAAAGATCGGGTCAATGACCCTGTGCCACGCTCCAAATTATATCGTGTCTCTTCCGATGATTACTGGGTGACCTTCTGGAATAGCCTTCTCGGCGTTGGGCGACCTTTCCCGCCAGCTCGTCAGTGACAGACATGTCATGGGACGTCCGAAAGGGGCTGGCCTCTCTTCATCTCGCCTCGCGGCACTCACGGCACAATGGTCTGTGAAGTGATGGGGCCCTCCCTGTGGGGAGGCTGTTAGGGCTGGTCATCAATCCAAACTTAAGAGCCATATTGTCAATATCTCCTTGGCGTCATATTGCTCGTCGTTGTTGGCGTTTCTCTGCCGTCTCGAGAGTATTTTACTTTGTTGGGGAACTTGAGTCCTGTGTCATTCAAAATTTGGCAGAATTGGCTTGCGGCGCAACTGCCTGCCACTCGGTACACTCGTAGGCCCTGAGCGGGAAACATTGACGTCGTAACGGACATTTGGGGACCCTTCTGACGATCCGTTTGACGTTGAAGGCGATCATTGGAACCCAAGGCTTTCCGAAGCTGGAAGCTGTTGGTTGCACCGAGGCTGCTTGTGACAGGCACTCGCCGCAGCGTAGAAGTCTAGCTGCCCAGTTGCCGCCGTTCAATGTAGGAGTATGGTGACGTCTATCGCGACCTCGAGTTTTTCGATTTCGCACACATCGAATCGGCCCATTGGGGCTTTGGGTAATCGCTCAGATGCCATGTCGCTATGCCGCAATGCCGGTTCTCGTTACCTTTCATTCCTTCTTCGTTATCTGTCAGCTTTCATCTTGGTGAGCTGCTGTATCTTATTGCTTTTTCTCCAACGATCCTAGGATCCATCTGCTGGAACATTGAGATCCTAATGCAGTCGCTGCATACCTATTTCCTTGTCGAACACGTTCCTTTTTCGAGTTTACCGGAAACCCGGACCAGTTGTTACCGCATTCTGTTCGGCCCTTTCACTTGATCCGTTTCACAAGCAGTATCACCAGAGAGCCTCTTAGCCGTTTTTCTTTTTCCACCGTAGGGACATCGTGGTGTCGATAGGTATTTGCAGAGTTAGTCGGTGAATGAGTGTGCCTACTTCGCGACCCTCGCATTGCCGAGTTAGGGTCTTTAGGTGCATCGTCAACCGGTGCCAAGCGTGACATTACAAAAGAAGATAAGAGTCAGAAACAAATCCAAAATACAGACATCGGAGGGTCAGCATCCTTATCAGAACGCCCAAATTACGGGTTTAAAGAGTTTGCGTACGTAGCTGAGCACATCATGATGCAGGTATATGAGGTCAATCAGGGGTGTGGGTTGTCAGGGCATAATAGGATCAAATTAGAGCAAACAAAATGCTGGGTACATCATAACGAACTACCAAAGACTCTCAGAAGTTGGAAAAATTCTAATTGTGCCCTATAGACTGCTGTCCTCGGATATCAAGATTTAGAGCTGTATATTGCGACGGCCGACATGAAAATCAACAGCGAAGCCAGAACGTACGTTGACTTATCGGTGGCCTAGACTGTCAGTTATCAAAGATACATGACGGATGTTTCTGTCTGGAGACCGAAGTCAAGCCTGGGTTTACCAAGGGAGGCAGTAAGGTGGCAGAGACCTCAGACGAACAATCTTGACGGAGATGATGTGGTGGTTCCATCACCGTATGGCCCTGTGTGACATATTGCAATGGTTGTGGGCTTTTTACCGGACAACATATTCAAATGAGTTCATCATTTCCCCTTCGTTTTGCGCCATCTAACACAACACACTCTCGTGGAGAAATCAGCGCAACTCGAACGTGACCAAAACACACAACCAACAGGGCACATCAGGCCGATCCAACTTACCTTCCTCCAAGAACTTTACAATAGACAACAGCACTGACAGTTTCAATGTAATCAACTCGAGGCGACTGAACAAGAAACACGACCACTGCACGAACGACTCGTTAGGAAAGCTCGAGGTATGCAAGGAGTTTAGCGGTATGGTTGAAATAAACGGCCTTTCGATACCCCGAGAGGCCCTGTACTATTTTTTGACAATAGGAAGTAGTTTTAGTATCCGCTAAGGTAGTCAAGAAGTATTATATGAATTATTCCTTTTTCAATTCATCTCTAATTGAAGCCTAGTTCGGTAACCTGGCCTCCTGGCCCTGCTATACAGTGCTTTGGATGGAATGGCACCAGACACAACTATTATTACCGTTCAGAAACTGCGTGCAAATAAAAGCTTAAAATAAATTAAAGACTGGAACCGAACAAATCGTCCGTGGTCCTTTTTTATCTTGTTTTATGCTTCATAACTGCTCTTGTTTGTCAGATGTATGCTAGCATAGTTTCTTGGAGTCCGGGGGAATGATACATTCCAATGGCGGCAAAATTCTTTTCCGTCCAGGCTCACTACTGTCAATGCGTTATCAACACTTGAAATCCAACTTGCGATCATAGCACGGCAGCTGCAACAAACGAAAAGCAAATTTCCTATCACTTTTGCTTAACTCAACTTAGCGAAAGACAATCATGGAAACGACTGCTGCGCCAGAGAGAACCCTCCACCTTGTGGGGATTGGTGTCGGCCATTCCATCGCACCGCCCATGCACAACGCGATCGCAAAATCTCTGCATCTTCCATGGAAATTTTACGCAACCGAGTGTTCGACCATTGATGACCTTCTTGCTCTGGCGCGGAAGGAATCCACAGCAGGCTTGGTCGTCACGATGCCGTACAAGAACACCATAATGACGCGCCTAGACGCCATTGACGACCTTGCAAAAAGTATCGGGGCTTGTAACAACGTCTACCGTGACCTTCAAGCACCGGAATGCCTGCATGGCACCAATACAGATTGGCTTGGGGTGAAAGGTTGTCTCCTCGAAAAAGGAGACCACCCGGGCCCTGTGCTGTACAAGCCTGCGTTGATTATTGGGGCCGGCGGTGCAAGCCGAGCTGCTGTCTACGCCCTGCACACACACTTCAGGGCCTCAGTCATCTACATCCTGAACAGAGATGAAGGAGAAGTTGTCGATCTCGTTCGCGACTCGCAGCGTTTGTCACCTCCGCCCAAAATCATCCACGTGAAGGAGGGGGAGTCGAAGAGCTTGGAAACGCCGTACTATGTCGTCGGCACTGTCCCTGACTTGGAGCCCAGTTCGGCGTCGGAACTGGCTGTGAGGGCATCAATGGAGGACTTTCTTTCCAGGCCGGAGAAGGGAGTTTTGCTGGATATGTGCTTTAAGCCGCGGCGAACCCGTACGATCAGGCTGGCAGAAAGTCTTGGCTGGCCGACTGTAGAGGGGACACACGTTATTGGATACCAGATTGAGGAACAGTGGAAGCTTTGGACTGGAGAGGAGACGATGGGGAAGCTGGATAAAGACGGTGCTTGGAAGGTGTTACTTGAAGTAGCGGACAAGAGCCCAGGTATCAACTTCTGAAAAGAGGGTCTTTAGCGAATTCGAACTGTTTTCCTGTACGGAAGATGAGCCTATGACGCGTTGTAGCTTTCAGCAGCAGTTAAACATGAATCTCGGTGATGCCAATAAGAGAAATACATTCAACGATTCAACGGAAAGGTCACAACTTGTGAACAAGAGGACATCTACTAATTCCTGTGGCCCTTGGGATAAGTCACACCGAGTAAATCTGCCACTTCTCATTTAGTCCTTCACTGGTTCAAATTCAGGCGCTCAGCAAACTTTTTCCAAGCCTCTATGCCCCTCCGTGCGTGCTCCACGGGCACCTGAGCACCCTCTTCCGACATAGTCCTGGAGAATAGCTCCATTGACACCCAGCCCTTGTACCCAAGACCCTCTATCAAAGCCCGAGCGACATCTTCCACTGGTAAGTATGCTCCGCGATCCGTTTCGTAGATGAAAGTTCGCGCGTTCCGCGACCAGTTCATCCGCGATGGATTTCCTTCAATATGAAAGGCATGGCCCTTGATGAGGGGTGACTCCATGCGCTCGGCATCAATCACTTGGATATAGAAGACTTTCGCTAGGTCAACGTCGCGCACCAGCCTTTCCAACGACTCCTTCAGATCTGTATCTGCATTCGGAGTCTTTCCTGAAGGGGACGCTGGATCGCCCCAAACACGGCCAGCAATGTTGAAAGTGTCAAGACAGAGGCCGAAATTGGGACGATTAACTTTGCGCACCACTTCCCACGACTTCTCCCACGTATCAATCCACGTACTCCAGCAGAGGCTCTCATAAGCGAAACGTATTGGTGGGTCTTCCTTGGATCCACGGTCTGCGAGCTCAACCAAGTCGCCAACGATGGCATCCATATCGCCTGTGAGCTTTTCGGCAGGAAGAAAATTGGCGGGGATCTGAATCGTGTTGGTTCTCAGGATCTTGGCGAGCTTGAACCACACCTTGATCTTCTCAATCAGGCGCGCGTGTTGCTCCCGGTCCAATAGACCTTCGTAGAAAAGAAACGGCTGGAGGCCGACAACTATCAAACCTACGTCGTCGAGGGCTTTGCGTATGTGTGTCGCGGCTGTAAGGAGCTGCTCGGTGTTGGGGTCCTCGACACCCTGGAGTTCTTTGGTCACATATTCAAGGTCCTCATAAAAGACTTCAATACCTTGAAACCCTCGTTTAGCGGCCTCAGCAGCTTTTTTGTCGAACTTATGGTGCCAGGCGCGGCCCAAAGAGGCAGAGAGAATGGCGGGGCGGAAGGTAGCCATGCTGGCCATGCGCAATCTAAAGGATAGGAAATGAGGTCGAACGCTCAACAATGCAAAAGACAAGAAGATCTCAACGACATGTTACGGACAGCAGGAGCCAAGCGTCATCGCGTCCCATTGTTTGCCAGCCCCGCATAAGAGGAGCCGAGGTTACTTGACTCTCGTATGGTGTGGGTAAAGTCAAACATCTAGATGCTACTAAGCGGGAGAGCTCATTTCCGGATCACACCCGGAATGATCTCCGGGATGTTACACATTTTGTGGGTGATCCCAAAGAAGACTGGTAATTCCCAGGAGCAACGCCGGCTCTGTAGTCATCTGAAAAGTGCTCATAATACATTGCAATTGCTCTTGCGCGAGATAGAAAAACATCAGTTGCTGTGCCACCATAAGTTGTTTCTCCAACAATTGAATTGAGCTTGGGGTTGTTATTTGCAAGGAAGCCGAAGAAGATCTAATTAAGCCGTGATTCGAAGGTTGTCAGTATTTTAGACAAATTTGAGATACAGGTGGGAGCAGGCGAAGTGGAGAACGCAGCGGATGGATCACGAGGATCTTTTGATCTGATCATGGCATTTGTATTGCGGTTGAAGGATGTCCCGAGACGTATCTTTGATATCGAACCCTGCAGTTTGAGCCATTCAAAGAAAAATTACCCCATGGTTTCTAAAAACTTATCCGGGCTCCTTGTCGAAAAACGACTGCAGATCAGATGTAACACCACGAATAACGCCCAAGTGTTCCATAAACTCTGGAGGGTTTGCCGACCTGTGGATTTTATTAGCAGAGCGCTGCAGCTTTGAGTGAGGTATTCTAACCAATCAGCCGAGTCCAAGTTGGCGAGGCTTTGGAATAGCTCGTCATTGTCCATGTCACCAGCGGTGGTGTCCATCACTTGATCAAAGTTGAATGCCGGACTCAAAAATGTCTCGTGCAACGGGTGTGGTATCGTGTTTGACCTGAGAAGATGACTGGACGCCGCACCATGATGCATACTTGGCTGTCGATGATGGTTTGAACGGTGAGGATTCAACGGAGTGTTCACTACCCTAGATTGAGCCGTCGGTATGGAGCCAACGGTGATGGCAGTGCTCATTTGAATCTCGTGATTCGATGACCAGGTATCTAGTTGCGAGTCAGTACCCGACCCCTCTTCCATGGTTATCGAACCCGTTGCCTTCGAGTCTCGGTTCTGGGAATTATCTTGGAGCATGCGGGCTTGTAGTTGTTTCCTGTTGACGCTGGAAAGAGATGTACGCAGTCTCTGGAGATCCTCATTGATACTGACATTGACTTGCAGACGCATCTGGAAGCCTAGCAACTTGTCGAAACAGTAAAGATAGATACTACAAGTTGGCGGTATGTAGCGGGCTCCCATGGTTTGAAGACGTTGATGTAGAAGTGTGCCTTGTTCTTGCATGTTCGCAAAACTGCCGCTACTGACAAGATCTTGTCGGATCATGAACCGGCGCAACTCTTCTGTTCTGAATGTTTCAAAAACGCTAGCACATGCCAGCTGAAGATTGAGCTTTTGGGGCGCCACTTCAACCTCGTGGCAAGTTCGATTTTGTGGAATGTTATTCTGACTCCAGGTCCGTAAAGATGTGCTGAGGTCCTGCAAGCTCTCGACTCCCTTCTCCTTGTTCTGTAGCCTGATAATGTCATTGAGGAAGGCAACTAGCTCCACCAATTGGTTGAAAGTGCTCAGGATCTGTCCTGGAGTTTGTCTAGGGACGAACACGCGGCCTTGGTCGTCCTTAGATTGCCACGGCTCCCATTCCTCCATTGAGTCCGTAGAAAGCATGCCAATTCTCGTCAAATCCGTTCGTTGGAAGTACGGACGCGAGTTCACCCAGGATGCTATGAGTGTGTCCAGAACAAAACAACTCAACAGTGTCCGCTTCGTCCCTTCGGCAATTTGCGTACGAATGTTCTCCAAAGTCTCCGAATGGAAGACGGTTGCAGCAGCATAGGTGGCCTGGCCCATGGCAAGCCATGCGGCGTTGCGGTTGCCACGATCGAGTTGTAGAATTGCGAGAATGAGAAAGGTTCTAATGTGACCTAGATCATACTGCTCGATGTTTTCTGCTAAAAGATTGACGGCTCTGTCTCGAAACAGTTCTACAGAGTCTCGATCCATTCGGCCTTCAACGCTTTGCGAAGAGTATGCCATTATCGCCCACAGAAATGCGAGATCGCCTCTTGTCATGCCTTCGGGGGTATCCGAGATGCCATTGTGGTTGGCTACCATGTAAGCTAACCGCAAGAGTTCATGCTTTTGGACGAGAGGTAGCCATGAATGTGTGTTGGCGAAGTATATATCCAATAGAGACGTCCAATTTTCAGGGAGTTGGACGTTGTCGCAGTGAGAAAGCGGTGTCTGGTTAGGAACAGTGTCCATACCATCATCAGGGCAGTAAGCTACGGAAGTAGTTGGCGAGGTATCATTGGTAAACAATCGTCCAGTATCTTGCTGCATGAAAGATGCTGAGTTGTCAACGGAATGACTATTTCTTTGTGTGAGAGAGGTCGTATTTGTAGTAATTGGGTTAGATGTATCGGAGGTGATGTCGGTTTGGGACGATTGTTCATCCAGGATGGTTGCAGTCAGTTTCATGGCTTTGTTGACCCCAGAGTCAAAAGTCCTCGAGGAACTACCATCTTCGTCCCCTTCGGCTGACTCGACATTGGATAGCCATTTCTCGACTTGTTTCAATACATCGCTTTTACGCCAAACATCAACCAAGAACTCCGCAACGTCTGCCTCTGGAGCCATGTCTGACCTCCAATCTCGTAGGCGAAAGGATGGCTTTTGCGCATTACCGTTCAATAATGCAGCCATCCAAGATTCAGAGTGTTCGATAGTACTGAGCATCATGCCGAGTACGACCTCAATGGCGCGCACATATCCGGTACGTAGACCACGCTTCTTTGGGGGGTTGTAGTTGCATGTACGTCCAGTATCCACGCATGAACCACAGGATGGGCGACCACCGTCGCAGCGATCTTTACGTTTCCGACATTGGTTGCAGGCTCTGGTCACTCTCATACGGACTCTAGTATGTGAATGTGTAGCCGCATCATCGGAGTTGTCGGCATCGGGCCTTGTCCTTTTGCCCCGTTGAAGAGTGTGCGTCCTATCGGGTTCGTCGTCGCCCGTTGATTGCCGGCGTAGACGGCGTTTGTTCATGGTCGTCTTCGACTCGATTGGGATTCACCAAGATATCTCTCACTCCTAGAACTGGCTGCGAGCGTCTTTGTGTACTGAGCATGGAGCATATTCCGGCACTCATGTTCCAGGCGACGTCACGGGGTGCTGAAGTCACGACCCCACTTGATCGAGACGGGTAGTTGTATATAGCGGGGTGAGCTATTTCCAGCTAAAGACAGTGATTTCGAAAACATGTAAATGGTATGTATGTATGCGGGCCAACTCCCTGACTCGTTCCAATGAAGCTTGCTATGGAGGATACTTGATTATATACTCGCAAAGCACCTTACGTGATTCGAAAGCGCAGTACTCATTTCTACTTCATATAGCCCTTCCATACCACCACTAAGGTTAAGCTGGACACATGAATTTAGGAATCATCCGTCTAATGTATTATTCAGTCCGTCCTCTTGAATCTTTTATGGAGGAGAGATTCCCCGCTTAAGATTGTCGACCTTATGGGGTTTAATCCGATTTGGCAGGTCAGTCCTCTACCCCTCCTCTGCTTTGTTGCATATACTCGGCAAATTCTATAGCACCGACATAACTGGATATCTGCCGGATATGAATTTTCCCGCCGGTGGATTGACTTCAGCTGGCAAGCCTTGTGCCTAGCTAGTATTGTCTTCTACATTAGAGCTGAATCCTAGTCAAAGGGTAAGCATTTCATCTGGATCTGTCAGTGCTCGCAAGTGGTAGTCCCATCCTATCAAAGAACCAAGATCTAGGACCTTTAGTCCCGCCACACCGATCACAGGCCCGAAGCAACTTCAACACAGCTCGATGGACCGATGATGAGTTACCAATGTCGTCCCCGTCCTCCATCAACCTTGCGGCAACCTCAGCTGAGTCGCCATCCGGCACGACAACTCAGCGCGGCTCTAGAGAACCCCTCGAATTCGCGAGCCTCCCTTTGAGCAATCCGAATTCTCAGCGTTCGCCATTTTCCCAAGCCCAATGGCAAGGGTTCAATCCTTCTCAGCGCTCCTATGCACCGGATGTATCAATCGCGCTCGTGGGCATTCGTGGCACCGGAAGGTCAACCCTGGCTGTGATGGCATCCAGCGCACTTGGATTCCGCCTCCTTGACGCTGACCAGCAATTTTTCCAGACCACTGGGCAGTCGCGTGCGAGTTACAAAGCACAGCATGGCGCGATTGATTATCGTAGGGAGGAGTTGAAGCTTATGCGCTCCATGCTATTTGACAATCCGACCAGAGCGATAATAGTGTGCGGGCCAGGGGCTGTGGAGAGAACCGGGCAGGCTTGGCTTTCTGAATACTCCCAGAGTCATCCAGTCATCTACGTCTTGAGAGATGCCGAGGAAATAGAGAGCCACCTCAAAGTTTGGAACACCGATGCAATCTCTCGCCTTATAAGCCTCAGTGGGCCAACTCATCGGTCGCTGTCTAATTTCGAGTTCTACAACATCTCTAATCGCTTTCTCCAGGAGACCGATGAAGCTGCAGGCTCCGGTTCCGGGTCGCCCAAATCTCTTACGCTGAAGCGTGTCGAGGACGATTTTCTCAAGTTCATTTTCAGCATTACCCGCCGGGCCCATCAAGGCTCGGGAAATCAAGCCAGTGACGGCCCGGCTTCTTTACCACCTGAAAGCAGGCCATACACGTACGCTCTGAATCTGCCCTTGTCTGCGGTAGAGGCTGTGGGGTCCCGGCTTCGAGATATACACACTACAGCCGACGTAGCAGAACTTGTAATCCCTCTCCGGGACATACGCGGCAGGGCACCCATCTTCGACGATTGGACCGCCAACTATCTCAGTCGGCATTTCTACGCTGTCAAGAGATATACAAGGTTACCCATCATCTTAAACATCCAGACAGACAATACGCATATCACAGAAACGATTGATACTGTATCCAAGCCCGATCCCAGTTACTACTCTCGCCTCCTGAACCATGCTCTTCGTCTCGCTCCCGATTATCTGTGCGTAGACCTCCGGGCTGGGGATGAGTTGTTGCGCAACATCATGGCAGCCAAGGGCGCCACCAAGATTATCGGCCATTACCTTGGCAACTCCGCATCTCCAGATGGGTGGCGCGACCCGGATTTGACTAACAAAGTAAGATTCGCAGAACTGATGGGCTGCGATATTGTTCGGGTATGCCGAAAAGCCGAATTGCCAACGGATAACTTTGAGACTCAGCACTTCATTCACGAAGCTCAAAAACGGAGCGCTGATAAAATCCCACTCATTGCTTACAACACTGGCCGACTTGGGCGGATGTCATGCTTTATGAATCCCACATTCACGCCCATTACGGATTCTCTGTTACGAAGTATCGCTCCAGGGCATACACCCCACTGTCTCTTGACTATACAGGAAGCGCAAAGAGCCCTATACTCATCCTTCCTCCTCGATACCCTGTATTTTGGGATCTACGGTAGCAACGTGTCTCAAAGTCTGTCTCCAGCGATGCACAATGCGGCGTTCAAATTTTGCGGCATGCCTCACGAGTACAAGATATTCCAACAACCAACGCTCAACGAGCTCCGGCGGCTAATATCTGACGAGAGCTTTGGTGGCGCAAGCATAACGGCGCCATTCAAGAAGGAAGTCTTTGCCATTATGGATTTCACGAGTCCCGAGGCCCAAGCAATCGGTGCCGTCAATACCCTAATTCCACTCCGATCCAGCAACATCGACTCCTTACTTCACCGTAACAGATCAGGCCCGATAGCTGCTCTGTACGGCGACAATACGGACTGGATAGGGATACATACGTGCGTCCGCCGTAATCTTTCACCAATTAACAACGTTAGACGACGGACTACTGCGTTAATCGTCGGCGCTGGTGGCATGGCGCGTGCGGCAATGTATGCCCTTCTCCGTCTAGGCGTCTACAACATTTTCATTCAAAACCGCTCTGTTCAAAACGCAGAAGAGCTGGCCAGGCATTTTAAGAGGCAGCACGAAAGAAACGAAGAAGGTAAAAAGTCTTTATCTGGCACGAGCACAGAGGAAGCAAACAACGTTGCAATGTCTCCTGTGATTCGAGTGCTACCGACAAAGGAGGATCAGTGGCCAGAGGATGCTGACTTTCCAACAATCATAATTTCTTGTATTTCAACACAAGAAGTCGATGGCCGTTCATCTGTAGACACGAGCCTCTCCCCCAGTTGGCTTGGCAGTCCAACTGGGGGGGTCGCTGTCGAGGTAGGTCTCTCTGTAGTTCTTGCCTTTCTCCAACTACTGACGCGGTGTAAAGCTCTCGTACACACCTATAGAAACACCACTACTAAAACAAGTTCGTGAGATGAGCGATGACGGATGGATTGCTGTCGACGGTCTCAAAGTTCTTCCAGGACAGGGCACGAGACAATTTGAGCTCTTCACGGCGCGAAAGGCGCCCCGGAGTGTAATGCGCGAGGAAGTCCTACGAGCATACGAGGCTAGGATGATTGAGCAGACCAAGAGAATGGCTAGCGGGGCAGACGAGAGTTAGCATAGCAATGATATCACAGGGGGCCTTAAGCCCCGTCCATCGAAGAGTTTCAATCATAACGGAGTGGTTAGTGTACCCCAGTCAAGCCGGATAAACAGCTTCGTACGTCACGGAAACCAAGTTCATCCGATTAATAGCGCTTAGTGACATTTCAATCCGTTTTGGACCCAGCGAGATAGAGCGAAAGTGGGCGGCAAGAGCGGCAAAGGTCTTTTCCGTCGCATTGTGATCGCGCGAATACAGTATACCTAAGCGCTCGAATTCGGGTTAATCTGCATCTCGCATCACACATATCAACGTTCTCCTGTCGAACCGGCGGTGGTAAACTTTCTCTTTCAGCAACAAACAATTCATTTCTCGCCGTGAAGCTTATCTACAATCACTGCTCCCTTCACACATTGGAAAAAGCACAAAAAAACAAGGATTTGTTCCCTAGACTTACCTAGAAGTTTTTAAACAAAGAACCTAAAGTGAAGACGCAATGGGATCATCAGAGCAACCTGATAACAGGCCGGAGAAGGCCTTCTTCATCTTCGGTCACAACATCTCGCACACCCTCTCTCCAACGCTACACAACACAGGCTTTCGGGAGCTTGGTCTGCCATATCAATACAACATTCACCAAACTGAGAGCGTCGATGAGACGGTTGAAAAGATCATCAAACGGGACGACTTCGGGGGCGCCTCAGTCACTTTCCCACACAAACTCCAGATCGGTAAGCTGCTGGATTCGGTCACCCCCTGCGCCGAAAAGATCGGAGCGGTCAATACCGTTATCGTCGACGAGAGGTCCGGTAAAAGGTGCCTCTTAGGAGACAATACCGATTGGCACGGAATTAAACGATGCATCGAGAAAAGCGGCGTGGAAGGTCTCCAGTCTTCTGCAGCGTTGATACTTGGCTCTGGAGGCGCAGCTCGGGCTGCATGCTATGCCTGCCTGGAATTGGGTATCTCCGAGGTTCTAATCGTTAATCGGACGACCTCAAAGGCACAGGCCATGGCAGACCAGTTTCCCAATGTCAAAAGCCACGTTATGGCAACCCTGGATGGCGCTGCGACAGACAGAAAACAGCCCGAGAACACGGAAAAGGCACCTATTCGGGTCATCATCGCTTGCATACCGGCTGATGATCTCAGCAAGGACAAGATCCCTTCCGAAATCTTTACAGGGTCGGAAACCGGTGTGTTGATCGAGATGGCTTACAGACCCCAGGTCACGGGTATGATGGCTAGGGCGTCTTGCCACGAAGGCTGGAAGGTGTTTAGGGGAGTTGATGTTCTGGAGGAACAGGGGTACGCGCAGTTTGAGTTGTGGACTGGGAAGAACGCTCCTGTGCCGGCGATGAGGGCTGCCATGCAGGCCAAGATTGAGCAAAACGAACAGGCCAAATCATCCATGTAACCCATTTCCAAATGGTTTCTTTCACAATAGACTGTAGAGTTTGCTCGGTCGGTTGGCTGGAGACTTACATTGAGTATATGGAGACCCTTTTCCATCTTCCTCATCCAATCTTGAGAGCGTCATCGAATATGATCGCAGGCACACGAGTAGAGGCTCATATACATGTCAAAAATAAGAGATGGACCTAGTATATTACTCTAAACACACCGTCATATGTCTATACTCTTTTCCTCAGCCAAACTTTCGCCTGCCAGTACAGGGGACCATGCTTTTCAAGGTTCGGCGTGTCAATATGACGACGATGGCCTGGCAAATCTAGCAGTACCTTGACCCCCATTGTAAGCTCTTGAAAATACACAAGATACCTGTAACCAGGCGGGTAAGTTGCTAGCTTCTCCTCATCAATCTTTGGGAACTTAGCCGGGTTCGTCGGGATGACCTTGTCCTTCTCATACCAATGTCTCACCAGCCGCGCTCCCCAGCGGTTGCCGACCTTTTCAAAGAAGAAGCAAAATCGGCTATCACCTTCCACGTCAAAATCGGCGCCGTCAAACTTGAAGCGCTGAGTAATTGTTGCCTTGAGCTTGGTCACAGCGCGGATACCTTAGGGTTAATGTCGGTTCTGCAGCCGTGACAGCGGTGCATGACAAAGACACCTTTGTCCATGCCCGCTTTGGATGTTGTGATAAAATCTGTGAATGGGACACGGCCAGACCATTTGTATATACAAAGGCCCCTGAGTGAAAAACAGATTCAAAGTTTTCCCACTCGCAAACGTCTTTAGTTGTAAAATTTCCATCAGCGTGGTGTTGGAGGGTAGATGACTTGCCAAACAGTAAGATGGCCATCCCTCAGCCAGCTCTCTCGATTTAAGCCTTTCCAAGACAGGATGATCTAGTCCATTGTTGCGGATGGCATTGGCTAGGCGGGATCCGGCAGGGAGACTGTGGAGATCGGCCATTCTGATTCGTCGTTATTAACAAAGGTATTGAACTAAGTGTAAGACGACCTCGACAGTCAATGGTAGACATGGTTTCATGATATAAAGAATTGGTATTTGAATCAACTGGGATCGGCATTTCCGAGCAAGCCGGACCTTCATCGGCATCCGGGAGCTTTGTGTCCGCCATTTTGCGTGCGTGCGGGGGAAGCCACCCGGAAACCCCAACGACACGGATAAGGCAAAGACATTACCCGGTTTAATGGATATATCTGTATGTATTGCCTGTCCGTTCCTGTCGTATTTGATTCGGGGAGGGTTGGTGGAATTGTTCAATTACTTACCACTTAAAGCGTTTGCTGCATCTGAAGTATCACCACTCTCTCGGAAATCTATCAGTCACACTGTCTGGGGTAACTGACGCTAATGCCACTTACTATCTATCGTCACTAACCACCCCTACGGCATATATAGACACAGATACGCTTTACTAAAACACAAGGCCAGTTTCTGCAGACCTGAAACCCTTGCAAACACCGTTCGTTAATTACCACAGCAAATCGCTTTGATCAACAAGCTGATCTTTGAATAATAAAACAGCCTGCTTGCTCTAAGTCATTCCACGTGTAGCTTTCAGTGCGTTCATTGTTAGCTCGCTTTCAGAAGAAGGCTTTCAAAGACGCCAAGGTAGATGATGAATGGGCCGGCGGGCGTCTGCATAGACCTCGAGGGAAATTCAAAAAGGTAGTTCCCACACCGAGGTTCGAACTCGGGTCTCTCCGGAACGCTTCAATAGAATGAAAGCGGAGTATCCTAACCACTGGACTATATGGGACTGTAGCTGGTACCCTATTGGTTGGGCGAATCCTTTACAATGCTAAATATTCATCATTGAATCAATCAGTTTTTGCTGCAAATCCCCTCTACTGTATCTATGCTACTTCCTCAGTTCTTTGCTCAGGTTAAAACGGCGTCCTTCAACAGAAACTCCTATCTTCTAACAAAAACATCTAGTAGGCTTTTATGGTATGTAGCATCTATGTAGTACAACTGGGAAGTCTATCTATCCTGTGCATAGAAACCCACTACTCCGTACCAGTAACCTTATAAAATTCATTCTGGAATATTGGCAGAGAATAATCCTGCCAGATAAGAACCGGTAAAGATCTATGAACAAGGTTGCCAAAGTTTGGTGCCTAGTTAAGTGCTAAAAATCGAATCGGTTAAGCTACGCCACCTTATTATCACCCCGGAAATGTCAGGCCGGAGGTTCATTATACCGAGAGTTATATCTTTCTTACACAAACGCTCTATAAAACTTGTACCTGCGACTGTTGTCATCTTACATGGGGTCGGGAAACTGCACATATTCGTCGTCGACTCCATCCATGTAGCCCCGAAAACCATGTGACTTTGGTCCATTGGAAGCGGCATTACAACCTCTACGGAAAATAGAATGAGTTTTGACATATATGTCGAAGAAGAAGGACGTAAGAATTACTCAGATGCGGCTGGTAACCTTTGCTCATGCATAATCTGCCATCCCCCGTTTACGAGGGCAAACGCCTTCCTGAAAACCTCATCTTGGTACAAAACCAAGCCTTGGTTGATCAACATTGCCTTGAACTGGTCATCGCACCTCCAACTGGACTGTGTCTCCGTGTCTTGAACCACATAGGACATTGCTGTAAAAAGCCTCGTATCCCAAATACCATCCCGTCGAGGATAGTTCCGCAACAGGAAGTGAGCCTCCTTCTTCACCGCTGTATCCAAGCAAAAGACGCTAACAGAAAGCAGTGCCCAGCTTAAGCTACTGTCCATAGTGAACACTTCCTTGGACGGATCCACGGAAGATTGCCCTTCAAGTACTATTCTGCTCATCGACACAACTTCTTTGAAGCTAGGGGTCATTGTTGATAAGATTTTTATGTTGCTGTATTGAGATGTTTTGATGTAAATCTCAAATGCCAGATGTAATAGCTCGAGACTTAGCATCTGCAGGTATGCCCATACCTTCTTCTCTTTACTTTGTGTGGCTCTCTCGAGCAGTGGTTCCGAGGCAGTGCGCCACCGGTCGAGAATTTTGCAATATCTTATGATCTGCTCCTCGGATAGCTGTTCGTTGTGATACTTAGGCTGTGGTGGCTGCTGTGTAGTTGCCGTTTCGTCTTCGTCGTCACACTGTTTCATTGCTGGAGGCCCGGGATGGTTTTCGAATCGCAATGCCGAATATATTTTTGTTTGATAAACGATGCGGTGTTGCACGGTTTCCCACCATCGACGGGCTTCGGAAACGTTGCTGAACCTGTCTGGTATCTCATCGACGGCGTAGCGACTTCTTTTCCCGCGGCAGCACCACGGAACCCACGTCTCAGTCTCCTGTGGGTGGTATCCGCTAAAGGTCCACGACTGGAGCGTCAAGCGCTGAAACGCCGACATAACCTCGTCTACCAATTTTGGGGGACAACTTCCTCCTATGCCGTATCGCATGAGTTGATCGAGCATACTGCAGCCGTGGTTGATGTGCGTCAATGCCGCCGTATGGTTTCCTTGGATAGCCTCGAACGTGACAAACAGCAGGCATGATACCAGCGCCCGAGGCATACTTCTCATATCTGACTGGCTAGACCGAATGATCTGGATGGCTTGGCCGTAATGTCGCAAGGCATCCTTCATGAAGGGACCTTTACCAGATGTGCGTTGTCCGCGGCTGTTGCTACCGAGAGTGGCTGCGCCAATGGCAAAGGCGGCATGACGTATAGCGGGTTCCTCGCGGGCGATTTGGGGGATTATCTGGGTCACAAGGTCTGAGGGAAACAGAGTGAACTCCTTGCTAAATTCCATCCAATAGTTAAACTGGTCCTTCTCGAGTTGGTTGGTGAATATTTGGGTTTCGTAGGTGGGCTTGATGAGTATTGGGCAATGTCCTCGCAGCCTGGACTCGGTCGCTATTGGCTTAGAGACGTATCCCTCGCACGCTCTTTTGGATTTGGCACAATTTTGACATGTAGGCCTTCCTTCATCGCAGCGTATGCGTCGTTTTCTATCATTACTCATGGTGTGAGTTTCAGCGCTCCCTTGGGCGTCACTGCTCTCGCCAAGGACGTTTCATTGCACCACTCACTTGCATGTGAGGCATCCCGCCCGGGTTTTAGGAGCATGCCTCCGGTTGGCCTTGGGTCGCTCGGCGAGAGCAAAGGTAATCACATCGGGGGTCGCATTCGGTGGGCGTAGTTGTGTCACTCTGATGGGCGCAGCTTCCGGCATCCTGAAAGGATGGGTTTTCAACGTTCGACCTACGCGACTTGGTACTGCATTGGATGTGATTGCGCGAAGCCTCGGTTTAGGCCGATGCGTCGCAAGTTGGGGGCGTTGGGTAGGGCTGAGTGTTTTAACACTTGCTAAGAGACCGGTCTATTCAGAAAAGAAAGAAAAAACGATTATGTAATGTTCTGAAGTGAGGTAACATCGCTTGTCCACTTTCAGCGCGTTTATCCCTGCAGTTGCTTCGCAGCACAACTCGGCTGAAGCCCAAAAAGGGTCCTCCAATGAATCAAACTCTGGCAGTCACACTACCGCCTTTGATTCGTCCAATGATGGTCAACGGGGTCAGGTATTTGTTCCATCCGCGTTTTCATTAGCTTTGGAACCACCACCACAGCCACATCCACCCTTACGATATGTAGTTGCCTGATCTTTTGACCAGCAAACCCACACTTAAACCTTTCCACGTTAATAGCATACTCTGTTGCATTGCAGAAGGTCATGGAGCTAGCGCTGACGGTGACAATCCTTGAGAAACAGCATCATGAGATTAGGATGTGTTACTGCAACTGCAAAACCATGGCACCCATACTTTCGAGGCGTCATAAATAGCACACGACAGCTCCATGAGCACGTGGCTTACAGGGATTTAGGCAAGCGGTACAATATTCCTTCCTTGATTTGCTGAACCTCGACGATATTCCATTGGTCTAGAGCAAAGATGAGGCCCTGGTGCAATTCCAGGCTGCCCGCCCACGAGGCCGCGGTATGCGGGCTAGCCCCAGAACACCATGAGATCGACAATCAACGACGCGTAAATTTCCGCAGCCTTCCCTAGTAAACGTAGAAGACAGTCGTCTCATCGTTGGAGGCTCTCAGCTTCGCGTTTCGTCTTTTCATGATGATCTTGGCGACCCACGCAAGCGCAGCAGTTGCGATACTGAACGCGGCACTGCTCGACATGGCAATGACGTAACGAGGCTCATCGCTGCTAGGCCAAAGATAAGGTGTCCAGATGAAACTAATATTCATAATCATCGTAACCGCGCTTATAGCGGCTGCCTTCTTCTCTTTGGTCTGTCCGCAGACGCTACCGCACCAACCAAGCTAGAGTTTCTGTTAGTTGGATTGCATCACAGTAATACGACCAAGAGCACATTTCACTTACAATCAGACTGTTGACGCCGTATGTTCCGATAGTGAAGATGACCATCGATGCATATCTGCCGGCCACGTCGAGCGTAGCGCAAGCTGAAACAAAGCCAACTACAGCAACAGCCTTGGAAATGGTGATGTGCCATGTTCGCTCGTTGTACTTGCCGGAGGACCATGAAACAGCAATAGTGACGGCACCAGCGATGAGGTAAGGAGGGCAAGTGAGGACGAGCGTGATGGTAGTGTTGAAGCCAAGGGTCTCGACTACAGTGGGGAACTGTAAATGTGTTAGTCTCGGCTGCAGGTTCACTTGGGAATGAACGGCAATTACAAAGTTCTTGAAGCCATTGGCAGCGAGATGCATGTGGGCCATCGCGCAGAAAATCCACACCATTGGGTCCGCGGCAGCTTGACGCAGACCGTTCCATATGCTGGTTTCTCCCTTGTTGCCAACGGTGTCGAGTTCCATTCGGTTGTAGGCGAGGTCGCGCTCCTCCTGCGTCAACCACTTGGTGGTCTGAGGAAAATCAGGAAGAAGAAAGAAGCCAATAACAGCTATGACAAAGGTCACAGCACCCTGCAGGATGAATAGCCACTTCCAGCCAGCAAGGCCTCCAAGGTCATCCATGCCGTGGAAGATGCCTGCAGCAATGAGACCAGCGAAGGCAGTGGCGAGGATGTTTCCGGTGTACAGGATGGCGATGCGGGTTGCAACCTCCTTACGGGTGTAGAAGATGGAAAGAAGGTAAACGGCTCCGGGGTAGTAGGGGGCTTCTGTGAGTCCAAGGAAAAATCTGGTCAGGAGGAGGCCGGTGAAGTCTTTGGACACCGCAGTCAGGGCGCTAACGACAGCCCAGAGCATCATCATGGTTCCCTGGATTACAATGTCAGCTTCTTGTTATCGTGTCGTCTGGGTTCACATTCTATACCATGTAGCGACTCGGACGGGTTCGAGTAAGAAACATATTTGATGGAATCTGGCCCCTAGATAGTCGTTGTTAGTACTGCGTCCGATGACCGATGTATGTACAGAGACGTACAAAATGTAACCGACAAAAAGAATCGACACGCATGTCTGGTACTCTATAGATCGCATAGGTTAGTCGGACTCGCTGTATACGCGCGGAGACTATGCAGACGTACGAGTACCGGTGAGTTTGAGGTCCTCTTCGAGGTCGTTGAGGCGTGCTAACGCAATGGCATTACGATCAAGGTACTGTATTATCAAGTTAGTATACTTGTGGGCAGGCAAACATCATCCCTACTTACGTTGAGCCAGTACATGGACCAGAGCATCGGCTACACAAAGGTGTCAGTCAATGGAAGATGGTAATTTAAGACGGACAGTGCCCACCATAATCCATCTGTCCAACTTCTTCACAAGGGCAATTTCCTTGGGATCAGTCTTCTCCTGCGCACCGGAGTAGTCGATTCTGCCTGTGTTACGGGGGATGGGCTTTTCAGGGTTCTCATCTTCAAAGATCTGAGGCTCGGTGTCCTTGACCCTGTCGGCCTCTTGGGTGTTGTTGCGAGCCATGGCGAAGAAAATAGGGTGTAAGACTTTCAGAAGTCTTAATGGGATGACGAAGTTCAAGCGTGAATAGACTGGGTGGATGATAACTGGGCGTCGCTGAGCTCAGAGTACCATGGAGACAGAAATCATCTCTCATTCTCCCTATGGGGATGGAGGCTGTTATGTACTCATGAGTGGTGGGGGATGCCCAGACTTTGGACTTCGCAGGACGCCTTTGAGCGCTTCCCCTCCATGTTCTATCTCCATGTCGTGCCCTCGATCGACCGGGGATATGGGTGCAGCGGTATCTGGGGATAGCCACATCATCCACACACGTTCACCATGACACAAAATCAGTTCATCGATTGCCAAGTCACGCCCGATATGATCCGAACATCCAAGAACTCATTGACTCCCAATGAAGCTTGCCCAGGCGGATGACGAATGGATCCTGGGAGGTGCACGAGCAAAGCTACAGCCATATGTACGTCGGCTAGCTGCTATTCTCAACGGTAGGCAGCCAAGAAGGAGCCACAAACAAATCTCTTCTGCTACAGAAGTCGCCGACCAAGAGAAACCAAGCTTGGGTAATGTCACCCTGATTTCTTATGGCCAGCAAGGTGCCCTGGCTCCTTGGCAAAGGTTGGTGTCGACCCAAGACGTTTCCTTTTTCAATACTCTTGTCTTATGGCGTAGTGATATGGACTGCGGGTGAGTGATCAAATTCCCCGGTGGTGTGAGAAAGCATTTTCTTGGCCCTGCAACTTGATGACTCGCCTCAGAGCAGGTGTTGGAAACCTTTCGTCGTTCGTCCAGTGACGAGAGCTAGAAGGACGAGTTAGGTAGAAACCCCGTTCCAGTTCCTTTTCTAGACCGCGCCACAGTCTAACCGGGGCGCCCGCATCATGTCAAGGCGGGCTCGCCTGTTGGGGGCTGTGCATATTGTTTCGCCATCCGGGGTAAGACGGTCTAGTCGGCGGAGGAGACTGGACGCCTTCGAAGAAGGGTCCCACAGTGTTCCCCGCGTTCCTCCCTTGCTCGGTCCTTTTGCCATTGTGCAGTTGGATTGGCGTATAGGGTAATTAAATGGGGCGGAACGACAAAGACATAGGCACGGAAGAGAAAACGAGGGCACGGGGTATCATACGGTCTAGATTCGTGAGCACCACCAGAGGTCGCTGAAAACGAGTTGCATACGGGTTCCAAGAAAATGGCGCCGCGCCAAGCACCTCCAGTCAGTGTCAACTTTGTTCCAATCTTAGCCAACACACTGGACGCGGTGTACTGAGTAGCTCGCTCAAGGGCCCCTAGACGGAGGAATCTGGTGTTGGGACAAGTGATGTGCTTGTGCGACTTGTGTGTCATGTGTGATTTGCCTGCGTTACGTCCCCGTACAGTACTGGGTCAGAAGTCTTTGCACAGCAATAAGAACAACCCAATCAACGGCACAGAGGGGACCCATTAGCTTGGGGTCACTTCACAGTGCACCACCAGAGGTCCTGTGGCTCACCACCCCACGGTAGCTTTTCATTGGTTTATTCTTATTGCTGTGCAAAGACTTTTGACCTAGTACTGTACCTGCCCTCATATCAGTAATAGGTTTCTTCGTTACGCCCTCAATCTTGGCGCGTCTTTTGCCCGTTTGGCTCTTGCCCGGCAGTTGCGCCATGATGACTTGAGAAAGCTTCATTCTGGCGCGGCACGCTAGAAGGCTTGGATTAAGGCTAGAAGTTCAGGAGCCGGTGATGTCACAAATTTCTCAACTGGCTCTAAGGTGTGTAATCCAACTATACGCACGACGCTGTCGACGTATAGCCGGTATCAGTATCCCCAGAGAAGGTATATATCATGGGGTACCCACGCCAACAGACAGCCACCCGAGATGCATCAAAACCATGGGTCAACAACGTATAGCGTATCAAAAGTAGTCCACACTGGACAGACCGTGCTTCGTCTGCAGCTTCTCGGAAGATCCATTGCCTCCCTTGGTGATTTGTGGCGGCCGTCGTCAACATTGACCTCGCTAATGGGCGGTCGGCGATAAACTAATCATGCACTCTGATATTCATGGCTGCATGCAACCATACTACTGTCTGACAACGATGTGGGATCGCAGATGGCCATTGAGGAAAGAGTCTAAACTGCATACCCTTGCGAATTACCACTTGCACCGTAAACCAACCGAATGGGCCCTCATCGCACTGGGTTCAGTCTCATCCTCCGCTAGTTGGGACCCTCAGATTGCGCCAACGAAGTAGCGTCCATGGGACAGAATGGGACAAAATGGGACAGCACGTGGGAGGTAGTAACCCTTGGGCCTGTCGATGAGTCCTCCCTAAAGACGCGTCCCCGGAAAAGTCAAAAACGAGATTGACAGTTGACAGAAGCGACGCGGAGATGATCCCCCGGATCTCGAGCCCCATGGCGGCCCACGTCGGACCCTACTTTTCGGTCAATTCTTGGGGCGGGGCGTGCACCTCTATTTGCTTTGCACTACCAACCCGATACTAAGGTAACGTTCGAACTGGCGCGGCGAGCGAGCGACTCGGTAATTATGAGGCATATACTTCACGTCCTCCCCGTGTGAGGACTGCTGGATTGGATCGTCTACAGCCAAGACACTTGCTGTCTAAAAATCTGATAGCCCAGTGGAAGGCCAAGAGCGCCCAGCGTCAGAAGGCGAAGCTGGGCATGCAGGCCTAACGCTTGCTCTCGGCGTCTTGCTCTCGGCGTCTTGGCGAGAGGGGGGAAACACGGGGGATGGAGCGGTAGGTTGGAAGACACCAACATGGTCAGCTCAGCGGGAGGAATCAGGGGGCAGCACGATACTGATGCTGCAACTATCGTTCATGGCACAAAATGAACAAGCTGAGGCGGGTCTAACGTATCGCCAGATGTTAGAGCCGCGGGGTTACAGTAATTGTACACACGCTTCTCCCACCGTGCAGAAGCACAGGCCAATGCAAGAGGAACCAGGTGTACCGGAATGTCCTCTCAGACGCGGCAATCTTGACCCTAGTATGCCCACTGCGGAATTGAATCGTCTGGGTAAGGGCCTTCTTCCGATAAGTGAGCTTTCTCTTCCTGTCGGTAATGTGGGCGCTCGATGACCGTTGGATGACCCCGTCTCCTCTTCCCCAGCTTTACCCCAAACCGAAACCAATCATCCCGACCCTCCACAACCGGCCCAGCGCCCTAACGCCCCCATCTAGTAAGGTTGGACTTGGATCATGTGTTCAGGTTGATGAGAATGGTTGATCACGGACCGAACTCCGTCCGTGGCAACGGGGGGAACGCCGTGCCAAATACTTGATGGCTAGGCTCGCCGCACAATTGATAGATTGGATGTCCCCTGCGAGCTATCTTTATTTGCTTTTGCAGGTAGAGAGAGGAGACGACAGATCCAGCAAGATCCATGATCCAGGTTGTTCAAGCCAAGATTACGAGTCCCCACATGGGGAAGTCGCATCGGTCCAAGGGAGGAGGTGGGACGAAAACCGGTCGGGAACTTCTTTTGACCAGTGTGGCCGTATTTAATGGGGGCAACTCCATGGTGACATCGTCGATGGAAGTACTGGATACTAACGCACGTATCTTCAGGCACCCTATCACAAACATGCCCTGTTCCAGTGACACAAACTCCAGACAAAATTGTTTGACCGCCATCTAGGTAGCCTTGCTGCAGCGGAGGATTCAATATTACCTCCACCTGCATTCACCATAATTACACTGAACTCTGAATCTACCCTGCCTCTCCTCACCATTACCGAGTATCTCTCCTTGCCCAGAACATATGGACCCGCTACAATGGACTCGTGAGCATGTTCTGTACCTCGAAGAGACATGATTTAAATGTCGGCAGCCAAAAAGAGAGGTCTTCGATATTCGCAGCGCCAGGGAGTAACGGTGAATGTTTCAGTTAATTATCATAATCGGATTGTTCATGGGCATTTGTGCCTGTGGTTACATAAAGACAGTAAACGAAGTGACCAGTCCGGATCAAATCGAGTCGAGATGATCTGCGCCGCCGGCCTCGCCGAAAAGAACGCCCCGCGTTCTGCATCTCCCGGCATTCTGGAGGGAACGAGGTCAGAACCGGTCTTCTGCAGCTCATCCGAGACATTGGGTCCAATTAATATATACTTTTGCCAGCTCATTTCCGAAAATAACGATGAAATACATTACCCGCAGAAACTGACCCCATGTGTCCTAGTCTGCACCTAAAGTCGCCTGATCATGTCAAGAATGAGCTGCCAAATATTGATGTCTGGATGAGTTGTGTATCTCAACCAGAGGCCTTCTATCGTTAGTGACATACGAAAAAGTCAAGCTCTCTGCGCTCTATTCCATCGCTGACCACCATTCCACGCGCTAATGGGGCCCACCAGGCCATGTTGCATCATCATGATACTTGCCCAGGAATGAGATGAGCCACTCATAGCCAAGTTGTGTGAGACAGCGATAAGTTCTATGAATTATCATTTGCGCCGGGATACTTGGAGGAATAATGCAGCATCAAAACCGAAAAAGTCACCAACGATACCAGGGCAGTTCTTTAAAAAGGGTCAACCGCCTTGGAACGTAAAATTCATGATTGGTTTAGGTCAGATCTTAACGTTGTCATTCCATGTGCTTCTTGGTTTGGCAACATCCGCATTGATGTCGAGCCCTCTCGCCGAATCGAGATTGCTGCTATTGGAAGTTTCCAGCTTATGTTGTATTTCGGCGCGGATAATGCTCATTCTCGGCACATGGCTGATCGCTTCTACTTGCATCTCTATCATGCCTGCACGAAGGGTGAACATCGGTCGCATCGTCGAGTTGACGTTGAGGTGACTGACGTCTTTCTACGGGAGATCCATACCAAGTTGTTGGCAACCTGAGTTACGCTTGCAAAAATGATCTTCTGAACAGGGTCGATAGGCCTCTACTGTTACCAACTCACAGATGTGATATGTTACCCTGGTGTCTTTGAGGAGGTGAGAGCTAAGAGACGCCATCATTTGCCCAACGGTCCCAAACCCCTACACGTCTCGTTGGTCACATTTCAAAGCCCAAGAACCGCAACAACTTAGATAGACCCTCTCGAATTCCGCCGTTACTCTAGGGAACCTTGGACCAGAGTTATTGTTCAAGCTTTCCAGAGCAGTTGGCTCTACAGGCCAGGTTTGATCCCTTCAGCCAAGTTAGCACTAGGCAGGGGCTCGAACCTCAAAAGCGCCTCAATCCCCCGTCCCCCTCCGATATACTCCATCTGGGACAGCCATCGAGAACATGGGGCCTGGCTTTCAATTCGTTGAACGCGTCACGAGTGTTTGTGCCTCTTTGTCAAGTACTGCAGAGCCAGTCAGAATACCACTAGGTTCGAATTATCGTCTTCTTTTTGGGTTTGCTGCCATCTCAGCGACGCGAGATTAGTATTAAGTCAATAGTGAGAAGATAGCCAATTTTCCTAGCGTCTTGAGCATTTGTGATATTGAACGATGAGGACTTAGTAGTAAGTTCTAATGATGCATGTCCCGTAATGAATTCCACATAAATAGGTAATACATTTTTGAGACGTGTGATAAAATTTGACTTAATACAAACCATTGGACCAACTTAGCCATACATTGTATGTAGTCTAGACCACCTGGACGCCCTTTGACCTTGACAGGGATGTCACCGACGTTAAATATTCAAACAAACAAAGAAACAACTTAGCAAAACAGTCCCGACCATTCCACATCACGTTGCCCTCGTCAGTTCTGTCGTCATGTGAAACTCCTATGATACCTATCCTCTGATATGTTCCGTCCTCCGGGTCTCTTAATGCTCCGTTCCCCTGGGCTTTGCCTTTCTTGTCGTGTCTCTGTCCAATCGCTTCACCTTTGGGCTCTTAGTCTTTCGTAGCACCAAGGCGAACAGTCTGGTATGGACAGGCCGATACCGCGATCTGTTGCGGAGCTTTGGCCCAGAGCTGAGATGGAAAACATAGATTGTGCTTCCCAGAGGTACGTGGTGTTTTCCAGGTCCCGTGAAGTTTTAATCCGAGGTCATTTGAGCCATAATTCTGCCGTATAGGCCATAGTAGCTTTGGTCAGCAGTCAGATTGTTAATTTTGTCGTCGAGGACTAGGCAAACCAAAAACCATGGAGTTAAAGAGCACAGTTTTACAAGAGCAGAACACGACTATCGGATCCACTCTGGCCCTTGTCACCAGTGCCTTGTTGACAACAGTTCTCTGCTTCCGCTGCTCTGGTTGCTCAATATACCTAGGCGCAAGATTGGGGGGAAAGCTGACGTAGTGGATGAGCGACGTCGCAGACACACAATACTATGTTGGAGCAAGCCACGCTCCCAGTCTGGATATAGATCACTTTTCCCAGAGGCGGCTGCTAGGTTGCGCACGTGCGAGCCCTTTGTGCCGGGCCAACGAGGTTTGGAATGGTATACTGTCGTGTCTCCCATGCACTCCCAAGCCATTTTCACATCACAGAGTTGCAGCATGGATTTTGGGGGACAGGCGGTACTGAAAGACCTGTTCTCTGTGAAGCAAGAGGAATTTACCACGAACGCAACTAAGCTTTCTCAATGCGTCTGACGAGAAGAAAAGTGGGATGATCCGCCGAAAACATCCGTACCGCTTCGTGGCATTCTGTTTTCCAGGGGCTTTTGAAAAGTAACTCCTGTTTGGGCTGCATGATTTGATTACTGCAATAGTAACGTAGGCTTCCTGAACTATTACGGCCACGGTAGATCATTAAGCTTCCAGTTGTCCTCATGTTATTAGATAATACAAAGAGAGTCAATCCATATATAACGAATACCGAGTCTCCGGGTCAGTTAGATCGAATCACGGTGACCTTGTGGCAATGTAGACTATAGGACCCGTTCCGTGTAAGTCCGATAACGACACTTGGTTAGTCGAATGTCGCAGGCTGATACTAACGATTGCTCATATCAGCGGTTTCCTCTAGGAACTCGCATTTAAGCTGAACAGTACCTTGATGAGGCGCAATTGAACGATATCAAACAAGATCAGTAAATCTGCGGTAAAGATTATGGTGGGGTTTGAGACATTGAAAGCTGCTTCCTTCTTGCCAAATCCAACAATGTGAGCAAAAGCAGCAGGGTAAACACTTATCGAAATTGTGTAGTGGACATGAGGTTGCACGTCTCTGTATTGAAATCGAAAATCACACCCAACGATCCTTGATACAAGCTTTGTTCGGAGTTATATGCCGTTCAGACGCACGGTTGCTGTCTGTGAACTTCGCAAAGAGTGCAGTGGAAACAATGGTTGCGAAAGACTGGTTGTATATTTTCAACACATTGCCGACCCGAGTTTTTGCGAATAGTTCGAAACTAATCATGAAACCAGCCACTCGCGTTTCTCAGACATCAGGAGCTGTCCAGAAAAACCAGGCCAGTTTACTCAATAAGTGGGAACCAAGAACCACAGGGCCTGGCGAAGTCCTGGTCCTAGTTATACAATGATTACTAAGTCCCACTGTTGCGCAATCCGCATCGATCAATCGTGGGATCCCACAGTTGGGGATACGAGTGAGATCGGAAGCTAACCAATCAAGTTTATTTACGGCTACATTTGCAGGCCAACCGTCGGACAGGCTATCCAGAAGCGACCACCCCATATGCGGACATTATCCACTTCCCGCGCGGTTCTTGCAAGGCATACGTCGAGGACTTTTGCGAGGGCTTCGCGAGTCCACTGTAAAATGTGTTCGGCCAGAAATTCTTGTTTGCCCGTGTCATAGCGACGGGCTCGAGCCATGAGTCTCATGTTGCGAGTTAGGCTGCGACTGTGGGGTACTTAAACCGGGTTGAGGCGTATCAGTGTTGCTCGAACACCACGTGCTTATCATACACTAAATGTTGACTCCTATATCGCAAGCTATTTTAATATGGAGAAGGTTAAGTTTGGTTACAATATTGATTAATTGACGAGTCAGCGTCGCCAGCTGAGCTACGTTTCCGGTTAGTCGCGCAACCTCGAGCTTCCAAGACTGGGCAACCGCAAAGGGTCGTTGCCAGGGTCTGTTTCGTCAAGATGGAGAACGCTATCCTAAAAGGCTCACTTGATGGTCGTGAGCCGTCATCCCGTGCAATAAGATATCGATCCGTGGATCCGCATTGGATGACGAACAGGAAAGTCGAACTCAGTAAACTGCATTATCCCCCACACGGAGCTGAGATGCCCAGATTTCCCTGTAGGGGTATGTCCAGCCCGATCATTGCTATATCACATCAAAACCGTGGCGTCCCCCGCCCTGAACTTGGGGGAGATTAGGAGAGCGAAGCTCGGCCTTTCCAAACAAATTTTTTTGTTGATATCGTCATGTACGGATGACGTCGCGGCGTGAACGGCAGTCGCAATGGTTTTCCAAATCCCGTCGGCTGTCGATGCAGAAGTCATCGCACTCCTCTGTTATTCGTTCATCTGCTTCTTCTCCAACGTCTTGCTGGTGTGGCTGCTTTGGACGCATAATGACAGGACAAGCTGCAAGTCTCACCGGGTTCTCTCTAGTTTTCGTTGTGCGATCCTGCCTGGACATCGGATGAACTCGAAGAAGCTTCATGAACCGTCAAGCTAACATCGACCACGACACAGACATTGCCTGCATCTCATACGCCACACTCATCATCACCGCGACTAGTATCTGCCAACAATTTTACGACTTTGCTTTCTGGGTGGACATCTTGACGGACCAGTTCTACTTTTCAAGAGAGAATGCCGATAACGCGGAGGTTCAATATAACAAAGGATCACGGGGAATCAAGCTCGCTCTGAGCTACGTCCGTAAGTTTGAAAACTTGAGTCTCGCTGCTAGAGTTCTCAGCACCGCTGCGTAGTTCTGAGAGAGACATTTCCTAATTGTTCATAGGCCTCTACGGATTCACCATTACATCTTCACTTGTTTTTTTCTTGTAGGTTTCTCTCTTTTGGGTTGAATGATCCAGCCGGGGTGATTGCTAATGTGACGCAGTGCTTTGTCTTTAGCTGCAAGCGTGTATGGCTGGTTCGCCGCGACGCCGAGGACGACGCATACCTTGTCTGTTGTCGGAAAGATTCTGCCCGTTGTACTCACCACCCTTACCATCGGCTTATTGAAAACGCCACCGGCTCAAAACTCTTTTTTTGTGTACATGTTTATTGCCAATACCCAATGTCAGTCATCCTATAGATTCTTAATGGTACAGAAAAAGCCTCGGCACTGACAGAATCATAGTCGTTCTCAGCCTTTTAGGTAGCGCTTTATTGCTTCTTATGATCTTGGTCAGATACATTCACTCGCGACGGAACCTCACGACCTGGAATGTTATTTATAGAAACGACGAGTCGTCGCTGCCAAGTAGTAATGATGGAGGAAGCAAGGCGCGGTCAACCTGGCTCGCCAGTGCGTCAAGCCGTGGTGGACGGAGTCGAGCTTACAGCGCTGCTGGAGCCAGCAAAACATATGACAGCTGGCTTGTGATTCGGCTTTCCATTGCCTTTGCGGTCCTCTGGTAAGTTACTACTTACTTTCCCCCCTCCCCGGCCCGGTCTCCCCGATTGGGGACTGACAATCGCACGCAGTGTTTTCGAGTACACAAACGTCGTTCCGCGTATCAAGGCAGCCGGTCACACCATTGATACTGCTCCCAACTTGCAGCCCGACCTCAGTATTAAACGAGCGCGATCGAGCATCCGTGGATACCTCCCCGGCGTCACCCCAAGTCTCGTCGCTTTTCTTGTCTTTGGAACGACCAAGACATTCCAGCAAAAGATCTACGAGACTTTTATCCCGAGAATATTCCAGAAAAACCACAGACAGAAGCGAAACATGTCGATTTCGTTTGAGAACTCGCCGCTCTCTTTGACGCAACCACCAGCTCAACCACCGACTCAACAGCCAGCACAATCACCGGCGCAGCCACCTAATCGTGTTGAGGAATTCTCTCTCGATGACATGAGTCCGAAAGTTGCCCAGAGCTGCAATTATAGCCGGAAATTCACATCCGACGGCACCATGGGTCCGAGGGTTTCCCATGACCATCAACGAAGTCAATCATCGAGAAGCGGCACGCCCCGGTTTTCGCACAGCCATCAATCAAGTCAATCATCGAGACTCGGCACACCTGGGTTCTCTCACAGTCATAAGCCAAGTCAGTCATCAAGACTCGACACGCCGAGGTCCCCACCACCTCCAGTCTATATACCATCGGGTCACATGAGCCCAAAATTGGCAGGGCCGGCTCCTCGAGCAATGAGCACAATGGTCACTCCGAGCTTGGAATCAAAATTTTCGGTCTATGGAAGACCGGACACAGCGAACAAGTCACTTCCAAAGATGCCTATCGACCAATAGATTCAGAGTAGACAGCTTTTAGTTAAGCACGGAGTCGTAGGCGTACAAGAGGGAATGCCAGATACTAGGTTGTCGTTAAATATCCAAGGCTTTCAGATTGATTATGGGTTTGTAATGAAGACAGTTCCATCACAGTGTATTAACATATTATTTTGTAAAGAAACCTTTAGAAGATTAATTTATCACTCATCCTACACTTGTTCTCGCCATAATCGCTAGTACTCCGAAATCAGGGCTGCACCACCTGTCTAATAGATGTAACATCAGGCATTCACTAACGCCATGCACGTCACACATGTGAAATCTGAATGCATTGGTCTGACTGATGTTGCAATATGAATTTGTTTGCTTTGAATGTGCCATTACGCTCTTTCTCTTTTCTCATCGATCGAACGAAACATCCAGTGAAGTGGTTTTGGAATAGGGAATCGGTGGTAGTGCATCAAGTAGAGACAGGGTGATGACTCGTAACAACACATTGCCGTTCAGTTCACTGGGCATGTCAACGTAACAATCATGTTACGTTGAACCAGTCAAACTCATGTCAAGATCTCCGCGTCGCAGCCAGGCATCTAGGCTTTATCGATCGCTTTGTCTACCTGGTCACTGGCAAAGAGCTCATGCCAGCTTTCGATGGCCATAGCGATCCTGGAGCGGTATAAAACTTGCGTTGCTCAGTCTGCATTGAAATTCTGGGATGCTCGAAGCGCAACTCCACGAAAACACTCACGTTATGTAATAAAGCTGACGCGCAACACGACAAATGCACCGCTCCTTATCTTGAATTGCCGGACATCTACCGCGACGAAAACGTACAAGAGAACTCCATAAACCTCATTTTAGAGTTTAGGCAGAAGCAAAAACCCCATCGCTATTATCTGGAGGAGCTCCATCCTTGTGCTACGCATACTTGGGAATCCCTTGTTCTGCCTCTCATGATCCTTCCAGGACCCACGATCAAGAAGCTTGAGAGTAGCATTCTAGCGTTTCACTTTCAGTGCGCCAGGCGACCAAATACATCCTTTCTCATAATCCCGCGGGAAAAAGTGCATATAACGGAAGAAGTCAGCACCAAATGGGGCCCATCAAGTCTACCAAATGGGATCTAGGCTTGTCGCAGTCCGTTGTGCACTATCATCAATCGAGGCTCGGCTACACCAGAACCTTCAAGATTGAGCAGTCGTTGGCGACGGCGATACTCGCCTTTATGCTCTTCTTGTTTTGGCAGTGGCCTAGGCTAGAGGACTGCTATTAAAACGTGTATGGTCTAGCGATCAACACTACCGCCGGGGCCATGATTGATATAACTGGGAAAGACTACATTTTGAATGAATTGGAACTGGAAAGAGTAGATAATTTGGCAGAAGAGGCTACCAAAGAAAATAGTGGGAAGTGTAGACCATAGTTGAGGCAGTTCACACGCACTCAGCGACTCTGGGGCAAGGGGCCATGAGAAGCGTACCAAAGTTTTGTTTCAATGATACAAAAAAAAGCTGCCGAACAAGAGATGCACTCGAGAGAAAGGTTGTGGCACAGGCATACAACCCTAAAAATAACCGAAGTAGCATCCCAAACCGCTGTCTGAACAGAGGGCCCGAGCCACCTTGGAAAAGTGCGACAGCCCCTGTCCGCCAAGATGTGCATAAACATGGGCATCAAAACCTTGGAACCTCTAGTTGTCAAAGATTAAGATGAAGGTACCGTAGCTTTGCCAAAGAAACCGTGGAGCATGATTACCATAATACTATATAGAAACGGTAGCTATAAAGACTGTCCTATCATCTACAGAGTGTTGTCATTGGTTCTGCGATATTTGGGGATATGAGACGTTTGGTGATTATGAAATCTAGAGAATAGCTCCATCATGGGTGCCGCGGTAGCGTAAGCCCCTGGCTCAATGGGACGAGTGGGTAATGATTTCAAGGTCGGCAGTACATCGAGGCTCACTGTAGCTCGGACCTTCTTAGATAGTAGGAGGATACGGTATCTCATTGGAGATAGATGCAAACAGTGTTCCACTGAGGCTCGCTTCCTACATGACCTGTACTGCCATTCATTCGTATACCATAGGAAGGGTCTGCAATGTAATATAGGTAAAGTCTCATAGTTTGTGAGATAAACATGTTTCAAACATATAAGTATAGTATGGATGTGTGTTATTATGAAAGGTGTGACGTGCTCGGTTATTACAGGAGACCCGCCATCTCCTGCTAATTACAAGATGATTGCAACCCTGCTTGGTAATGAATTGCAACGGCCAACTGCAAACCAGTCTTGGAGATCGGCCGTCTTGGTGGCATAGTAAGCACCAGGCAGGATCTTCCACCTGATAACGCTCTTGTACTCCTCCCAGTCCTCTCCATACTTCTCCAAGCATGCAGCGTCGTTCCGTCTTTCGCGGTGAAGCAGAAGAACTGCAAAGTACAATAGGTAGAAATAGGTGAAGACCATACCTCAACTGCGGGCCCGGCCTTGAATCACTTCTTGCCCGTCGAGCATCGCGATGCTGCCAGGAACAGCGTTTCCAATGCTGATGATCTGATACCCAGCGATGCCGGTGGGCAAGCTGAAAGGCCAGCCCTGAAGCCAGTCGCCGAAATAGTCGACATGACGCGACTTGCCTCACCACCCCCCAGTAAGCAGCCTCGTACCCCGTTTTGTTTGGATGAAGGGCATACCCCTTACGCTCGGGTGGTCTGACTGCCTGCGGAAGAGCTTCTTCTGGTTGTTGGCGGAGCGGAATATGTAAAAGCCTGTAGCGGAAACAATGGTCACTCCCGCACATCCAGCCCAGCACAGCTGAACGGGATAGACGGAGAGGTAGCAGGCTTGGGTGGATTAAAGGAAAGGAACCCAAGCAATGTTACCAAACATCAGCATGAAGCCTAACCGACCGTCGGTGATGACTTCCATCATAGTAAGGAGATCAGCCTCACAAAGCTGGCTCTGAAGGATATAATATGTCTGGAAGCCGGTTGTGAAGATGATGCTGTCCGACAGGTAGCCGTACGCACGGTATTGCTTTGTGCAGAAGGCCAAGTCAAGAGTAACCTAACCAGTAAGACCGGGTCGCATCTCTAGCCAGGACTTGAGGTCGACTTCGCCGAACAAGGGCAGAGTGACGCGAGGGGTTGAGCTCGCGCTCAATCCAGAAGTCAGCCTTTGTTGCCGCCGCTGGCCAGCTCGCGGAGCTCCGGGTTGCCAGGCTTCACACTGGAGCTAGCAACATAGACGTATACGCTAATAGTATAGGCCAGGATAATGTTGGCTGTCAGCATGCAGGTAATGATCAGAGATGTAGGTCCAGACAACAAGATCAGCCCCCTGAAAGTACGTACCAATAGCTAGAGCCACAATCTGAACAAGTGTAGAAGTGAAAGCTGTGATGCAGCGATAGTCTAGTACCCTTATAGAGACAAGAGGGGTATGCCTATAGTTGAAGCGATATCTGAGAGGGCGACCGGACTGGACCAACTTTGCACCGAGAAGGTCTTGGGCAGGCAGCACGCAGTATAGAATCAGGCTAAGGAAGTAATAGGCCAGAGTCCAGCCCATAACTCTCCAGCTACAGAACCCCCAAATACCATCGGCCGGCCATGGCGTCTCTGCCTTTAGCTTGTCGAAGGTGAAAGTGGACAGACTGAGAGTGGCAGGGGCCGGGCACCCGGTCTTGTCATTGCAGACAAAGAAGAGAGCCCACAAGAGAGCAGGAAGTCCGAGAATGATGACGGGGGCACCGGGGCTAATGCAGGCGAAGTTAGCCGGTGAATACTCAGGCGGATACCTAATATGATCTCGTGGACCACCAAACTCGTACTTGTGTTTATGGTCCGCCATGACCGCAAGGGAAAACGTTCGACGCAATAGGGTGTCTGCTATCACTCCTCAAGTCAATCGAATACTCCGATCCAGGTTTCGATTGTTTCTGACGCAGTTGTGAAGAAAAAACGAAGAATGGTAATAATATCCGAGCTAATTTGCCTCTGCAGACACTGGTAGAAACCGAAGGAGTGGATTTTGCACAATTTCACCAGCCACCAAGGACACATCTTCCAAGATGGTGGGGAGGAGGACGGTAAAGACAGATGTCTGGTGAAGGAAGTGGACTAAACAGAGCAGAAGGGCTAGGAACCACCCACGTCCTTATAAACTAGACAGTCCTGACCCAAAATATTTGCAAACCCCACCTCCTACAGTGATCAGCAGGGTTGTGTTTCTCTTGAGAACTACAGGTTGGGTATTGGTATTCATGTCGTCGCTTCTATACTCTCCATTGGCACTAGTATGATGCGATCTCGTAATTCTCGGACTACCAGCAACAATCCGAGGTAGTCCCCGTCCAGAGTAGAGTACCATTGCTTCTGGAGGGAAAAGGCTGCTTGAAGCTGGTGTGTTTGTCGTCATACGTGCATGTTAAACCAAGATACCGAAAAGAAAGCCGGCCTTGGGTCAGTGTAAGTGTTGTTTCTCATGAAATTCTTCAATTTTCGATGTGTTGAGGGCTGATTGTCGTCTTACGAACACCCGCGTTTACAGGAATGCTTCTCCAAGGAAGCAAAGAGAGGCGGCCTTTGACGGAGTTTTGGGTATGGCCGAAGGGAGTTGATTACAGTAGAGAACATGGATTTGTTTTGGTTATTTCTGGTTCAGCAAGGTCTAATACGATCATAGAGCCGTGTATATATGGATGACTGATATAAGTAGGCAGGCAATGTATCTCGAAGTCGTGGTGCAATTCCAGTTCGGTAGCCGAAAGTGGGCCCAACCGGCACCGATCCGGTGCGGGCCGTCCAAATCCCCAAGACAGGCCGGGCATTACTTCAGGGTGACGCAAGTCAATGCTGTCAATCGACCTTGAAACGCCCAGGGCTGTTGAGGCTTTATCGGCCTGTTTGTACCTCTAACTTCGTTCAACTTTCACACGACTTGTCCCACCTGCCTCCAGTCAACACCGCATCGAGCTGAAGACTCCCCAGCCTCGGGTAGGTCCTTGCAGATCAGCAAACTTTCTCAACGGCCACCGCACCGTTTCCTGTTGCACGCTGATCGAAGTATGCCCTGGCCTCGCGGATCTTTCCGTAAAGCGCAGCACTTATCCGGAAGCAAAAAACGGCTGAGTCCGCATTCCCGCAATCAGAGCGATCTGCCAAAGGCGCCAGTCAGTGGTTGCCCCACGTTGGGAAACCATGCGGTGAGTCTCACTCAGCTCACTCGAACACGACGAGCGACCATGCGGTAAAGGGGTATCGTTAGGGGCGTTCATCTGATCCTTTCCCCGTTATGGTGTTTCTAACTTGGAAGGGAAATGTCATCCCACCGTCCAACTGAGACATGAGACGAAAATATCGACTTACGCTACGGGAGAATGGAAGTGCCCTCCCCCTTATCCCTCTAGGAATCTGGTAAGGTTGCACGGTCCGACGATGGTCTGGAATTATGTTATATGAGGCACCGAGACAACCCATTAGCCAGCATTCCAGACCAAGATCAAGACCATCTCATTAATCAACAGCTCAACGGTCGCTATTTCCTCCCGCCCGATAGTCTTTCCCCTCTCTCTCTTCCTCAGCAACCAAAACAGACGGTTTTCATATTCAAAACTCGGCAGGAAAATCAGTCAAGATGCTCGTCTCCAGTATCGTCGCCATCCTCGGTGCATCCACCTTCGCCGCCGCGACCTCCGCACCACCATCCATAACGCCCTTCCTCACTGCCTCAGGCGCCGTTCCGACAACCCTCGTCCCCATCACAAAACCAATCTCCGCATCCTCAGGCTTGACGTTCACACTGTCTTCCAACTCATCATCATCGGCGCGCCCCTCGACAATAACCTCCCGTATCGGCGCCACGCGGACAATCACCATCCGACCGGCCAAGACCAACTCGTACGAAGCCTGCGGCGGCCTCCGCGCAACGCCGAAACCCTGCCCGGCCAGCTTCGAGTGCATCAGCGACCCCTTCGTCAAGGGGTGCGGGTTGGCGTGCGACCAGCTGGGCATCTGCGTAGTGCCCATCATGTGTGGCGGAATCGCGGCCATCAAGTGCCCCGCGGGGAAGTTTTGCGTGGACGACCCGAGGGACGATTGCCATCCTTCAAAGAATGGGGCCGACTGCGCTGGGCTTTGCGTTTGAATGAGACGAGACTGTTTCGAAGAGAAGAACCAGAAATTGGATACCTAGCTTGGAGAGTTTAGCGTTGTAAACAGACGTGTTTCTTTTGTGGCATTATTTTTTTCTTTGTACTTTGATTTTGAGGGGAGCAGTAACTTTGATGAATGTCTCTGGATGAAAGCAGAAAGTATCGTCGGATATCTTGGGACATCTATTCTTTGCTGTTGTCTCTTGTTTCGGTGTGATGAAGGCCATGGAAGCCGATGGATCTCGGTGAGCAAATGTGAGGTGCCGACTCAGTAAGATGGGAAGGAAGGAAGGGAACCGTGGGCCATTGCGTGCTCCTTCCCGGTGCATCAAGACTGGTGCTGCCTTCCTCTTCCGAAGATTCTTTCATTCTGTTTTTATTTTCATATTATTTAACATCTGTCGCGATGCCCTCACGCGCATCGCGCAGCCTTGTGAGATTTGCGCTGGGCCCAGATTAACTATTAGTCCAGTCCCTTTATGCAGATCCACCACGCAGAATACGTATTTATTCATTTTAGATAAAGTAATCCTATATATAGAAATAGAAGCCGTTTTCTTTATATCTTTTTTACCTTAAGTAGTAACTTTATAATAGTTATAAGCCTAGCTTATATTACACCTTTGAACTACTATATCTAGAGTATATTATAAGCTAGAAAATCTCTTTTAAATAAACTATTTCTATTTTCTTAAACTAATATCTTTAATATATCTATTTCTATTAAAGCTATAAAAAAGCTTAAGATATAAAGTAATTAGCCTTTATAGTATATAACTTTTTAACTTAAAATAAAGTTAAAGTATATTTAAGAATTTATTAACCTAAATAAACTTAAATAAATAAAAAAAAGTAAACTTAAATATTTTAATAAAATCTTAAATATTTTAAGGATTTTTATTTTTAATAAATTTATTATTAATATAAATCTTAAATAAACTAATAATAAACCTCTTTTAATAATAACTAATTTAAATATTAAAGTTATATATTAAATATATATTTTAAATATTAATATAAAAAAAGTTATTTAGAAATAATAAAAAAAGGTATTTAATATAATTAATATATAAGTAAAATGTTGAATGGATTCTCTCTTCCTGAGAGAACCCGTTTGTACGATCGTACTCGGGTTAAAGTTAGGGTGAACCAAAGATGTATTTTCCGTGATTATCTTCCTAACTACAAGACTTGGCTTTCGTACACAAGATATATGATCTCGTACGTCCCTGAGTCAGTTCGGCATGAATATACTTTTGATCCCCTCAATGGATAACCGAGGGCCGAATATCCAGTCTGTGCCCTCTGCCATGATGTGTGTCCCTGAGTCGTGCGTGTCGTACAACCAGCTGGTGCTGTTATTCCAACACTCACAACTTTTCTTTTGTGACTGCACGACTCCCTGCGGTGTCCAATCAGGTTGCGCTGATTGTGACATCAATAACCTCATCGTACAACCCTGTGGGTTAGGCCACTTGCGTTGTACGATAAATCACCAATATCAAAACTCCAGGCAACTGTCCATTTCCTTCTTGCCTGGTTGAGCAGGCAAGTCACGTGTTGGTGAAGTTCCTTCCTTCCTCGTTGACTTCACTTCTGCTCCTGCTGTTGACGTACCTTCCTTCCTTCGTACGGCAACCTTAGCTATTTAAACCCCTTCTCACTTGTTTTTTTCTTTTCCTCTTTTTCTTTTCTTCTTCACCCTTCGCACGCGTCGTTTTCCCATACAATCGATCAACGACGATCTTTCCCCTTCTTCCTCAATCAACTCCAACAACAACTACTTGTACGTAGGATTTCCTCTCATACGTTTCCTCTTACTGATTCATCAATAGCACCTCGCACGATCAATCCATCATGTCTCTCGCTGCCCCCGGTGGTTCGATCTTCGGCAACATCGGTATGCATACCGATGCGTCCGGTGGTCGTTGGCTTCGTCTTCCGACTGGCAACGCCAACAATCGCGCTCTTCTGTTGGCTCTGGCCATCAACGTACGTTGCTTTTGTCCTTACCTTGTCTTCGTACGTTAACCTTGACTGCAGGATGAGGAGCGTCTCATCATCAACATGCCGTCGCGCGATATCGAGATCCGCGTCACTAGCAACACTTCTGTCCAGCAGTTTGTTGCCAGCATCATCCGCCGCCAGGGCTACTTCCTTGCGGTCTTGGTTCAGTCTCGTGGTCGTGCGGCCATTGCCTGTGGCAATAAATGCGCGACTACTGACTCCCCGCGCTTCCGCCAGTGCACCCGCATTCCCACCTTTCAGGGTGGCGCCTGCGCCGAGTGCGTCTAGCAGTCGCACGGCGCTCGCTGCACCCACCGCGGTCGAGATGTTGATTCGTCCGACAACCCGGGCGATGATGATGACGATGATGACAACGGCGGCCCCAGCAACTACAAGGCTCCCAACGTCACTAATGCTCGTGAGCCTCGTACGCCTGGCAGCAAGCTTGGCAAGAACATCGGCAAGGGCGGTCGCTTCCTTGGCACTTCTGCCAGCCCCATGGTTATCGACAAGGAGTAGTCGCACAACTTCTCTTCCCTGAAATCTCGTACGACAATCAGATGGATCGCACGATATGGTAATTCGGGAAGGTTGTGGATATGGTGGAGGTACGATCCGACATTGATATCGGAATTGGTAGTGGTCAGGTATATCAGATACCTTCTTGAGGTTACACTTCGTTTTCAGATAGTTGGTAACGTACGGCGGTGAGGTCGTACGAATTAATTGTCAAGTGTTTTCTCCTAATCTTTCAACGTACGCCTCGATTCGAATCCTCAATGTGTTTGTTGTAATCAATTGTCCAAGTGCTGAGTTTGGCGATTTCTTGGTGAAGGCGTCGGCAGGGTTATCTTTCCCATCAATCCATCTCACTTCTGAGATCTCTTTCTTTTCGTACGACTCACGTAGACTCATAATATCAATCATAAGCCTCTTTTCATCTGTTGTGCCTAGTCGTACGAGGCACTCGTACAGAGATCGTGAGTCTGAACAGATGATAACTGGAATCCTTGGGAGTTGTAATGTACGAAGGATCTTGGTAAGTGTCGTACTAAGGGATATCCCACTATCAAATCCTGTGGTCATCCCGTACAACTCGCTTGCAAGTACGCTTCGTGTGACTCTCTTGCACTTTGTTGAACTCCAGTGTATAATGTTTCCTTTGATCTGGAAGTCTGTTGTCGTGCGAGCTGTTTCCTCAGCTAGTACGATAACAAATCCAAGTTGTGACGATAGATCTGAGTTGTTTGCAAATGATCCATCCGTAAAGATGTACATCTTCGCACGATGGAGATCAAGAGGGATATATGTAAGACCTCGTGTAGGGTTATCGATTTGCCACTGAAGTCGTACATTCAAAGCTTCAATATCCTTCTTATCAGGCTCCTTAGTTTGGGCTGCAGTTGACAGGTCGTACGATGCCTCTGGTTGACAGATAGATGCGAGGTATGCTCCTCTTGCCCTTTGGGAAACATACTGCTGATGTGCATCGTGCGCATCAGGATCAACGAGTTTCAGGTGCTTTGCCTGGCCTTTTTGAGTAAAGGTAATGTGGTCATTGTGCGATTGAATCTTTCCCCCATTAAAGTCAATTTCACTGTTGGGCGATAAGGTGGTCTTTGGTTTCGCACGAAGTCCTTTCCTTCTCAGCTCTTCTTCTTCTCTCTGGGAGAAGGCAAGTGTAGCAAAGCTAAGTGTATCGTCTGTCTGCATAGCTGTAATCCCGAAGGTATCCGGTCCTTCTGTTGTATACAGCAAGCATGGATCGTACGTTGACTCTGTCATCTTCAGATCTTTCTTGTGATGCTCAGAATAGGTTTTGTACCAGTATAGGCCTGACTCTGCTAGGCCGTATAGTGGTTTCAAGATATGGAGAAGTGTGTTCTTAGGGTATTTGTCTTCTAACTCCTTGGGTAGTCGTGCGATAATTGTCCTGGTTAGACGATCGTCCGACTGTGTATATGCCTGAGTTATGTCTCTGAGTTCCCCTTTGCATTTGTAGTCTCGCACAAGGGTAGGTCCAATCGCAAGTATGAGCCTTTGGCTCATCCGTTGGATAGTAGGTGCCTGGGTTAAGAGTTCTTCTTTCTCCCAGTCCCCATACCCTTGTACGACGAGTCTTGACTTCTCGTACGGCTTAGATGACAAGTTCTTGATCTCTCGTACCATCCGTGTCTTGTAGATACGGAGGTGGTCATGCTCTTTTGGATTGTACGGTACAAAGGTGAAGACTCCCTGGTTAATAAGGTTGTCTATCTCTGTTTGGTCTGACTCTTCGTACGGAGCACCTGGTGTTGTAATCACATTGTCAAGCCGTAACTTTTCTGCTAACTCCTTGTGGTCTTTTTCTTTCTGAGATAGAAATGCTTGATTGGTACGTGGTGATTGTCGTACAGCCCTTCTCTGGCCTTTCTTTGGTCTTCCTCTCTTGTTTGGCTGTTTCTGAGGAATAGGTCGTGCGATATCTGAATCTGACTGTGCTGTGTCTTGATGGTATGGTTTGACATGTGTCGCACGAAACTGTGTAGGACCATTGACCATCTTGACTGTCACTGTATGGCCTTCTATAGCCTGGACTTCGTACGGTCCAGTCCATCCCTTGTTTTCTCTCCATACTAGAACCTCACTCTGGATCGGTAGTGATAGTATGCTCTGGAGGTTAGGGCCATTTCTGGTGTTGATCGCACGATTGATCTCTACTTCTGCACGAATGCTCTGAAGCATTTTCATTGCCTTCTGGATTGCTTCTGCCCTTTGGGTGATTTCGGGCGATGGAGGTGAGTCCTTGTTAATCCTTGGATATGTCCCAAAGACAAGTAGTGTAGGTACGATGCCGTGCGGACCAGCTGTGTCGTTCAATGCCTTCACAGCCATCTGGAGGATGGTTTCCTCGTCCGTGTTGTGCCCAAGCTCAGCATACAAGATATCGTACGCACGCCTCAGAGGAGCGTGAGCTCTTTCTATCTTGCCTACTGCCCAGTGGGCT